GAAGTGAGAGTGAAGTGAAAGTGGAGACAATAAAAATGAAAGTAGCGGTGACAGCGACAGTGATAGTGAAAGTGATAGCGATAGTAATAATGACAGCGACAGCGATAACGGCCAACAAATCGACTCCGAGAAGTCACAGACAGAATCTATAGAGGCGATGGAGGTCGATCAAACAGGCTCAGGAACCTCGGAAGCGCCTGAACCTGAAACTAAAGACAAGGACGTTTCAAATGACCCGGACTACGTTTCCAAGCACTCGGCGATTTTCCTGAAGTTCAAGAAAGCCGCACAAACTGCCCATGAGTCGGAAGAGGAAGAGGAAGAGGAACAAGAAGACGCCGTCGAAACCCAAGATTTGGCGCCGTTGCCGCAGCCTGAACTACCCTCCGACGCAAAATTAGTTTCAACCGATACTCACAAGAACAACCTTGACTGGTTGGCTACTCCCACTTTCATCGACCCAGAGCTCAAACAACCATTTGAAGAGCTTGGAGTTACTGCGCCCGTTCTCAAAAACCTCCGTGCCATGGGGTTTTCCAGTGCATTCTCTGTCCAAGTCGGAACACTTAGATTGATAATGGAGGATATTCGTCGAAACAGACTTGCCCCCGACTTTCGAGGTGACCTCTTGGTCAATGCGTCTACAGGTTCGGGTAAAACTTTGGCGTATCTGATTCCTGTCATCGAAGCCTTGTATGACCGCGTTGTTCCTCGCGTCCGTGCAATCATCTTGGTGCCCACAAAGCCTTTGATCACACAAGTATCCCAGACGCTCCGAGACCTTTCGAACGGAACGACTTTGTCCATTGTCAGTTTGACTAGTGATTTGTCCATCAGAGAGGAAGGCATAAAAATTACCACTAACATTCCCGATGTCATTGTGTCCACCCCAGGTAGATTGGTGGACCACTTGCTCAATGGCTCTATTTCCTTGGAGGCACTTCGGTTCTTAATCATTGACGAAGCGGACAGATTACTCAATCAGTCGTTTCAAAACTGGAGCAATGTGGTGGTTTCAAACTTGGAAAAATGGGTCGACCCGGCGTTGAACACCAGCAACATATGGAGACTACAGACACAGAAAATGATCTTCTCGGCCACATTAACCACAGATGCCGGTAAACTTTCGTTGTTGAAGTTCAACAGCCCTAGATTGCTTGTGGTCAATAACTCCAAGCAGCTTGTGCGCGAGATGTTCTCTGTTCCAGTTAAACTTCACGAAAACCGCCTCAGGTTCACCTCAAGCAAGACTGCCATCAAACCACTTATACTTGCCAAGTTCATGATGCAAGCAAACAAGCTTTCGTCTGTGCTTGTCTTTGCCAACTCGAACGATGCTACTCTTCGGTTGTCGAAAGTGTTGCAGAATCTTTTCAATAAGTTGGTTCCCAACAAAAATATTACAGTTGCATATATGAACTCCACCAACAACGTTGCGTCGGTGCGAGGACGCCTTTTGAAAGACTTCGCTGAAAAGCGTGTTCATGTTTTGGTGGCTACGGACTTGATCGCTCGTGGTTTGGACATTTTGTCCATCACCGATGTCATCAACTACGACTTGCCCAACTCATCTCGTGAGTATGTTCACTGAGTGGGTCGTACTGCAAGAGCAAATAATGAAGGTAACGCATACACCTTGTGTTTCGGAAAAGGGGAAGACACTTGGTTCCAGAAGATCATGGCAGATGTGGGCAGAAGCAAGCCGATCGAGGAATTGGATGAGAGTCAGGAAATGCTGGTTGACAGTGCGGATCAGCAGATTTTCGAAGAGGTCATGGCGGCGCTTTAGTGTTAGCATATATACAAAATAGATTTAGAAGCCCTAGTTGAAGAAATAGGATGTAAATCTGTAGTGGACAGAGAGAAAAATCATTTGACAGGATATCCTTGAAATGATAGTTAGAAGATGTGAGGCTTGACAGGAATAAGAATTGGACTGTCTCACATTCCCTATGGTTTATTTGCCTAATATACTACGCAATCTTAAGCATGTTAGGAGAGAGAATCAGGTCACGTGCAAGACATTGAATGGATCATATGACGTGCGGTCAGGAGACGCGCGCGATCACGAGATATAAAACTCGGGGTTATACCCTGGGGGGAAGTCCAAGTAAGATTAACATAAGTTAGGATAGTTAACAAGTTACGAAGTATCTTTATTGAATCCGTAATTCTTACTCCCCTCAGTATCTTATATTTTATTATTAAGATCATACCAAAACTGTCCTTACAATTGGTAGCGCCGCAACAACGATTCTAGAGGAATCCATCATCAGTCAATCATGTCATCCACTACGGTCACCCCCGACATTCAACAACCTGTTACCACTGGAAACAGAAAGATCCCTGAGAAGAGGATCCCCATGTTGACCTACAACACTCCAGAGGTAGCGAAGTTGTTTCAAACTTGGATCGACATCATCAAAGAGATTTCAACAACAAAGAAGTTGACTAATGAAGAAATTATCGAATTGGTAGATAACCATTGCGAAGAAGAACTTCAAGAAGCATTTCGGACGTACCGAAACCTGAACACGTTTGAGTTAGGGTCTTTCGCCGAATGGCTCCTTAAAAGCAATGGAATAGAGAAACGTTCGCGTTCTCCATTCTCAATTATGAATGACACGCTTCAGGATATTCCTGCAGGTACGTGGCAACACTATTGTGACCAATGGAGAAGAAGAAGGAACCAACTCTACGGAAAGGATCAGACTTTGACAATCGACGATTTGTACCAGTATGCTTTCATTGAAGCAATCAGAGATACTCAGCTCCAAGGCCTTTTGAGGAACCTTGACCCTCGACCAGCGACGGTCAGCGAGTTGGTCGCTCAAGCTGAAATCTTAGCGAAGCGGTACAAGATCCCTATCGAAAGGTTAAACCGCTCTGTGGTCAAACCACACCAGTTGTTCCAAATCAAAGAAGGAAACAAGGATGCGTCAACCGCGGATAGAGGACGTAAGAGATTCAGGGAGAAACGTTACCCGACGAACAAGGAAAGTAACACCACCCAATCAAAACCTTTTAAAAGAAAGCAAGGTTACCGCTTCTCTCACTACAAAAGAAGTTCCAATAAGGATTATCTGAACCAAGATGCTGACAAAGAACAGCCAAAAAAAGACCAAAGCTGGAAGGAAGCTATGTGAACGATCGTTTCAGCGACAACTTAAGAGTTCAACGAATAGCGGTTGAGCAACAAGAACGAAAGAAGAACAAAACAATAGACCTTTCGCAGGCTCCCGATTTGCCCATAAAATATGGCACATTAGATGATTTCATGATCCCTGTAACCGTGAATGATAAATCATTTCCCGGAGTTCTCGTCGATTCAGGCTCACCCCTTGATTTCATCGACCTCGACACGGCGATCGAACTAAAGGCAGAATTACAAGCACTTGCTAAGCCTAGCACACTTACCTTCGCTAAGAAAGGCGAAGTCGACCTGGTAACACACAAGGTTACCCTTAAACTAGAAATGAATGGTTACATTGAGTACAGACCCTTCGTGGTTTATCCAAACCTTCATGATAAGATCCTATTAGGACGCCCGTTCATCATCGACCATCACCGGCGACTCGGACTTATACATCCGCTGATGCAACTCCGGCCAAATCAAACCGTGATCGAGAACGACACGAAGTACGAAGACATTAGTCTCGCAGAACTCGAAAGAGAATGTAAAAAACATAATAATGTTATACTGACTCTCCTTGTGCAAAGGATTGAGTACGACGAGGATGCACATCCAGGCATAGTCCCTGTTGATTTCGACCTAAAACGTTTTGATGACGTTGTAACGGACGCGTTACCCGCAGGTCTACCTCCTGATAGGAAGGTAAAGCATCGAATTACTCTCGTCCAAGGTTCTACCCCGCCGCACCGACCTCCGTACAGATTGTCACACAAAGACAAACAGGAACTATCTACGCAGATTGAGACTCTATTGAAAGATGGACGAGTAATCCCGTATGGTTCCCCTTATGGAGCACCCGTGATCTTCGTGCACAAGAAAGATGGTACCAAACGCTTGTGCGTGGACTATCGTGCATTGAACTTGATCACCATTAAAGAACGATTTCCGCTACCCTTAATTGATGATATCTTTGATACCATTCAAGGTGCGAAAGTCTTCAGCTCCCTTGATCTTCACTCTGGGTACCACCAAGTGGCAATCGCGGAAGAGGATTACGACAAAACTGCGTTCGTAACGCCTTACGGTCAGTACGCGTGGAGAGTAATGCCTTTCGGTCTAACGAATGCTCCGGCTACGTTCCAAAGACTTATGAATGAAATATTTCACAAGATTCTCAACAAGACCGTGGTTGTCTATCTAGACGACATCCTCGTTTTCTCGAAAACGCAGAAGGATCACAAGCGCGATTTAGAAGAGGTATTTAAAATCCTCCGAGCAAACAATCTCATCGCTAAAAGAAGGAAGTGTTACTTCTTCCAAACAAGGTTGAATTTCCTTGGACATGTGATCAGTTCGGAAGGAATTTCCCCGAACGAAGACAAGATAAAAGCCATAAGAACTTGGCCAATCCCGAAATCAAAAAAGGAGGCATTAAGCTTCTTGGGATTGACGACATATTATCGTCGTTTCATTGAGAAATACGCTCATATCGCAGCTAGTCTATACGACTACACCGCTGAAAAAACTAAATGGACTGAAGAACAGACAAGACTGTTTAACGAGCTCAAGGACAGATTAGTTTCTGCTCCTATATTAATATTACCAGATCCAAAGCAGAAGTATGTCGTTTACACTGATGCAAGTGATCGCTGCATCGGTGCCGTCCTACAACAAACGGATAAACATCACAAACTTCTTGGAGTCGTTGCATACGAGTCAAAGAAACTCAGTGGAGCGCAATTAAATTACCCGGTACGCGAAAAGGAATGCTTAGCAATTCACTACGCCCTTAAGAAATGGCAACACTACTTAAGTGGGACAAACTTCATCGTATACTCTGACCACCAGTCCTTGAATTATATTCGCACGACACCCCATCAGAATCCACGTATTTTACGTTGGTTAGAATTCTTCGCACGGTTCGACTTTGAAATCAAATACATTCCAGGACCCAAAAATGTGGTCGCTGACGCTCTTAGTCGCCAACCTCAAACCATTCATACGGTAAATCGAATCGGCTTACTAGAAGAACCTGACGTGTTGAATTTGGAGGTCATGAAGGAAGAATACATCAACGATCACCAGTTCGTCGATGTCTACAAAATCTTAATCGAAAAGCAACCTATTGACCCACAATTAAAAATACAAAACAAACTTCGCAAGTACACCGCATGCGATGGCCTTTTACGCTACGCCATCTCCACGCACGACAATCCACGACTATGCGTTCCGATCGGGGTTGTGCGTCGCCTCCTATTACGACAAGCACACGACGCGGATTTGAACAATCACCCCGGGGCATTAAAGATGTGTGAGACCTTGAGCAGACAATATTACTGGGCCAACATGCTCAAAGACTGTAAAGCTTACGCGAGAACATGCGAAGTCTGTCAACTAACGAAAACTGCCACACAATCTCCATACGGCTTAATCATGCCAATGCCCGTCCCGCAACAGCGATGGACAGAAATATCAATGGACTATATCACAGGTATGGAAAAGTTAAAGAACGGAAATGAAAAGGTCTTAGTGGTCGTCGACCGCCTTACCAAAATGGTACACCTTATTCCGACCCCGTTAGAACTCAATACTAAAGCACTTTTCAATATATTTATGAAAGAGGTTGTCCGATTACACGGAATACCAGAAGCAATAACATCTGATCGAGATCCGACCTTTACCAGTCACATGTGGAGTGTCTTCTCACACTTCCTAGGGATCGACAGACGAATGTCTACTGTCAACCACCCACAAACGGATGGACAGACGGAAAGAATGAACCGAGTGGTAGAACAACAAATTCGCGCCCTACGACTCACGCACAGTGACCTCAACTGGGAAGAACTATTACCTATTGCCGAGTTCGCAATCAATGGGTCATATCAAACAACCATTGGTACTACACCTTTTTTCGCTAACTACGGATTTCACCCTCGTGTTCACTTCAAACTTCCGTCTGATGACGACGTTTCGCTCGACGAAACCATAACCTTAAATGCTAAAGACGTTCTACGATCACATACCACTGTACTTTACCAAATTCGAGAGAATATGGCACAGGCCCAAGACAGCATGGAAAGACATGAAAATCGCCACCGACGTGAATTGATCTTACACCCTGGTGAGCTAGTGGCTATCAAACGCAAACATCTATTTCGTCTGGACTCTCAAACCAAATGGTTACACCCTTACGTTGGACCGTTTACGGTGGAACGACGTATCAACGACAACGCGTACGAAATCAGGCTCCCACCTGATATGCCAACGCACCCAGTCATTAACGTCGAAAATCTTAAACCATTCCTCGAACGAGACCACGATGTTTTGCACATACCGCCATACTCACCACTTGATTTAGATCAACGAATCAACGACATCACTGAAATTACTAAAGTCGACGATTTGGGAATCTTCATACACGTACGCTGGAAACACTGTGATCCTGTCTTGACCACCAAAGTTCATATTGCTGCCTATCGAAAGATAGCCCGTGAGAAACGCTGTCAACTCGAACAAGCGTACAATCACATGAAAGAACTAGACAAACAGTTTCATTCTGAACTCAGTTGGGATACACCTCCGGACAGAGGCCCAACACCTCCGCCAACAACAATGCCTACGCGCAGGCTTCCATCAATCCATGAACCTGCTATCGATCGAGGACGACCGAGATCTAGGAGGGGGAGAATGTTTAGGAGAGAGAATCAGGTCACGTGCAAGACATTGAATGGATCATATGACGTGCGGTCAGGAGACGCGCGCGATCACGAGATATAAAACTCGGGGTTATACCCTGGGGGGAAGTCCAAGTAAGATTAACATAAGTTAGGATAGTTAACAAGTTACGAAGTATCTTTATTGAATCCGTAATTCTTACTCCCCTCAGTATCTTATATTTTATTATTAAGATCATACCAAAACTGTCCTTACAAGCAAATGTACAAGCCTGGTTAGCTCAATCGGTAGAGCATTTGACTCTTAATCACTATAAGGTCAATCAAAAGGTTGCGGGTTCGAGCCCCGCATCGGGCTTTCTTTTTTGCTTTTGCTTTCTATTTTTCGTACTAGAACCTTGTACAGAATGCTATGTAATTTTGATGCTATATGAGGAGCCAAAGATGGCTAAAAGTCCCAAGGGCGAGCCGTTTTGCCATAGGCAAACCACGCGAGTCTTGTATTTATCGCCAAAGAGCTCGTGCGACACCTGTCTAATCTGGTCCAAGTCCAGGTTTCTCGGAAGGAAAAGGCCAAAATGGTCGGAAAACTTGCGGAGACTGTGGCAGAGCTGTCTCAAGTTGAAGGGCTCCATGCTGAATAAATCAAACCACTGCTGTTTTTTGTAGTTTGGTCCGCCCCACGGTGGAGAACAGAAGATAAAGTCAAATTTGCCGTTTGGCAAATCCACAGGAATCCAGCTGCTGTCTTCCAGCAACTTGTTCCAGTCTCCTTGAACAAACCAAGTGTTGGCATCGACGCCGTATACGGTGCTATTATGTTGTGAACACTTGATATTGTTGGCATTGACATCTACACCTCCAACGTTCTTGAAGATCTTGGCAAATTGAATAGTATTGCCTCCGCCTCCGCAACAAACATCGAGAATGTTTTCGCAATCTGGCAAGAGCTTCTTCACAAGCCTGGCCGTGAACCGGGCTGTCACTTCTGGTGTGACACTGTACCATAATTCTGACGTGAGATATACACCCTCGTCGAATTTCGAGAAAAGCAGGTACCTTTTCCGCCAGTACTTCTTGCACTTGTTGGGAAGTGACGCATATGTATGCATTAGGAGCTCATCTTCCTGGGCGACCTCGAATTCGGAATCGGACATTGGGGAAGAAGATGGGTCTGCGCGTTATATGTACACTGCGATGGATGTGTAGTAGGTGGTGATTCTATGCTACATGTGGGCTAGAATTGAAATTAGAGACAATAGGGAGAAATGTTTTTGTGCATGTTACAATGAAGCATTGGCAGACCCGTAGCTTTTTGTTTGCTATTTTTTTTCTCTGTGCAAAAGTTCCCTACTGTGGTATGTACGGATAATTACTGTAAAAAGAGGTATGTTAGGTTCGGAATATAAGCGGTAGTGTATATTCAGTGTGTGAACTTCTTGGTTCCTGGCTTCCAACTACAATGGGAAGCCAGTGTTCTTATAGACGTAGTAAATAGGGGTATGAGGCTTATCTCATACGGCGAAGCTTATCAGTAATCGAGCTAGATAAGGGCGTGGCTTATCTGGTAGGTACCATAACCGGAAGTTGGGATACCCCCAGGTTCCCCGGTATGGTTGACCTAACAAGGTAGACATAGACAAAGTGCAAAAGGATGAGGCAAAAAAATAACACACTCACAAGGAAGAAAAGTATTTCAATTCGTAATTGTTCACTACTTTATCCATTAAGAATGGTCTAGCCGTTGGCTTCCCACTAGTTGAGTCAATTAAATGGCTCTTCACTCCGAAGTCATTTCGCTAGGCAATAAATACATCAGACTAAAGTATGCGCAAATAAGTAGATCAGACTGAAAAGCATACGCAGAATAGTAGGTGATTAGAAGAGAAGCCGAATGTCAGTAATACGCAACCGGTGGCCTACAGTTGGTCCAAATAAATCAATTCTATTGTACATCAGATTTTCCACACCTTGCCCTCACCAATCATGATCTTGTTCTCATCTTGCATTCGGGCGAAAGCGCTCTCAATCTCCACGGGCCCGAAAATCTCCTCCTGCTCCAAGTCCTCGTTGATGGACTCAATCACCTGTTCCGTCGGACATGCGCCTGTCGAGTTCTCAAAAAGCAACGACGACATGAGATTGGCCATTACTCGGAGGAAAACGGCGTATCTCTCGGCACTGATACCCTCGAGGTTTTCTGCGCTGAACACATTGGTGTGAGTTGAAGCTTCCAATGGTGCTGTACGCGATAAATGCAAGTGGTCCATTTCATCGGCAATTTCATCATCTTGCTGTGCGTCTTCTGCAACAGGTTCTTCGTCTGGTGGCGGCGTGATTTCTTCTGAGTCGGACTCAGCTTCCTCATCCACACCATCGTCCAAGTCGGCATCTTCGTCTTCTTCGCCAAACATGGCAATACGCCGACGCTTGGGTTTGGTTTTCGCCGTCTCCTTGAACAAAGCGTACCGAAGCAACTCCTCAGCCACTTTTGCATCACGGACCTCGATAGTTTTGGATAACCGCAACTTGGCGTGCGCCGTCGCCAACCGGATCAACGTTTCCAACGTTCTTGCGGTGACTGGAGCCGTACGCTTGTAACTGTCGGCCGGATCACTATTACGGAACGCTGTGTATGTGGCCACAATGTACTCAGACGCCTTCTTGTTGAGCACGGGCCGGATTCTTTGCTTGGCGTACTGGACGTATTTTTTCAAAAACAGAATCGACAAGAGCGTAGGTGCAGCGCCTTTGGCCGCACGGCCTGCCACGCCCGCGTGCAAGAGAGAGTTGAACTTTTCAAAAACCGGCTGTTCAGCATCCTCCTCCACCTCGGTGCCCGCAGCCAACGAAACCGCACTGCGCTCACGCACCGGCTCACCTTCGGCCATACCAGGCAGAATGAAGCGGTGCATCCGCAAAACGTGCTCGGACACAGTTCTGTCCTTGACCTGGTTCACGTCATCGGTCACGACGAAAAGCAAGTCGAAACGCGACAAAAGCGAGTCTGGCAACGCAATGTTCTTGTGTGGGTCCTTGTGCACATCGTACTGGCCAAACACCGGGTTGGCTGCCGCAATCACCGAGCACCGGGCATTGAGCGATGTGTGAATGCCTGCTTTGGCAATGGTCACCGTTTGCTGCTCCATGACTTCGTGGATAGCCACACGGTCGACGTCCAGCATCTTATCGAACTCGTCGATACACACCACACCACGGTCGGCCAAAACCATGGCACCGGCTTCCAAACGCCGCTCTCCGGTTTCTTTATCAGACGTCACCGCTGCAGTTAAACCGACACCAGAAGAGCCTCGGCCTGTGGTGGCAATGGCCAAAGCAGCAGTATTCAACACAAAACGCAACATCTGCGACTTTGCCGTCGAGGGGTCACCCACCATCAAGATGTTGATGTCACCTCTCAAATGGGAGCCGTTGTCCAAGTTTTTCTCCACACCGCCAAACAACAAAAGTAACACGGCCTTTTTGATGTGATCGAGCCCGTAAATGGACGGCGCAAGCGACTGCGCCAAAATGTCAAATATCCGCCGCTCCTTGGCCAACTTGTTGATGTTGCGTACATCTTCGTCGGTCAACTTCTCCAGTGCTGCCACTCCACTCGACCTGGCATGCAATGGGTAAACGGAATTGGCCAACACGACTGTGCGGAAAGACGACGAGTTGTTCAGACCACCGCCCAAGGCCCGATAAACACCAACAATCTGCACACGGTCACCGGGCTTGGCCAAGTCAACCAAATCGTCGTCCAAAACCACATCCACGGACCGAGGCAACTGGCCTGCGGGTGCCGTTTCGGGCATCTCTTGCACGGCTATCTTCTGGTGGTCTCTGTAAGTGGAGAAACCGTACTCGGGCGTCAATCTGTTTCCGTCTGGATCTTCCACCGGATACACAGCCGGGGTAGTGATGGCATCGAACGACGTGGTGTTGTCGCGATACAGCTTGGCATAAAACCTGGCGGTCTTTTCCGCATAATGGACCGATCTCACCACTTTGGGCCGCACCAACAGCGCTCGGGTGACAATGCCTTCAAGAGCCACCATCTTTGACAAGTGGCCTGCGGAAATCGTACGCGGAGTCACCTGGTGGTGGCCAAACGCACCGCGGAACGAGATGTAGAACTGTTGGTTGTCGTCCAATGGCTGGAACCGGCTGTCGTTCGGGTCGTAGATGGTCAAAACCGTGTCTCTTAGTGCTCTCTCGCATGCGGGCAAAAAATCCACAGGCATGTCCAAAAGACCGCGCCAAAACTCGGCGTCAAAGTCTCGGATCTCGTCGAGCGACACACAGAGCCGAAACCGGCCCTTCGTGAGCATGTCTTTGATTTCGGCTCTGTAGTTGGAACCGGCAGGGTTGAGCTGGTCCAAGAATTCCTGGAAGCGGCGCACACGGTCGCCAAACACGGCGTCCACGGGCTGGTCGTAATCGTCCATGTAGGATAAGACGAAGAATTAAAATGCGGAGGGAAAGGTGCTAAAACAGCGAAAAAATAGTTGTCAATGAGCGGAAAACGGGGTGGAAGGATGAAAATGAAAAGTGATGGAAGGCTGATCTTTTCTGACGCGCAATCACTTTTCCTCTTGCGGAAAAAAACGCGGCTGACATGTGCAGGCTGTCGTTTGGACGTACAGGCTTGATGAAAATAGTAATAATCTTAACAAATTTGGCCAGTAAAATTATGGCAGTCATAGATGCTGGATCTAGAATACACATACGTTATTATCTGTCATGTTATCTGTCATCGAAAATTTATTGTGCTATCGGATCGGTTTCTTCGGAATGAAGTATCTAAAATAATTTGCTACACTGAAATTCGTTCTGACTTTAAGTTCCGTTAACCGAATACTTTTAATGCCTGCGATCGACGAATTTTGGTCCTTGCCCCATACTCGTATTTCATTATTTTAATTGTACTCTTGCCTTCATCTTTCTATCTTGGATGCCTTCATCTTTCTATCTTGAATGCCTTTTATTATCTGTCGACCCAGACCTTGTATTTATCTAAAGAACCCAGCCACTCATGTACACCTTTTCGCTCTTGTCATCAAAAAGAGAGTCCCACTCTTCGTATTCCAAAGACGCCAAGCCCTTGTAGCGTCTTTTGATTTCACTTTCAAGCAAAGTCAAGTAGCTCCAGTCCAAGAAGTCTTCCAAGTTGTAGCTTGGTTTGCGGAATGGCTCGCCAAAGATTTTCGCCAAAGTGGCCACATTGGGATGGTAATGGCTCATCAATGTTTGCAACTCCCACAAAGAGGATCCCATGGCACCAGTGTTGTAGGGATCCTTTTCGTTGGCATCAAAAGGATCGACATAGTCTGTGACATCGCTGTTTTGCACCATAATCATACAAGTTGGGTGTCTTTTGAGCAAGTTGTAGATGAATGGAATAACAATCACCACACCTGGAGCAGAAGCAGTAAGCGCAAGACGAGCCAACTTTTTGATGAAAGACGCCACCAAGTTTGCCGATAAGTGGGTAGAACTGAGAAACAAGTCGCATAATCTGAAGAATCTCGAGCGGTATCGCGTGTACAAGATGGATGGTGTGAGAAGCGAATAAAGCTTGGTGTAGAAGTCGGGATACTCCAAGTTATACGACTTCACAAGCTCCCACAAAGAGTTGAGAGCAAGAATGGGCACAATCTCGTCTTCTTCCTGGTCGTATGCATCTGTGAGAAAATCCATAAGACAAGCTGGAGAGCCCAAGTATGGAATAATGCGCTTGTGCAAAATGAGCAAAAGTGCCTTATACTGTGAAGTGGAGAGGTCTGCAACTTTCATCATCGCCAAAAAGAACTTTTGGTAACGAGTTTTGAAACTGACTTTATATGCTGTGGCTGGAAGTGTTCCACTGATCCAAAGTGGCTTTTCCCGAAGAGTCTCTTGATCGGAAGTGTACAAAAGACCATCCTTGATGATGGTGAGGTAGTTGGCAAATAAGTTTCTTGTGTCGACTGATTTTTCCTCCTGCAACGCAGCAAGCTCATCTGCAATCGAGTACAGGAAGAAATAATTTTGCAAGTCCCAGTACTTGGCAAATTTTTCCACAAACTCCAAAAGCACAAAGTTGTCAGTTGCCTCGTTGGCAAGAACGGTGCCGTTTTGACTAAAGAGCAACAGTCGGGCCAACTGCTCGTATGTTTCAGCAGCAAACTCGGCGTCTTCGGATTCGACACGAACCAAACCTAACATCAAGTCCAAGGCGTCCAATTGGACAGACAGCTCAAAGGACAAACGGTTCTCCACGAGCCAGCACAAAAGCTGCTTGAACTTGGAGTATTTGTCCTGCAACCACTTGGCAATCACCTGTTTTTTCTCGTCCTTTTGCTCGCTCATGGTGTTCTCTTTCCAGATCTTCAGGAATATGTTGAACAACTGGAGAAGCACAGCACGAGCGGCAGACTCTACAGTCTCATCTTCTTTTTCCACAAGAACAGCTTTGGCCTGGTTGAATTGCGCCAAAAGCGTGGCGATGTTATTGTATTTTGCCTTTTGCATCGTTTCTTGGCCCAAATCTTCGATTTCACGAGGTGTCAAAAGGCTCGGGCTGGAAACTTTGGCCTTCTTGCTTTGCGCTGGCGTCTGCTTCGATGATTTCCGCTTGGCCATAATTTCCGTTTTGTGTCTTTTATTATCAAGACCTTTCTATATCTTTAGAGGTGGTGATGAGCTGAACTGCACAGACACTAGGTTTTCACTACTGTAGCCGCAAGATTGGTTACCCGGCTTTCCACTATATAAGGCGCGCCAAAGTCGCCAAAGGGTTTTTGCTCTTCATATGACCTTCCAAGTTTTATAACAAATGATGAAGTCTCGCGTGCATCTATACTATTCCCTCTGGAGTTGCAGTCGGAGCTTTCGGGCTCTGACTCCTCCGGAAATGCTTTTCCGTACGGGAAAGTTGGGTTTGTGTGGTGAAAGTGTTTGGCGCAACCTTTCTTGTTACATTTGACAAACACTGAAAGAATTTCTGATCCAAACTGGAGGTCGCGTAGAAATTGTCTGTAGATTCACGATTGGTAAATTATATCTCAGACAAACTCGGACGGTTGGCTTGGTCGACTGTCTGAATGTTTGCTGAGAATTAGTTTACTGTTGATAGTCTCTTGATTTTCCTTCAAAATGGAAATGATTTAATGAGGTCATGAGGTCTTGAGAAATGAAATGAGCTGAAGAACGGAACCAAAACCCCCCGTAAGCTGTTCCAAATCCAAAATGTCCATTTGACATCCCCATCCTGTCTCTGGCATACCAGACGAGGAATCCGATATAACAGTAAGGCAAAACACACATTCAGGTAGACAATTACAGGCAGAGGGCCAGCTTCGCCGGCTGTCTTGACCGTCTACATCTCGTCGCTACTATTTTGTATTGAGGATTAGTGTATACAGCTTAAATGAAGGTCTCGTAAGCAACAGGAGCCAAAGTTTGTGGAACATTGCCCTCGGTGGAGATAAGCTTAGCTGGTCTTGGCTGAGCTGGTTGTCTCTTCAAAGAGATTTGCTCACCCTTGGCCTTGGCCTCCTTCTTCAAAGCAGCGTTGGTCTTGACTCTGTTCAAGAACTCTTGACGACAAGCAGAGTGCTTGACGTGCTCGACTCTCAAGTTGACCTTCTTCTCAATGTATCTGTTACCAACAACCTTGTTGATGATGACACCGACAGCAGACTTGGTGACGTTGAAAACGATACCGGTCTTACCTTGGTAGTACTTGTGAGGCATACCCTTTTGGATAGAACCGTTGGCCTTGATGTCGACAATGTCTCCAACCTTGTAGACCTTCAAGTAGGTGGACAATGGAATTGCCCCGTGCTTCTTGAAGTCACGTTGGAACATGTAACGAGTACCAGATCTGTAACCACGACTATATTAGTTAGTATATGATGGCGGAAGAATGTGAAGACGACGGGACAAAATTCATGGAGCGTTGATTCTGGTCATGGATATGGATTTCCCGCTGAAAATAGGAACAGTTTGTGTTCTGGCTCTGGCATATTTCTGCATTATGGAAAGACAACGGAAACAGATGGAAAACACTGGGAAAAGCAACGGGAAAAAAGCAACGGGAACAAAATCAGAGCTTCATTTCATCACATTCGTAACATATGAGGTGGCATTAGCCTCTCGGAGACACATACGATTTACCCATTTTTCTATACTGCTGTGATAACTAGTTGGAAGAGTTCGCAATTTTTTCTGGTGAGGAATAGACAAAATTTTCAACACTGCAGACAGACCGCACTGCAGATACTGTACAAAGTTCTCTTCCAAGAGCACGTGCACAACTTTGCGGTAGGGCAGAAGCCCTAGAGATACTTAAGCACCACGCATCTACGGACATACAAGAATGGACTGGTATGAAGCGAAGGTGACTTTGGTTAGAGTAGGTAAGAGTATGTAAGATTAGGTTAGATGCCTTTGGTCAGATGACTTTGGTAAGAAAGGCATGGATATTGTTTTATATGATCAACAGTGTTGGTGCGACAACTAATTTGACAGTCGACAATGTCTAAATTGGTTTTACTGCTGAAGAACAACGAAGAAATGTACGGAGACATGGTTCCAAAAATTGATGAGCCTAGTAAACATTCTGTTTGGAGAGTTTAGAGAATTGCATTTATAATGCCATTATGAGCACCAGAATCACTTATATTCGTATTTCCTTCCATGGCCTAATTTGGTAAACGAAGAAGTACAGGCATCAGTTGTAATGGTTTATTTTGGGGGTCCTCACGAAATGTACTATATATTAGCTTTCCTTATTCTACCTGTTTGACTCCAGCAAGGAAAATATGGACAAGGAGAATTGAGTTTCCTTTGAGTTTGTCTACAATTGAATAGTGGCTCAATTCTACAATGTAATGCATTATGTACAAAATCAGAAGGAGGTAGAGTACGACAGAATCCGGCAAAAGCTTAGTAAGTGTACGAGCTTGCCATGGTATAGCCTGTTTGCCATTTCCAGAGTAAAATGTATTTTCTCATCAGAATGTCTATCGCACAATAAATCGTAAACCCGTTACCTGCCCAGTAATTGTATGTGCTAAAAAATCAACCAAGACAAACAAAGATATAAAACTGCTACTTAACGTTCAGGTCCTTTCAAATTATCTTGTTCATGTGTTCTTACTGATATCACAATTGCGCATTTCATCTCTTCTGTACACTGGAGAAACCTTGCAGACACAATAATTAACTATTGACAAAACTTACAGCTACCTAACTCTTGTGTGATTACTGATCTTGAAATCACCACTAGGTGATCTTTGGTCTTCTGTATTATGCCTATTCAGCCAATACTCTAGTGTGCATATATTCCCTCCATCGCATCAGAGCCCTACTATACTATTTGGCTATATGGACAAAAGCAAAATTCTTGTGCTCTATCCTGATCCGGCGGGTATAGACAAGGTTATTGCCACTGCAAACACCCAAAACTCCAAAAACGGCCCGTTTGATGCCGCTGTTTTCCTCGGCTTGTCCATTCCAGAAACCGCTCCGGAAACGGTACCAGAGATCCCCATCTACTTTTTTGGGGCAGAAGGCGACCTGCTAGAGGATATTGGGCCCAACTTCACATGTGTAAGGAAGCAGTGGGCGATTGTTCGACTCCAGTCGGGCGTGACAATGGGATTCTGGAATCAAAAAGCGAAAAAGGAAGCAAGCCAAGAAGCACATGAAACACTAGAGGACGAAGAAACACTCCAGAAAGAAGAAGCTCAATTCAGAGACGTGGACATTCTCTTCACTCATCATTGGGCACGAGCAGTAGGCGCGACGCAGCAGCTTATGCTTGTTGGAAACAAGAAAGTGGACTCTGTTGTTCAGGCCACCAGACCCCGCTACCACTTTGCAGTAGGATCAGAAACGGGCAGGTTTTACGAGCATGGTCTCTTTGCATGGTCGAAATCTCGCACGTGTCGCTTTGTGTCGTTGGGGAGACAAAACTCGGCGCAGAGATGGTTCTACGCTTTTTCTATTGACAAGATTGCGGGAGTCGAGTCTGCCGTAGCAGAGAATCCTTTCCGCCAAGTGAAAAAGGCAGAGGAAGAAGAGATGGGAAAAAGGCCAAGAGCCGAGCCAGAACAGAGAATGACGGAGAACGGCAGTATGGCCAAACGGCCACGGATCGCGCCGCTGAGTTGTTTCTTCTGTCTTTCGAACCCAAAGTTCGAAGCGCACATGGTGGTGTCTGTCGGGGAACACAGCTATCTAACGATTGCCAAAGGGCCTCTTCCACGACCACACAAAACATTGAACATGACTGGTCATGCCATCATAATTCCTATAGCACATGAAGCGACTATTGACCCGTCCAGCAAAGCATTCCAGGAAATGGAAGATTTTCAGCGGCGCTTGGCAACTGCATTTTCGGCCCATGCCATGGCAACAGTTTTCTTTGACATTGCTCGTCCCGAGAATGTCCATTACCACATGCAAATGGTGCCAATACCGCTCTCAGCAGATTTCGCCGCCTCTTTGGCTGAGAAGACTAGAGACAACGACAAATTTGAGAGAAACCAGCGGTTGGTATTCAAAGAGTATGCTGGCGCAGACCTCACCTCGATTCTTCAAACAGGACGGTATGTTCGTTTTATTGTCTATAAAGGTGAAGAACCTGTGCATTACGTGGCACCTTTGGAAGGTGAAAAAAGCCTTGATCTCCAGTTTCCAAGAAGAGTGTTAGCTCATGTGTTGCACGTACCCAAACGGATCTACTGGGATAAATGCCGTCAGACGAAGGCGCAAGAAACACAAGAATGTGAAACGTACAAGAGCTTTTTCGAGCAATACTAGGCAGTGGCAGAAGAGGTGGACAGCATTTTTTGACTCACAGATCTTAGGTTAGTACAAAAGTGGCGGACTGAGGGAATTCAAGAACATTTTAATAGACATACACAAATCACAGGAGCTTAGTAGAATGGGAAAACTAAAATAAGTGTGGTGCTGTCTTCTGCCCTCATGTAACGACTACTTGACATTTACCTTGCCTTTATAATGAACTTACCAATGAGATCTATCAAGTCACATTATCCAGTTTCTGTACATCTTCATTTAACTCTATATAATGGCACTCACAATTGACAAACTCGCTCTATATTTTTTTTGCTAGACTATATGCTCATCCTCTCATCCTTGAAAGGCGTGAAGGCATCTTTTTTTTCCCTGTTAATATGTACAGCCTCAATTCTCGGGTTCACCCATGTCGTCTACCCTTGTCATCACCTAAGCCTTTCCTTCCGTAGTACAACGCAGACAGCCACATTCGAAAAACCACTCTCGAAGTGCATCTTGTCTCTGTTTCAAACCGTCACTTTCTCGGATCCCATAACTAATGCACAATTCTGCTCCCACCGGTATATCTTCTTTGGCGATATACTCGTAGGATGCACCCCGGCGTATTTTGGTGACATTTGGTTTGCATGAGTGGTTGAAAAACGATGCCGAAGGGTACACACCAAAACCAAAGTACTCTCTTTCCTCGTCCGAACTAGTCACTGGAGACCATATGCCAAAAGCATTTGTAAGATTTCGGCCAATAATGTCTCTCACCGCCTGAATAGAAATGAAGGGTAAGTATTCCTCGGGTGCAATTAGACGGATGAACTTGTATATGTTGGAATAGGACACTGCCAAGTAGGGGTACCGGTGAACCTTCTGCGACTCGCTCGAATGAAGAATATCGAAAAGCTTTGCTTCGATCGCCAATGCTTCTCCGTCGTCCATGCCAGAAAGTGAGAGTTGGGAAGCTCCGTCTGGAGTGACATTTGCAGGTTTCTGGTCTTCCAGATCATCTTCCCTTTGATGGAGTTTTTCAGCTTTGTTCGTTTGGTACATGCTATGAAGAACACCTAGCACGTATCGAAGCTCGCAGTAGTCATCGTCGTTGACGACGGGACGTATTTGCGCCTTCTTGGAAGGCTTCAAGCGTGCTAGCAGGCTTTCCCATTTCTCTGTGGCTGCCCATATTCTGCTGATTTCCGCGTCCAAGTCTTCATCGCCCGGAATGTCCTTGTCGCTGACTTCACCGCGGCTTTGGGCAAACAAAAGCTCGACACGGACCAAAGTCTGCGCAAGAAGGTCCTCTGGATCGCTCTTCACGAAACTGGCCACACATTCTTGCGAGCAGAAATAGATCTTGTCATGCAATCTGTGCTTGAGTGTTTTCCCGTCTTGGTACCCAAAACACCAGGTACACACTTCTTTGCGGAAAACCCGTGCAACTGAACTGCCAATCGGATGTCTGGACAAATGGATCACTGTTCCTTTCGGAATCTGTGCCCGGGCAAAACATCCACGGCCGCCATATATAGTGTTTTTGACGTCAAAATACGGACTGATGTGGGCCAAAAGAGCTTCTTCTTCTGTTATGCCCACCGAAGCAGAAAAACGCAGTGCAAGCTCATCTGCAGACGATATTCGATGTGGACTCATGTTGTTGGATGAAAAGGGAAAGTTCGGATAAATTGTGATGGAGTTAAGTCATCGCAACGTGCGTCCGCGACTGCACACAAGGCGGGTTTTACGACGCACCACCGGCACCATTTATTAATCCAAGATAGGCACTTTACTTGATAGATCAATCTGTTACTTTAAGTTCGTTTATGGTAATTGTACATATAAGAGAGTCGGCAAAACATGCCGGAAGTCAAGCCTGAACGATCGACGTCCAAATAGAGAGGCACACAAGCATGCTAATAAGCTCATTTAAACAGCATGCTAATACGCTCATTTAAACGAGACGCCCAGCGAAGTTGCATTGTTTGAAGCGTCTAGTTAAAGCAAACGTCCGCAATCTTGTACCAGATCTTCCAGAAGATCCCCTCCTTCCTTGGCTTGGCCGCTAGCTCCTCCATTTCAAGCTCCTCTTGCTCATCAATCTCCTTTTTGCCTGTGGTGATATCAGCCTCCATAGCGCTACGCCAATGGGTCTTCTTGTAAAGTTTCCAGGCCACGAAGAGGATTAGGAAAAACACGGGCGCAAAGTATGACGTGAACAAGTTGGCCACAGTGAACTGGCCTGGGAAGAAGATCCAAAAACCGTTGAAGAAAAGCACCAAAACATTGAAAAAGGCAGCCCAGTAGCAGAGCCATGGCGAAACGAGCAGTGGCACTTTGAAGTACTTGGGGTCAACTTGGTCTGAGTTCTGCACCTTCACCACCTTCTTGAATTTGAAGTAAGTCATCCACATCACCGTGTATGTAGTAAGCAAACCGGTGGTGGACAAGTTGATGAACCAGTTGAACACTTTGGCAGAAGACTCTGAGACGCTCATGTACGACAAACATCCAATGGCCAAAGAGAACAGAACAGCACAATAGGACATCCGTTACGCAAGCAGTATGAAAAGACCCGTGGCAAGTAGCCAGACAACGCAGCAGAGTACGCAGATCTGGCTGCACCGTATGTGAAACCATTTCCGCAAGACCACGCAGAAGTCATAACAATGGCATTGACCAAAGAGTCCAAGCCGTGGATTCCCACAGACTTGATTCCAATGACCCATGGAGACGCAGTGGCACCAGCAGCTCCGTCTTCAGAGGCCTTAATCAACTCCGGGTTGTTCGAGGCACACAAACAGTTCATGAAAAAAATACCACCAATGTAGAACAAGTAGATACGTGCGTACGACCTTCTAGCTGCAAGAGCAATGTTCTTCCGTGGAAGCGACACCTCGCCCGCAACCATACCCAACATGTCCGCTCCACCACAGGCAAATGCGGCGTAAATGAGAACATTCCAGAAACCCAAAAAGCGACCAGTATTGCCAGAAACAAGGTACTCACGCATGAGACCACCTTCTTTCCAGTTACGGAAGCCAAAGGCGTCTCCCTTAGGATTTCCACCGCACATAGTGATCAAACCAGTAAGCATCAAACCCACAATCAAGAGAACCTTAAGAATGGACGAGAAAAACTCCACCTCGCCATACCAGTTGACGCCGAAAACGTTGAAGAACAAGATGGTCACCAAGCCGATGGTGATGAAAATGGCTGGCAGTGCGTCCGTCCAGTAAGCAATGACAGAGGCAAATGCAACAACCTCCACACAAATGAACATGAGCGACGTGTAAAGATAAATAAGTGTCACGGCAAAACCCATAGCAGGATCGAGCCATCTGGCAGCAAAGTGTAAAAACGATCCTTTGATGGGTAAGTACGAGCACATTTCTCCTGTTGCTTGCATCAATGGCCAGACCATGGTACAGGCCCAGCAGATGAAGCCCAAAAAGAGCGAAAGCGAGCCAGAAGTCATGAGAGGAGATTTCAATCCAATGTATAAACCAGTTCCAATGGACTGTCCGATAATCATCAACGAAACATGCCGGGATGACAATCCACGCTGGGTCTGGCCATACTTCTCTGCATCAAGAACCTCTTGGTAATCTTGAGCTTCAGCACGGTATCCTCTAGATGAGGAAACATCGTCCTCCTCATGAACTTGATAGAGTGTCTTCTCTGGATCTTTCTCTGTCATATGGAAGTCTTTAAAGTAAGGTGGGTTTGGGCAATAGGAACGCAAAATAAACGTTTAGGAAAGACAGTATTTAAGTATGCAGAGGTTTTAGTACGGCCATGCTTATCTTTTTTTTGATAAGGTACCAATATGTTAGCCGCTAAGATTTCTTTATCTTCTCTTCCATTTCTTTTTTTTTTTTTTTTTTTCCTATCGTTGCTGGATTGGGACAAGTATTTCCGCGCGTTGAGAGCACTGTTCCAAAATTGCTCTGTTATAGAACATCAGCTCTTCGGATCCTTTCGTTCACCGGACGAATTTTCATATCCAGAAGGTAAAAGGAGAAGCATCGGATTGGCCTGATTCCCTTCTTTGTTTGTCTCTACTACCAGTGTAATTTTGCCTGTGCGGCTTGTCAATTTCGCGCTAAGAAATTGACTGATGTAGAAAAATCTTGGCAGTTGACACTTGTTTGACAACTAGAGAAGAATAGCGCATTTCTGGGCCTTTACAATCTCTAAAGAAGTAATAGAGAAAGATGCGCTTTTATCCTAGGTTTCAGTTAATCCCCTGCCCGAAGAGACATTCTTTTCAATTCCGAACATGCGTTTCCAATTCCGTCTTTGAGTTCCGCAGCTCAATTTCGACAAATGCATACAGGAACACCTGTGTTCAGAGTCATTTTAACTTCCACTCTGCCCATTGTTTCATTGTCTATGTGCCGGCACCACGATAACTCAGCCATTGGAAGCTTATTGGCCACTGTAGATGCCTTCATCATTGATAGCATGCTGTCCATTCGCTAGGATAGTTACCTTCTGTTTCTGCGATGTGATGTAGCTTGGCGACTTTCGGTGTACTTTGCTCCAACAGAGGCCAACAATAAAAGTCCACCACCATACCGCAGTGCCAAAGTAGTAGCCTATAGAGTCTGAGTGTAATGGTTCACCCATTTCAAGTGAAGGTGGGTCATTCGTCGATTTGCTGGCACAAGTGACCCGTTACTAGAGGACCCTTTTCACTTCTGTATTGGGAAATCAAAGTCGGACATGAGATGACGCATGCAGTTTGTCATCTTTCAGTAACCCCGCTTTGATGCTATGAGACACTTCATAGAGCACTTGGAGAGAAGCAAATACTGGCTACGTGTCTCTGAATGATAGCCAAATTGCTTGAAGATGTACAACGACTTGTGATAAAAGACATGTGCTGCACTTCTCATACTTCACCATCACTCGATCACAATAAGATCACGGTTTTTCATCTACACGAGAATGGCACGGCGAATAATAACCGAGAAGTCCCAGATGGAGTGGCATATACCTGTAAAACAATAGGGTCGCATTGGCCATTTCGGCCATTTCCCCACACCAAAAATGATACGAGCAACTTTTACTGCACATGCAGTTCGTTAAAGTTCCATCCGAAGTTGTGGGGACGCTCAGACCTATGAGTGGAGATCGGCGCTCGCCAAGGTAAGCGCCAGACATTTCTTTTCAAAACGCCGTTGAGATAGACCCGCAACACCCCTCCTAACAGGATCATGATTCAAGTAATACCTGTACACAGGGTCCGATGAGACGCTTCTCATGCAATATTCTTCCCTGAGCATGTACTAAAATAGTGACTTGCCTTGACCTTGACGTCAGAAGCAGTGACAGGTTATGGAAGGAACGTCACAAAAAACGTAGCGGGTTTCATTGTGTATCACCCACTTTCATCTGCTGTTGGTTATGTTCATTTGCCACCGGCAGCCATAGTGGAGACTTAAGCGAGAGAAGTAATTTTCGAGTGCGGCGTAGTGTTATCAGTAGTTGTGAACGGCGATTGTTCTGTTCGCACCAAAGTGCCGTGTATACTTTTCAGTCGTAGCATGTCTAAATTCTTGGCACACAGGAATGACCCAACGGTTGCAATGACTACCTTAAAAAGGATTTATACGTGGACTTGGAATAATTTTTCTCTTTTATCCTAGACTTCTTGATAATTCTCCTCACATGAAAGATTTCGAGAAGCAGTCACAATCGGACTTCGATGATGCTCTCTCTCGGCACACCGCCGAGTACAACTTGAGTGTCTCCATGTCCAATCCTCAATTGAAATTGCAAACAGAGCAGAATCATGAGTTGAAGAAGGCTTTGGAGGCAAGACACTTGTCCATGATTGCTATTGGTGGTGCTTTAGGTACCGGTTTGTTGATTGGCACTGGTTCTGCTTTGAAGTCGGCTGGTCCAGGTGCGGTTTTCATCTCTTATTCTCTTATTGGTTTTGTTGTGTTTATGGTTTTGAGTGCTTTAGGTGAAGTTGCCACTTTCATTCCTTTGGCCGACGGTTTTGCAGGTTACTGCCGCAGGTATGTGGACGAGTCGCTTGGCTTTGCTTGTGGATGGGTCTACCTCGTCAAATATTTGATTCTTCCTGCCAATCAGTTGGTGGCAGGCTCGCTTGTTATGTCATTTTGGGTTTCCACTGATAAAGTTAATTCCGGTGTCTGGATTGCAATTTTCTTAGTTATTATTGTTGTCGTCAATGTTCTCGGTGTGCGCTTCTTTGGTGAAATCGAGTTCTGGTTATCCTGCGTCAAAGTCATTACCTGTTTGGGACTCATCATCTTGCTTCTTGTCATTGCTTTGGGAGGTGGTCCAACCCACGACAGATTGGGTTTCCGCTACTGGCAAGATCCAGGGGCTTTCAAGGAATACGCCGACAAATCAAGAGGGTTGCATATTGGTGGATCTACGGGCCGTTTCGTGTCGTTCTTGTCTGTGCTTGTGAGTGCTGTCTTTGCGTACACTGGTTCTGAATTGGTTGGTATCACCTTTGCTGAATGTGCTAGACCCCGTCAAGCAATTCCTAAGGCCATCAAATTGACCTTTTACCGTATCTTGCTCTTTTACATTTGTTCGGTGTTGTTGTTGGGAATGTGTGTCGCCTCTAATGACAAGTTGCTTCTCGGTGCTTCTGGATCAAGTGCTTCTGCTTCGCCATTCGTCATTGCCATCAAGAATGCTAAAATCGATGGCTTGGACCACGTCATCAACGCGTGTATTTTGCTTTTCGTCATGTCCGCAGCAAACTCGGACATGTACATTTGTTCCAGAACCATTTACGGTCTTGCAGTTGCAGGGTATGCTCCACGTTTCTTCTCCAAAACTAACAGAATGGGCGTTCCTTATTACGGTATTGCTCTTAGTTTTGCCTTCTGTTGTTTGGCTTTCATGACAACCTCTTCATCTTCGGCTGATATCTTTAATTATTTTGTTAATGTGGTGTCCTTGACCGGTTTGATCACATGGGCATGTATCTTGTTCCTCCACATTCGTTTCATGCAAGCCTTGACAGCTCAAGGTTTCGACAGAAAGAGAGATTTGAACTACCGCTCTCCCCTTCAACCATACGGGTTCATACATCTCGCTTGTGATTTGTATTTTCGTCATCCTCATCAAGAACTTCACAGTGTTCTTAGGAAACGATTTCCCTTACAAGACTTTCATCACGGGTTATATCATCCTCCCTATTTTCATCATCATGCTTTTCGGTTACAAGTTCATCAAAAAGACCCAATTTGTGCCATCGAATGAGGTTGACTTGGACACTTATAGGGACGTTATTGAAGCTGAAGAGGCTGAGTTCCAAGAGAAGGATGATGAAATGAAAGCCATTAGAGAAGCTCAAGGTAATCCAAAGGATTGGAAATGGTTCTATGAAAAGGTGTTTGGCTGGGTGTTTTAATCAGAGATCTTGGTTTCTAGTCGGTAAATTAATGGTTCACGAATTTGTACATTGTAAGTCGCATTCATGCGTGCCAGATAAAATTTTCTCTTCTCCTCAATGCAGAGGCGTCAATTTATCGACTATCTTATCATGAACGAATAGAGCTCACATGCCACACTACGCTTCCCACTAATTCGAAAGCTGCACCCACTTTTCCTGTATAGCTGAACCTTACATTGGTGGTATGCACAGTACACTTTGACACTGCAGTCAAACCCCTCATTCCATGCACGCATTAGGGTTCCACCACATAAAGAAATAACTTGGATCGCCCCGTATTTGAGCAAAGAGCGAATGGAGAATCAACAAAAGACGAATGGAAATCAGTATGCAATAGCCCTTCTCGTAAAAATTGTGACTGGTTCTAGAAACATGTACGATGTCTTGAAATTCTTGTAAGCTCCAAGGCGCAAACATGCATAGACAGAATTTAGGCATTTTTTTTTTTTTCAGTGTCTGTTAGGTCACACGCCAAGTTCGTGACAATTTTTGCTGCATGTCCAAGGTTAAAGAGCATCTCTCAGCCTACACGAATGATGTAAGGTGCACTTTTCTTATTCTTCTTGGCTCTTCCTTTTTTCAAGTAGCCTAGCGTCATGGCGCACGGCATTCTGACTTCTCAAAGATTTTTTGATAAGCGAGCAACAAGAGGAAACCCTTATCAGTGCGGATATTGTGCATACTAGATGAATGCTTTCCTTGGCAAAACATCTTGATTGAGGCATTCAAATAGCCCATCTGCCCTTATGTATCGATAAATTTAGTGTTTCTAGCTCCCTTCAAGTCGTATCTATTTGACCGACCATGAAAGACTACGAGAAACAATTCGACAACGGCGATGATGTCCTCTCTCGCCATACCGCTGAATACAACTTGACTGTGTCGATGTCCAATCCACAGTTGAGATTGCAAACTGAAAAAAGTCATGAGTTAAAAAAGGCTTTAGAGGCTAGACACTTGTCTATGATTGCTATTGGTGGTGCTTTGGGTACCGGTTTATTGATTGGAACTGGTTCTGCGTTGAAATCTGCTGGTCCAGGTGCGGTTTTCATCACTTATTCTCTTGTTGGTTTTGTCGTGTTTATGGTTTTGAGTGCTTTAGGTGAAGTTGCCACTTTCATTCCTTTAGCAGACGGTTTTGCGGGTTATTGTACTAGATATGTGGACGAGGCGCTCGGGTTTGCTTGTGGCTGGGTGTACTTGTTCAAGTACTTGTTAATTCCTGCAAACCAGTTGGTTGCTGGAGCACTTGTTATGTCTTTTTGGGTTTCCACAGATAGTGTGAATGCTGGAAGTTTGGATTGCAATTTTCTTGGTTGTCATTGTTGTTATCAACATTCTTGGAGTTCGCTTTTTTGGAGAAATCGAGTTTTGGTTATCTTGTCTCAAGGTGCTCACATGCTTGGGACTCATCATCTTGCTTCTCGTCATTGCTTTAGGCGGTGGTCCAACCCACGACAGATTGGGTTTCCGTTTCTGGCAAGACCCCGGTGCTTTCAAAGAGTACGCTGAAAAGGCTAGAGGCTTACATGTCGGTGGTGCCACTGGACGGTTTGTCTCTTTTTTGTCAGTGCTTGTGACCGCTGTTTTCGCTTATATGGGCTCTGAATTGGTTGGTATTACCTTTGCTGAATGTGCTAGACCTCGTCAAGCCATTCCTAAAGCCATCAAGTTGACATTCTACCGTATCTTACTCTTTTACATTTGTTCGGTGTTGTTGTTGGGAATGTGTGTCGCCTCTAATGACAAGTTGCTTCTCGGTGCTTCTGGATCAAGTGCTTCTGCTTCGCCATTCGTCATTGCCATCAAGAATGCTAAAATCGATGGCTTGGACCACGTCATCAACGCATGCATTTTGCTTTTCGTCTTATCGGCAGCAAACTCAGACTTGTACATTTGTTCCAGAACCATTTACGGTCTTGCAGTTGCCGGCTATGCTCCAAAGATATTTGCCAAGACAAACAGTAAGGGTGTCCCATATTATGGTATTGCGCTTGGAGCTGCGTTCTGCTTATTGGGTTTTATGACCACGTCTTCTTCAGCAGCAGATATCTTCAATTACTTTGTGAATGTCGTTTCTTTGACTGGTTTGATCACTTGGAGTTGTATTTTGTTCCTCCACATCCGCTTTATGAAAGCTTTGAAGGTGCAAGGTTTCGACAGAAAGCGGGACTTGAACTACCGTTCGCCATTACAGCCATACGGCTCGTATATCTCTCTTGCGATTTGCATATTCATTATTCTCATCAAGAACTTCACAGTGTTCTTGGGCCATGACTTCCCTTATAAGACTTTCATCACTGGTTACATCATTCTCCCAGTGTTCTTGATTATGTTATTCAGTTACAAGTTCATTAAGAAAACAAAGTTGATACCTGCTCACCAGGTGGATTTGGATACTTACAGGGACGTTGTGGATGCCGAAGAAGAAGAGTTTGCTTTGAAGGACCAAGAAGAAAAGGCTTTGAGAGAAGCTCAAGGCAATCCTAAAGACTTGAAGTGGTTCTATGAAAAGGTCTTTGGCTGGATTTTCTGATTCGGAAATAGATAATTGATCTCAATCGAGTAGCGTAATCGTAGATTAAGAGGTTGTGCCATATCTTTAAAGGTGGCACCTCTAGAAAATAAAAATAACACAGCTAATAAAATATGTGGATGTTAGGAAATGAGACGGAATCTCATTCTTATTTATGCTTCAGTAACCTTGATGCTGCAAAAACGAGATCGCATTTGTTCGAGGTATAAATTGCTACAATAGGCTCAATTTTCTCTTCGCACATTTTTTCTCGAAATATTCTTGAACTTTTCTTCAATAACGCATTCTCTTACCATAGGCTGGTGAATCACCTCGGTACTACTAACTTTGTCCCTTATTGTTAGGAGATCACAACGGAGGGACAAATTCAACGCAACACTGCCTGGATCGCCCCAATAATCACGTGACACATCCTTTTATTCGTATCATGCAGCACCAAAAAACACCGTTAGGTACTGTTCTAGCAGCCCATCTCTATACCCCAGGACACCCCGATCGCGCTTATTTACAGCTCAGTCGCTTTGCTCGATCTGCAATGAATTCGAGGGGCTTAGCAAACAACGCACTCACCAGCGCGTCCCTAGGTCGAATGGAGGCGCTACGCGCTCTGTCTGGAGTGCCTTCTGGTGTTGCTGGCGTATCTCCAGTGGACGACAACTCCATGGGGCCAGGCAACGACACATCCAACCACGCAACACATGCAAACCACAACTCACAACATGGGCACATTCTGCATCATCTCCCGCATCAACACCAACAGCACAGCCAGGCGCACCTGGGCGGGTTTCCTCAAGGTTCGCAGCCCACGATGGTTTCATACCAAGAAACATACGAGAAGATGGCCGATTCTGTGTCAAAAGTGGAGGCAGAGGTTGCTACAATGAGCCAAGATATGGCTTACTTTCGCCATGTTCTCGATTTCCAGAACCTGAAGATTGAAAAATTGACACAACTTTTACTAGATTTACTCCACAACAAGGATGTTACTTCGATCGTGACGCTGTTGCAGGCAATACATTCAAGCGATCCTTTCAATGTGGAAGAAACTCACGACTCTGTTGACGACTCAGTGCACGATTCGGTGCACGATGTTAATGCATCCCTTCCCTCGCTACAAGCGCTGGATGTGGTTAGCGGTGTGGGTGTCGTAAATGTTCCAGGAGTACTGCTCGATGGGAACATGGATCCCCAACTTCATCAAGTGGCTCAGGCGGCAGTTCAGGCTCTGTCTGTATCAAAATCGGATACCCAGGACGACAAAAAGATACGCAAGCGACCTTTCCACAAAGTGAATGGAAACTCTGCTAGAGAAGGTTTGTCCAAGCAACAACAGCAGCTGGTGCAACAACAGCAACAACAACAGCAGCTGCAGCAGCAGCAACAACAACAACAACAGGTACAGCAGCATCAAAAGCAACAGCACCAACACCTGCAACAACAGCAACAACATCAGCCGCAACACCGCCAACTGCAACAGCCACAGCATCTTCAGTCACAACAACAACAACTGCAAAATACCCACCAACCACAACTACATCTGCAAGACCAGCCTCAGCAATCAAATTCGCAAGTATCGCAAGTGCAAGCACTACATCAGCACTCACAGGCGCAACAACAATCAACAGCCAAAGATTCTGTCGTTGGTATACCCGAACTTGAGGTTGTCGATGTAGACCATCTCAGTGGTCGGAAGAAGCCGAAAGTCACAATAGATTTCTTACACAATCCAATGACTGTCAAGGAGATATATGATGAGTTTACCAAAGGTTTCAGAGGCCAACCACCTCTACGAGAAATGGATGAGCGTTTTGGTAAGTACGAATGGAGAGGGGACTCAAGGTCCAAAGAGTCCAAAAGATTTCAACGACGCAAAAAGCTCTGTGATGCTATAGAGCGGGGGATGACAAAGTACGGTAAATCTGTCGAAGAGATCATCAATTACATCGAAGAATTCCGTGGCGAAAAATCTTTAACGTGGGTGATGAACGGAAACTTGCCTAGAGATTTACTCGAATGAGTTTTACCGTAGAGCGCGGAGAATGATCAAACAGGGCTCCTTTGCAAGAGAGAGTAGAGCAAACGAAGGGAAAGGGCTACAAATAAAAAAAAAAGAGAAGATGGATGAAGAAAAAAAGAAAAGAAAAAAAAAGAAAAAAAGCAACTGACAGCAGTGAGTGTGTGTTATCCCGGTGATGTATTGTGAGGGCCTGTACTAAAATCATCAGAAATGTTTCCGTCGCCCGTGTATCTATTATTATTATTCTTCCAATGTATTATGAACAAGTTTAGTTGGTGTGTCAAATACACATATCAAGAATCTCTGCCTAGGGCAATGTTGCTTGAGTGTAGCACCAATCCTTGTAGTTGGGGAAGCATTGCTAGTCACACCCGTGCATTCGCAAAGATTCGTCACGTGCACTATCGCCTTTGCCGGTAGAGGCAAATCATAAGGAAGAGAATCTAGTTGCCAAATTTGAAGTGTCTAGACACACAATTGAGATGCTAAGACATGGCCGAATGCCGTGGAAATGCTTTCCGAGGAAACTGTGTGGGTCAGTTATGAGAGAAGTTTCTCGAACTTCAAGGCCGCGGCGGCGGGTAACCCCCCAAAATTTTCAGCATACATAGGCACTCGTTGTCCGGCCCGCATTTCCTCTTTTCCTTCTTTCTCCACTTGCCACATCTAACAACAATGTTGACTGCCAGAAACTCTTGCAAGAACGCTGCCAAGCGTTTCGTGCGTTTGAACTCTACTGCCGCTCCAAACGGTCCAGTTATCGGTATTGATTTGGGTACCACCAACTCTGCCGTTGCCGTTATGGAAGGTAAGGTTCCAAAGATTATTGAGAACAGTGAAGGTGGCAGAACCACTCCATCGATTGTTGCTTTCACCAAGGAAGGCGAACGTTTGGTTGGTATTCCAGCCAAGCGTCAAGCTGTTGTCAACCCAGAAAACACCTTGTTTGCCACCAAGAGATTGATTGGTAGAAGATTCGAGGACAAGGAGGTGCAAAGAGACATCAAGCAAGTGCCATACAAGATCGTCAAGCACGACAACGGTGACGCCTGGATTGAGGCCAGAGGCCAAAAGTACTCCCCTCAACAGATTGGTGGTTTCGTCTTGAACAAGATGAAGGAGACTGCTGAGTCCTACATGAACAAGCCAGTCAACAATGCTGTTGTCACCTGTCCTGCTTACTTTAACGATGCTCAAAGACAAGCCACCAAGGACGCTGGTAAGATTGTTGGTTTGAACGTTTTGAGAGTTGTTAACGAGCCTACTGCCGCTGCCTTGGCTTACGGTTTGGAGAAGAACGACGGTGAGGTTGTTGCTGTTTTCGACTTGGGTGGAGGTACTTTCGATATCTCTGTTTTGGACATTGGTGCCGGTGTCTTTGAGGTCAAGTCCACCAACGGTGACACTCACTTGGGTGGTGAGGACTTTGACATTGCTATTGTCAGAAACATTGTTGAGACTTTCAAGAAGGAATCTGGCATTGACTTGGAGAACGACAGAATGGCCATCCAAAGAATCAGAGAGGCTGCTGAGAAGGCCAAGATTGAATTGTCTTCCACTGTTTCTACCGAAATCAACTTGCCTTTCATCACTGCCGACGCTTCTGGTCCAAAGCACATCAACCAAAAGATCACCAGAGCTCAATTCGAGGCCTTGGTTGAGCCATTGATCAAGAGAACTATTGAGCCATGTAAGAAGGCCATGAAGGATGCCGGTTTGAACACATCCGACGTTTCCGAGGTCATCTTGGTTGGTGGTATGTCGAGAATGCCAAAGGTTGTTGAGACCGTCAAGTCCATTTTCGGCAAGGAACCATCCAAGGCTGTCAACCCAGACGAAGCCGTTGCCATGGGTGCTGCCATTCAAGGTGGTATTTTGGCTGGTGAAGTCAAGGATGTCGTTCTTTTGGATGTCACTCCATTGTCTTTGGGTATTGAAACCATGGGCGGTGTTTTCGCTAGATTGATCTCTAGAAACACCACCATCCCAGCCAAGAAGTCTCAGATCTTCTCCACTGCCTCTGCCGGTCAAACCTCCGTGGAAATCAGAGTCTTCCAAGGTGAGAGAGAGTTGACCAGAGACAACAAGTTGATTGGTAACTTCACCTTGTCTGGTATCCCACCAGCACCAAAGGGTGTTCCTCAAATCGAGGTCACTTTCGACATTGACACTGATGGTATCATCAAGGTTTCTGCCCGTGACAAGGCCAGCAACAAGGATGCTTCCATCACTGTTGCCGGTTCTTCTGGTTTGTCTGATGCCGAGATCGAGAAGATGGTTCAAGACGCCGAGAAGTTTGCCGAGTCTGACAAGGCCAAGAGAGAGGCCATTGAGAATGCCAACAGAGCCGACCAATTGTGTAACGACACCGAGAACTCTTTGAACGAGTTCAAGGACAAGCTTGAGCAGGCTGACGCCGACAAGCTTAGAGGTCTTGTTGCCTCTTTGAGAGAGATTGCTGTCAAGGCGCAGGCTGGCGAGGAAGTTGACGCTTCCGAGTTGCAAACCAAGACCGAGGAGTTGCAGAACGAGTCGTTGAAGGTGTTTGAGAAGTTGTACAAGAACAACGACAACAACGACAACAACTCCAACGAGTCGCAACAAAACTAGTTGATATCATACTGTCACACTAGCCTGTTTCTTGTATATATTTAATAAAGTGAGTACGTACTGGGTCCGTTGCGGCTGTGTATGAAAATGATCGTATAGGTGTGATGAAAGTATGCTTATAATATGATTATAAGTATGAAGTATGATCAAAAGTATGGTTATAGTATGAAGTATGATCAAAAGTATGATTATAAGTATGAAGTATGATTAACTAAGATTATAACTATGAAGTATGATTATAACTATGAAGTATGATTATAACTATGAAGTATGATTATAACTATGAAGTATGATTATAAGATGATTATAAGATGATTATAAGATGATTATAACTCAGTAACAAGCTTGCAGTGCAGGCCTACCCAAACAGAGAGAGGCCCACAGGGACGCCTTGGGAGCGGGGCATGGCTTTGCCTTCGTGGCGGCGAACAGTGCTGTACCGCTCCACGTCCGACCCCACGGTCGAAGCCTCCGAGTCCGAGCTGTAGTCCAACATGTCGCCCAACATCGAGCGGCGGTGGAACACGCGGGCAATTTCTGAGCCGGCGGAAACCACCGAGCTGGCGTCCAGAGCGTCTGAGAGCTTTTCGCTCAAGCCCGTAGACTGTGACGCTGTTCTTGGTCCCAAGCTTTCCAAGTCGGCTTCTGGCACCTCTTCTGGCACGGTTGGCTCTCTTGCGTCTCTCTCTCTGCGCCAGAACTCTCTCTTTTCCAGAGCCGCCAGCTTCGTGTCGTCTGTCATGGCGACAGACGCCCGGTGCGAGCGGGCGTACTGCGGCGCAAGCCGGGGCGGCAACTCCAGCTGTGCCGCGAGAAGATGGAACACGGCGATTTCCTGCCGAAGAGCGATCCGCTGCGCCACGACGTTGGCCAAATACTGCCGCCAGAGCGCCTGGGCCTGCTGCCGCTGCCGCTGCTCGTCGAGGTAGGCGCGGAGCGTGCCCGCCGTGTGTGGCGGCGGTGTTGGCGGCACCTGGGGCGGCGTCACAGGACGAGCCGCGGGCTCCAACGTCTTGGGCGCCGAATCTTTTGCCTCGATGCTGTCGGCTCTTTGCGGCACAGTTTCCTCCGACGTCGAGACCGGCTGGCCGGCCATTTTGCGGATGGCCGACGAGAGATGCGGCACTCTTGTGGCGGGCGCCAGTCCAAGCGCCGGGTTGGCCACGGGCGCGGAAATGGCGCCGCGCGCAGAAACTGGCGCGCGAGCAGCGCGGCGGCGGCGGCGGAGGGCGCCGCGAAACGACCGCACGCGCTTGGTGCGCACCACGAACGCCCGGAGCCCGTGCGCCATGCGGTCGGCCACGCGCCGCATCCGCACGCGCATGCGGTACCAGAGACCGCCCTGGCGGGCGCGGATGGCGCCTCGGCGCGCGAGCGGCGGCGACGCGACGCTTTCGGGCTGCGGGTCGCCTGGCCGCGTTGAGAAGATGGTGGCTTGCGAGCCCATCAGGTCGGAAATGTCCCGCACGCTTGAGCGGGCCTGGTCCACGATGAAGGACGAAAACCGCTTGGGCACCTGGTTGAAGCTGCTCAAGTCATGGTTCGACGGCTTGCGGCTGCTGGGTTTCATGCTGGGCAGCAGCGGCGCCGACGCCAACAAGTCCACGGTGTCCATCAGACTGTAGTGGGAGTACAGCCGGCGCACGTGCGAGTTTCCAGCCAGCACATTTCTTGGGACAGACACAATACTTCTTGGGGCAGACAGAATATGTCTTGGGTCGGTCAGCACGGTTCTTGGGTCCGTCAGCATACGTCTTGGGTCCGTCAGCATACGTCTTGGGTCCGTCAGTCTTGGGCCTGTCAGCAGTCTTGGGCCTGTCGCCCGCACCGCTTTCGGAGGCGACATGCGAGGAGGGCTCGTCTTGGGCGCAGGCAGCGACGGCTTGGGCATGGACGCCTGGCCCATGCTGCGCTGGGGGCTTCGGGGGCTCGCCTGCAGCCCCGGGAACCGGTTTGCAAGCTGGGCGGGCGACCGGTTGGGTGTCTGGATGGGCGTGCGGGTTGGCGTATGCGTTGGCGTGTGTGTCTTGTCGGTGGGTGTCTGGCGAGGCGTCTGCTCCCACACGGCCGACGTGGAAAAGTCGCCCAAAAGAAGCGCAAGCAGCTCATCCATCGACCGCGTAGGCAGGTCCGCATAGGGAATCCGCTCCGACAGCTCCTCGCTGCCCAAGAGCTCGCATGTGTGCACATCAGACACATTGTCTGAGCTGAGCGAGATCGACACTCGATCCCGGGAAATGGGCGCCACCGGTAGATATGTCAGGCTCATTCTTGTTCTGCTGAACAGTATCTGTGGCTATGATAGGTGTGTCGATCGGCGATCTGGTGATAGCTATGGTAGCTTTGATCTGGCGGCGATGATCTGTGGGTTGTCTTGCGGCGATGATTTGGAACTCGGAACTCAATTGGTCCAAGCTTGGTTGTTCAAGTTGTTCAATGTTCCGGAGATTTTCAAAGGTGTAGAATGGATTTGATTCCTTTGTAATTTGTAGATGGAAATGTGATTCCTTTGTGATGTGTAGATGGAAGTGTGATTCCTTTGTGAAACCAAAAAGTCGTAAGGACAAATTTGATCATTTTCGAATCGCATCATCGATGCCTCAACAGATGGCTGGCTAACCCGATCTGGCATTGTAAGTGCGTACAGGCTGTCCTGTGTGCAGGATGTGCGCCCCCACTTGCAGCAGTAAACCTTCTCTGTTCTAAGGATAGCGCCGCGACAGCGCCACCCGCCTACAACTGTTCATGATGGCATGCTGCCGCGTATATTGCAAAACTCTCGCCTTTTTATATTCATATCTACTTGGCTGGGGCCAAGCCAACGGCGTCCTTCTTCAAGTCGTACACAGAGTAGTATCTTCTCAAGAAAGCATCACCCACAATGGCCAAGTCGCCAATTGGCTCGGGGAAGTCCATTGGAGTGAAGGCAGAAATGCACGAGCCGGAAACCTCCAACGTGTAGTCGTAAGGAGACAATGTGAAGTTGTAGCCAGCAAAGGTCAAGGTCAAGTCTGGCAAGTTGTCACGTGTAGCGCAGTCAACCTGGTACTGACCAGACCAAGACTTGGTGGCACCAATCTTGGCATTGATAATCTCTGCCAAAGACGATGGCAACGTGATCAATGAAGTACCAGTGTCAATGGCTGCACCAGTGGCCGTCAACTCGGCGTACTCGTCACCCAAGCCAATACCGTCAAAGGACACCTCCCAGTAGGCCTTTCTTCTCACAGGCAACCAAGTGAGGTCACCTTTGAACAAGGCCTCGTCATAGCCACCGAAAGTAGCCACACCGCCGTTCTCCTCGTTCTTGTTGGTGTCACCGAGGTAGAAACCAAATTGTGGCGCATCCAAGAGCCCTTGCGCGATGGCGTTGTACACGGGAGGGACAATCTTGTTGACCGAGATTGTGTCGTACGCCAAGCCCAAAATACCATCGAACTTGCCAAAGGCAAATGCCAAGCCCGGCTCGGAGGTTGCCTCAGCAAAATCCTGCTTTGGAATCACCAAGTCACCAATGGCCAAGACATCCTGGGAAATGTAGCCCTCCATAGCACCGGAACCATACTGGATGGAAAACTCAGAGCCATTGGCCTTATAAGTGGAAGACTCGTCGTGGTCATACTTGGTGTGCAAGAAGCAAGCCAAAGAACTACAGTCGCGCGAGGGGACCCACAAGTTGGAAGAACCTGTGTCCAAAATCACTTTGAAAGTCTGGCCTGGGGTGCCGAGCTGGATCTCAGTGAAGTACTGAGCATTGAGGTAGTTGGTCAAGGGGGCCTCGTGCTCCGAGTTGGCCACAAAAGGAACCTCCGCCACCTGCTGCACGCCAGAGCCAGCACCGACACCAGCAGCGCCAAAGGCACCAATGTACTTGTTGGCCAAAGATTTGGTATAGCCGGAGAAAGAGCGGGCATCCAAAGTCTCCTCAATTGGCACCTTGTTCAACTTGGTGGAGAATTTCTTAGCGTCAGCGCCAGCAATTAAAGCAGTGGCAATGGCCACCAAAGCGGAAAGTTGCATTGTGTGTTTGTGTTGAGCAGTTCTTCAGGGCAAAAGTTCCAGAAAACAAAAACAAGGGGTGTTATCGGATAACCTTTTGATAAAGAACAGTAGATGATAAGATAAAAAGCAAAGTGGCGAGCGCTCCTTTATATACAGAGGCGGTCATTTATTGTGAGAAAGTGGCTGCAAAAGCGACAATGTTGTGAAAAAATAGTTTCTTAATCCAGACAGTAACTGGCCCAAGACTGAAAACGTTTCTGGAAAAATTTGGTTCAAGCTGATTCGATTCTTGTGGCTTGATGGGTCTGTTAGCCGAATATATGTTTGCACCCGTGCCTCTTTCGTTTTGGGCCATCCCCTTTTGAGCACAAGAATAGCCAAACTTGCTCAACCAGCACTATTATACACAGGAGTGTCCGTTTTCGGATCCACAGTTATTAGGGCAATTGGGTATAGTGGAGAAGATATAGTTACAGAAATAAGATAGAGACATACGAACTGTCTTGTTCACTTTCTCATTTTTGTAATTTTAAATGTGTGGATGGATCCAATATTCTTAGTCTCAAATAAATAGTATGAGATAATGAAGTGTCTGAAACATAAGAGGAAACTGTAACGATCTACATGAAATATTAATCTTCTAGGAATAGATATTTTTAACTCAAATATCTCATGTTGACACCAGTTTGGTCAATCCTGATGAATCGATGTCTGCTATGCTAGTAGAACAAATGTAAACATGTATGGCCATTGTGCTTAGTTTTCTTCATGAGTACATCTTTGTACTTCTGATAATTGCCTTTAGATTCGAAGCTTCATTTGATTAATTACATGAATGCTAGTCGGATTCTGTTTCTTTTGGAGCTTTCAATCGAAATTGTTGAATGAGAGTTTCGGTGTCATGAATTCTAGAAGCCACTACGAAGATACTCAGTAATCTTCGGATACAGTGTAAATACTTGATTTGGAAGATTCAACATCTTGTACTGGCTAATTTTGCCAAATTAATCGATTACTTGTTTCAGCTTGATACAGGCTGGAATGTAAACTCAGTCATTATTCTCTTGCAAAGAAGATGTTTTCTCATGGCTCAAATGTCCCTATTATTTCGGACAAAGCTCAAAAGATCTTTCTACAAGTCTGATTTTCGTGTTTTGTTTGTAAATTCTCCACTCTCTGATCCGATTTGAACCGAATCTCTTCCAATGATCAAACAGGAGAATATAAGAGCATGCCAGGGCCTCACGACTCAAAAATCCATGTCTTTGATGAAACCAAGGAACAACCTGGCGCCTTTAATCAAGAGCTAGAAGTCTCGTGTCCTCCATTATTGAAGGTTTAGGTCAAGTATGTTGATACTCCATGCCATCAACTTTGGTCTCTGTAGCTTCCCCATATTGTCTGGATATTTCGATTTACAATATTGAATTAGGCCCTCCTAAAATACATCTAGTAATGAGATAAGCCCGCCTACAAGCCACCTTCTGAAAACTCACGTTAAGAAGATAAACTAAATCATCTCTGTCTGTCCAACTACTCAGCCTAACTTAATACAGAAACCCATTCACTCATAAAAACTCTAAAAACGAAGCCCACACTATATCTACGCCAGAGCAGCACGCACAAACTCGGCCATGCCCTTTTCCCAGCCCTGGTCCCACTCCCACAACCAGTCCAGCTGGCCCTCTTTCTTGACGTATTCGGCGCGGCGCGCGGCCCAGACCGCCTGGCGCCGCCCAACCAAAGCGCCCTTGCGCGCAAACGCAGCGCCGTCCGCCCAAGCCGCCCTGAAACCCGCCTCGTACCGCGCATGCTCATACTTGCCTCCGCGCTCGTCCCAATAATGTACATGCTGGTCAAAGTTGGCCTTCAACAGCTCTTCGAGTTTGTCCAGCAGCGGCTCTTGCACCTTTGGCGGCCGCACAGCACGCCCGGCCATCTCCCGGAAATCCCACTCGCCGCCCTGTTGTTCAAACTTGAACGTCCAAAAGTACAGCCCTGCGCCTGCGCGCTGCTCGAACAACCGCACTTGCTTCGCGCCATATTCCTCCACTAGCTCGCTGCGCTTGCCCTTGTCGGACTTGTCCCAGCTCTTGCCGTCCACCACACAAGAGTACTCGCCCACCATGAAATCGACGCCACGCCCGCCGTCGTTCAAGTTTGTGAGCACGCTGCCGTCCAAATCTTCGATGATCTGCGGAACACTTTTTGCCCGGTCCTTTTCGTCAAAGCACCGGTAGCAGTGGTCGTCCACCACAATGCCCAAGTTGCGCCCGTCCTTCTGGTGCTCCTGCACCCACTTGGCCCATTGGTCGGGCCACCAGCCGTCCAGAATCACCACGGGGATCGAGCCGTCTTCCTTGCGGATCGCCTCGAGCGCCCGCATGTAGTACAGCTTCTGTTTCAGAGCGCTGTCAGAAAACTCGGCCTCGTTGACAATCTGGATGCCGGCGATGTTGCTGTAGCGCTTCAAGTCCTTGGCGATGAACGCCACGGCGTCTGCCGCGAGTTTCTGGAAGCTCAGGCTGTTCCAGAACCCGGCCTGGCCGCCGCTCAGCTCGCCCGAATGCGCCTCGCCGTTGGCGCCGCCCGGAAGCCCGTGCAAGTCCACCAAAACCGCAATCTGGTGCTTTGCGGCCGCCTCGACGAACTTGCTCTTGAATATGTTCCACGCTTCGCTGTACACGTCCGCATACGGCTCGTACTTGGTGCCCAGCGTGAACTTGCCGCCGCCCACGTGCCAGTACCCGACCGGAATGCGGACTGCGGTGACCCCTTGGCTCTGGAGCCACTTCCAGTCATCCTCAGAAGCGTAGTCGGACCAGTGGGCCTCCAACCGTTTCTTGTAGTCCTTCTTGTCGTCCTTGGCACCTTTAGCCACCGCCTCCAATTCCACTTCCGTACCCTCGGGGAAAATGCTGTGGAAAATCCATTTCTCGAGCACAAAACACCCGCCAAAGTTCACGCCAAAGTGGAACCGTGTGCGGCAAAGCTGGCTGTCCAGAAGATCCCCGCTCACAGCAGCGTCTGCCGCCGGGGCATCGTGCACGCTGTGGGCCTTGAGTTTGTCGACGATTTTTGAAATGCCCATGTCAATGTGTGAAAACTGTACAAGTCAATCTGTGAAACTGTACAAGTCAATGTGTAGAACTGTACAAGTCAATCTGTAGTTGTCTGGGTCAATTGTCTGTAGTCAATTGTAGTCAATGTCTTAGTTGCCTGTAATTATCTGTAGTCAATATCCGTAGTAATTGCCTGTAGTTGTCTGTAGTTGTCTGTAGTAATTTCTTATAGTATTGTCTGTGGCAATTTCTTATAGTATTGTCTGTAAATTCTGTTTGACTGTGTGGTATTGATTTTAATATGGCAATCTGACTACAGTTGGACCAGTTTATTGGTCTGGCGGCCCTGGTCGCACTTATACCCCACATCTGCAGGCCGCAATCATGCGGGCTTCTATACTTGCTGTCGATTCTTGCTCACAACTCGAGGCTGTGTATCGAATTGTCGACGATGTCAATACCATGTGTTTTGTCGTAGTATGTCAATAGTCTGTCATTAGTCTGTCAACAATTTGTCAATTTTTGGCAACGATTTTCATTGTGGGCCTACGTCAATAGACAATGGAATAGTTAGTCTGTGGTCGCATTAGACAATGGCAAAGAAATAGTCAAGTCTAGTCACTTAGTTGTACTAGTCAATTTCCTAGTCACGCTTAGTTGTACTAGTCAATTTCCTAGTCACGCTTAGCTAATTAATCAATTTTCTAGTTGCAGTCAAGCTTGTCTGATGTTGCCGATTACAGATTTGGCAATTGATCAAACCCATGTCTCTATCTTCTACTAGTTAGTGACTGTTCATTATTCTTTCATCCACATCATCGACTTCCATGACCTTCTCAATGGACTTGACCGTTCTTAACCACTTAGAGTCTTCCCTCCTTTCGATTAATCAAGCAATGCCACGTTTATTCCTGCAGAACAAAGGATGGGTGCAAATTAAGGACATCTAGGCACCACGAACAGGGCACCAAATACCGCTCATGAGATATTTCAACGACTAACCTATAGCTCTGTTGTATTTCAATTGGCTCTAAATCACTATTCGGACCTATCACTTGACTATTATCTTGAATGTGCATGAAGTAAGACTGAAGAAGACTGAACTCTTTAAGGTTTCACCGTCTCAGATGCCAATTTGAACCGATTATTATATAAAAGCAATTTGGATGAATACTGGGGCCCACAATGGTAATTCAGGCTCATATAACACCCATCAAAATATAAGTGTGATGAAAGATGTATTATCTCATGTTAGGTTCTGAGTCTATCTTTTATATCGGTTTTTCCATCAACAACTGAAATGAACGTAATTTTGCTGATGTAACACCTGGAGTTTAATTGGTAAAGTTGATGATCATTTCCCAAAGCAATTAGCTCCTATAAATCTATCAATGCTTGAACTAGGTTCGTAAGCCATACTTTTCTGTATTGAACTGTTTATTGCCTTAAATTGTGTGTTGACTGATTTTAGATTCCATGACTACGTTTCTGGTCACCCTCCTATAAATGCTTGACCTTTTGTTCTCTCATTAGAATTCGCTTCGATTATGTAATTCCTTTTTACTTTTTTCCTTGATATCAATTGTCAGCTAAACGTTCACCGTCGATTGTTATAGCAAATAGTCCTGGCAGACATTGGTCAACATTGCGCAGTCAAACAATTCCTTCGCCCTATCGCGCTCAAGCCCTTGCGCCGTTATTCAAGCCTTGCGCCCTTATTCAAGCCTTGCGCCCTTCTTCGCGCCCTTTTTCTTATCGTCTGCCCGCATTCGCCCTTTCCTGCCCTCAGGTTTTCGCGCATTTTACTTCGCATAGACATCAGTCTATGCTTTCGTCTTCTCCAACTCTGTGAACTCTTTGTCATCCTTTTAGATCCCTACTCCAAACATCTGCCTTCGTTTTGTCGCTGCCCGAATTCCAGGCGCTACGGCGCAAGTTTAGAGGTGTTAATACCCATTTGACGTTTCTCAGTTCTTTCTCCCGCCATACGCTTCCAACATATGAGCATCTAAAGCTGCTTGATCCCACGCTAGAGAAAAATGACCTTCAGATGTTTAAGCGGCTCATGCCGCCAGGCGACGTTTTCTTCGGCTACGTAGATGAGAACGAGTTGCTTCTTGGAGAGAAGGTTGAGTTTTCATGGCGCAAGGGCTATCGACAGACTCCCCTGGCCATGGATTCAGCCTATGATGATCAGACACTGCGACCGCTGCGCCAGTTGTTGATCTTTGAGTTTTGCGACGTGAAGACTCAAAGCATAGCTGCGCAGAGAACCAAAACAGCCCGGTTCAAAAAAAACCAGGACCTGCGGGGCGGAGACGTGTTTGTTTCGTCTCGACGGCCGGGGTTGACCACTTTAACGCAGCCGCAGCTTCAGGCTATGATCCAGAACCGAAACGAGAGATTTGACGCTGCTGTGGCCTCGTGGAACGGGAGCTACAAAGATTTGCAAACTTCTGCGCAAGAAACCATGCCACAGGCGCCCGTGTTTGATGACCCTGTGGAAGATGTGCCCAAGAACCAAGAGCAAGATGAAAACCATGAGCAAGATTCAAAAAACCAAGAACAAGATTCAAAGACGACTGGAACAAAAGACCTTCTAGAGTCTGAAGGTAAAGGACATACAAGTGAGTTGGATAGAACCAACTCTGCAGTGAAGACCGAAGTGGACCATAGTGGCAATGAAAAACAAATATCCAACACAAAAGAAGCCGACTGCTCCACCAATTCCGGAACTCAGTCTCAAAAACCTTCGGCCGCGGCCATGCTCGCTGCGCTCAAGTCCCCGCCCCTTTTTCGCAGCCAAACGTTCGTTTCTGCGCCGCTCTGCGAGCCGCGCCCCGCCAACTATGCGCCCGCGCCCGACATTGTGCACCCAGAGGCTGCGGCGGCCTTATGGCGCTCGGCCCACATTGACTCTGCGCGCCTCTACTCGCACCAGGCCGCTGCCCTCTCGGCCCTACTGCGAGGCCACCACACAATTGTCTCCACCGCCACCAGTCTGGGCAAATCTCTCGTTTACCAGCTCCCAATCATCAGCGACATTTTACGTGACGCCGACTTGGGCGCAAACACAGACCGCCGCACCGCCACTGCTCTTTTTGTTTTCCCGACCAAAGCGTTGGCCCAGGACCAAAAACGCCATCTTTTGGCCTTGCTCGCTCAGCTTCCTGGCCGCAACATCATTGTCGACACTTACGACGGCGACACCTCGTCCAAAGACCGGCGCCATGTGCGCTCGTTTGCTGATATCATCTTCACCAACCCAGATGCCATTCATGCGGCGATTCTTCCCAATGCGCTCGACAGTAACTGGCGTGACTTTCTCGCGTGCTTGAAGTATGTGGTTGTGGATGAGTTGCACGTGTATCGAGGAACTTTTGGTGTGAATGTGGGCTTTGTCATGGCCCGGCTCAATCGCATGTTGGAGAGACTTGCTGCTCATCCACTCTATGTCTCATGTTCTGCCACAATTAGCAACGCAGAAGAACATTTCCGGGCCGTTTGTGCCCTTCCAGACGATGACGTTGTGGAACATGTGGATGAAGACGGGAGCCCTGCCACGGAAAAGATGCTAGTGGTATGGGAACCGCCTGTGTTGATGAACAAGAGGGGCCAGACACATCTTCGGGGGAAGGGACTGATGTTGAATGCACCGAAAATGAGAAATAGAAATGTGACTAACGGACTGACTGTGGCAGATCCTTCTCCGTCTCTGATATCATGCAAAGAGAAATCAGAAACAGCACAATTGCCCTCAAATAATGAATCCCCCTTGCACAAGTCACAGGCCCCAGATACTGAATGCTCTTTGCACGATCCGCTCAATGATCCATCTCCTTCGCATGATCAATCAAATGGTCCATCCTCTCATCCATCTTCCTCTAATGATCCACCTTCCTCTAATGATCCAGCTTCCTCTAATGATCCAGCTTCCTCTAATGATCCATCTCCCTCACACGATCAGAGCGGGTCTGCTAAACGTATCCGTCTTAGTCTCTCTCCTCCCGTTTCGCTGCCCATGTTGCCCCGCGAAAGCATCTTGTCAGAGCTGGCTCGGGTCCTCGTTCATCTTCTCTGCACTTTCCCGTCCATCAAGGCAATTGTCTTCTGTCCCATTCGTCAGATGTGCGAGCTCGTCATCAAGGAAGTACGGACCATCATTCGTGAAAACATTCCACAGTGGCATGGTCTCCATGAAAGGGACATCATGGCGTATCGAGGTGGATACTCCAAGTCAGACCGCCGTGCCATTGAGCACCGGATGTTTCTGGGCCAACTTCGTGCCATTGTAGCGACTAATGCACTCGAGTTGGGAATTGATCTTTCAGACTTGGACGTTGTGATCTCATGTGGCTTCCCGCAGCTGAAACTGAACTTGCACCAGCAGTTTGGCCGTGCTGGTCGAGGCAGAGATTCCAAGGGCAGCTTGGCTATTCTTGTATGTGGCGCAGGGCCGGTTGACCGGTATTACTTGAAAAACCCGCTCGAACTTTGTGACACTCGATCGTACGAGGACCTTGGTGTGGCTGGTCTTCTCGACAGCACTCTGAACCATGTGGTCAAGGCAATGCATTTGCAATGTGCGGCCTTCGAGGACCCGATCGATCTCATTCTAGACCGCCGCTGGTTTTCGCCCCACAACGATCCCAAAATGAACGAAGACTTTATTCGCCTTTGCCAGGAAAACCTTCATCCGGACGATAGAAACGAATATCGTACTGATCCAAGATATTTGCCATGGCCCGCCGAAAAAGTGTCTTTGCGAGCAATGGAACAGACAACGTATGCCGTGGTGGATATCACCAACAACCGCAATATCATCATCGAGGAAATCGAAGAGCTGCGTACAAGTTTCACTCTCTACGAAGGAGGGATTTTTTTGCACCAGGGTTATCCATACTTGGTTAAAGAGTTCAATCCCGATGGGAAGTACGCTAAGGTAGAACGCGTGAATGTTTCTTGGGTTACACAGCAGAGAGATTTCTCGGACGTAGATCCGGTGCAAATTGAGCTCGTCAAACAGCTTTTCCCGCCCAGCGTCGCTACCCCAACCGACATCCCCGTCTTCTATGGCCAGGTTGATACTACAATTGTGGTGTTTGGTTTTTTCAAGGTCAATAGGAAGCAAGAGATTTTGGAGGTGGTGGAGGTCAATAACCCACCAATAGTCCTACGCTCAAAGGGCTTCTGGATCGATATTCCTCACGGAGTACTCAATGCCATCAAAGAGAAAAATCTCAGCGCTGCTGGAGGAATTCATGCTGCACAGCACGCCATCATGAATATCCTTCCTATATTCCTCATTGGAGGTGCCACTACGAACCCAAACGCACGCTTCACCTCGACACTAGGTGACGCTGAGTTGACTACAGAGTGCAAAGCGCCAGAAAAAGAGTTTGCTCAACGCCAGACCAAGCGGAAGCGGCCGGCTCGCCTCATTTTTCACGACTCCAAGGGCGGAGCCCAAGGCACAGGAATGTCTGCCAAAACTTTTGAGCTCATTGACAAAATAATCTATAAAACGTACCAGTGCATTCTGGAATGCGAGTGTGAGTGGGGTTGCCCACTATGTGTCACAGGTTCTTTTTGTAAAGAAGGCATGTTGGTTATGTCAAAACCAGCTGCCATCATCATATTGGGCAGTCTTCTTGGTTATGACTTGGATGAGTTGAAGCAACGTGTGCCCGACGGGCCAGAAGAGAATATGCCAGCCATAAACGTCGAAACCATCACTGAAGAGGGTCGGACAGTCAAGTTTGCTCCAGATGTGGAAATTTTGCAAGTGCGGAAAGCGGAAGCTCCACTTGTGAAGATAGAGGACCCGTTGATCAAGTGTGAGGATCCGTGAGTTAATGTTTCTTTCTAAGCGTCATGTTGGAAGCCCTCCTTGTGATCTTCTTCGTGAAGCTTTCCTTCCGCTCAGACTCCGACGAATCATATGCGTCGGAAGAACGATTGGAGATGTATGTAGAGGTACTGGAGTTCCTGTTCACCTCAGGGAGAGGCTTAAATGTATAATTTTTGTTGAAGAGAGCAAGCGCTTCGATGGGTTCGTTCGATGCTTCGCTTGCAGGTGCTTCGTTCTTTCTTTTTTCTTGCAACGCTGGCGATTGCTGAAGTTGCTTATTCTTAGCAAAGCGGAAAACGTGTTTAACAGACTTTAAGTAAACAGATGCAAGAGTCCCAATGTTCAATTCTAGCTCCTCCAAAATCGTAGGGTCGATGTTCTCATTTTCAGAAGTAATAATAGGATTCGGGTCGATGATGATTTCTTTTGTTTTTTCTTGGAACCCACCTGTCTTGCCATTATTTGCCTCGTTAGTGATCATCCGCCAGTAAAAGAAGCCACGGTCACGTACATCAGGGTTGTCGGATTCTTCTGTAGCCCATTTCAACACCTTTAAAAGTAGAGCCTCGCCATTAGCAGGATATTTCACGTAGTATTTTACAGTCGCGGTAATCGTGGCATACTGTACCTCAATTGGATCAGTAGGGAAACTGGATACATAGTAGCTGAGGACATGTTCGGCATCCTCAACATGATTTGGGAACTGACCAATCATCCAAACGATCGCCACACGTGCATCTGTTTCAGTCATGTTTTTGTAGTGACGAACGATTTGAGGAATGGCAAAATTGAATTGGCCAGGGTATTTGCGAAAGATATTCCTCAACACTACTGAAGCTTCTTGTACAACGTAAGGGAGCTCATCGGAGACCAAATCTAGCAAAATATCCACGCACTTTGATACAGCCACAGGTAACTTTACTGCTAGATTGCCAAAGGCACGAATCGCCTTTCTCGCCGTACGAACGTCAATCTCTGTGGCATACTCTTCAAGTTCACGGAATACAACGGCGATATTGCTTTCTGATGCCAAAAGGTAAATGATTTCGAGCTTGGTATCCTTGATATAAATCGGGTCATTGAACTTCCAAAAAAACTGCTCCACACTCACGTCTAACAAGTAACGTTTACCTAGAAGAAGCAAGATGATATTGCGGAGTACCAAAAACTGGATCTCAGCTGATTTGCCTAGTAAGGACATGAGTGAGGAGCCGATCCTCCTCGGTAAACCTTGAAAAGAGTTTTCCACTGCAGGTATGTAGTTGCTAAAATAGACAATCACCTTAACTGCATTCAATACCACAGCCAGGTTGGCATGCAGCAAACATGGAATCACTTGTTCCAATACAGCAGCCGCATCTTCTGAAGTTTGTGGTACAAATGACATGAGGGCATTAAGGATATAACATTGGCGCCATTCGTTGGCTTCACTCAAGCTCCGCGCCAATGCAAGCGAGTGAGACACATCGATGGTCAAGCCGAGCAGAGCTCCCGTTTCTGTGACAGAACTTAATGCTGCGAGTGCGTTTGCAACAACGGTACTGTTTTCATCGTACAATAGCTCGTTTAATGCATCAACAAGGCCTGCTTCCATGACTTTTTTCTGGTCAAACATAAACATACGAGCCACTGCGAAAGCTGCCGTAGTACGCACGCGTGGACTTGGATCCGCTAAAAGATGCTTAGCCGCTGCAACACCCAAAGTTAAGTACGATGGTAGGTTTACAGAGGAAACGGTTTTGAGAGCGAGCGATCTGAGGCCCGGGTTGGATTCCGAAAGAAAACGGCTGTAGAAGGATAAAGCAGCCTGTGCATCTTTCTGGTTAAGAGGAGCATAATGCACCACAAAGTAAGAAGCATGCTTCCGGATCTGGAAGTCGTCAATGGTCATGAGATCAATGATGTTAGGCATAAGTACAGCAAGATCGTTTTTGCCAAGAATGATGTTGGCGACCACCTTCTTGAGCACAACTTGAACGCGAGCATGAGGCTTCAGCTTCTTTTTCGCCTGGTCGATCTCGGCCCGGATTTCCGAGGCTTTACACTTGGCAAAGTATTTGGAGTCGCTCATGACAGGTGGATCAGAAACCTTGTTAGTGCGGAGAGATAGAGAGTCGAAGGTGCACGGGTGTTCGGGGATAATGCCGGGGATATAACCTTGTATGAACGGAAGGGCAGGAAGTGAAACGGGAAATGGGGAAAAAAAGCAAAGGAGCTCCCCACAGTGCTTTCAAGCTGAGTTTCATCTGCATGGCCCTACAATGGAGAGAAGCTTACGGAATGGCTTCTAAAGGGTGCTTACTTCCACAATATATACGTTCTTGTATATAGTGATGAAGGGAATGTTTTGCACCCAAGGCATGGCTCGGTTAATGGAAAGTGATTTGAAAAAGAAAAAAACAGGCAAGTACACTGACACTTTTGTAGATTTTCAGAGAAACGTTTTCCTTCTTCAGGGCATCCGGACATAGCCTGATGCGTACGACACGCTTGAGTCCAGGGCATCAACGGCTTGTCCGCTCTGCAGATAGCCGATCCATTCGAAAAGAGGTCCGTCTACGTGTTTTTCAACAAGATGCAAAACCACAGACACTGGTTTCTGGCCACAGATGGTGTTTCCTGTGCTTTCGATGTAGTCTTCCCACACTGTCGACCCTGCGGAGGCTGCTCGCATGCCGCTGCGGTCCAAGAACTCAATGGACGCATGCAAAGGCTGGCCCAGCAGGTGTTTGTAGGCTGCCAAAAGCGACAAGTCGGCCTTGGGCGTGTACTGGGTGTAGCCAAAACGGCGGCCCCAGTGACAGAAGTCAGACAGCACCACAAACGTGTTCGCTGGATCGGCCATGTAAGGCAGCAACTGGGCAACTAAGCGGTCGCGAAGACGAGGCCCCATGCCAGAAATCATAATGGGGACAATTGTGGGCGCAACATTGTCCTTTTGCGCACGGAACGCCACGAACGGAGCATGCATTTCGAACAGATGCTCGTCTTCGTCCTCGTCCTCGGTCATGTAGGTGAACGCCGAGCCTGGAGCCTTCACGAGTTGGTCGCATACTTCGGTGTCTACGCGAAGCAGGCCCAACGGGGTCTCGTACCGCGCAAAAGGCGACACTTTGGCCGTTTCGCGGAAGTACACATGGTGCGAAGGGCCCAAGATGAACACGCGGCGCACGCCTGTGGTGTCCCATGCCGCATAGGTCTCTGCCAAGCGCGCGCCGCAGTAAGTGTAGCCCGCATGCGGGCCAATGAGCACGCGGGCGCCCGGAACCATGCTGCCGGTGGCTGCAAAAAAATCAGCAATTTGGGCCGCAAGCCGTCTCTTGTCGCCTGTGTACCAGCTTCCTGCGTGTGTGGCTGGTCTCAGCATTTTTGTATCTTCTCCTTTTGCAACACGGGCGGCTAATCTGATAAAGATTCAGGGATAATCAGATCAAGTTATTGAAATCGGATAGTCTGGATAGACCGGACTGGAGCAATAATGGCGAGTTTGGTAAACAAATCAATGCACTGAAACTTCTAGTGTATGTATGATCAGTATACGATCTCTCTTTTCTATTTGGCTGTGCCTTTCTGTCTTTGAGGTGGCTGTGCCTTTCTGTCTTTGAGGTTGAAGGTTTGTTCTGGCTCTTTATTGGGCAAGATTAGGTTTGGGTATGAGAGACGTTTCGAAATGCAATCTCTTCGGTCGAAGATTGTATGTGGAACGTGTTAGAGCTTTTTGCTGAAGAAACGCAAATCTTCTAGGTTAATTTGTGGGAGCAATGGCAAGAATGCGATAAGACTTGGGGTACGATGTCAGTGGAGTGCACATAATCGGAATACTGGGGAAGAATCAGTTGGCACAATCTAAGAGAAGGTTTAGGAATGATGGATGAATGATGGATGAATGATAGATATGAAGCTTCAGAAAGCATGATATTTGCAATTTTGCAGACGAGAGTACGTCAAGGTGTGGCCAAAAAACTCTGGATACTCAAATCAGTTTTGATTCGTAAAGTGATTCTAATTTGGGAGATTAGAGAATGCTTCTAATCAATGTGTAGTATGGTCAACATAAGAGTTGAAACTATTCACAACTAAAATCGAGCAGTAGAACGTATAAAACCTAATGAAGAGTACTTACTATTAGCTGACCACCCAGCTAATAAGTACCAATTACTCCTTCACCACTTTTAGCTAAAGTTGATATAAATCCATAATTATGTTCAGATTGTTATACCTATAGTTTAGAGCATCAGAAGATGCCTCACCCACTGAAAATAAATACTAGATCGGAATTATCCAAATATCCTCTTAAAAAGATGGATAAAGTTCAAGTGCTCGGAAAAAAAAAACGCAAACTCAAACCCATTCAGGTCTCGATGGCTGGCTTGAGAAAACCCCTCCTCTCTCTTGGAAAAGCTCTCATATAGTTCTTAGTTGCTCTAATCTTACAAACATCTACATCAGGCATCAACTTATCAGGAAACCTGCAAGCTGCGGCTTTCGAATAAGCCTTCGTTTCTTTCAAAGTGGACATAAACAATGGACTTGCCACGTACTTACAGCAAATGGGTTTATTTGGCTAAATTCCTTGTTCTCGTATCATGAACAATTAATCAAGCCCTGCTTTCGTGTACCAGTTAATCAGCATGTTCAATTTTAATGCACTGCTTTTTTTGAGCCATGTTTTGAGATGCATTCTTTAGATGTCATGTATCTTCTTCGATATCCGTCTTCGGTACTCGAACTTGCCCAATATTTATCTTTATTAGTACGCCTGTCCCGTGGCCCGTTCTTTCTGGAAAAGTGCTACTTCTTGTTGTAGCAACTCGCTTAGCAGCTCGATATCCTTTTCCTGTTCCTCGGGGCCTGCCTTATATGGAGCCAGAGCCAGTACCTCTTTCTGGCTACTTACTGATACTAAGTAGTCGTGTCTAAGTGCTTGGGATGCCAGGAGCCTTCTGGAAGGTTCCCAGACTAAAAGCTGGCCCAAGAGATCCAAAGCTTCCTCAGAAGCAAATGGGTAAACGGAAACCCAAGCAATGGGCAGCAAGTTGCACACAGGCAAGTCCCAACTGCTTCGAGTCAAACTTCGAGGCGGAGAACCCAAATACTTTACTATTTCATGGAGCTGTTGGAGCAGCGACTTTCCCGGCATGAGAGGGCGGCGGCCATATAGCTCGGCCAAAATACATCCCACGGCCCAAAGGTCCACGGGCTTCCCATAAGTTGACTGTTGGAGTATGAGTTCGGGCGCCCTGTACCAGCGAGTAGCCACGTAGTTTGTTATAGGGCTATGGACGGCAGCTGGAGAAGATACAAGCGAGCGGGCGAGGCCAAAGTCGCCGATTTTGAGCACCCCTTGCGAATTCACCAAGATGTTTCCTGGTTTCAAGTCTCGGTGCACAATATTGGCCGAGTGGGCGAAATGCACCCCACAGAGAATCTGGTAAACAAAGCTGCGGATGTGAAACTCAGAAAACTGCACCGCCAGGTATATGACTCGGGCCAAGTCGTAATCCATAAGTTCCTGGAAGCAGTAGAGGCCTTCGTAAGGAACGAGCGTGACATAGTGGACATCCACGAGAGAGACAAGCTGACGTTAGAAAAACGAAGGACGTAAATACACTATTGGGCCCAGGAGCTACTCCAACAGGACAATAAAGAAAAACAATGAGATGTTTCCATCAATAGATCAAAACCCGCAAATCATATACATACGTTTCGGTGGCCACGAAAGAACTTCATCATGCGAAACTCCCGAATGGCTCGTTTGAGCAAAACCTCTTTGCGGAGAATCCGACATACCTTCTTCACCGCTAGACGAACTGGCTCCATTGCCTGGGCACTGGTATCTATGGCCAGACAAACAACGCCATACGATCCCTTGCCCAAGATTTCCTGGATCTCGTAGCGTTTGTGGACGTAGAAATTTGCTGGCTTGAATACCTTGTATTCCATGAAGAAAGTGGTTGGTTTTGTGAGACGGGCAGCGATTTTGCACCCAAGTCGCATTCTCAGATAAAGGATATATAAACCAGGCCGAGGAATTATCGAGCAATTGTATTCTCTTCTAAAGCTTTTATTGTTGGCTCCTTTGATACTTGTTGGAAGCTTAGACTAGATTAATCTAGACTGTTTAGACAAGTTCAAAGGCTACACCAGTGTAATAGTGTTACTTCTCTGGGTACTGATATGATTTGAGTTGTCTCATAAGCGTCAGCAAATCTGACTGTTGATCTTATTACATGGCTACCAGGCTTTGCTAGAAGGGTTTATGTCGGCTGGTTGACTTGAACTTTTTGTCTATTTATGAGTTCTATAGTTCAATTACTTCTAACTTGTGCAATTACATATTGCACAAAGTTGGCAAGCTGTTTACTTATGATTCGTTTCAATTGATAGATGCTGGTTTCAGTATGGCAGATGAATGGCCATTACTTTCACCTACCCTATGCGCTTTATTTACATTGTGTTATGGATACTTATATTGTGCTTGCCATACTTCGCACTTAATTCACATCTCTATTCTTCATCTTTTTTTCCTTCTTTTTTCACCTCTTCTTATTCTTCTTCTTATTCTTCTTCTATTTCTTCTTCTTTTTCTTCTTCTTCTCCGTCCGGTCTTCCACTCGCTTACCATATAATTTATCTCTTTTGAATATTGTTTCTCATGTATGTGAATTCTACACTCACAACTTGCCTTCTCATTCTCTCAATCTGTCTGATTACCCAACAGCACAACCCAACATCACCAAATAAACGACCTCTCTCGTCTTTTCACAGCGATTAATGTCTCTATAATGTTTTTTTCTCTCCAATTCGCCCCCAAGTGTAGATAGTCTAAACCATCATGTAGTCGTGCACGACCCACTGGAAAATTTTAGATGGCTTTAGGTCTCAAGCTTACCGCTCTTTCACAAAACACCATCCAAAATGAGTAGCTCCAACTGCCGTTTCTATGAAAACAAGTACCCCGAGGTCGATGAGGTGGTGATGGTGAATGTCCAGGAAATCGCCGAAATGGGCGCCTACGTCAAGTTGCTTGAATACGACAATATCGAAGGTATGGTTTTGTTGAGTGAGTTGTCGAGAAGACGGATCCGGTCGATCCAGAAGTTGATCCGTGTGGGCAAAAACGAGGTTGCCGTTGTCTTGAGAGTCGACAAGGAAAAGGGCTACATCGACTTGTCCAAGAGAAGAGTCTCTGCAGAAGATATTGTCAAGTGTGACGAAAGATACAACAAGTCCAAGGCCGTCCACTCCATCTTGAGACACTGTGCCGAGAAGTTCAACATTTCTTTGGAAAAATTGTACCAGACCGTCGGCTGGCCGTTGCTGAGAAAGTACGGCCATGTCTATGACGCTTTCAAATTGCTGATTACAGACCCATCGGTTTTCGATGACATCGAGGCTCCATCGCCCGAGATTTTAGAAGAGTTGAAATTGTACATTGGCCGCAGATTGACGCCCCAAGCCATCAAAATCAGAGCTGATGTCGAGGTGTCCTGCTTCTCATACGAAGGTATCGATGCCATCAAGGCGGCGTTGAAAGCTGCCGAAGCTGAATCCACAGAGCAAATGCAAGTCAAGGCCAAATTGGTTGCTGCTCCATTGTATGTGATTTCTACACAAGCCTTGGACAAGAACCAAGGTGTCGAGTTGTTGGAAAAAGCCATCGAAAAAGTGGTGGCTTCTATCGAAGCACTGGGCGGAAACTGCAAAGTCACTATGGCTCCTAAAGCCGTCACCGCAACCGAAGATGCAGAGTTGCAGGCGCTTTTGGAAAGAAAAGAGGCCGAGGACAAGGAATCTTCTGACGAGGAAGAGGACTAAGCGAAACTTGGGGACACCTTGTATATTAAAACATCCTTTTTATATAGTGTATGGCATCGACTTGGTGAGTGTCAACTCGTGCTTGTTGGCTCGTTCCACAACTGTAGCAGGCAAATTGTTTAGGAGCAACGACGGAATGCGGAATTCCACTAGAGATTCGGGGAACACAACACTGTCCACACTTAAGAGATCTTGGTTCCCGCTTAAATCTAAAATGCGTAACTTGGGGCCGAAACGGATATTTCGAAACACCCGCAAGTCGTTGTATTGGAGACTAAGCTCCTGCAAGTTGTATGGAAACTCCATCGATTCAATGGCTTTGATCAGATGATACCCCAAGCGCAATATGCGCAAGTTGGGCGGAAGAACCACATCTTTCAACGTTGTAATGTATTTTTCGTTCTCTTCTGCGTAAGGGTCCATTTCCAAGTCTAGTACTTCAAGCCCAGGCGGGAATTGCACATTCTTCAATGTGGTGATCATGTTATTCCCCAAATAAAGCTCACGGAGGGCCGAGGGAAACGCCACTTTACTCAAGCTTTTGATGTTGTTGTGGGCCAAAAACAACTTTTCGATCGAATTGGGGAGCCGGAGCGGATTGATGCTATTGACTCCATCACATGCCATGTTCAACTCTTTCACAAAAGGCGGTAGCTTTAGTCCTCTTGTGTTTGTCATGGACTGCTGGAGATTGAGCGAAACTGTGGCATCTGGAAATTTGATTCCCGTCATAGACTCGTTTGGAATACATGAAAGGTCCAAGTACTGGATAGTTTCTGGGAACCGGACGCCCTTTATGCATTCGATTGGGTTGTGGGAAACAGAAAAGTACTCGAGTCCGCGAGGTAGAACAACGTTTTTGAGGCTATCAATGCGGTTCTGCGAGAGATCCAAAGCCTTCAAATGCGGAGGGAACTCGACGTAGTTGAGAAAGAAGATTCTGTTTTGCAGAAGATCAAGCCGTTCAAGTGATTGAGGAAACGAAATATAGTCTATGGAAGGAATCAAGCCTTTGGATGCGATTAGAACTTTCAAGTGCGCAGGCATTTTGAACCCAGCCAAAGTCTCTAGCGAGGACCCGCCTCCTATATTGATCACTTGAACTGAGTCGGGGAACTTCACCCCAGGAAGAAAACGAATACAGTTTTCGCCGTAGTCGAAGATCTTCAAGTTTTTCCAGTAGTCACAGTCTGCTTGTATCTCTTGACCTAGACGGGCCAAGTCCTCCTTTTCTGTAACGTACACTGTGCTCATGTCGTACTTATTGACCAAAGAGCACTGGGTAACTTTTTCTCCTGCTACTCGGTTCAAGCATGCGAGAAAATTCTCGTACAGAGTCTTTTCTGCCTGGGTGTACGATGCCCATTTCTTGCCTTTTTCAAAGATGAAGTGATAGGCGATTTCATCGGCTTTGGCAAAAATGTTACTTTCGCTCTCGCAAAAGCGCATGATTTTATCGAGCGACTCGGAGAATGTCTCGTCGTACTCGATACAGAAGTTGACATATGTGTACTCTTTGAAAGGGAAGGTCGAGAGGCGATCGGCCGACACTTCTGTCGTTGGCACATTTGGCACTAGCCGAAGACTGCGCAAATGGTCTAGGATGTGGTGTTGTAGGCATTTTCCCGCAAGAACAACAAGTCTGGATTTGTTCACAGGATGTTTTGTATGGGAGGTTTCGATGGCAGAGACAGATGATGGGCCAGTGGGCCCAGAAGTGGGTCCAGCAGATCCAGACAGGGCGACATCAATACCAGGAACCGTATTAGAAACAGCAGAACCTGGAACCTCGGTGCCCGCTACTCCAGACACCGAAGTTACTGCTTCAGTTTTCATTGGAGTTCCCAGACCAGACTCCGGATACGATAGTCCAGACGATCCAGAATTTTGAGGTTGTGTTTCAGAAGCACGGCTTTCAATGCCATCCACCTTCTCTCTGTCTGTTCTGTTTGGGATTTCAAAGCCTGTAGCGCCTGTAGCACCTGTAGTCACCGAATATGTGGAATTGCCAGATTCTGCTTCTTGTTTAGTAGGATTTCGAGACTCCATCTCGACTCCCGTTGGTGCTGCCAATGTTCCAGCCGGTTTTTCTTGCGCCAACGGGTTTGCGGCGTCCTTTTGGGGCTCCGGCGTAACGGAATTGGCATTGGGCGGAAGCGGTTTTGGGACTGGAGACAGATACGCCAGCACGTGCGCTAATTCAGTATCATTTTCAGCCAAATGTAGCAGGGTTTGGTCTGTGGGTTCTATTTTCGCTCGTTTTGGCGACGGGCTTCCGTTGTTTTCCATTGGTGTATGGGAAGAGAAGATGTGGTAGCGATGCCAGTTTGTTGTCTGCAGGTGAGACCAGTATCGCGATCGCAGAGTAGGTTTTGGCATTATGAATAGTATAATGCTTCTCTTTTATTGTTTGTCTTGCTCTTTCTGTCGTTTTTTTTTTTCTTTTGATTTTTTTCTTCTTGCTCGTGTTTGTGAATCTTGTAGGTGAATTAGTTCTGGAAGACAATAACATAAATTGTACACCAAATTGAAACCCATTCATTCACCTCTCAATGCCATTGCCTTTGCATTTCGCTTTCAGTCAATGATGATTTAGCTTTCAATTTCTTTGATTTCGCCTCTTTTTTAACTTGCTCATTCTGTCACTTTTGAATTGTGTCTCGGCCAGGTTTCTAGCTTTGTGATGAGCAGAGACCGAATCTTGGATGTCGCTACTATAGGTATGCAATTTTTAAAAGAAGTGTTCGCTCACTCATCAGCTCGTATTTAAGTTTTTGTTGACCCATTCCTCTTGCATACTTTGTTGATATATATTACTCTTGATGTACAATACTTTGTTGATGTACATTACTCTGTTCAGATACGTTTTTCTGTTATTAATTGCACTGTCCAAGTATCAATAAATTATTATGCACAAGTTATTACCTGAGAGCAAACTCTCCCTCCAAACCAGATACAGCACCTACTCGTAGATAGCCTCGCCAGTATTAAATGTGTCTCGCCTTGCGCAAGCAGTTTTTGATCGGCCCCCAGATAGGCACCGACATATGAAGATGGCCATGGTCTGCATCATTTCCGTCCGACATCAAGTGCCGCGATACTAAGTAGCCTCGGATCATCAAGAGGGTAAAAGAACATGCAAGGAAGGAAACGCCGCAGAATATAGCACTGTGGTGGTATTGTCCCGCCGAAACGTAGCCGTGATTTCCAGTTTTCAAAGTCAAGCCAATGACCGGCGATGCAAGACCAGCAAAACCCAAAAACACCCAGCTCATGCAAAGAGCCACGCCAACTCTGCGCAAGCCAAACAAAAGTGACAAAATGGCAGGCACCGTAGCAAAAATCAGACCCATGAGACTACCCATGATCACACAAAAGGCAATGATGGTGGCATAGTTGTTCGCTGGGATCCACATGCCCAAAACAAAGATCCCACAGAGTAAATAGGCCACAACAGAAACTGTGACAGCACCGAATCTGTCGCAGAAATGGCCCACTATCGGACGGCCGAAAACAGACCCGACTTGCACCATGGCCGAGGCAATCGAGCCCTGGTAGGCAGAGTAACCCATGGATGTGGTAACATTGGCCATATCGTATAACACAATCACATAACCAAACATGCAGAGCACCACATAGAGGCAAAAGAGCCAGAAACCCATGGTCTTCAAGACTGCAGCATCGAAAATGGTGTACTTTACCTCCATCCTTGTGCGCACAAGAAAGATGGAAAACCAGAGTAGTCCGAAACAGATGATGGCCTGACAACGCATGGCCCAGAACACAGACCGCAGTTCCAACACTTTTTGCATGCCCAAGTTGTAGACTATACCGCCACAGCCTGAACCAGCGGCCGCAATTGCTGAAGCAAACGCCCTTTTCTTCTTAAACCACTGAGGTAAAAGCATAAGCGCAGGCAACGAAACAAATGCAAGCCCGAAGGCCTGGAGCATACCTTGCGTCAAGTACAACTGCCAGAGCTTGCGCAGAAACGATGCAAGCATTAAAGCGGCAAACTGGAAACAGTTGCCAATGATGATCGTGGTGCGTAATCCGATTTTGCCCTGGATGTAGTTGATGGCGGGCGAGAATGACAAGCCAACACCGAATGTCATGCCACCGATGACCGCATAATCGTACTTGTCACCACCTTTGAACGTGCCGTTGTTCAAGTAGTACGACAAGTAAATGGAGAAGCCCGAGTTGGCGCCCCAAGAGTTGAAATTGATCAAGAAACATGCAAGCACAATAAACCACCCGTAGCCGCCATCTGGAATGTCCGAAAGCTGCTGCGGAGGTTTCTGCTCCTCCAAAGACTTTGCTGTGCAAGATTTTTCTTCACTGGATTTTTCTTCCATATTCACTTCGTACTCATCGCTGGGGCTAGAGAGTTCTGAATCTGGCATCTCGTTAGATTGGGCCAAGAGACTGGGATCGCCATTGTGTTCGTTATTGTGTTCATTATTAATTCGGATGCTAGCATTGGAGTCTGCAGTATTGGCATTATAGGTATTAGTCACATTAGTGGCTGTTAAGTCTGAAAAATTAGTATTTTTGGTTTCAGCATTCCCAGCACTTAGCCTTCCAGCTCCAGTCGACATGCTTTTATGTTTTTGGATTTTGTATTTCCTTGTTTTCTGTCACGATGAATTTCTGTGAATAACAGGGTTCATCGCTTGTATATATAGGTGCTCGGAAAAGTACGTGAGGCGCCGAATCTTAGTAATTGCATCTTGCTAACGTCAAACGGCGCGCCGGTCCGATTTTGTGAGCAGGATTTTTATTTCCCCGTCCTCGGTCCAAAGGTTGTGGCTTTTGAAGTGGAGTATTCAAATGCTTGGGTTTTCCAATGTCGTTTGTTTCACCAAAGAAAATCCTTCACCAATGGAAATCATTACGGTTTTTGTCTTCGAATGACAATCCAATTCTATGATTCTTAGGCGATGTCTCAGTGTGAGCAAATTATGTATCCTCGCTTTTACCAGCCGTCCACGTAATTCCGTTGAAAACGGGGATAAGAGCAAAATTAGTGACACAAAACTGAATACAGACGGTTGAGGCAAACAATGATCACCGTCACGAAAAAAAAGGCGAATCTCGGAATTTAACTCCTCTTGGCTCTAGCCCATCTTAGTTAAGAAGGTATCCACATAGGAGAGGTTCCGAGAATGCGCGCTCCACTAAAGGCGCCGGAGTTTGGCATTCAAGACCGCCAACTCTAGTGCAATGTAGATTTCGCGCCAGGAAAAAATCCAAAAAATAATATCCAAGGGGCAAGCCGGGAATCGAACCCGGGACCGCCCGCACCCTAAGCGAGAATCATACCACTAGACCACGTGCCCTTTGGATATTCGATATATTTTTCGCTACTACTTGAAACGTCTGTAGAATAGTTGTGTTGTTTTTTCGTCCATATAATAGTATTTACATTTCCTCCACCACCATAAGCCCCAATAATGAGTCAATAACGGCTGTTGCTGCTAAACTCGTGATCTCACTGTTGGTATCGAAAGGCGGACTTACTTCCACCACATCGCCTCCAACTAAATTGATGCCTTCAAGACCATCCAAGACAGAAAGCAATTCCCTACCGGTCCAGCCTCCAATCTCCATGGTTCCTGTACCTGGGGCATTGGCCGGGTCTAAAACATCAATGTCGACAGAAATGTATACTGGCATATCCTTCACACTTTCTTTGATCTTCGTAACGATATGGTGCATTCCTAGTCTGTCCAAGTCTCTAGCACTTATGGTTTCGAAACCACAAGCGGAATCATGTTTCTTATCGTAAGAGGGCCGGATATAGGGTGCTCGTAAGCCCAAATGGAAACAATGACCTTGTTCCAAATACCCATTTTCTGCCGCATAGTGCAAGAAAGTCCCATGGTTCAAAGACATGTAATCAGTAATTCCACCGCCCAATACTTTTGGATCCCAAGTATCAATGTGAGAGTCGAAGTGCAATACGGCAAGCTTCCCATACTTTTCATAAGCAGACCGCAACGCCATTAAGGTGATAGTGTGGTCTCCTCCCATTGTAATGATTTTGGGATGTGGAACCAGTTTCGCCCCAGCACTCACACTATGGTTGTGTATTGCTCTTTGTCCTCGGTAGAGCTGATTGAGGGCAATCCGATTGTCAAACGGTGTCATTGGCACATCCCCGCAGTCGACTATCGACAAATTGTGGGTTCTGCGGTCGTACGGGTCGACCTGGCCAAGTTTGGATTGCGGTCCGTTTCCCCGAACTGGTGTGACACCTCCACCAAGTCTGCGAGCAGCCAGGCGAATCGCTTCAGGCCCAAAACGAGCTCCTGGTCGATATGAGGTTCCAGTATCAAAAGGAGCTCCGACAATGGCGATGTCAATGGGTTTCTTGTAGTACTGGGGATTGAAACAATCAAAGTGGTCAAAACCACCAAAAGTGATAATGCCGCCAAAATGGCTTGGGTCGTTTGAAATGTCAGAGGTTTCGTCATTGTTTGGAAACTTCACTTGCAGCCGGTACTTCAAGTAGCCCGAATGTGCTGCATTGCGATGGCTTTTCTGCTGGTTGAGGTGCATCTTCTGTATATTCTGTGTGAGCCACTGTCCGTCCGAAAACGGAAAGGATTCAATAAACTGTTCTTCCTCCTTAAAGTTTTGGACACCACTGGCAACCAATTGCCTTCTGTGTTGCCAAGAGTCTGGGGTTGAGACTAATGGGCCATATAACTGGTCGATGTAGGACTCCTGAGCTGGATAATCATTTTCCATCTCGGACTTTTCTGGAATTGGGATCTGCTGCACATTCTGTGTGGGAGATGCGAGAACACCCGCAGCCAATGCTATCAAAAGGTAGTTTTTCATTATCTTGCCAACACAGATAACGCTCGAGATACATGTATATATAGGTGCGCGGAAATCCACCAAAATTCCGTTCGGCTGGAATATCCCAAAGAGGAAACACCAACAGGCCTTATAAGGAATAGCGGGTTGAGCTTTCTTACTTTGATTTATTGTACAAGTGTACGTGGGTGTTGTTTGCAATTATATTGTTCTCAACCAGTAACCATTTCACTATACTTATGCGGACGTACCTCAGTGGGAGAAAGCAGCGCTGGTTGAAGATATAGCAACGTAGTATTGTTCGGAACAATTGTAACAATCCGCTGATGGAATTGAAAAGTTTTTGTGTGCGTAAGGTCTGAAAGCGTGGAGTTCATATGATGTTTCTGGTGTTAGGATACTCTGCGATTGTCAGATACGTAAAGAGAATCCTGACGCTATCATAATGGAACTGCAATTGGTAGTATAGCAGTCAATAGTATTTACGTCAGACCAAATTTAGACCGGCACCCAGATTGGCTATCTTGCTCCTAGAACTCGTGGACCCTGATAACAGAACTACTCCATCATCTGTTCCTAGAAAAATGACCCTCCATACGGGAAGTCTCTCTCAAATCTTTAGTGCTTTCCTTTACTCCAGGACCAACTTACGACATGTATTGGAAAGGAAAGACAAGAAAACATGTCTCCAATTTACGACTAGAGCATCTACCTCCTGCAGAATGCGGCTCTACACTTCTCTCGCAGCTTGCTTTCGCCGCTTCTTGCTCACTTGTATGCAGAGGTTGCAGGAATGTTGCGCTTCTAAGTCACCCATCATCGGTGTCATTGTCTTTTTCTATCGGGTAGACCGCATAAAAAAACACTTTCCTTCTCCTTTCCTTGTCTTCCAGTTTCAATTGCAACTTTTTCACAACTTTTTTCAAATGGCTTATGAACGTCCTCCAGGACCACCTCCATCTGGTTATGAGGACCAGGCTCCTCCTTATCAAGAAAAGCCCGAGCCATCACAAAACTATGACGAAGCCTTCAAAATAGAAAAACCAAGGTTTAATGACGTTCCATTCACCATTCTCTTTCTCTTGGTTGTGGCTGGGTTTTTTGTCGTGGCTGGAATCACCCTCCATGCCATGAGATCCACATGGGATTTTCAAGGGTCCTCCATCTACGACACGCAAAATTATTTCACCTTGAACGCCAACACAGCAGTTCTTTTTGGCTTTGTTATAGTGATTTCGGTTGTCTTTTCGTTTTTGATCATCCTAGTGGCCCGTTTCTGGGCCCGCATGTTCATTACGCTCGGTCTAATTTTAAATGTGGTATTGGGCTTGGCCACGGCCATCTACTATTTCACCACCCACTACTACTCTGCAGCAATTGTTTTCCTTGTCTTCACCTTGATCACTGCTTGGGCGTACTGGTCTGCCCGGCTGCGAATCCCTTTCAGTGCCACTGTGCTTGAAATCACCATTGATGTCATGAGAAGATACAAGTCCACGCTCATGGTGTCATTTTTGGGCATAGTCGTGACAGGAGCATTTTCTACGCTTTTTCTTATGGTCATTGTGGCCACTTATATTAAGTATGACCCGAACGAAAACAACCCAGGATGTAACATTGACGGTGGTTCTTGCACAAAGGGCAAATTGATTGGGCTCCTTGTGTTTGTGTTTTTCGCTGGCTATTATATCTCCGAGGTCCTTAAGAACATTATTCATGTCACCATTGCTGGAATCTATGGAACATGGTACTACTTGGCGGGGTCGGACCAAGGTGAGCCCAAACATCCAGCTTTGGGAGCTTTCAAGCGAGCAATGACGTACTGCTTTGGCTCTATTTGCGAAGGTTCGCTTATTGTTTCACTTCTCCAGTTACTTAGGCAATTCATCCGCATATTGAGAAGCAATGCTTTGGGCGACAACGATATGTGTGCTGCCTGTGGATATTTGATTCTAGATTGGATCATGGGTTTTGTTGAGATGATGGTGCGCTACTTCAACCACTATGCGTACATCTACATTGCTCTTTATGGCAAAAAATACACCAAGGCAGCAAAGGAAACATTCCAACTTCTCCGTTTCAAGGGCATGGACGCTTTGGTCAATGACTGTTTTATCGGAACATCCATCCATTTGTTTTCTCTTTTCGTTGCGTATGTGGTGGCACTTTTCACGTACATCTACTTGAGATATACAAAGCCAGCCTACAATCAAGACGGAGGCTACTATGCTCCGCTTGTTGCTTTTGGCTTTGTCGTTGCCGGCCAGGTGACCCGTATATCGTTGACGGTGATTGATTCGGGTGTCTCAACGTTTTTTGTGGCTTTGGCCAAGGACCCAGAGGTTTTCCAAATGACAAACAGAAACCGCTTTGATGAGATTTTCCGCAATTACCCACAGGTGTTGAACAAGTTGCTTTCCAACGACGATAATCACTATCAGAACCAAAACCTGTATAATTCTCCCCAACAGCCATACTACCAACAGCCCCAGTATGGTCGGGTTTAATTGCTGTTGATGTTCGTGTATTTGAGTACCGAAGTATTTGTTACATCACTCATCAAGTTGTAGAAAGTCTGTGCAAACTAGAGGTAGTCACTTTTATTCAGTGTACCAAACAAATATTCATGCAATGTAATATCCTAAAACTGTACTTCGGACATGCCATTTTTTTTATCACTCAGTGTAATTTCAAATGTCATCCATACTGCGAAATTGCTGAAATTCCGATCATCCTAGCTGTCTACACCAATGCGATCTCCCCAGTCTCCTACCGACTACAATGGCAATTGGGAATTATTTCAATTGTTCCACGAGTCTTCCTGACTCCTTTTTTCTGTTTTTTATTCTGGCCAAAAATACAGCATATGGGCCGAACAATCTCTGAACCTGCACATCTGGCCACACAAAGTGATAATCGCTTTCCCACCATTAATCCCCGCCATCATGCTAACGCTTGCAATAGGCGATCTCTTCATCCCAGAAAGGGTCATAAACCTTCCTTCTAAATTCCGAAAGCTTCTAGCCCCCAATGCCGAGTCTGTTCCATCCAATCCAAAAATCTCACAGGTATTATGCCTAGGAAACATCACCCAGTCTAGAGAAACGTTGAAGTTTCTTTACAACTTGTCCCCTTCGTTCAACATTGTCCGTGGTGAGTTTGACGAGCACACGATTCTCTCTCAGCAACTTTGCCTCCTTACAGGAGAGAAAGACTCGACAAAAGCTCTACCTTTCTACAAGGTGGTGACAGCAGACAATTTCCGGATAGGCTTCACCAACGGCTACCAGATTGTGCCGCAGAACGATCCGTTGTCGTTGTTGGCATTTGCACGGGAAATAAATGTGGACATTCTTATCTGGGGTGGCACTCACCGTGTGGAGGCTTATACCTTGGATGGAAAGTTTTTCATCAACCCAGGAAGTGCTACGGGCGCCTTCAATTTCGGCTGGCCGGAACTTAACGACGACGAGGGCGAGAGAGTGACAATGAAAGTGTGCAATCCAGAGAGGCCTAAATGGCCATAATGAATCCTGTGCCCGACCAGAAAGAGAAAGAAGATGACAAAAAGGAAAATGAGCATGAAACCCAAGACGACGATCACGAGGAGCTTGACCTCGCGTCTTCAATTCCGTCCTTCTGCCTTTTGGACACTCAGGGAAGCAGGTGCACACTTTACATCTACACGCACATGGATGGAAATGTTAAGGTGGACAAGGTGATGTATCACAAAGAGTAACAAGGCTAAAATTCGATCCCGGTCCTAGCTAGAGCAAATACTAATAAAACTGAAAGAAAACGTATGGCGGCTACAGGGGCAGCTTGACAGCTTCTAATATACATGCATTCTTCTCGTTTATGCTTGCACCGACGAGTAATGTAGAACAAACTCTTTTCTGATCTTCTCCCAGTTGTGCGGATCAAAGAAAATGTACACACCTCTTTCCACGTCGGGGCTGATCAAAACAGGCTCAACGTTGCTGTCCTTCGTTAACCAGACTTGGATGTCTCTATGATACCTCCAATTCCGAGCCACGAGCTCTCTAGCGGCGTACTCTTGGAGTGTGTCGCGTGGCTTGGTGTAGAAAATGTAAAAAAGCGTCTCGTCCATGAACGACAGTATCTTGGTATCGCATGGTTCTGGTGGAGGCATATTTTTTTGTAGTATGGACTCGTCAAAGGAGAAGTACGGTTCCACCTCGGAGCGCGAAGTTTCCTGCCACGGCGAGGCCAAGTTCTTCAATATCTCTGCTTTTTCCAGCAAGTCGAGGTCCATAAGACCCAAATCCTGGCCCATGGCAGAACTCGTCTGGTCATTCTGTTCCATTTTCACGAGCAGCGAGATTCCGGCAAGGCCGAATTTTTGGATTTCGGGTAACTCGGCCGCTGGAGTCGTGGCAGCAGAGGAGTTCCCGTTTGCGGCATTTTGCAATCCAGGTGGGTGCATTGTACTCATTTTGCCTATGTTGGTTAATGTAACAAAGGTTTAAAAGTCACCGGGTTTGCGACGGCACGTGATCCGGGATTCAATGAAAAGATAGTCAAGACAATGGGACAGACTAGAGATCCAGAGGAGGAGGGTATTTCTTTCAGAGATTTCTGATTTCGTTTACTTCTCTAGCTTTTTTTTTTTCTGTTGTTTTTTGTTTTTTGCTTTTGGAACTTTTGTGGTCCCAGTGCACTTTGTCACTAATTAAGTAATATACGGCAAAACTGTAAATGCACGAGCTATTGTTTGTACCGAAAAAAATACTTTCATCAAACTACTATACACGGTACCATGGCTTTCAATACAAAATTGCTTTCTGCAATATGGGGCTCCCTCTTTTCTAGTCTGTCGGTTTACCAGCAACGAACCGACCAAAAACTCCGGCGCACAACGTCGCATAGTGTATACAAAATCGAGTGTGGATCATCCCCACAATTCCATTCCTCTGTCAGAACATCGCCAAATGTATTTGCCGAGAACCAGAGTTTCGGAACCACAGCTGGCTGTCGGTTTCGTGGGATTGCTTATCTTCCTATTTATGCTGTTGTTCTGCTTTGGCGTTCGAAAGCTCCAAACCAGATATGCTAAGCAAAGTCCTCAGCCGCAGCAAGATGTCCAAAGACACGAAACTCGACCATCGCCCATGCGATACGAAAGACAGTCGACGCTGGTGGATCAACTTCCCGTGTACGAGGAGGCACCTCCGGCCTACGAGGAAATCTCAAGGCCAGATGAGGCACATGTGGCTCTGCGATGAACTTTCAGATGAACTCCGATGGCAAACTAGAGTTGATCTCAGATCATCGATGCTGGTTTTCTCAACAGTGCAGTGTCCTGGTTGGTGTTGAGTGCAGTGTCATTGAGTGCAGTGTCCTGGCTGGTCGATGCAGTGGACTCGCCTACTCTAATGTCCACGCTCATCTAATACCACCTCTAATATCCATGTGCTACTATTCACTTCCATCTCCTAATCACTGTTTTGTTGTCTGTGTCTCTATCTACATGTATGGCCTGCTAATATCAGACGAAAGGAGAATTAATCTAATTGACTTAGGATTGCTGGACAATCACACTACCTGACGATGGCTGATAACAGTGGTAAGCAACGATGGCCATACGTTTAATATCTATTGTATAATGAAGATCTTCACTATATGTCTAGAAGACTTGTAAGCGCTTTGGCTGATGCCGACTCCAGTACTTGTACGAGAGGTCTAGTTCTTCTGGTGTGAGGACACTCTTCTAGTCGTGATGGACTTTGACTGAAAAACGTCCCAGTTTCCGCTCGTCGTTGTTTTTCTTGAACATCGATCTTAAGATTTTCTGTGCTGTATCTTTACTGTCTCTGCTATGTATGTCTGTGCTATTTGAATTGTCTGTGCTATGTATGTCTGTGATATTTGTACTGTCTACGCCATATCTGTCTTGCCAGAACCCGTATTGCCATATGGACCACAGCATCCTTAGCAAACTAAAGCAAATAACATCCTCTAACTCATAAGTATTCTTCGCCACTCTATTCTCGCAGTGTCGTGTCTAGATTGTCCCTGGGTGCAAAATGATAAATGGTGATTATCTGTAGGACGACTCATCTCATTCTGCTCATCACCACATCAATCATGAAATCCACCAGAAACCACCCCAATATCATCATTACAGGAACGCCTGGATGTGGCAAAACATCGCACGCTGAAAGTTTGGTTTCACAACTCAAGGGCCCATACACCCATCTCAACGTGAGCGACTTGGCCAAAGAGAGAAAATGCTTGGAAAGTTACGACGATGAGTTGGACACACACGTGGTGGACGAAGACAAGCTTTTGGACTCTCTTGAGATCGACTTGAGAGAAGGCGGTGCTGTTGTTGACTGGCACTGCTGCGACATTTTCCCGGAAAGATTGATTGACTTGGTTGTGGTGCTCAAGACAGACACAGACAAGTTATTTGATAGATTGAGCAAGAGGGGCTACAAGGACAACAAGATCCAGGAAAACTTGGACTGTGAAATCATGGAAGTCATTTGGCAAGACGCTGCCGGTGCATACATTCCAGAAATTGTCATTCCGTTGGCCTCTAACAGCGTAGAGGATATGGAGGAAAATGTCGATAGAATAGCGGCATGGATCGAGAACTGGGTCAACGACCACCCAGATGGTGTGACAAACGAAATAGATCCAGAGGTATTGGCTGCGCACCAGGCACAGCAAGAAGACGATGACGAAACGGACGAGTGAAGGTGAAACAAGGCTGGCCAAATGAAATTCAAGAAGCTACCACGCATGTCATAACTGGGCGTCTACGGGTGTCACAGATTAAATGCGTTCATTTCTACTATTTTCAGTTCCCGATAACGTCGTCACAAATTGTGTTCCTGGTATATAGTGATAAATTCTATGCTATGACGTGGGAGTAGATTCTCCGAAGAGACACCAATGCAATAACGAAGAAAATGGCGATGGCAATGTAGTAGCCTCTGGTGACAAAGAAGTAGGACCACTTGCTTTTGATGCGGCTCAAGTTGTGGTGCTCCAACTCTATGACACACTTGGCATTCTGTTGGAAAATGTACTTGGACTCCTCGATGATTTCCAACTTCTGCTCCTCTGTCAAGTTGTTTCTCGTTTGCAACTCGTAGTCTCTCTTGTAGAGAAGACGGAACGTGTTCTCATCTTCCACGTCAAACAGGAAGAAGTTAGAGCCTTCTTTGACGATTTCACCGTGGCTCAAACCATCCTTACGAGGAAACAAGCCTGTGGCTCTCGAAATGGACGATCTCATGACACGCCCGCCAGCAAAAAGCGCCAAGTACATCACATGCAAGTATGCCAACAAGAGATAAGGTTTCTCGCTCGTCACCTGGCGAATGTGGTTGACAAACTCGATTTGCGCAGGCATGATGGGCGTCATGAACTTCTCTTTTCTGCCGTCATAGTAGAACAACAAGTCCTGCTGGCCCTTCTCGCGTCTGGCCATCTCAGGCTTCCACACATTTCTGAGAAGCGGGGTCCACTCGGAATCTTCGTTTTCGAGCTGCTTGTACAAACACTCTTCAATCGTGGCAAACACGTGGTAAAAACTTTGCAAGCCTTGTCTGAAGATCTTGTAGTCACGCAAGGCAAGCGCAAACTTGAGTGTGACCAACTTGTCGATCTTATTATGAAGACTTCTGGTTTCCATGTTGATTCTGTTGGCCAAGGCTCCGACATCTGTGCGCAGCGGAATAATTTCCTGCTGGTTCAACTTGGTTGTTGTGGTGGACATTTTGATGTAGGTATAAGTGGCGGGAAGTCCTTGTGAGTAAAGCTCTTCAAGGAAACTGTTTGAAGAAAAGTGTAGAAAAAGTGGGTGTGGTTTTTTTTTCTGCGGCGAGCATGCCTGGTATATTAAGTATTCACCGATATCTCCGACAAAGGCAATCGCATATATCGGTCTACCCCGCGACAAGAATTTTTGTCCCATTTCTTCTCTCGTAGGGCTGTGCAGAAGACTGATACTATTTTCTTGACATGTGTTTTCATCTCGGGTTTTCCGTTTATTTTTAGGGCGCCATTTCCGTAGCTCTTGCTCATAAAAGCAGATGCATCCATGCTGGGAGACGCGACTGATGGAAAAGATAATGCAGACTATGCACACCAGAGAATGCTCGATAAATGCACTACAATTTGTGGGGATAATCTCGTGTGAATGCTCAAAAGGTGACGTTTGTCCGAAATTTGTGTGAACGGTCATGGGAATTTAACATTTTACAATCAACCAAGCGGCTTAATCTCAGGGTCATGAGGTTTCAATTTCCTGACTCTAAAGCTTAATCCTTGCATTCGTAACAACTGCGAGTGGCCGTGAATATCAAGAATGACGGATGGCTGCAGTTTTACGAGCTTGAGATTTCGTAGTATGAAAATCGCACAGTGAAGATTATGATTCTAGTTTATCGAAGGTCAGACTGGCATTCCGTGACAAAGGAAGAAGGGCATCTCATAGACCTTTATGACGTTTCCTTTAGGTCGACCATACAGGAGAACCTGGAGGTAGTCCAGGCCTGGTTATGGTAACTTCTAGATAAGCTTTGTCGTACGAGATAAACCCTAATTACCAAGTCTATAAGAAGCCTGGCTTTAAGTTGTAGTTGGAAGCCAGGAACAAAGAAATTCGGACTAAAATATACACGGCCAATTGTATTCAGAACCCAACAGTGTCAACATTGTAGTCAATATTTTAATCCAGAAGCTAAACCTCTTCTTTTATCCATCATTACTTCATGCTCTTCACCTTCACCGCCAAATTATGTTTCTAAAAGTTCTTTTGCTCGTTGGCCATGTAGATCACTATGCAAGGTAATAGCGCATCAAATCATTGTTGGACTGGGCACTTGTAATTCAATATTGAATCACAACAGAGAATATACTCTTTACATCTCAGAATGAGCACAATTCGACTTTAGAAGTAGAAAGCATCAACGACCAAAACAGTATTATCAATGTGCTGGCACTTTGTTCAGTTGTTGGCCAGTCAACATCTACAATAAAATCATTTCTTAACATGCATTGAAGGTATAGGCTAGCTAATACCTAGATCCAAAGATAAGCCTTCTTCCACCATGGGGCCGCAGCATATTTCTGCTTAGCCTCCTCCTTCTCTAATTTCATAATTTCCGGGTCGTATATCGTTCTCCCCGTGAAAATATCAATCTCATCTACACGAAGCCAGTACTTCTTCCAGTTGCCCACGTAAATCTTGTGGCCAAGGTAACAAACGATAAGGAAGGGCACACAGGCGTAGTTCTGGAAAAAGTTGTTAACACTAGCATCTCCATCAGGGAATAAAGCCACCCAGAACTGACCAATCAAAATCAAACCGTTGACAATAATGGAGTACCATGAACCCAAAACACCAGTGTATGAGACAAAACCCAAAGTGTCCAAAGAGACATTGTTGTAAGCCAAAGCGGCTCTCCATCTCAAGTGACAGATGCAAAGGGCAGGCCAGATAAACACAATGGACAAGGCAACAATGGACAAAAGCCAGTTGAAAACCACATCTTGCTTTTCGTAGGTGGCGATGAATGCAAAACACAGCGCAAGAATAGAAACAATCCAAGCTCTGAGAGGACGGCCAGCTTTATCAGTGTAGTTAAAGAAGCGAGGAGCATAACCTTGTTCGGCAAGAGAACGCAACAATCTCGAAGACGAGTACATGGCAGCAGTAGCCACAGAAGTGACCGAGTTCAAAATCACCGCATTGACAATGTGAGGCACAACCTTGACCCCATGAAGATCGGCCGCCAACACATATGGAGAGGCACTGACAGAACCAGAACCCAAAAGACGGTCCGAGTCATATGGCACAAGCAAGCCAACAATAACCAAGGAACCCAAGTAAAAGAAAACAATACGAAGGAAAACAAGTCTAATGGCAGTGGGCAAAGCTGCTCTAGGGTTGCGCACTTCAGAGACAGACAAGGCCAAAAATTCAGTACCACCCATGGAGAAAGAGGCAGTGGAGAAACCCTTAACGAAACCTTTGAACGATACCCAAGCACCAGGGTGTCTCCAGTATTTACCTCCAATGTATCCGCTTTTGGTAGCGCCGAAATCAATGCACAAACCCATAATGAAGAAACCAGTCAACATTGTGAGCTTGAGCGAGTTCATGAAAAATTCCGCCTCACCGTAACCACGAACACCGAACAAGTTGATGAAACAAATGACAAGGAAGAAAATCACCACAAACACATCCGAGTTGATGGAGGTGTTCCAGTATTTAATGGTCATCGAGGCAGTCACCAACTCTAAAGAAATGGTGGTTACCCACTCAAACCAATAGTTCCAACCCAAGGCAAAAGCAATGGAATCATCCAAAAACATTCTGTAGAATTCGTTGAAACCACCCTCCATTTCCGTGTATGCCACTGTAAGCTCTCCTACAGAGTTCATGGTGCAAATACACATGGCACCAACAATGGCGTAGGCGAGCAAAACAGCGAGAGGACCACCAAGTCTCAACTTGGCAGCAGAACCAACTAAAAGACCGGTACCCAAACCACTGCTTAGAGCAATCACCATCAAGTGGGACATCTTCAAGTTTTTTTCCTTCAAGTGTTGGCCATGGCCCTCTCTGAATGAGTCGACAAATTTAGCCCATCCTTTAAGTGGAGGACCGGCGTCAGAGGTGTTGTCGGAGGCATATATTTTGATTTCGGAAACAATTGGTTCAATGTCGTTGACATTATTGGCATGTGTGCCTTTGCGATGCTTCTCGGTCATTGTGTTTAGCAGTTGAGAAAAAAAATAGCAAAAAGAATAAAAATCCAAGAAACCAAGGCAAGCGTGGGTTTATATCTTGGCAGTGACAAAATATGTATGTTCACTTCAACAGTTGAATGTACTGAACAGGTGCAGACACAAAAAAGAAAAACAAGAAAAAGAAAGGTATGCTCACGTCAACGGAGGAAGCTAAATATTATAAACCCGATAGTCATCTCTTGCAAAAGGGGTGAATGCCGATTTGTTATCTCGGCATGAACAAGCGATATGCAACCCCTCCCATCACACATGATAGCAGAAAGTGGGCAATGAAGCGCAAATACCCCATTGTCATGTTCAAATGCCAGTCTAGATGAATGCAAAACGCCGCGCATATGGCAAAAATGCCATTGACTGATGCAGGAATATGCACAGAATAGTAGTTTTGCCATAGGTAATCCATGCATGGCGGGTAATTTCCGGAATGACACCCATGTCCTAGCGGAAAAAGAAATTTGCAAAAACGTCATGAAGAACCCTTCATGCAGAGGGGAAACACAAATCACCAGAGGAGAAACAAGAACCACACGAGAAACATGGACTGCCACTTTCCCCTCCTCCCCCGACACTGTTCGAATACGGCAATACGCGAAAGTCTCCACGACAATGTCTGTGCACATATAACCCTTCTTTATCTACGGCAATTGTGATGGTCCAATCATGCGAGCATTTCGCAAAAACCAAAACGGCTGACTGAGTGCAGTACAATCTTTCATGCGAGGCGATTTCGAAGCATGTTCGGCGATTTTTGTAGCTTATCGCGCAGAGATTGCCCTGTCACCACTTAGTAATCAGACGTGGTCCATTCGGATTTGGTAAATACCGCGCTATATCCTTTCCTGTAGGCGCATCGTGGGGAACAAAGTGGCATGTGGGGACAATAATGGTGTGTTTTGCCAGAATCCGGGCCGGAGCAGTTGGGACAGATAGCAAAAATTATTGCCCGTCTGAATGCCGTGCCAGAGAAAGAGAGTTGGGTGGTTTGCATCCGTACCTTCTGGGCTCCGCCACCGAAAACCCGTACCGTTTGCCCTAATCACGGAAATAAGACTCGGAACGGAGCGGAGCTTGGCACAGAGCATTTTTTTTCGGCTCCTGGCTCCATTTGCTTCCGCGCCGTCGCTACTGGATACACGCACGTGACCGGCAAAACCTCGTCTCACGACTTTTTCCATCCAACCATCCTTCGCCAGCCCCATGGTTCAGCTTCTCTCGAGCGTGTACTCGTACAATTCAGACTTCTACACCACTTCGGTGGCCTACCTCAACCGGTATCCGAACCCATATGCCAAGCACGTGCTTTCCTCCGACACACTAGGCACCTCTGTCGACGACCAGGGCCGCCTTCACACGACGCGGCTAGTGGTGAAGACAGGGCTGTTGCCGGACTTCATCAAGCCCATATTGGGCCACAAGCTCGAGTCGTGGATCATCGAGAAGGCCGTGATTGATCCGAAAACCCAAACCGTGCATGCTTACTCAGCCAATGTGGACCACCGCAAATTCGTCAAGGTGGAGGAGTATCTCACCTACAAGACGGAGGGCGAGGTGACCAGCATCGAGGTGAACGTCAAGTTCTCGTCGAATTTCTTCGGCTTCAAGCGGCGCATCGAGGAGTGGAGCAGGGACAGATTCCATCTGAACATGAACAATTCAAGAGAAGGGCTTATGTATGTCATAAACCGATTCAAGCGCCCCGGGTGGGCACTTTCGGCCTGAGGGCCTTTGCATATCAATGAACGACTTACGACTAGTGACTGTAGAGAGACGAGAAAGAATAGAAAGAGAAAGAATAGAACGACGGAAAGACGAGACTCGATTAGGCTGGAGAACAGCAAACTAGATTCACGCTGGCTTACTCTTGAAAATGCTCTACTTTATTGAGTTAAGTAGTCTCAAAGAAGGATGATTTCAGTAGCTTCGTACCCAATGGCATGTACCCAGAAATCCGAAAGGTGAATCCGAAAGTCCGAGTGCGAAGTATTATCAACTAAACAGAAGCCTACTAGATAGATATCAGACTGTCTTTCCTGAGCTAATCTTCCAGTATGTAAGAGATTTTCTATGCTTATAGTGATTTTCACGGCAAGTATCAAAAATTTACAGTAGTCCATTCTCGGGCCTAGATGGTTATCGTTCTGCATACACCATGGTGATAACCTCCCAAGCCACTTTTGCTATCTGTCATCAAGTCTTCATTCGAGAAAAAAGCTTTTTTGAGCGAAAAGACTAATCTCATACAATAAAAGAGTGCCGAACACGCCAAAGAACTGCAACACTTGCGCTCTTGTCTATACCACCTCCAGTCAATTTCAGAAGTCCTATAAGAGTCATTTCTCTCCGGAATGGACCTGCCCCAACAACTAAGCAAAGGCCGGTCCTCTTTCTCGTCCACGGAAGCTCCGTGTTTCCGACGCAACTCGTTTCTCTCTCGCAGCATGATTGACCACGAAAAGGCGTCTGTATACGAGTCTTTTAGCTTCTTCCATGATACTCCGCAACAAAGCATCATTTCGCTTAAGGAATGCCAGGGTTTTATCTTCAACCAGAACCTTTTTGCTACTCCGTACCAGCAACTGCGTTCTGCAGCCAAAGAAAAACGCTTGCGTGCTTTGAGTTTCTCCAAAGTCAAGTCTAGAACTACTAGCGAGACAGAAGTGGAGAAACAGAAAGCACGCAGACACACGTCACACGAACTAAAACCACATTTCCAGTGGGGAAGTATCGGAAGCGACGTGGCTGTGGAAGATGATCTGATGGAAGTGGACTCTGGCGATCAGGCCACAAAAGAAGACGAGTTGAAACACAACGAAGCGGATGAGCTAAAACACAGCGAGGAGGACGAAGAAGACTTGGAAGACGACAATATCGATGAGCTCGATGAGTACGAGGAAGCCGAATACGGTCTGTTTGCAGTAGTCGAGGTAACAGACATTTTAATCGACGAAAAAGACCAGGACTATCTTCCGAGCAAGGACTGGGATTGATTGCATCCGATTCAATTGAGTAAAGTCTAACGAGAAACATGAGTTGTGAAGATTAGGAATCGGCCTCGAATTATTGGAGATCTTGGTACGAAAATAGTTGGGGATATTATAGGAAATATGGTAAATAAACAAGAGATCTATGATGTGAGGACTAGAAGGACGAGTATTGTCTTAATGATATTAGACTCGATGCCGTCCTGAAGTGTTGATAAGATAATGCTGTGATTCAGATGAGTCAAACTCACATTGACTGAGTGAAATGGAATTTTAATACTTTTCTACATGCACCTGGAAGATTTTCGTGCTCTTGTATTGGCGTTTGCAATACTTTGGCACGATATATACGCTTTATGGATTGTAGAGGTCAAAATTAAAGCTCTACTAACCTAGTTTGAAGAGTACTTGTGAAAATTCAATATTAGCGCAGTTCAGCTTTCGTATTGGATTTCTGATTACCGATACATGCACGGAAATCCATGACATCATCAGGAGAGAGCTGTGATACTATTTCAGAATCTTCCCAGTATTCTCGGTTCTAGATGCTAACTTATTAGCGAAAGTGAGTGGTCATAGCACAACTATTTAAACAACCAGTTCACAATTGTTTCAGCACAGAACCGAAAGGGAACATAACGTAATAACCCCAAAGTAAGAACAAATAAGGCGATAGTATAGTAGAGAAAAAAGATCAAGATTGATTACGCACCTTTTCGATAAAGAAAGGAAGAGAAAGTAAAGAAGAAAAGGGTAGCAAGTTCGAGTCGGCGACGCTAAATCCGAATTGGAAGTCACTCAAATATCATCTATCACAAACTCATGAATAACACATTGTTTCAATAAAAACAATCGAAGTTGTCAAAACTCTTTTCCACTACCGCACTCATAAAAAGTAGTGCATCTTTTAGTAGTAAGCGCACCTCCATATTCGATTCTTCAGACTACAATCTCCATGGCCGACATCAAACTGGACTTTGAAAAGCTCTCGATGGAGTTTTCTCGACAGCAAAACAGCATCAACGACTTGGCAGATGCTCGTTCCAAGCTTGAGACGCAGTACCAGGAAAACAAAATTGTGCTTGAGGAATTTGAGTTTTTGAACGAAGACTCCAAAATCTACAAGTTGACCGGGCCCGTGTTGATGCCGCAAGACTTTGGAGAGGCCAAGATGAACGTGACCAAGAGAATTGAGTTCATTCAGGGCGAAATCAAAAGGGTGGAAGACAAGATCGAGAAGGAGCAGAAACTGATGGAGGAAACGAGGAATAAGTTGTTGGCTGTGAGAGCCCAGATGGGCAACTAAAGAAAATAAAAAGGTTGAATGATTCCACAAAGGAGGAAACACCTTAATGTGCTTAATATTGAATAGATGACGATAAGATGCGAGGAGAAGAGTATTCGCACAACTTTGAGCAAATGATGCATTGAAGGTCCAAGTAGGGCAAATGTGGCAATGTAGAGAGACATAAACTGTACTTCTATTCCATCTCTACACTATTAGTTTAGTCAGCCAACGTGAGAAATGAGAAGACGTTTAGTCAGTTTAGTCAGTAAATGAAAGAAATGAAAAGACGTTTAGTACGGAACTTTACCAAGGCTTCCTGAACGACTATTTTCTGGCTTAGGACAGCAATTGAAATGTTCGTAAGGTCGTCTCGAAACTCATTGCGGGTGTTTATCATTACACGTTCACCGTGAAGTCAGATTCATCATCATTTGAGTCACCTGGGATCATGAGATTCCAGGCCAATCAAGGCTTCGTCTACACAGTATAGTCATAGCGTCATATTCTATTCAAAAGCTCCAGCAAAAAATCGGCCTGGCTATTATCCACGGGCCAACTGCGAGCGGATCAAGTTGACAGTCGAGATGGCAGTGAAGGCGCTCCATTGCTCCACCGCATTGTAACCGGCTCCAGCTGCTTTCAAACTGGCCACACTTGAATCCACAAAAGCCTCGGTACGAGTGTAGTTCTCGCTGCGGTCTTGAAGCATGAAAAGCTCGGATTTGACGTAGATCGAAGAAAGAGCAAGTCTCTTGGCATACCAGGCCAGATCGTGCGAGTCGTCGCCGGCGTAAAAGGCCACATCATCGCTCAAGTTATGGAGCTCGCCAAGTGCGGCAGCCCAGTTGTATGGAGCCACCAATTGCGCAAGGGCCTCTTTCATACGGTGGGCAATTGGCTGGTTGTACGAGAGTCTCGTTTTGAGAAGATACGCAGCACGGTCGTACTCGTTTGCCACGTTATGGAAAGGCAGCTCTTTGTCGCACACGTGGTCCCACAAGCGCTGGCGCAGATTCTTGAGCCAGAACAACACAAGCAGGAACTCAGGCGAGTGAGAAGAAGAGGCAGAAAGAACCAGTTGAAGCGAGTCCAGCATATTCAAGTCAGCGACGGCAGCAGAAATGCTTCTTTGCGAGAAACCCAACTCGGGCACATGTTTGAGCGCCTGCCCAAGGAGAAGTGTCTCGGGCAGTTTTGGGTTGACAATGGTGTTGGCATGGGAAACCGAGTGGTATGAACGAGAAGACCGGAGAATCAGACGAAACATGGCAAATCGAGGTGACAACAGGACAGAGTTACGAGAGCCAAAACAAACAAAGGGCAAACAATCGAAAACCAAAGGATCCGAAAAATACGCTTGTGCAAGTACGTGGTCAAGACCAGCGTTTCAAAAAGGCGCGCCAGACTGTAAGGATGTTTGAGATTATGGGACGAGTTTGAGCCGGATGTTAATACTAGAGATATGGCCAGACATGACTAGAAACAATGAGTAAGCAAAAATGCTAGATAATTAAGTGCTTGAGATTTTTGTAGCTCATCCTAATTTTTGTTTAAATCTATGGTAATTGCTGTTAAGACTGATTATGCGATTGTGAGGTTCTCGATACGAAGCTTCGCACAGAAGGTATAGAACTACACAGGCTCTCCTACTCTTTGAAGCAGCATAACTTACCTATATGGATCCTAAATCTCTCTTAGTGAATGACGATATAATCTGATACTAGTACCAGTTTTGCCAGTTTCGCATCGTATGTTGTTGTAGGTCCTCTCTGTGAATAATGCTTAAAGGAGTTGTCTTGCTATACTTTTTCAATTTTTGAAAGTCGGTGCGCATCATATGAACGAACTAGATATTGCAAAAGAAGTCTTCAAATAGGCCGACTGCTGTGGGCTATGATCTTTGCCAATGCTTATGATCTTGAGTTTGTGATGAAGGATTTTGTTGTCGTTGACACGAGTCTTAGAAACGGAGTTTCCTACTATGAAACGTGGAAAAAGGAAATGGCTAACCTTGATCATCCAAGTTACTTCATTGATAAAAAAGCTAACTCTGGCTGGCTATTTTGGGGCAATAACATGATCGCGACAACCAACAAGCCTTGTTACGATTTGAATTTGAGGGACTCAGACGTAGCAATCATCAGAGGCTTTTCTTCGTGTGTAACGAAAGAATGGTTCACTAATATAGTCAACTTATGGGTTGCAGATAATGATTCCAACTCCGTTTTACAAGGCACTGATGTCTTCGTAACCAAATTCGGTCGAATACCTTGAAATACTCGGTCGAACATAGTCACTCGAATCGACCTCGGTCAAGTCGTACTTGGGTCGACCTGGCTCATGTATTGGTGAGATAATAGTAACGACGGGTCTGTAAGTAATCGGAAATAGTTGCACTGTCCTGAATACCTGACAATGTGAGTGCAATTCGTCCACCTGGAAAAATAAACGGCCCGCTACATATACGGTCAACTATTTCATTTAGGAGGTGCATGAGGGCGTGTAAACTATTCATCTAAGCCCACATATGCATGGGATGGTATCATGCATGCGAAAATATTCGCCGCATATACGTGAGGCTGACTGATAGCACATTATAAGACCGCAAAATACGCACCAGAAAAAATTAAAAAACATGTCGAATACCCAATCGACCGCAATCGTGGGATGTGGGGCCCACCCAAGCATAAGAGTCAAGTTGGGCACTAACCAGACCTCTCTTTGCGACCATAATGGCACATTATACATCCAAGTGATGCCTTATACCAAATCGCACGGCTCTACCTTTGTGGCTTGCAATAATGCTAGTTATAAGTTGGAAGACGGTCAGGGATACGAGTGCGCTTTCGATAAGCTTTTTGTCGAAGTGATAGGCAAAATGGCCTACAAAAGCGCAGGACCCAAGCTTAATGTCAAGGCATTGTTGGTTTTCTTGTTGTTGGGGATGAGTGTCATGTTGTGAAGCGCCGATCATCCTCGTTTCTTTAAGCAGATTTTGGGGTGGCCATACAAGAATTTAAATATAGAGATGAAATACACATGTTAAGAGAAGCTCCTCGGTTATCTCCAGCACAAAAACACCTCAATGTTCGATTCTTTGAATATAAGATAAACTGCTGTAACAAATAGGCAAGTGCATAACGCAGCAAGAAGCATGCAAGTACGCCTCTTACAAACGGCCATGCAAGAGAAGATTGTGTCTTCTTGAAATCCTGCTCTCTCGACTTAAATGAAGAGGAATGCCGAAAATTGCTTCTTATACTATCAGGCACATATCCAAGTGTTGAAGAAAGTAGTCGCATCAAAGATTCGAAAAATTCATATTGGCCCCTCAAGAAAAATTAGGTTCTTGGGAAACAACGTGTATTAGCTTTAGTAGAATACCCTATCAGTTCCGCGACTCTATGTACGAGGGAAAGCTAGGATCATACCCATCCCGATAGATCAAACTTAACTAAACGTTGTTTACTTGAAATATCCAACTCATGAATCTCTATTCAAGATCCTCACTCCAGCTCTACTGTCAGAAGTCTTTATAAAAGACTCATGGATTGATGTATGATCTACCAGTGGCCAAGGTGTGCATAGAGCTGCCACTTCTGAGTGTGATAGTCTGCACCTTTCAGAAGACATATCTAACCCATCTACGCCACATTGCCATGCTAGTATGTATTTGCATCTGCTTCCCCAGATCTCTCTAACCGCCAGATAAAACAATGGTCCGAGGCACAATTTCCTCGCCACGCTTTGGCTGACGAGGAAAATGCATCACAGCCCAAGATTCTCCGCCATGACATTTCTGTGCCAGAAACCGTTTCAGCTAATCTTCTTATAGTGGTGCCCCAACAACTCAGTGTGGTGGTTGACTCTGTGGAAGAAAAAGACCCAATTGGCTCGCTCCACTTTGAGTATCGCCCAAATGCTGGAGACGAAGCGAGCGAAAGTCCCGCCTCTTCGAACGAGGCTGAATACGACGAAGATGAACAGCTTTACGCAGCCATGAAGCAAGAACAAACGAAACGTGTCCAGCTGACTGTGTATGCTTGTGGGCCGGAGAAATCCGTTCTTGTCGTGGTGGCTCCACATGTGGAAGATGTGTTGGCCCAGAAGTCCTTGGCAGACACTTTGGGCCAGTTGGCGCAGAAATGCGGCCGCTGTATCGTGCTAGCGCCATGTTCGCTTGGGTGGGGCCAGCTTATTTGCCGGTTGGATCTTCCAGGCGACTTTTTCGCTACGGTCGATCCGATCCGGCCTCCTCATTATGTTTCTGGTCTTGCTGCAGCACTTGTTTCGGAATTGACCCAAAATTCGAAGGCTGACCTTGGTTTGCTTGCACTCAATGCCGAGGGCCATGTGGGTTACGAAAAGGTTGACGCAGATTCGATCATGGCCGCAGCTGAGAACTTTGCCTCTTACTTAGTAGGTAAGTCGCTGAAAGCTAGTTACATTGAGCGGTTGAGTCGAAATGTGCGCCGCATTGCATCTTCGGTGACTTCGGGTATGTACTTGTAATGGAAGCTCAAATATTGGAGCGTTTGCCACGTAAGTATTTGGTGAGAATAGATGGTATTTCGGTTCAGTTGTCACAGCAGCAATGTCTATTATTCGTTTATCGGCGGTTTGTCTTTCAATACGTTCGTTCGATGCAATTCACTACAACTATTCAGCTTGCAAAACTAAAGCTACTGTTATGTCCACTAATGAGCACCCATGTTATTCAAGCGTCGCACTATTGTCATCAATACAATGAATTTAGTGGCACCACAGTCAATTGGATTACCTTAGAACCCGTATTACTGGATTCTTGACATTCACAACTTTTATTCTGGCAGTTGAAGAGGTTCTATGTTTGCTCTTTTGTTCTTCTGAAGTCCATGCAAATATTGTTAAATATTAACCAACAAGCACTATTTAATCCTATTGTTATATTATTCAATGTAACACATCTCTATTCGTTCGTTTCCTTCTGCCTAAATCGCCACCATGACTAATCGAAGCGCTTTGGCAGGGTTCCCCTAGCATCTAATTATGGCCCAGTACCAGCTGAGTTTAGGAGGAAGAGTTTCTCATCGACAAGAAACAATTCCAGAGCACAGAAACAGAGGAGGAAAACGGAACTTGAAAGCTTCGAGGCACCAAAAGAAAATTAATAAACTGGACAGGAAACCAGACGGAAAAGTTGACAATTAGTGTTTTCAAGTAGACCCGCCGCAACTTTGCCTTTGCATCTTCCCATGTGCCACTTTCAAGTACCATTGTTCCGTAAATGAAAAAGCAACAGAGCGAAACCGGAGAATAGCAGAACTGGTCTGACATGACTTTGCGGATCACTTCGATGAACTGCGGATGCTTTGTGTAAGTGTGGAGGAAACTGTACCACCAGCTCTGAAAAAACGCCAAGATGAAGCCCCAGCACATAAAGCCAGCCAATCTGTTAAAATGGAAATACGTCAAGCGTAGCGGAGTCTCGCTTTCTATTATGCTGGAGGCATCTCCTGTCATGCTCTCATTGTCCGCAGCTTGGATATAATCGAGAAAGCTGTTGAGGTTTTCATCATCGATTGGATCATCCGGATTCAGTGTGAGGCTTTCAGAACGGCGGCGGAATTCTTCTCTGGACAAGGCAAAGGATCTGCGGCGCTCTCTTATGCGGAAACTGACACGAGGCGAGTTTGGGTTGTAGCACAAGATTGTCTGGGCCAACGTTTCGGAAATGCCGTACAAGACCAAGTTGGTGACGATGATGGTGATAAGCGAGTTCTTCATGTAAAGCTCCTTGTATTTTGTGGTCAACTTGAGGAGGAAAATGCCCAAAATGCCAATGATCACAAAGTTGATGGCGGGGATATCGTAGAAACGAAGGCAATTGGCTATTCGAGTCGGGAATCCCACAGTGGACTCTTGCTTGAGCGTATAGGGTTCTTCATGGGCACGAGAAAAACGGGGAGAATCGTCTTCGGGAAGAGAAATCATGCCGGGTAAGACGGCGCTTGTATGGTTGGATGTTCTGTGAGTCGATGAAAGTGAAAAAGACAAAAGAGATTGAAACGAAAAGATCAGCAGAAAGTACACCAAAGCTAGACAAGTACACTGGTGGAATAATCTGGGTCGTGTATGTGCAGTCCTTACCTTATCGGAACCATCGGCATACTTTGGCTCTACGGACCAAGTGAAGCAGAGAAAGCATAGAAAATGTACGATGGTGAATGTCTGTAGAATAACTGTCGAGATGTCTAAATGTCTAAATGTTTAAATGTTCAAATGTTCGAATGAATCTCTAATGTCCCCATGCCAGGACATAGACAGAAACATGAAAGAACGAAACAGGCAAAAAAACAAAACACAGAGAACAAAATGAACAAAGAACATGACTTGACGAGACCACAGAAAAAAATCCAAATCGAACACATTCTTCCAACTCCCATCTATTGAGGTAGGTTTTCCCACGTGATCTTCAACACCCAGTCTGGTGTGCGCACGTCGCCCAATCAAATGATGAGAAAAGTAACCATCAGAATTCTCCATAGTAAAAGTCATGTCGTACAACAAAGCATACGAGCCGGTCAGAGGCGAGCCCGCGCAAAGCGATTACGAGCTCATCGATGTCGACCCCCACTTCAACAGAGTCGTTTCCTACTTCAGAGGCTCTGATATCGGACTTTGGGCCGCCACCACTGCGGCTTTCCCAGTTTCGTTGGTGGCATGGGAGAGATTGGAGCCTGTTGCAGGCGCATTCAGACAGCCCGGCAAGGTGCCAGCGGGCGCGTTGAGAGCGGCCACGTTGGTTGGGTTTTTCGGCGGTTTCTACCTCGCATACATCAGATCCTCGAAACGGTTTTTGGGCTGGTCTGAGAACGCCAGAGAGGTGAAGAAGGACAGATACGAAATCAAAAAGTTGTTGTCCGAGGGCAAGTTGCCCTACCACGACAACGAGTCCAAGTTGGACGACAGAATGAAGGACATTGCCAACAGAAACTCGCAGTACTCATTCACCACCTTGGCGATTTTGCCGTGGTTCAACTTGGCCTACCACCCATACCACGGCGTGAACATCCAGAAATACTACGAGACGAGACCTGGTGAGGAAGAGTGGGGCTTCACTTTGAAGCCATATGAGGAAATCAAGGCCAAGTACGCCAAGCACATTGAGTAGGTGTCAGGTTTCCGTCTATTTATAGACATGTAATTTACGTTTTGCATTGTAAGAGAACAATCTCTTCGTGGTGGCATTCACCAATGGGGCTGGTGTAGGGTATATTGTAGTGGTCGTTCACTATCGTGACATGGTTCTGGAAGATGCAATGACTAAGGCAAATGCAAGTGGGTTTGGAACTGCTACCATTCTTAAATAAATAGGTAATATGTCCAGCGATTACTCATGGGTTCCAAAGTTGATGAAGATCTGTAAACTAAATTACATCAGTACGGTAGAATACAATGAGCTGGTAGTCCATCCGCTTTCTTCTTTCATTCTTTTCAACTCTTTTCTTCATTTTATTTCCCTTTTTCTTTCATTCATTCATTTCTTTATTTTATTTCATTCATTTCTTACATTTTATTTCCTTTTTTCTTTTGATTCTCATTCCCGTTTTGCTTCATTCATTACTCGATTCTGCGCAGTATATAGAATGTTCATTCGCGTCTCGATAAACCATCCCCATATATCACAATAGTAAACATGCATTGCAAAATAAAAAAAGAAGAATCGAAATCGTCCTTAAATTCCAAGTAACTGTAATTCTATGTCCAATTGCAATTCCTATAGAGAAAAGTACATCAAGTTATCTCGATGTAGAATGGCCATCACGGGTAATATCCTGCAGATATTGTGCTTTATTTACAAACACCAGTCGATCTTTCTTCTTTTCCCATGGCCGATCAGGAGGACTATTCTCGGCTTCCCGTCGAAGAAAAAATCGTGCATAAAGTATGGAAAGTCAGGTTGGAAGGATACACTGCTCTTATTGAGCAGTTTGACAATTCGAGAGACTGCAATGATTCTGTTTTTGCGCCGTTCAACCAGAGGCCAGAGTCGCTTAAGGCCATAGTTACCGATTCCAACGTTGTTGCGCAGGAAACGGGAATCCTCGTGCTCTGTAAATTCTTGGAACTTGGTGGAACAGCAACTAACGTGCTGAGATTGAAAGCAGCAGGCATCATCAATGCCCTTTGTGAAAAGGGTTTATCGTCTAGTCGAGCAGGAACAAAGACAAAATCCGTGGAGGCGCTTCTATCTTTCGTGGAGCTTTTCAATTCTGCGGAGCCTGTTTTGGAAGTAGTGTCTCCATACTATGAAAACCGATTACCCAAGTTGGTAGCGGGCTGTGTTAATGCTGTGTATCAAATGGTGGAAAACTTTGGCTGTTCTGTGGTTCCGGCAAAGTTGGTTATTCCTAGTTTGGCCAAGCTTTTTGGCCATGCTGATCGGAATGTTAGGGCTGAAACAACTAAATTGACTGTGGAGTTGTACAAGTGGCTAGGCGAAGGGCTCACCACTCTTTTATTTCCCAACCTTAAACCTGTTCAGCAACGTGACTTGACTGCAGAATTCGAAAAGGTGAAGGGTGAAAAGCCCGAACAGAAACGATTAACAAGGTCTCAGCAGCAAGAACTTGCTACAAAACAGAATGAACCCGAAGGAGCTGAAGACATTGAAATGGCTGATGCAAAAGAGGACGAAAACGTGCCTTTCGATCCATATCTGATGATGGATCCAGTGGAAGTTCTTTCAAAATTGCCTGCAGATTTGAATGCAAGAATGGCTTCTGCCAAGTGGAAAGACAGGAAGGAAGCCTTGGATGAAGTATACGAAGTTCTTTCCAAGGCACCAAAACTAGTGGAAGCCGACTACAGCGATCTTGTGAGGATTTTTGCAAAGTGCATGAAGGATGCCAACATTCAGGTCGTTCAGCTAGCTGCAAACGGTGTTGAATTTTTATCCAAAGGTTTGAAAGAAGGCTTCCACAAGTATCAGCATTTGGTTGTTGGTCCGATGATCGAGCGGACAAAAGAAAAAAAACCTGCCGTTGCCGAAGCTTTGGCTAATGCTTTGGATTCCATCTACGAGAATTCCTCACTAGGTGATGTTTTAGACGACATCCTCGTTGGCATGAAGCACAAGACACCCCAAGTGAAAATATCATCCACAAATTATCTTCAGAGATGTCTTGCTTCAGCCAAAGTCCCGCCAAAAAATGTGCAAATAGACTCTATCATGGAAATCGGTGTTAAACTCTTGAGTGATTCTCAGGAGCCAATTAGACAAGCTGCTACAGAAATGATTGGAACGCTTATGAAAATTACAAGTGAAAGGGAACTTAAAGCATTCTTAGACAAGGTTGATGACAACAGAAAGGCAAAAGTGCACGAGGCCTACGAGAAAGCAGAGGTCAAGTGCAAAGCAACAAATGTCGCTAGAGCATCTACAGCTAGTAACTCTGCCAAACCCTCTTCGCGAACTGTTAGCTTGCAGGGCCCCACTCCTTCTCTTAAGAAAAGAAGCGAACCGCCATCCATTCCTAGCAAGAGAAGTGCTACTTCTCCCGCAAAAGGAGGAGCTGCCAACACTAAAATTGCGTCGTCGGTCCGTAGCTTCACTGGAAGACAGCTTATTTCGCCATCTACAAGAGGTCCACAAGTGCCAGATGCCCCTGTGCCTACAGTTGGCTCGGCTGAAAGAGAAGAACTTGAAAAACTCCGGAAAGAAGTCGCCAGTTTACGAGCAGAAAACGAACAGCTTCAGAAAGTGCAGTTTTCTCTTACTGAAGAGCAGTTAAGGCTGAAGCAAGAAGCCGAGCAGCTCCGTGCACAAATGGAACAGTCGCAGAAGGAATCTGTAACCAGTAATTTAATGGTGAAACAAAAAGATACTCAAATTCTCCGGTTGAACAGCGACTTGGAAAATGCCAAGTTGAAAATTAAAAGTTTGGAGCAAACAGTGGAGATGTTAAAGCTCCAGCAAAGTACACTGCAAACTGACCCATTGCTTCAGTCTCTTGATTCGGAGAGAATCCCGTCTTATCGGTCACCCGAGAGAAGAGAAATACCCCGGATTACACTGAGTGAGCTTAGTTCCCGGGTAAATCGTCTTTCCATTGATGGCAAATTTGGTCATGAAGTGCCAGATCTTGCCCCAACTTCTGAGCTTGCTTCACCTACTTTCCGATCTCCACGAAACCCGGCCAGCTTGCATACTACAGTAGAGAGAGAGACAGGTTCCGAGGAAGAGAACTGGAAAAAAGCTGCAGAGGTTACTGCACAACTCAAAGCTCGAATTGAAAAAATGAAGCAGAGAAACAGACTTTCTTTGAACCGATGAGTTCAAGATGCAGTAGCATTAAAACGGTTTTATATTTCTTGTCACGAGTCAGTTTTTAATACTCATAAAGGATGGTTGTTTATTGGGCCTGCATACGCGATCCCGGTCTCGGGTGGAAAAAATGTGTGGAGGAAAATTGACGAAACATAATCACCCCAGTCATGTCATCCAAATTGAAGATTTTAGTGCCGGTCAAGAGAGTCATTGATTTTGCTATCAAGCCTAGAATCAACAAGGCAGGTACCGGTGTTGAGACAAAGGGTGTGAAGTTCAGTATCAACCCATTTTGTGACATCGCTTTGGAAGAGTCATTGAAGATCAGGGAAGCGAACAAGGGATTGGTTGAGAAAATCCATGCTGTTTCCATTGGGCCAACAAAGTCGCAAGATATTTTGAGGACTGCTCTTGCTAAGGGTGCTGACACTACGACTTTGGTTGACGTGGGTGATGCAGAAGTTGAGCCTTTGACTGTGGCCAAGATGTTGCAAAAAGTTGTGGAGAGAGAGGGTTCCAACTTGGTGATTTTGGGTAAGCAGTCGATTGACGACGATGCCAACCAAACTGGACAAATCTTGGCCGGCTTGTTGAACTGGCCCCAAGCGACGAATGCGTCTAAAGTGGAGATTAAGGGCGACAAGATTAGCGTCACCAGAGAAGTCGATGGCGGAGCTGACACATTGCAAGCAGACTTGCCTATGATCATCACCACAGACTTGAGACTCAATGAGCCCAGATACGCGTCGTTGCCCAACATCATGAAAGCCAAGAAGAAGCCGTTGGAGAAGTTGAAAGCCAGTGACTTGGGTATTGAGGTGGTCAACCGTTTAGAAACACTCAAGGTGGAGGAGCCTCCTGCACGTTCTGCGGGGGTCAAGGTTGACTCTGTGGATGAGTTGGTGAGCAAATTGAAGGAAGCCAAGGCCATTTGAAATGGCAATGGATGCATTGGCCTGGAAGATCCAGACGTTCGCTTAGGTATATAAAAGAATGAAGTCTACGTCTTTGGAAGAGTTTCGAGGTACTCACAGACCGAACAAGTAATCGTCATGTCGAACACAGGATGTATAGGAGGGCATAATGAGAGGCTGATGATCAGTTTTTCAACGTATGTATTGTCTGGTTGAGTGACAGTTACTAAGTTTAAAAACTACTGACTACATTGTCGAATAGAAATTAAGACGAAGATTACGAGGGGTTTCATATTGAGAGATATATTCATCCCATGGTCCAATCCTATTGGTTTGCTGGCAAGACGTGATATCCTATGCTAATCTGGCAGTTTGATGGAATGCAATCAAGTGATAAAACGATCGCCCAAACTAGCGTCAACCAGATTTAGGACGAAGAGTCGTCACTTCGGTACTTGTCTAATATGGAATTGCGGCTTATGATCTCAGTGCCTGAGAATAACTGTCTTAGAATAGGTCAGAGTGATGTTGCATCATCGTATAATCATAAAGGCTTTCTTAATAAAATTCCTTGACAATTTCTAAGACTATTCTAAGACAATTCCTTAAGACAATTCCTTAATACAATTCTAAGACAATTCCTTAATCATAAGACAATTCCTTAATACAATTCTAAGACAATTCCTTAATACAATTCTAAGACAATTCCTTAATCATAAGACAATTCCTTAAAACAATTCCTTAATACAATACCTTAAGACACTTCCTTAATACAATTCTAAGATAAGTCTAAGACAATTTCTGAGACAATTCTACGAAAATTTTTAAGACAATTTCTAAGAGAATTTTTAAGACAATCTCCTAAGTTCATACAATCTCCCCTCATACAAGTCCTGAGGCACCGATGCATTTTCGTGCGAGTTTTGTGGACGCCCCACCCCCAGCCTGTATGGCCCCACAACCAACCGCACTTCTTTCATGAGCGTGGATATTTCTAGCCGCTTTGTCGACTGGGTTCTCTCTGTCTCGCCCAAACGGCCGCTTTTCGTGGGCGTCAGCGGCCCGCAAGGCTCGGGCAAGCTGTACTTGGCCGCCCATCTTGTGCAAGAGCTCCGCCAGAAACGCCTTAAGGCCGTGGCGCTTCTGCTCGACGATTTTTACTGGCCCTATGAGGAGCAGCAAAAAGTGACGCGGCGCGCGCGCGACGAAAACAACTTGTTGCTCCAGGGCCGCGGGTTGCCCGGAACGCACGACTTGGCGCTCATGGAAAAGGTGCTTGCCCAGATGGCGCGCGGCGAACACACCAGCGTGCCCCAGTACGACAAAGGGGCACATGGCGGCGTGGGCGATCGGGTCGCGTGGATCCTGGTGCCGCCTGTAGATGTGGTGGTGGTGGAAGGGTGGTTCTGCGGGTTCCGGAGCGTGGGGCCCAGCGACTTCGAGGCGAAGTGGGCGCGCGCCTCCAGCATTGTGCGCCTGCACCAGAGGCGGCACGTCGAGGCGCTCAACGCGCGCTTGCGCGACTACGAGCGCATCTGGGCCTACTTTGACTGCTTTGTGTATTTGCACGGAGACCTCGAAAACGTGTACCGGTGGCGGGACGAGCAGGAAGAGGTGTTGCGGGCGCAGGGCCGCGGCATGACGCCGGATGAAGTGCGCCGTTTTGTCGATCGGTACATGCCAGTGTACGAGTTGTACTATGAGGACATGTGTCGGGCGGCGGGCGCGCGGCGCCTTGGGCTCACGATTGATGCGGCGAGACAGGTGCGCGCGGTCGAGCTGGACTGGCCGGGAGCCAAGGAGGGCGAGGAGCCTCATACAAGTAAGTAGAGAACATCTATGGAATTGTCTTGGGATAGTCTTGCTGAGCTACATTTGACAACTCCGCTGGTTGTCTGTTCACTGAATGATTCTTACATGTGTTTTACCCAGACTGGTCTGAAAGTACAAGCCAATACAGTCCATTGTTGTCTGATCACATCTATCCTATGTGCTTACACGTAAATACTGAAAACTGAGAGTCTCGCCTACATCACACATTGAGTGCCAAGCCATAGTCATCGTCCGTGGCCGAACAATCTTCTACATTCGCTCAAGCCTTCGCTTCAGCCTGACTCGTAATCTAATTCTTCTTCCTATCTGCTCGAAATATCGTGTGGATCATAGCTATTACGCCCCCTGGTAGTCCTCCGGGTACAAGATTCTCCGCTCCACGCCGTCCTTGGTCAAAATGACCATACGCACAACACCGCCCGACAGCCCGTCCCATTTGATGGCCTCGGCAAGCGCGCTGCGGATGAAGCTCACACATTCGTCCTTCTCCATTTGCGGGCGGAAGTTTTTGTCACACCAACCGTAGATGAACGTCAGCCCAGATCCAGCAATGGCGTACTCTTGCTTGTGGATGGACCCACCAATTGGAATCGAGTAGACCGCGCCGCCGCTCTTGGCGTCGTAGCCCGCACAGATGATGCCCGCCAGCAAGTTGTCTTTGTTCAGGTAACAGAGCTCTTGGAAAGTGTTCGCCGCCACCTCGGTCGTGGGCTTCTCTCCCGCAGGCAATTGCGCCGCATACATCTGCAAGTAGTATTTCACAATGTCGGCCACCGCCTGGGTGTCTGCCGCCGACCCAGACCGACAGCAGTAGATGGTATCGTGGATCTGGGTCAATTTATCCGACACTCGGTTGGCAATGTATGTGCCTGTGGTTGTGCGCGAGTCGGCGCCGAGAATCACGCCGTCCTTGAATCTCACGGCCATGATGGACGTGCCCAACGAGACTTCGCCCTTTTTCAAGTGGTTGATGTCGACTGAAATACCGTTCATGCTTGCAGAAGAAGCTTTGTCGCCACTTTGGTTTAGTAGTGCGGGTCACGTGCAGAATCCGGGGCACCCTACTGACAAGAACGACTGGGTAATGTCATTTATTCGTTTGTCCGTAACTCTATTTTCTTTTAATTTTATTTTGCTTTTCTTTGTTTGATATTTTTTTTGATATTTTTTTTTTAATTTTTTTGTTTTGATTGGTTTGCGTTTCTTGCGCTCACTAGCTGAACCTCAGTCCAGAAATATGCAAACACATGGAAGATCTAACCGATTGGTACATGTACTTAATGAAGATAAAAAAAATAGTCAATAAGCGAATTTAGGTTTTTATATTTTTCCCTCTGAGGTGGATAAGCCTTTGTTTCAAACTTGTCAATTCGAGCTGCAATCCACAAACATTACAAGGTTTCTTAAATTATCCTTAAGCTTTATAGTAAGGAATGTCAGGTCTTCAATGTGGTGCCATTTATGTTCAGCTGCGGCTATGTCAGGAACTACGAACGAAAAACCAGCCTAGAATGATGTCTTTATTGGATACTGAATAATGGACCTCAAAAATAAGCATGGACTTCTACCTCTTCCATTTCATATCTTAAGAAGAAGTCTTTGTCACAATTGCCCAATATGTATATTTTTTTTGCATTATCAACTCGACGCCATCAATATCAGCGTTGATAGTCAATACATATAGGCACCTAGTGTCAAGCGAAGCAATTATAAAAGTTTATGCTAGTGATTGGTCTGTAAAGTCGTAGAGCTTCATCCGTTCTTTATTCTATAGACCGGGGCTGTCTTAGATTGACACAATACTATTCCAAGCCTACTTGATCTTTACTCATTTCGTCCATTTAACTTAGAAATACTGGTTCCTCAGCATACTACCTCGTATCAGCTGAAAGACTTAGCAAAATTAGTCATATCTACCAGGACCTTTTTAACATCCAAGTAATGAGCAAAGTTTATGCGCTTCGTCCAGCTCTGTCTCCAAACCTGGCACTTTAAAAAGTTCTGTATCTTCATCATTCGGTTGTCCATTTCTTGTATGTCCTCTATTTTTTGTATTCGCCATTCTTGTATGTCTCTATGCTTCTTATCAGTGTGCACCTAAAGTAAACCATGCTCTTTCGCAGTTTGCACCACTCTTTCTTTCATTCTTCATGCGCTGGCCCATTTTCTGGATCTTCTGGGCCCTATGTGCCTCGCAGGCCATCCCTATTGGCTTTTCTCTGCTGGAGCTTTCGCATCTAGCAGGCGATCCCGTGGCCACGCACAAGGTGGTTTTGCACATTTCAAAAGACAAGGCCGATGTGGGTCTGTTGGTGTTGGCCCTTTTTGGACAGACAGCGCCGAAAACAGTGGAAAACTTTGTTGGTTTGGCATCCATGGCCCCCGGCTATGGCTACCACGGCACGATCTTCCATCGTGTTATCAAGGACTTCATCATACAGGGCGGCGACTTTGAACGTGGCGATGGCACGGGCGGCTATCTGATTTTCGACAAGAAGCTGTTTGCTGACGAGAACTTCGACCTTCATCACGACAAGCGCGGCCGTTTGTCGATGGCCAACGCCGGCAAAGATACGAATGGTGCCCAGTTTTTCATCACCACCTCTGAATCCAGTACGCATCTCAATGGCCATCATGTGGTGTTTGGCCAGTTGGTAGGGGGTTTCGAAGTGTTGGATCTTTTGAATACCGCCCCTACGGGCGAAAACGACCGGCCTGTTTCTCGCTGGGCTATCGAAGACGCAGACATCTTTGTTGAGCCTCCAGCAGAAACCGGCTCGCTAGGATCATATCGTTTCTTCATGGGGCTCTGTCTTGTGTCCAGTGTTTGCTATGCTGCGGTGCAGTGGAATCATAGACGCAAAAAGGTGGTGATTACGGGGTTTCGCTCGATGTGAGTAGACAGTAGAAGAGGTCACTCAACTCAAGAGCTATTTCAGGCGCTTTTGGTGCCATCGGCCACTTACTCACTGGCGCTATTAGACTAATAAGCTACAATGACTTGCTGCCAAAGTGGACCAAAGACATGTGCTATGAAGAGTGGAGATGGTGATCCTGAGATCTTCTTGCCAGTTCCAATGTGTCTTTCCGAGCGATCAGGAAATGCTCCCATTAGCATTAGGTGTCTTTTCCTGTCCGTAAGGTACTCCTTTTATGTATTTATAGTGCCTTGTATTATAGACCGTGGGTCTTGTATAAATATGGTTTCTTGATAAAACGCGCAGTATGTAAGCCATCTTATCTTCATCATGGCCGAATTCCCCATTGTCCTAGTCAAAAATCTTCCCTACAACGCCTCCACAAGTCTGCTTTTTGACATTTTCTCCAAGTTCGGGCCCGTGCACCAGCTTCGAATTTCCGACGGCCTGGTTCCTCAAGGAACTTGTTATGTGGTCTACACCAACATGGAAAATGCTCATCGAGCAGCAAAAGAACTAAATGGAGTCAACTTCCAATCTCGATATCTAGTGGCACATATGTTCCAGGTCGATCCGGAGGTCCATCGACAATTGCAGATTGAGTTTGAGAAGGCAGAATGAGCCGACATGCATTTCAAGAGAAGATCGTCATAAGATGTTTAGCACAATACCATAGGGATGCTGAAGATGCTGATACTCCAAGTATTCTGATTCCAAGTATTGTATACTTCAAGTATTCGTATACCCAAGTCGAATACTCTCTTATACATGCAGAAACTAACGATACGGTGTGCTAGTTGCAGATGATGACTTGTCGTTCTATCAATCGTTTCAGCATTGACACTCTTTGTCGCTCCCATGGTGGAACAAAAATCGATCAGGAAAAACGTTGGTTGTTCGGCAAATACAAGGTCAAAGAAAAGGTCAGCTTTGGATTAGATGGATCACCACCTTGGGTGGATTTTATCTTATCTCCAACAGGCAAGCATGGCTTTCGCATTACGAATAATAGGCCGGCTAAGAAAATTGTCGAACGGCCTATGAACGATAGGGTCATCTTGTGAGCAGAACTATTATCGGTTGAAAACTTACCGCAAAGTAAGACGAACTTTGGTAACCTTTGTCACATACATAAATACATGCATCATACTTTCTCACTCTCTTGACATCTTTATTGCACTCCTATATCTCAACACTATGTTCTTCACTTTTTAGTTTGGTGTCCATTTACCTGTGGCCCAGTACTCAATTGACCGACAAGTCAAGAAGACCCAACGCATAGTAACTGGCCAAAGCGGTAAACACCCATGCGGCAATAGTGCCCACCTTCTTCCAGAAACTCTGCGCCGTGTATCTGTACTTGACAAGAACAGTCGAAGCGCTGTGGCTGTCCTGTAAGTTGCGGAAGTGGAGTGTCACCTTGACATGGCCGTCAGCCACGTCGAGGTAGCTCAACTCGCGGCCCACAGACGAAGTGGAAGGAACAGTGCTCTGCACATCGATGACCTCGGCGTTTTCCGGCAAAAGCACGCTGACGCTGACATTGTCGTAGTAAATGTCACGGAGATTGCTCACCAACGGGAATTGGGCCACATATGTGTCTGCATCCACACGGCGGACAAAGTTGGCAATGCCGTTTGTCCAGCCCATGGTGAAGTTGTATTTCCATCCTCCGAAAAGCGGGAACCGAGGCTGGAAGACCACGTGGCCTGGAACCTGCAGCACAGAAGACACCTTGCCCACTTTATCGGTGAAGTAGTAGTTTTCAAGCGGGTCTCTGTCGCCAAGTGGGAATTCCAAGCGCGAGAGCGCGTGGTGGTCACGCACCATGTCAAAACGGCCCTTCAACCATTCCACCCGCGAGTAGCCCGATTTAAGCTGGGCCCCATTGTTATAGAGCTCGTAGTAGTCTTCTGTCTGCACAACGCCCACGTCCGAGCCAGGCACCCACACGCTGCGCTCAAGTGTCACCACGCGAGTCACTGGCTTGTTGTGTTCGTACAAGAGGCCCATTGGTGAAACAGACAATGGAGGCACATCCACGATTTGCGGGCCGTACGTCAACGCCTGGGCGTCCTTGTCCACATGACCGCTCAAGTGGGGCAAATCAGGCGACACAGGAGTGCTTGGCTGCAAATCCAACTCCTGGCCCACGCTGAATCCACGGAACGCAAGCGAGTACTCGGAGGTCTTGTAGTCCGAGTATGGGAGCTTGTTGGTCTTGAGCAACAACATCTGGCGGTCTGCCATTTCGATCTTCTCGGGCAAAGGCACCAACGTGTTTGTGTACGCGTAGAACACTTCGAATTCCACGGACGACGCTGGCGCCACGGGGAATGGGAATTTGACGCTGTAAACGCCAGCCTCTTGCTCGGACACGGCCAACGCCAAGCGCTGGTCGATCAAAACACCGCCCACGGATGCCACCTCGGGAACGGCATCCATTCCGTCGTTGACGCGGAAAATATACGTGTCCTGGGGCGTGTCGCCGGTGTTTTTCGCCTCGACTAGGCACAACTCTCTGACGTAGGATTTGGAGAGATCCACACTACGATGGTAGTGGACGTTCTCCCACAGCTCGAGCGCATGTGCAATTGCAAAAAGCGCAAGAAAGATCCACGGCAACATGGGAAGTAGATGAGAAAAGAAACAGTCTGTAATAGCGTTGGTGAGCTTGACACCTGGCCGTAGTGTGTGCAGGACAGATGAAGTCAAGACGAGTAGAGAAGGTGTAGAAATGTCTAGAGGTCAGAGAAATTTCAATTAAGGTGGAAGAAGTTTAAAAGGTTTGAAAGGTTCAGAAAGTGAAATAAAGTTGAAAAAGTTGATGGAAATTAATTGTGGAGTTCTCAGATATGTTGCGCAGTTGTGGTGGCTGGGTGAGTGGGATAATTACCTGTATTCGTTTTATTGACTAGTACTTGGAGATCCTGGCGATGACATTTTGGAGATCCTGGTTATGTCATTTTTCTTGAAACATTTCAGTGTAGCTGTTTTTGTTTTTTTCCAGTCTTAAGTTGTTCAATGAGTGTGTAAGTGATCATCGAACAAGAAAGAACGATGTAAGTAATCAGACTAAAGAGAATTGGTCTTTTGAGCAGCAGACGGCTGTTTCAAAGCACGTTCGAAGTTGCTGGATCAAAAGCGGGAACATCTCTTATGACTTGTATTCACTCTTGCGTGTTCTTTGGGGTATACGTGTTTCTCCGAGTGAGAGAACTCCAGTAACGGTATTCCTCTTCAGGAGAGAGATTTATTCATCAATCGTCTGTGTGTTAGATTTCCGACTTGCTTTCGTGTGATTTCTGATTATGGGTGGACAGGGCCCTATATGCTAATTTTTGGCCGCAACGATGACTCTTTGGCCGATTTTTTTGCTACAGGTGTTTTGAATGTTCTTTGGCTGCTTGTTGTCGTGAAAGCTTTTCTTTTCGATTTTTCTGCTCAATGTGTTTATTGTTCGTATTGTGCGTTTTTGCTGATACTTTATGAATTTCCAGATGCGCCTCTCGAGATACAATAGACTCAAGATGTAGAAATATGAGCTGAAATCACAAATAATTATTAAGGAACAAAATCTATATAAGTGATAGACAATTAATCTTAATCAAAGGCCATAAGATTGTTAGATTTCTGCATATGTGATTTTGGACTTCACTAGGTAACTCTACTTCAGTCGACATTCGTCTGCTTCTGACAACTTGTCTCTTCTGTCATAAGGCTTTGATTGACTCTGTTAGTCTACGACTCAGTCAGATTTAACTCAGGTTTCGACTCAGACAGATTTGTTCAGTCTACGACTCAGTCAGATTGGTTCTGTCCACTCAGTCAGATTTTTTTCTGTCCACTCAGTCTTGTTCTGTTGACTCAGTCAGTCTCCGTCACCTGGACGCTCAATTAGCTTAGGACTCACGATGCAGCCCGTCTCAAAATACATCCTTCCACTTCTCTGTCAAGACTGCATCACCGATGTTGCCACCGATCTCACATCCCAGTACTGTAGGACAGCCTCGTAAATGATGGTTCTGCGAATAGCCGAGATGGCAAGGCCACCATGCAACGGCCACTAAACTTGCCAGAACGCCTTCTCTCACTTATTTCTATCCAATCATCTACACCAATCCATATGTCTTCTGATCCTACCACACTTCTCTTGACATCTTCCATCTCTAATATGGAAGCGCATTGGCATCGGTCCTACATGAACATTAGCTGCGACGCATAGCTCCTCTGTACATATTCATTCGTAAAATCATTCATGGTTCATTCATATATTTCACTCATATATTTCACTCATATGGTTCATTCATATGATTCATATTTTTTCCATATTATGGCTTTCTTTTCCATCTCAGTACATTCGACCATTCAATTCATTTGTCGTACCTCATTGCTCAATCACCTCGCACTATTTACATACCAGGCTAGCAATCTACATCTAGCGGTGGCGCATCTGCAGGCCGCGCTCCACCTCTAGAGTTTGCGCTTCGAAAAACTATTCGCCAGCACCTTTCCTCTCCGCCAGCCCGCCTATTTCGAGCGGAAACCCCGACCACTTCGCTTCGCCGCCGCTTTTGTGCGAATCTTTCCTCTTTCCTCTGCTCCTCCCTATTTATCCCCCCAGCTGCCTCTGCATTCCATGTCGCTCCAAGACCTTATTCCCGTGGTCAACAAGCTCCAAGATATCGTCACCTCGACGCAGCTAGCCGACATTGACTTGCCTCTCTTGGCTGTGGTTGGCTCGCAGTCCTGCGGCAAGTCGTCCGTGTTGGAAAACATTGTGGGCAAGGACTTTTTGCCCCGCGGCACCGGCATTGTCACCAGAAGACCGTTGGTTTTGCAGTTGATCAATGTGCACAAGGACGACGCTCTTGTGCGCGAATACAACCCGGCGGACTTGGACGATGGCGGCTACTACTCGCTGTCGTCGGACGAGGTCAACTTGGAAGAGCACTTGAGAAAACACACGGGCCAGAAAAACAAGCCCACACAACACCCTTCCGAATGGGGCGAGTTCTTGCACATCCCCAACAAGCGTTTCTACAACTTCGACGCCATCAGACGTGAAATCGAAAACGAAACGGCCCGCATCGCCGGCAAAAACAAGGGCATTCTGCGCTTGCCCATCAACTTGAAGATATACCTGGACAAGGTGTTGAACTTGACGTTGGTGGACTTGCCGGGGCTCACGAAGATCCCCATCGGCGACCAGCCCACAGACATCGAAAAGCAGACGCGCAGCTTGATCCTCGAGTACATCTCCAAGCCCAACAGCATCATCTTGGCCGTCTCTCCTGCCAATGTCGACTTGGTCAACTCCGAGTCGTTGAAGTTGGCTCGCCAGGTCGACCCAACAGGAAAGCGCACAGTGGGGATCTTGTCCAAGCTCGACTTGATGGACCAGGGCACCAACGCCGTGGACATCTTGAAGGGCAACGTGTACCCGTTGAAATTGGGTTTCATTGGCGTGGTCAACCGCTCGCAGCAGGATATCCAGGAAAACAAGCCGCTCGAAGAGTCCTTGCAAGCCGAGCAGCAGTTTTTCCTCAACCACGCCGCGTACCGTGCCATGGCCAGCAAGTGCGGTACCCGCTACTTGACGGTAGCTTTGAATCGCATTTTGATGAGCCATATCCGCGAGCGCTTGCCTGACATCAAGGCACGCTTGAACACGCTCATGGGCCAGACAGAGCAGGAGTTGGCCTCGTACGGCGACTTCCCATCGTTGGCCGAGTCTGCCGAGGGAAGGGCAGCTTTGCTTTTGAACTTGATGACGAAATTCGCCAACAGCTTTGTCAATTCCGTCGACGGCACAACCTTCGACGATGTCTCCATCAAAGAATTGTGCGGTGGTGCACGCATCTACTACATCTACAACGAGGTATTCGGCGCTCAGTTGGCGGCCATCAACCCTACTCAGAACTTGTCGGTTAAAGACATCCGCACGGCGATCCGCAACTCCGCAGGCCCTCGTCCGCTGTTGTTCGTGCCTGAATTGGCATTCGACTTGTTGGTCAAGCCTCAAGTGAAGTTGTTGGAAGAGCCTGCTCGTCGCTGTGTGGAGTTGGTGTATGAAGAGTTGATGAAGATTGTCCACGGAATCTGCGGCTCTGGCAGTTCGGGCGAGACCAACCGCTATCCAAAGTTGCAGGCTAAGCTCATTGAGGTTGTGTCTGACCTTTTGCGCGAGAGACTTGGTCCCACCATCAAGTATGTCGAGTCCTTGATTGAGATTCAGCAGGCATACATCAACACCAACCACCCCAATTTCGTCGGCGCAGCAGAAGCCATGGCTATGGTTGTGGAAGAAAGACGCCGTCTGCGTGAGGCAGAACTGAAATCGAAGTTGCGTCTTGCCACACAAAAGATCTTGAGCAAGCCAGAAAGACACGCAAAACCAAACGATGAGTCTGACATCGAGGACGAGGTCAATCTTGATGTGAGCCAGATCGACGACGAGGCTAAGCCCGTGCACCACCGCCGGTCTGACTCGAGCCGTACGATTTTGTCCGGCAAATCGTCTGACCTGGCCATGCCCGAGTCATACTTCAACTTCTTCTTCGGCAAGGACCCGGTGATGCACCAGCAACACCAGCAAGCACAGGCGCAATTGCACCCTACGCCGTTCAAGTTCCCTCATGCACAAGAACAGCCGTTGCAGTTCAACAGCCACTTCGTCAACGGTTCTCTCAGCCACGACATGAAGATGATGGCCGTGGAAGACCACATTGAGCGCGTGGCGGAAAACATCGACAATCACGAGGAGGAAGATGATATCCTGGAGCTCAGTGAGCGTGAACAGTTGGAATGCGAGTTGATTCGTCGTTTGATTGTGTCTTACTTTGGCATTGTGCGTGAAATCATCCAGGATCAGGTGCCGAAGGCGATCATGTGCTTATTGGTCAACTACATCAAGAGCAACCTCCAGAACAGGCTTGTGGTGAAGTTGTACAACGACCAGTACTTTGACGATTTGCTCCAGGAGGACGAAACCACTCGTTTGGAACGCGAGAAGTGCGTGAACTTGTTGAAGACCTACAAAGAGGCGTCTCGCATCATCAGCGACGTCGTCTAACTGCTGTTTGAAGCTATCTCTATCCTTGAGCCTCTGTGTTCACTGTCGTTTTTTGCTGGTGCAAGTGCTTAGACTAGCATAGACTCGATTATTGTACATACCTATTCATTGCGCGGCCGATGTAGAACAAATACACTCAAGGTGTCTGTAGCTCGACTGTTCATTACTGCTACTCGGTCGAGTTTGTACGAGATTGTCTTCTTGTCCAATCCTTCATTTACTCCGTCCTCGTCAGGCTCTTGAAAGGAGAACATAATCTCCTTAGTGAGGAGAGCTAACTCATTCGAGTCTGTTGCAGAAACCAGAATGTTTTTCTCGTCCAAGAATGAAACATCGTCTGCTTGCACTAAAGTATGGAGTTTGAACCGTAGATCGGCCAAATACCCCAATGACACGACGACACGGCACTTCCACAGACGGCCAAGGATCTTTTTCACCTGACTGCTTTTCAGAATAGACTTGCCAGGGAAAAGCCTCCGCAACAGTTCATGCAATAGTAGTTGTTTGAGCTCGTCTTTGATGTCTTCCACCAACTTGGTCATGTCCGGGTTGGAAAGCCGAATCAGACTTACAGACGATAACTTCAGTAAAGACTTGTCATTCAGCTGTCCCCGCAGCCACATTTGCTTTCGATGTACGAAAACTTTCACCGGAATACATGCATGGGGGCTGATTTGTATGAAAGAAACTGTAGCAGGCATTGGTAGTTGCTAGTACTGTGTGCTCTGCATATTAAACGAGACACCAACTACTTGAAAAAGAGGGCAGATATCAGCGAATGGGCAAATGGGAGCCAAAACGCATACCTGAAATATGATAGTAGCCCAAATTGCATATTATCGTCGGCTTATAAGACCTACGCTATGTAGTTCCATCAGAACTAAAAGAGTTCACTGTCAAGCGCAGTGGCGCAGTGGAAGCGCGCAGGGCTCATAACCCTGATGTCCCAGGATCGAAACCTGGCTGCGCTATACTTTTTGTTTCCTGAAAAGGTTCATTGTTTATTTTTTTGGCCTTGCAAAGCGAGATGCCATTGTAAGCAAAAAGCGACATAAATGCAATCAAGCAAAATTGCAATTGATGGCCGCAGAGAAGAAGAGCTAAATGTGCCATACAATCATACGAAACACAAGATAGAAAAAATTCCCGCAGTTCGTATTCACCTAACGCAGTCTAAATTTTCCACAAAATATTCAGTCTGTTCAAACGACCCACTAAAACAGTTTTGTTTCCTCCTTTGTCTACACAGTTAACCAGACATGTTTCGCATTCTGTAGTCTGTCGTGTTCATGTTATCAGTACCTGCACACAGAGCGCGACTATGATCAAACGTGTCTACAACTCGACCATTTTCGTGATCTGATCTATTCATCCAAAATGGTACGTCAGTTAAGAAACCTAATAATTGAAGTAGCTTCCCATACTAACAAACGAGGCCGTCCAAACTCCAAAGCAAAGAGCTGCTAACGCCAAGTTTGCAAAGTTGAACACGAAAAAACAGGGCAAGCCTAGAGCCAAGACTGAACCAGTCAAGTTCCCAATTTCCAAAGGATGGATGCTCGTTTTGGCCTTTTTGGTTTGCGGAGGTGCTGTGCTTGAAATCCTCAGGTTATTCTTTTAAGCTGGTTACGGCGCAATCACTTTCTTCTATCGCTTCTCGAGTAAGGTCATAATTTGCAAATACACACTAATGCCATTTTCTTTCCAGAAAGGTTTTATTTTCATTTTGATTTCTTTGAATTTTTTTTTCTTTTTGCTGTGGCTGGTTAGACCGCCGACTCTTCGTTCGTGGATGTTGAACTCGACGCCAAAAACGAGGTACTGTTGTCGTTTTCCCATAACCCCAGTGCTGATCTCAGCTCAACATGGGAAGGAAAATCCAACGGACGTACAGGCACTTCCATTCCAAAATCTTGAAAGAGATCAAAGAGCTTGGCGTCGCCTTCGTCGCCAAAATCATATGTAGCAAACTCGATTCCCTTGTCGTGGATGAAGCTTAAATATGGGGCAGCCGTTTCAATCTCTGCCATCGACAAAGGCGTCTCATCATTCATCTTCGCTATAGGTGTTGGGTCAATTAGCGGGGCCCATGGGTCCACTAACTTACTTTCTAAGCCTGCGACTAGTGACACCAGAGACTTTGGCAAGACATACTTGAATGTGTGGCTCCCATTTAAGGGCGAGACGAGACGTAAGTTATTCTCCGCATCCATAAATGCAAGCTGTACGAGTCCCGTTTTTCTATGCCTCCACATCGACCCATTGTGCTGTGCTTGGGTCAAGTCGCCAGGCACATTTGCACAACCAGGAAGTTTCAAGAATTTGATACCTTTGGCCGAGGGCAAAATCCACGAGTCCGAAAACTGGTTTTTCCCAGGGATATTCGGACTGGTCTCGTCAAATGTATTGGGGTAATTTGCTTCGTTTCCCCCAGAAAGATAATTAACATTGTACCAGTGGACGGAGCCCGATCTTTTTGTGATACAGCCAAAGCCAAAGTTGGTTCCTCGTAGATTCTCTGTATTGTTGTCGTTGACAAACCATACCAAGTCTTGGATGCTGGCGCTGGTTTTCCCTCGCATAAATTTCCCCACCAAAGAAACTTCTTTGGGTAATTTGCAAAGATCCCACATGTAAAGATTATCGCCTTTGAGGCTTGCATGGACCAAATGTAAGTCATAAGGGCTTAGAGAAAGATGCAGCACGCCGCCCGGCGGCTTGAAAAGTGCCATGGTTTGCCCATTTGCAATGTCAATCACATGAATAACCTCATTTTCGCCATATGCCCGTGCCTGTTTCTTGAGGGTGTCCACCGTGGAAAAGAATGCGTCGCCAATGCTGGAACTAAGCGAGTGAAGCGACACATCCTTATCGATAAAATTATCCTTTTTCTTCAAGTAGCTGTGGACCTTTTTGGTTCCGAGATCCGAAAGCTTGAAAAGCTTATCAGCAGCAGTATTAGAGACAGAGGACAAGACGCGGCTGAGGAGTGGGCCGGAGGAAGGAAGCTTGGTCGGTGTATACAAGCTTGAAGATTTGGTAGTCAGATTGGAATTTTCAGAATGCATCTGCTTATGGTACTGTACTTCCTTCTTTGTCGGACAGTAGACCAACCAGCTGCCAACAATATCGAAAAGAGGCTCGTGGTCAAAAAGGGCAGTTTTGAATACCACCTGACCCTCTTGCAAATGAGAAGATATCTCGTGGCCTGCGTTGAACAGAATAAAATTATGAAACACCCGCGAGTGGGGCCCGCCCACGTTTGCTCGCCGGAGTGGAGCGTCGAGCAGCACGTCCACTTTGTACACGTAGACGTATCCCTCGGAAGAGCCAAAAGCCACATACGGCTTGCCCACTTTGATCAGAAGATTGCCACGCATGTATATGGGAAAACTCTGTCTGTGAACGCCCCGTTTGCTACGGATTTCGGCAAAAGTGCTGTCTTTCTCGATGTCCTTGTACACGAGAATCAATAGCGAGTGCAAGCCGTCACAGTAGACCTTCATGGCCAACATTTCTCGATTCGGGAACTCACACTGCGTCATCAACACCAACTCTTCCTCGGAGACCAGCTCGTTATCGCGATACGGGTCGCCGTAGTACGCCACAAGCCCCTGTTCGTCCTTGCCCTTTTCGTACTTCTTGACTTTCTTCCAGTCCCAGTGCTCGTACACATGCTGCTCAGCGTACCAGACATGGAGGTCGCCTCTCGGACCTTGCTCAACCATCCTGGCCGCCTTTCTCTCCGGCGGAATCTTGCCGTCTTTTGCATCTTCTTCGCCATTTTTCCATGTCTCCATGTTAGCCGCCAGCTTAAGCTTCAGCCACGACGCCGCCGACGTGCCCAATTGTTGACCTCGGCGCGGATTGGTAAGGCTAGGTGTCAGTATTCAATGGGTATCATAAAGGACTAAACACATACACTTTGATCAATTTAGTATCCTGAATCATGACTAGACGTTGTGCCAAAAAAGAAGTGGGTATGAGAATAACAATGGCTCCGGATCACAGAACCGGATTATATTTTGCAAGAATTGGACTCTGTTTGACTTTTTTTGGATCGGTTGATTCTTTTTTTGGAGGCGTGTTTATGGTGTGTGACTGAGGCGATAAGAAGGCGATACGTATCCTGCATTACCCTGCAGGCCCGTATCGCCTATCAGTTCCAGAAAAGTCAAAAAAGAATGCGCAAGCCCGGAATCGAACCGGGGGCCCAACGATGGCAACGTTGGATTTTACCACTAAACCACTTGCGCTTCGGATGAGTGTTGTGAGGGGGGGAAAATAATGTCAGATAATGACTAATCGAGAATCAAGTTAATGGTCAGAATCCATTTCCAGACCGATAATTATTTCTGCCGATTGAATTTTCCATAAGTGTTCTTCTGGTGTTTTAATTTCCAAAAATTCAGAAAGAAGAGGACCGGCAAGTACATCAGTAGATCCAGTGAGGATAAATTGCATCTTATCATTGCGTCTTTAGTCGAAACTCTTGAAGAAAGATCAAATCGACTGCTTTTAGAATTTGACCTTTAGAGTTGAGATTGAAGTGGATGAAGGACTTTGGTAAGAACTAACAGCATAATAAGGTTGGCTGACATCAATCGACCTGTCCCAAACGGTAGCAGATTTCTCATATCTACTTTGGGCCATTATCGAAATCTAGGCATACTCAGTACAATAGTAAATTCAGCACATTACTGGGAAATAGAAAGAAAAAGTACAAGATATGGATCACTTTAATAGTCCTGCAGCGACATATATGCTTCAAGAGCTGTCAGACAGGGTGGAGGTGAACTCGATTTTTCTTCCAACTGCGAAAGTGTTCTCCTGGGCCAGTTTAAACTGAAAGTAAACGAATACTCCAGGGCAAACGAGAAGGCATACGCGTTGGAATTTCTACGCTTTTTTGCAGAAAACGTGTATTGATGAGAAAAAAAAACTGGATCGAGCTAGCCTTATATAGTGCGAGGCGGGTAACATGGTATGCAGGCCACCAAAGGGAACATTGAGTTCCTAGCATTTTTGTCTTCTTGTATTTTCATTATTATTTGTAATTTGATTTTGTAATTTGATTATAATTGTAATTTGATTATAATTGTAATTTGATTATTAGTACTTATTTTTTCATTATTAGTACTTGTTTGTTTATTTTCTTAGGGCACTTTTTTGTTGGTTTCTCTCATTTAGAGTTCTCGACTTGAACCTCTTTAGTGCAAATATGCGGATGCGACATGATACTTTTTTCGCCAGCTGAAATAAAATGTTCAGTCCACTGTAGATTCTTGTACAAGCATTATCACGGACGAATGTTTTTATTGTTCAAGCATCCGTCACTCAAAGACTTTTTGGATGGATTTTGTTGTCTTTTTGGGATTGAGTCTTTCTTTGAATGAATTTGATTGTCTTTCTCGAATTGAATCTTTCTTGGTCTTCAGTTCGACACATCAATTGACCTGATAAATATTCCTACAGGCTCAAACAAACAACAAATAGATATTCCATTCAGAAACGGTGAAACCCTTTCTGTTTGCCCAAATATAGTAGAAATGACACATTCCCTCTAAAGAATGTAGAAAGACCACTGGTTGTGGTTAATAGTCGCATAGAATCATGTTTAAAGCTTTGTGAATCATGATTGAAGCTTTGTGAATCATGTTCAAAGCTTTGTCGAACATATTTGTTCTTGTCCAATATGTAAGTTTATGTTGCTCAAATTTATTTGAACTTTCCAGTTTCCCGTGTAGTCTACTTCGTTTTCTCATTATTGAATTATTCCTGGTCTAAACCAATGGAGCATTGTTGACAGATTCAAGCAAATCTCCAAATATCTAAGCTGTCAAATTCATTCAATCCAAAACTCAATAAAATACTCGGCAAAGCCACACAAATTATTTTGCCGAATGATTAAATAATCATTAGTAAATATTCACGAAGCTATTGATATTTCTGTTCGGACTGCACTTGTTGAAAAAGGCCATTTTGCTCTGCAGCCAATACACCCGTACCCCCAAACAGAGCCTCTTGATCCTGCCAACATTTCGCACCCAACATCTAAAACTCCCAACCGCGTCCTGCACACATTGCAGGCTATATATCTCACCAGGCCTCTTCCTTCTTCTTTTCCAGCGCTGTTGTCGTTTTCCTAATTCACACCATGAGACCTGAAATCGAACAAGAGCTTTCGCACGTGTTGTTGACAGAATTGTTGGCCTACCAATTTGCCTCGCCCGTCAGATGGATCGAGACCCAAGATGTCTTTTTGAAAGAACACAATACTGAACGTGTTGTGGAAATCGGTCCTTCGCCAACTTTGGCCGGTATGGCCTCCAGAACCATCAAGGCCAAGTACGAGTCCTACGATGCTGCTTTGTCTTTGCAGCGCCAGGTTTTGTGTTACGCCAAAGACGCCAAGGAGATTTATTACACGCCAGATCCTGCCGACCTCGCGCCCCCAGCCAAAGAAGAGCCAGCTGCTGCTGCCGCTCCTGCCGCTGCCGCTCCTGCTGCCGCTGCTCCAGTCGCAGCTGCTCCAGCCGCCCCAGCTGCTGCCCCAGCGGGTCCAGCCGCTTCGATTTCTGACGAGCCAGTCAAGGCGTCGCTTCTTTTGCACGTTTTGGTTGCTCAGAAGTTGAAGAAGCCATTGGAAGGCGTGCCTATGAGCAAGGCCATCAAGGACTTGGTCAACGGTAAGTCCACCGTGCAAAACGAGATTTTGGGTGACTTGGGTAAAGAATTCGGTTCGACCCCAGATAAGCCAGAAGACACCCCATTGGAAGAATTGGCCGAGCAGTTCCAAGACACCTTCAACGGCCTGTTGGGTAAGACGTCTCTGTCCTTGATTGGCCGTTTGATGTCGTCGAAAATGCCTGGTGGTTTCTCCATCACCGTGGCCAGAAAGTATTTGGAAACCAGATTCGGTTTGGGCTCTGGTAGACAGGACTCGGTCTTGTTGATGGCATTGGTCAACGAGCCACCATCTCGTTTGGGCTCTGACGCTGAGGCCAAGGAGTTTTTGGACTCCGTGGCCCAGAAATACGCCTCCTCCGCCGGAATCTCCTTGTCTTCGGCCTCTGCTGGTAGCGGTGGAGCCGCTGCTGGCGGTGCTGTCATTGACAGCGCTGCTTTGGACGCTTTGAGCGCCGAGAGCAAGACCTTGGCCAGACAACAGTTGGAAGTGTTGGCCAGATACTTGCAAGTGGACTTGAACAAGGGTGCTAAGTCGTTCATCAAGGAAAAGGAAGCGTCTGTGTTGTTGCAGAAGGAGCTCGACTTATGGGAGGCTGAGCACGGCGAGTTCTACGCTAAGGGTATCAAGCCAATCTTTTCTTCTTTGAAGGCTAGAACCTACGACTCCTACTGGAACTGGGCCCGTCAAGATGTCTTGTCCATGTACTTTGACATCATTTTTGGCAAGTTGACCTCCGTCGACCGTGAAACCATCAACCAATGTATCCAAATCATGAACAGAGCGTCGCCAACTTTGATCAAGTTCATGCAGTATCACATTGACCACACTCCAGAGTACAAGGGTGAAACCTACCAGTTGGCCCGTAGATTGGGCCAGCAGTTGATTGACAACTGTAAGCAGGTCATGGACGTGGACCCAGTGTACAAGGATGTGTCCAGAATCACCGGTCCTAAGACTACTGTCGACTCCAAGGGTAACATTGTCTACGAAGAGGCCAACAAGGAATCTGTTCGCAAGTTCGAGCAATACGTGTACGAGATGGCCCAAGGTGGCTCCATGACCAAGCAAGTCCAGCCTACTATCCAAGAGGACTTGTCCCGTGTTTACCAGGCCATTTCCAAGCAGGCCACTGTGTCGAAGAACACCAAGGTCGAGCTCGACAAGTTGTACTCTCAATTGGTTGAGTTCTTGGAAGAGAGCAAGGAAATTGAGACTGCTCAGGCCACCAAGACTGCCTTGCAACACCAGACCAGCTCATCTTCTACTGACGAAGAGGAAACCTCCGCTTCTTCCGACGACGAGATCGCGTCTTTGCCAGACAAGACTTCTATCTTGCAACCAGTTTCCTCTACCATCCCACCACAAACCATCCCATTCTTGAACCTCCAGAAGAAGGGCAAGAACGGTTGGGAGTTCGACCACAAGTTGTCTTCCATGTACTTGGACGGTTTGGAAAGCGGTGCTGTCAACGGTTTGACTTTCAAGGACAAGCACGTTTTGGTCACTGGTGCCGGTGCTGGCTCCATTGGTGCCGAAATTTTGCAAGGTTTGATTTCTGGTGGTGCTAAGGTTGTAGTCACCACTTCCCGTTTCTCCAAGAAGGTTACTGAGTACTACCAGGCCATGTACTCCAGATATGGTGCTGCCGGCTCCACTTTGATTGTTGTGCCTTTCAACCAGGGTTCCAAGCAAGACGTTGACGCTTTGATCTCCTACATCTACGACACCAAGGAAGGTTTGGGTTGGGACTTGGATGCCATCATTCCATTCGCTGCCATTCCTGAAAACGGCAATGGTTTGGACAACATCGACTCCAAGTCCGAGTTGGCCCACAGAATTATGTTGACCAACTTGTTGAGAATGTTGGGTGCTGTCAAGGCCAAGAAGACCACTGACACTAGACCAGCTCAAGTGATCTTGCCTCTTTCTCCTAACCACGGTACCTTCGGTTTCGATGGTTTGTACTCCGAATCCAAGATCTCTTTGGAAACCTTGTTCAACAGATGGTACTCTGAAGACTGGTCGACCAAGTTGACCATTTGTGGTGCCATCATTGGTTGGACTAGAGGTACTGGTTTGATGAGTGCCAACAACATCATTGCTGAGGGCATTGAAAAGGTGGGTGTGAGAACCTTCTCCCAGAAGGAGATGGCTTTCAACATCTTGGGTTTGTTGACTCCAGAAGTTGTCAACTTGTGCCAGGAGCAACCTGTCATGGCCGACTTGAACGGTGGTTTGCAGTTCATTGACAACTTGAAGGAGTTCACCTCCAAGTTGAGATCTGACTTGGTTGAAAACGCTGACGTTAGAAGAGCTGTTTCCATCGAAAATGCCATCGAACAAAAGGTTGTTCACGGTGACAACGTCGATGCTAACTACAGCAAGGTTAGCGTGCAACCAAGAGCTAACATGACTTTCGCTTTCCCTGACATGAAGCCATACGAGGAGATCAAGAAGATTTCCCCAGACATGGAGAACATGTTGGACTTGGAATCTGTTATTGTTGTCACTGGTTTCTCCGAAGTTGGTCCATGGGGTAACGCCAGAACCAGATGGGAGATGGAAGCTTACGGTGAATTCTCTCTTGAAGGTTGTATTGAGATGGCCTGGATTATGGGCTTGATCAAGTACCACAACGGTAACTTGAAGGGTAAGCCATACTCTGGCTGGGTGGATGCCAAGACTCAACAGCCAGTTGAGGACAAGGACATCAAGGCCAAGTACGAGGAAGAAATCTTAGAGCATTCCGGTATCCGTCTCATTGAGCCTGAATTGTTTGACGGCTACGATCCTAAGAAGAAGCAAATGATTCAAGAAGTTGTTATTCAACACGACTTGGAGCCATTTGAAGCTTCTAAGGAGACTGCTGAGCAATACAAGCACCAACATGGCGACAAGTGTGAGATTTTCGAGATTGAAGAGTCTGGAGAATACACCGTTAAGATTTTGAAGGGTGCCACTTTGTTTGTTCCAAAGGCCTTGAGATTCGACAGATTGGTTGCTGGTCAAATCCCAACCGGCTGGAACGCTAAGAACTACGGTATTCCAGAGGACACCATCTCGCAAGTTGACCCTATCACCTTGTTCGTGTTGGTTTCTACCGTGGAGGCCTTGTTGGCTGCTGGTATTACCGACCCATACGAATTCTACAAGTATGTCCACGTCTCTGAAGTCGGTAACTGTTCTGGTTCCGGTATGGGTGGTGTTTCTGCCTTGAGAGGTATGTTCAAGGACAGATACTCGGACAGACCAGTGCAAAACGATATTTTGCAAGAGTCTTTCATCAACACCATGTCTGCTTGGGTGAACATGTTGTTGTTGTCTTCCTCTGGTCCTATCAAGACTCCAGTTGGTGCATGTGCTACTGCTGTTGAGTCTGTTGACACCGGTATCGAGACCATCTTGTCTGGAAAGGCTAAGGTTTGTATCGTTGGTGGTTACGATGACTTCCAAGAAGAAGGCTCGTATGAGTTCGCTAACATGAACGCCACTTCCAATGCTGTTGACGAGTTTGCCCATGGCAGAACTCCTTCGGAAATGTCCAGACCAGCCACCACCACCAGAAACGGTTTCATGGAGGCTCAAGGTTCTGGTATCCAGGTTATCATGACCGCAGACTTGGCCATCAAGATGGGTGTTCCAATCTACGCTGTTTTGGCCATGACTGCCACTGCCACCGATAAGATCGGTAGATCTGTGCCTGCTCCAGGTAAGGGTATTTTGACTACTGCCCGTGAGCACCACGGTGACTTGAAGTACCCATCTGCCATGATGAACGTCAAGTACAGAAGCAGACAATTGAAGAAGAGATTGGAGCAAATTGGTGCTTGGGAGGCTTCCGAAATCGAGTACTTGTCTGAGGAAGCTGAGTTGGCCAAGGAAGAGTTTGGTGCTGACTTCTCCGTTTCTGAGTTCATGCGTGAGAGAACCGAAGAAATCCGCCGTGAGGCCAAGAGACAAGCCGCTGATGCCAAGAAGCAGTGGGGTAACTTCTTCTACAAGAACGACCCTAGAATTGCTCCATTGAGAGGTTCTTTGGCCGCCTTCGGTTTGACCATCGATGACTTGGGTGTTGCTTCCTTCCACGGTACTTCTACTAAGGCCAACGATAAGAATGAGTCTGCCACCATCAACTCCATGATGAAGCACTTGGGCAGAAGCGAAGGTAACCCAGTGTTTGGTGTTTTCCAGAAGTACTTGACTGGTCACCCTAAGGGTGCTGCTGGTGCTTGGATGTTGAACGGTGCCATCCAAATCTTGAACAGTGGTATTGTTCCAGGTAACAGAAACGCTGACAATGTTGACAAGGTCATGGAGGACTTTGAGTACGTGTTGTACCCATCCAGATCCATCCAAACCGACGGTATCAAGGCTGTGTCTGTCACCTCTTTCGGTTTCGGTCAGAAGGGTGCTCAAGCCGTTGCTGTTCACCCTGATTACTTGTTTGCTGTTTTGGACAAGAACTCCTACGAGGACTACGCTTCCAGAGTCAGCTCCAGAAACAAGAGAGCCTACAGATACATGCACAACGCCATCACCCGTAACACCATGTTTGTGGCTAAGGACAAGGCTCCATACGCTGATGAGTTGGAGCAACCTGTGTACTTGGACCCATTGGCACGTGTTGAGGAGAGCAAGACTGGCCTTGTTTTCAGCAAGAAGGGTGTTCAGTCGAACAAGAGCTACGTCTCTTCAATTTCTGACGCCACTTCCAAGGCCTTGAGCTCTTTGAACAAGGGTTCCAAGGGTGTTGGTGTGGACGTGGAGTTGCTTTCATCTTTGAACTTGGACAACGAGACTTTTGTTGAGAGAAACTTCACTTCTGCTGAAGTCGAGTACGCCTCGAAGTCTCCTTTCCCACAAGCGTCTTTCACAGGCACTTGGTCGGCCAAGGAAGCTGTCTTCAAGGCTTTGGGTGTCAAGTCTCAAGGTGCTGGTGCTTCTTTGAAGGACATTGAGATCGTTCGTGACAGCAACGGTGCTCCAAAGGTTGTGTTGAACGGATCTGCTAAGGAGGCTGCTGCCAAGGCTGGTGTGAAGAACGTTAGTGTGTCGATTTCCCACGACGACTTCCAAGCTACTGCTGTCGCTTTGAGCGAGTTTTGATTAGCTCGAGATTATAGTGAATAGTCTAGAAATATATTTAAGCTAAGAGAGAAAAGTTCGTAGGGATTGTGAGATAAGTGATTCAATGAGGTTGTTATCAGGCTGACAAGTTTAAGCTGTGATCTTCTCGTGGTATAAGCAAGTGTGAACGAATTAAGGTTGTGAATTTTGGATGACTTCATGCTACGAACTTTTGTGATTTCGAATTTATATATACTGCTTCTGTATTCCGTAGAAAATACCGTTCAAAAATACAACAATGGTCCTCTTTGTTCACTTCTTACCGGTACGGTGAATATCCCATTTCCATGATCTCGTCTCTTTATCATAATTACATACAGAGATATTTTGGTTTCTGGTCAGACCGAGCTGTTTTCATCGCATTTATATAGATTACATCGTTGAAGATTTGATAGCATGTTCAAATTTGAGATGCCATCAAAGAAATCAATAGACCAAATTTGAACCACTAACAATCAGATTGAACCATTATGTTGCTCATCCATTATGTTGCTCATCTGATTACTTCGCTAGCATTCTTATTAGCGGACCTTGTCTAAATGAACAAGCTGGCAGACCAAGAAAAACTCATAGTGCTAAGTCCTGCAGTGTTTTGATAGCTAAGTTAATAGTAGCATGTAATATTTATTATTTTTTTTTTCTAATTCTAGCCAAAGTCGCTAGCTGTTGACTGAAGTAGTTTCAAAGCGAGACCAATCAATAAAATCCGACCTGCGGTACATTTTCAAGCATACAACTACAGAAAAGCATACAATTGGAATGAACATTTGTGCAACCACAATGAATTTCGTCGTTCACAAACACATTACATCTTCACTTTCACTCTCTTACAAATACATTAATATACTTAATAATTTTCCTCCTCTTCCATCCATACTGGCTATGTCCAGATCGGGCCGCCTGGGTGCAGGACCCCACCCAGTTATCGCACCGTAAACGTTGAAGACAAGGCATACTAAACCATTTTAGGTCCGACATCACCAAGACAGAACACAATCATTCCTGGTCGAGCCATTGCGATTGATTCTAAAAGGCCGGTAAAAAATGAGTCAGGACCCAGGTATCGCCACGCTGAGTGAAGATAATCCAGGCGGAGCCTCACCTTCAACGGAATGTGATGTTTCCGCGCCGAATGGCGTAGGCGAGGTGCCGAAAGACGAGAAAGAAGAAAAGAGCAGAGAAAACGAGGCGGCAGAGGACAAGGACGAGACGGAGAACGGCGGCGGTGCCGAAGAAACAAACAATGGATCCAAGGACAGCGAGACGGAAAAGGCCATAGAGGCGGAGAATGCCACGGCGGAGATCCCTGAAACTTCTGAGACGTCCGAGAAGGAAGCCGAAGAGAAAGACGAAGAGAAGGATTCTGAAGAGCCAAAAGAGCTTTCTGAAGATTCACCAAAAGAGCAGTCTCAAGACTCACCAAAAGAGCTTTCTGAAGATTCACCAAAAGAGCAGTCTCAAGACTCACCAAAAGAGCTTTCTGAAGATTCACCAAAAGAGCAGTCTCAAGACTCACCAAAAGAGCAGTTTCAAGACTCACCAAAAGACCTGTCCCAAGATTCAAAGTCGGCACAAGAACCAGAGGCTCCTCAAGAGCCCGAAGAGGCCCAGAAGACGGAAGATTCTCCCCAGAATGGCGCCACTGACAATTCTCACGCCGACTCCCACAATGAAGCTCAAATACAGATAAAAGTCACCGACGAACAGGCAGAGACCAAACCACATGATGAGCCTGCTGGACCGGAAAAGGAAAACGCCAATGGCACTCTTTCAGCAGACGCAGATACACGGGGCTCGCGTAATACGTCGATCTCCAATAGCTCGATCGTTTCTGTTGCCGGCTCTGGCAGGAAAGCCTCGACGAGTCGCCCAAGTGTCGACTCGCGGCGCCCGCTTGCCAAAGTGGAAAACTACCAGATCTTCAAGAAGTCGCTTGAAGGCATTGGCTCGAGCCGCGAAGCCAGCAAAAATGAGCGTCTTCGCTCGGCCACAGAAAGGGCCGTGGCGCTGCTCGACAACTCGGCGTCGCGAGACCCACATGTCATATTCGAGGCATTGAAGTTGGCCTGTGAATCGGGATCCAGTGCGCTTCGGTCGCAGGCAGTGGATCTTTTCGCCAAACTTTTCGACTATGCCATTTTCGAGGACGAGAGCGATCGCGTGGCTCTCACAGATCTGTCTGTAGAGGTGATCGCCGCGTGTTTCGAAGGCGAAGGAACTGATCCGGACGTGGAGATGCAAGTTGTCCGGGCACTCATGCACAGTATTCTACTCATGCCTACGCATGGAGCCTCGCTTTTGAAAGCGGTTCGTCAAATCTACAATGTTTTCATCTTCTCCTTGTCGCCCCGCAACCAGCAAGTGGCACAGGGAACGTTGACGCAGGTAATTGGGGCCATTTTCGGCCGTGTGGGTGAAAAAGAGAAGGAGAGAAGCCTCTCAGAAGGCACAGAAGCGTCCGAAACGGAAGCAGCATCCGAAAGCGCCAATGAAACGAGCGACGCAAACGGGACAAGCGATTCGAACGACGCAGCACAGAAAACCGCAAAGCCAAAGGTATCTGCTCCCGTGACTCTCGCCAACTTAGAAGGCGGTGACAGCGGCGACGGCCAAAGAGTGGCAGAAGCAAACCTGGCGCTGGAGAAAGATGCAGATCTCGCAGTGAAAGACGCCTTTCTTATTTTCCGAGCCATGTGCAAGCTCTCGGTCAAGGACTTGGACACAGACAATGTTGACATGCGCTCACACCTGGTGCGGTCCAAGTTGCTCTCGTTGCATGTGATTCACACCATCTTGAAGAACAACATTGACATCTTCTTGAGCAAGCACGTGGTGATTCTTCTGGCTGGGTCCGACGACCAGACGTGTTTGATTGATGCTGTGAGACTGTACTTGTGTCAGGCTCTTATCCGCAACGCTGCGTCGCCCTTGGCCCCCGTTTTCGAGTTGTCGTTGGAGATCTTCTGGCTTTTGTTGGCCAACCTCCGCTCCGAATTCAAGATGGAAATCCCCGTGTTCTGGGAGCAAATCTACTTCCCTGTGGCGGAAATGAAAACGTCCACGGCCCACCAGAAACGCTACTTGCTTTCGGTGATGGAACGTTTGTGCAATGATTCGCGTTGCATCATTGAGTTTTACTTGAACTACGACTGCGACAGCGCACAGCCAAACATCTGTGAGAAGCTCATTGACTACTTGACCCGCTTGTCTTTGGCCCGCGTAGAAGTTCTGCCTGCCCAAAAATTGGCCTACAGAGAAAACAAGCGCAACGGCATCTCTCTATACGACGTGAGCAAGATCGCCAACTTAACCTCGTCCACGATGTCTTCTCGTCCACCCGAACCAGAGATTTACGCTAGCTTCCCGTTGGAGTACGCCATGAAAATGACGTCTCTCAGCTGCTCGGTGGCGTTTTTGCGCTCGCTCCATCTGTGGGCCCAAAAAGGTCTCTCCTCAAAACGCATGTCGGTAGTCAAAGGATCAGCATCGCTGTTACCGAGCCGATCTACGTCGCGCAATGCTTCTTTCGTTGGGCTGAACTCGGTGCAAGAACCCTCGGACCCAGATGCACCTGAACAGTTTGAAACACAGAAGCAGCGCAAGAAGGCATTCTTGGAAGGCGTACGCCAGTTCAATGTCAAGCCCAAGAAGGGTGTGGCCTACTTCATTGAGCACGGCTTCATCCCGTCAGATAGTCCCCGTGACATTGCTGTTTTCTTGCTCGAATGTGATGCTTTGGATAAAGCTGCCATGGGCGAATACTTGGGAGAAGGCCACGACCGCAACGTCGCTATCATGCACGAGTTTGTGGACCAAATGGACTTCCGCAACACTCTATTTACTGATGCCATGCGTACTTTCCTTCAGGCGTTCCGTTTGCCGGGTGAATCGCAGAAAATCGACAGGTTTATGTTGAAGTTCGCGGAGCGCTATGTGCTTGGCAACCCAGGGGTGTTCACCAATGCTGATGCTGCCTATGTGTTGGCATACTCGACAGTAATGCTCAATACAGACCAGCATTCGCCCCAAGTGAAAAACAGAATGACTGTGGACAACTTTGTGGCGAACAACGCCGGAATAGACGATGGAAAAGACTTACCTCGTGAGCTCTTGGAGAACATTTACTACGAGATTCAGCGCAATGAAATCAAGTTGCAGTCTGAACAGCATGCAGCTCTTTTGGCTGGCGAACAAGCGGTTTCAAGTGGACCAACCGGTTTTTTCGGCGGCCGAGACTTGACTAGAGAAGCCTACATGCACGCGTCGAAAGAGATGTCGACTAAAACAGAAAAGTTGGTAAAAAGCTTGGGCAAGAAATTGCGTTCCGAGGATGCAAACGTGTTCCACGCGGCATCGCATGTTCATCATGTTCGGTCGATTTTCGACACGGTGTGGATGTCGATTTTGGCGGGACTTACTGCTCCATTCAAAGAATTTGATGACGAAGATGTGACAAATTTGTGCTTAGAGGGCATAAAGTTGTCTATCCGAATCTCATGCATGTTTGAATTGCAGTACGCTAAACGGTCGTTTATTCGAGCATTGGTCCAGTTCCAGAATTTGAATAACATCGAGGACATCAAACAAAAGAACATTGCTGCCATATACATCATGCTTGATGTGGCTGTTTCTGAAGGTAATTACTTACAAAAGTCTTGGATTGATATTTTGACGTCGATTTCTCAGCTCGAGCGTTTGCAGTTGATTGCACAAGGTGTGGACCAAGATTCGATTCCAGATCTCTCTACGGCAAAATTGGTAAACAGAAGCTCGCTCGAAAGCTCTTCTTCTGCGCCTACGGGTTTCTTCCTGTTTGCTACGAAGGAAAGCACATTCCAAACTGCAGCAAACAAGTTCCACAACCAGCACTTGTCTGCTGAGGCAGCCTCTCTTTTAAACCGTACAGCACTTGGCGTTGCAATGGATAAAGTTTTCACCAACAGTGCTGAATTGACTGGTGAAGCTATTCAAGATTTTGTGGAGGCCTTGAGTGAAGTCGCATCTGAAGAAATCGAATCTTCAGGCCAATCAGCTAACCCAAGGATGTTTTCTTTGCAAAAAGTAGTGGACATATGTTACTACAACATGAGCAGAATTCGTTTGGAGTGGTCGCAATTGTGGTCTGTCATGGGAGAGATTTTCAATGTGGTTGGCTGCAACAGGAACGTTGCTGTTTCCTTTTTTGCATTAGATTCTCTTCGCCAGCTTTCAATGCGCTTCTTGGACATCGACGAGTTGTCTCACTTCAAGTTTCAAAAGGAATTCTTGAAACCGTTCGAACACATTTTCATAAATAACGATGCATATGATGTCAAGGACATGGTGCTTGAGTGCATCAACAATATGATGATGGCGAAGGCTGACAAAATCAAGTCGGGTTGGAAAGCCATCTTCGGCGTTTTGATTGCAGCAGCGAAAGAACGCAAGGAGAGCATCGTTACCAAAGCGTACAAAATGGCGTTCACAATAAATAAAGAATATTGTGATGAAGTGAGAACACAGGACTCGTTTGCGGAGTTGGCTTCTTGTTTCACGGAATTTGCTAAGAACGAGCGTTTCCAAAAGGTCAGTTTATTGTCGCTTGAAGTTTTGTCCAAGTTGATTGTACAGATTGCAAAGTACACCATAGAACAGGAGAAGACCATAACTATTCGTGAAGATGGCGAGAGATCCGAATATTTGAGCAAGCTTTGGTTTCCGATCTTGTTTGGCTTTTATGATATCATCATGTCGGGAGAGTTGGAGGTTCGGTCCAAAACTCTTACGCAATTTTTCGATATTTTGCTCAAGTACGGAGAACACTTTGAGGCTGATTTCTGGGATTTGGTTTACCACAAGTTGCTAGCACCGATCTTTGGCGTCTTGTCCAACCCATGGGAGTTAAAATACGAAGATGAATTCAACCCAAGCAACAGCACCAGCGAAAAGGACAAGCTCTCTTTCTGAGGTTCTGACGACATTAATCCAAGCATTAAACAGCATGGTATCTTTGTTCACTCACTACTTCAAGCAACTCACACCATTGCTTGAAGAGTTTCTAAATCTTTTGATCAATTGTGTTTGTCAGGAGAACGATACAATTGCGAGAACAGGAAAGTCATGCTTGTACGATTTTGTTGTTCAAAACGCGGCCAGATTTGATGAGAACCAATGGGACGAAGTTGTTAGAGCATTCAAGACGTTATTTGAGTTGACAACGGCAAATGAGTTGTTTGAGTTAGACCCATTGAAGACGCAAAGAAGAGACTCCGACAGCACGGTGAACCAATCAGACAGTGAGGGAAGCAGCAAAAAATCATCTATTGTGGTGAAGTGTGTCTTGCAATTATTGATGATTGAAATGTTGCTGGACTTGTCGGTGAATGAAGCATTCTACGATGCCATTCCCCACGAACAACTTATGAAGTTTGCCAATCTTCTTTTGGATAGTTACCAGTTTGCCAAGGCGTTCAACGAAGACTACGATTTGCGGGTGCGGCTTTGGAACTCGGGCGTCATTGAGCGCCTTCCTAACTTGTTGAAGCAAGAAAGTATGTCGTCGGCCGTGTTCTTGAACATTATGTTCCGCTTGTACTGCGACAGAGACAAGTCGCGCGAGAAACAGGCCAAAGCGTATGTTCTTGTATCAGTTGTTCCGATCTGCGAGTTGATTGTGGAGCGGTTTTCGGGCTTTGACGAGGTGAATCTGCAGAAGAGCATCACCACGTGGAGACCTGTGATCATCGAGATTTTCCAAGGCTACGTGGAGTTGGATGAAGACGACTTTGCGCAGTATGCTCCTAATATGTTTACGCTTACGCTTAAGTTATTCGACCGGGGCTTGAGCACGGACTTACGCAAGGGGATCCAGATGTTTTTGAGCCGGGTGGGAGATGCTTTTGTGCGCTAGCCCAGCAAAGCAGCAAGCAATATAATGTACAATAAATGCAATGCGTGAACATAAGACCGGAAAGACACGACAGAGGGAAGAGTAGAGAATAGACAAGAGTAGAAAGCAGAGAAACCAATGAAGTAGAGAAGTACAGAAAGTAGAGAAAGAGATGAAGTGAGAAAGAGATACAGTAGAAATGTCAAGTACAAAATTAATTGAGCCAAGATCTATCAAGGCATTCTGAGCTTCTATAGATCTCACACGATTGCGCCATGGAAGTAGGCCACTAGGTGCAGGAAACCCATACCAGAACGGCGGAAAAGGTCAGAAAGTCCAGAGAAAAACGGAGGCCATGATGGAACGGGAACGGTTCCAAAACGGGCAAAGAGCAATAACAAGGCAGTGGAAAAACCCCCGCTTGAAAAAACGCCATACTTACCCCCCAGACAAACGTACGGCAGGGTCCGGCGGTACAGGTGTTTCCAAGGTTCGGGCAATTGTGACTGTGACTACGCACCAAAAAAAAATGAAAAATTTTCTGGACAACCCACTCTATCCAGACAAACAAAATGTCTTTTGAAAACAAGGTATGTGCCAAAGACCGGCCTTGGGGCCATTGACCCATTGGATAGGTTTTTTCTGGGCTCAGTAGACTGCGGCGGCTCGGCAATTCCGCTGGGGGCGCTTTTGGCCCCATTTGGCCCCATTTCCAAACTGCCATGGGATTTCCCCTTCTGATATTAACCTGAACCAAAGAACTTGTACGCTTTGTTGGGCAACGACGTCGAGGACGACGTGCCAGCACCAGCACCAAAGGAAATCGTCAAGAAGACCACGTCTTCGAAAAAGGCCGACGTTCCACCTCCATCTGCAGACCCTGCCAGAGCCAAGAAGCAGGGCAAGAAGGTGACCGGCAACGAAGCCGCTTTCAAGAACAAGCCTCACAACAAGGACGTGAGCGCGCCAACTCTGACTCCACCAAAGCACCAGAAGAAGACTTTTGACCGCCACTCGAGAACCGGCAAGACCGACTCCAAGAAGAAGGTCAGACAAGCCTGGGGCGGTGACGACAAGAGAGAGTTGGAGGACGAGACTGCCGCTGCCGGCGACGCTGCCGCCGAGTTGGCTGCTGAAGGCCAGACCGGCGCTTCCGCTGGCCCTGCCGCCAAGTCTTTGCAAGAGTACCTTGCGGAGTTGCAAAAGGCCGAGGCTCAGTTGGAGGGCAGAAGACCAGCCAGACAAGCCAACCAGGGCGCTGAGGACAAGTGGACCGCCGGCGAGAAGATTGAGAAGCAAACCCTTCCATTCTTCGAGTCTCAGTCCGAGAAGAAGGTCAAGCAAAAGGCCACCAAGCCAAAGAAGTATTTGGACTTCAACGCTGTCTTCACCGACTCGCCAGCTCCAAGATCGGCCAAGAAGCCTTTCAAGAAGGACGGCAAGCCTGCTGTGGACGACAAGAACTTCCCATCTTTGTAGATGCAAGTGCTGATTGTCGCTAGCGGCGCAGTAATATTTAGCTGAATCGATTCCTCTGGACAACGCGTAGATTGTAGTGTGACAACTTCAATGGAACAGGAGAATTGAGTCCATTCTGTTCAATAAGAGAATAAACTGTTAAATCATAGAATGTGTGCGTTATGTCTAACAGTGCCAACCTGATCTGAACTTGTTCGTTTCGCTCGTAACACGGTGAATGAATTACAATTTAGTTACAGGGAATGCAATCCAGAGAAACAATAATTGCAATTGATCCAATGGAGCGGTGAAACTTATGCCATTATGGGTGAATCTCGATTAGAAAGTGGTTGAGCGAAGATTTCTATTTCCAGTGTCAAGTCATTTCAGGTGCTCTTTTCGATCAATTGAGAAGTCGTCATTCAGTAGAACTAAGCTTTGTTAATTCCCACTGGAACCAATCAAGTAGGTTCTGCTCTTTCAAGTTTTCACTGGAGTTGTCCGCCATAATTATAATTCACTTAGCTACGAAGCTTTCAAATGGAAAAAAATGAGAGCATGTAAATTCTCCAAGTGGAGCATTTGGATAAACTGACTCTCTCAATGACAGATAATATTTCTTGACTCTCTGTCCCGAAAGTACTACTGTGTTTTTGGTATTGAAAGACACAGTAATTGCGTCTTGGTGCTCTCTTCGATTGCACATGTCCTACAAGACAAAAACCAGATATTTACCTTGCGAGTTGTTTATATAATGGAGATGAGGTGGAATTGAGTCCTGGGAACTGAGAATAAAAAGGGCAAGAGACGATCACTATGTGAGCGCTATAGACAAGAGGCTATAACATAGGTGAAAATCAAGCCTAATAGATCACTTCTTTGCACCCAATATTTTAGTTCATTCTAGAAGGAAAACAGGTGAAAGCAGAAGGAAAGAGGGCATGAATTCTCAAATGCACATTAGTTACTTAAGTAAATATGTCTTGCGTGCTTCAAAACTATGGTTTGAATGCCACTCAAAAGGCAAAACTGAAGAAACTAGAATGAGTCAATGTGTCAAAGCAATTTTGATCAAGTAAAAAATAAGTAGTGGCTAAGGAGAGAAATAATTAAGCAGTGCAATAATATGAAGTGAGAAATAATAGAGTAGAGAAATAATAGAGTAGAGAAATATTAAAGTAGAGAAATAATAAAGTAGAGAAATATAGTGAGAAATAGTAAGTAGAGAAATAATAAGCAGAGAAATAATAAGTAGAGAAATAATAAGTAGAGAAATAAGAGTGAAAGATATAGTTTAGTAGTGAGCACAACAGCAATAAGAAACAAAAGTCTCTTTAGACTTCAGTGTTTAGCATTAGAGAGGAATAGTGGACACTGAAATTCAATTCGCATTCTTACCCAAATAGCCCACGGACTCCACAATTAGGAAAAAAATATGAATCCTTAGGGCGACTCCACAATTTCGAAAAGAATATGAATCAAACTGACAAAAGCCAATGGAACTTCTTGGAATCTACTTCGACTTTCCGAAATTCACATTCACAGAAATGGAAAGAAAACCACTCCGTTCCATTCGCGCAAATTGGATCCGCGCTTGTTCCGAAAATAGCACAATCAGTTCCACATTGGATGGGCGATAGCAATAGAAACCACACACCCGTACACCACAAACTTCTTTAAAGAAGGAAAAAAAAAGCCTCAACCGCCAGCGCACCCGTACACCACGCTTATTAGGGTCAGCCAGCACGGCGGCGGTGGATGTCATTCGATTTATTTTTCGAGTTTTTTCCTCTGCGGGCGCCATTCAGAGACGGCAGCCAGCGTTTAATGAAGCCAAAGCAGCGAATCCAGCGGTTTTTGTCGCCCCGAGCCGAAAGGACCCGAAACCGCTGGGCTTGCCTGCAGGACCCGGGAAACTGGCCTTATCACGTTCTTAATTCTAGTTTTAATGATCGCGCATGTGTGCCGGAGATTCTAAATAGGTGAATCAGTCACGTCCAGGCGAAAAAAGACAAGCACACACATTTTTCCCCAACCACAAAATCTTTCTGGCAGCATTCAAAGACATTACTTTCACTTTTCTCGAATAGAACGCTGCTTGCTCCTGGAGCCGCATACCATCCTTTTCCGGTCTCTTTCAGCCGAGGTTTAGTTATCACCAATTTCAATTTGCAAATACGCGCCCACAACTCGAGACCAGGGTGTTTGAATCTCGGGCCACAGCAGAAAAAAAAAAACAATTCTCGAGCATGTCGCAAGTTTCGCCGCTCTTCGAAGCGCCAAGGACAAACTTGAACACAAACACAAACATAAACACAAACGTTGACGCCCACGGCACCCCAAACACAAACCCAAGTGCACACATAGACATACACAGAAACGTGGCCAATGTGCACACACAGACGGATACCAGCGGGGGCCAAGGAGGGGCCGTGAAAACAGAAGCAGGCGCCGCCGCCGATATGGCTGCAAAAAACGAGTCTGTGGCGGAGGCCAAACCAGACCCAGACAGGAAGCCGTCGAAGCTCTCGACGCTGTCACCCGAGGCGCTTCGCGTGGCGGCAGAAATCACGCCGCACCGCCTTGCCAACCTCTTGATCCGCAAGGGGCCATTGGCTATTCGCGTGATTACGGCGCAATTGGCCGCCGAGGTGCCCGGCTTTGAGCTCTTGTCGCTTCTGAAACAGCGCAGACTCATTATGGCAGCCATGGAACAGGGCGACGCAGCAAACAACGTGGTGTTCGAGAAAATCGGCTGGGGCCAGTGGGCCGTGCGCCGCTCCGGCCTGGACTACATCGTCACCGATGCGGGAACAGAGCCCGTCAGTGTGCACGAGTTGCGCGAAAAGGCCAAGTTGGGCTGGTCCAAGAAAAGCGCTGCGGCGGCGCGGCGTGACTCCATCAGCAAGGGCGGGTTGCACAGTGTGCGGGTTCCGGACGAGCACGGCGTGCAGATGTCGGGCGACCACGGCATGCGGTCGCCAGAGAATGAGAGCGACTCTGCCCTGGATTCGGACGACGACATGGACATGCTTGAGCAAAGCCATATCGACGTGCAGCGCGAGTCGCACCGCGAGACGTCTTCCAGAGCACGGGCTGAAGTGCAGCAGCTCAGCCGAGGCCGTCCTGACGACACCGCCATTGCCGAGGACTCGGACGAGGAGGATCTTTTTGCCTTTGACGAGGACCACAAGTCGCCGCCCTTGTTTGCGCAACGTGTGCCAACAAAGATCAGCCCACCGCCTGTGCACGGACGGCGCAAGTCGTCGTCGGCAGTATCCAACGGCGTGGCAAAGAACACAAACTATTCACGGCACCAGATTTTTAACCGCAACCGCTTAAACTCGCTCGAAAACTTGGACAATTACATTGTGTCGTCCGCACGCAACCTGCTGTTTTCCGTGAGCTCGCCGCCGCCAGCCGGTTCTGTAGGGTCGGCCTCGCCGCTCGGGTCTTGGGGCGCCAACCAGGGCGCATTTGCGCTTGTGGAGCCATTGGTGCGTGGGCGACGCAAGCTGTCGTTCAACGAGTCAAGCATGCGGTCAACCCTTCTGGCGTCACGCCGAGAGTCACGCACAGACGCTTCCTCGGATACGGACGAAGAGGACTGGGCTAGCATGGGCGCCGAGAGCCTCCGAAAAAACTCAGCTGGCCTGAGCCCATCGCTTGATCAGGCGGAGGAGCGCACAGCCGCGCGGGCGTTGGTGAACCTAATGACGATTTAGCTTGGACCCTGGACATAGTTGTATAGAATGTCCGCCACATATAAGGCGTAGCATAATTGCAGTGGGCATGTCCCGCGGAGCTATGTATTGATAGAAGTATTCATGGAAATCTGTAGTATTGATGTAGATATAAATTGATCAGTGCTGTTATACTGTTAAAGAGGACTGAATACTTGTTGGCTTTGAGGAAGAAGAAAGTGATATATTTGTTCGATGGGACCACAATTGTGAGAAGAGCTTTTCTCTCATAGAAAGTTTGGCATGTCAATATGGATCAGTTGGTGGAAGTAGAAGCACAGTTTTAAGTTCAATAGTTTGCACTTCCTATTTGGATATTATTATGACAAAGGACCTAATGAACGTCATTGTATAGTAGATTTTTTTTGTGCTGGCCAGTTTTATCGAATAGTATTGCTTTTTCGAATAAACAGGGCATCTACTATTCCATGTTTAGCTTATTATGTGTAATGTAGAAGAGACAGCAAGAACATTAATAGGCCAGCTTATTTATTTCATTCTACGACAATACCGTAAAGTTTCATGACAATTGTTTTGGCATGTATCTTTGTTTAGTCCATACTGCTCCTTCGAACCACAAGCAATCATAATCCATAAATAAATGAAGCATCGAGTGGATTCAAGTCGACGCGACTTTACGAAATTATACGGCTGATGACGCATGGTCTGAATCCAAAACCAAACTTTCCATCAATATACGACTTTTTGGAATACACGTAGGCCTGATCATCCCAGGTTTCCATTTTTACGTTTTATCAATTTGATCCATAAAATGCAAAATCAATTTCGTAATACCGTTAGCAATGGCAGCCTGCACATAAGACCAGCATACCTAGTCCCATATATCACCATCAATCCTGCCATACTTGCTTCGTCATCTGTTGATTCTATTTATTTATTCATTTATCTAGTTGTTTTTTTTACGTTTTCATTTTCCTTTCTTCAGCTTGATGCTCTTTTGATTTCCTCGTCGATTTTCCTGCACGCACACGCGACATTTTCGCCCAAAGCGGATAACTAATGGCGCGAAACCAAAAACTACATCTTCATCTTCCCACCCTTCTCTTTTCTCCAACATGGCAACTACTGTGGCATTGCCCACAGTCCAGATCAACGTGAACTACGCGGAAATACGGGAGCACGTGACCGACTTCCTTACCCACTACAAAACCGCCGACTCGGGAATCAAGTACTTGCAACTTTTGCAAGACGTGGCCAACAGAGACATATCGACGCTTTACATCGAGCTAGACGACATAGCCGCCTACCAGGAAACCATAGGGATCGACCTTGTTGCCCAGATCGTCAAGAATGCCCACCACTACCTTGAGTTGTTCAGTTCTGTGGTGGACGACTTGATGCCAGAGCCCACAAAAGACATTTCGTACAAGGACGATGTCTTGGACGTGATTTTGCACCAGCGGCGGCTCCGTAACATGCGGGCGGCGCAGGAATCCGCCGAAGAAATGGACCAGTTGCGCCTGGGACTCAGCCAGGCGCCCGAGTCCCAGTCCGCGCCTGTGGCAGAAAACGTGTTCCCTGCGCAGTTGACCAGACGCTACCACTTGTACTTCAAGCCGTTGCTGGCTGCAAAAAAAGCATTGGCGGTTCGCGAGGTCAAGGGCTCGCACGTGGGCAAGTACATCACGGTGCGGGGCATTGTGACACGCGTGCTGGACGTGAAGCCGGCGGTAGTGGTCACGGCGTACACGTGCGACAAGTGCGGCTACGAGGTGTTCCAGGAGGTCCACTCCAAGGTGTTCCAGCCCTTGGGCGAGTGCACGTCGCCCGTGTGCAAAACAGACAACCAGCGCGGCCAGTTGTTCATGTCAACGCGTGCGTCTCGCTTCCTGCTGTTCCAAGAGGTGAAGATCCAGGAAATGGCAGCACAGGTGCCCGTGGGCCACATCCCGCGCACCATGGCCTTGCACGTCAACGGCGACTTGGTGCGCAGCATGAACCCCGGTGACATTGTCGATGTGGCGGGCATTTTCTTGCCCTCGCCTTACACGGGCTTCCGGGCGTTGCGGGCTGGGCTTTTAACCGAAACATACCTCGAGGTGCAGCACGTGCGCCAGCACAAGAAGCAGTACGAGCAGCTTGAAATGAGCGACGAGGCCCGCGAGCGCGTGATGCAGTTGCATGCTGAAGGCGGCATCTACCACCGCTTGGCGCAGTCGATTGCGCCCGAGATTTACGGCCACACAGACGTGAAGAAGATGTTGCTTTTGCTCTTGTGTGGCGGTGTCACCAAGGAAATGGGTGACGGCATGCGTATCCGTGGTGACATCAACGTGTGTCTCATGGGTGACCCCGGTGTGGCCAAGTCGCAGTTGCTCAAGGCCATCAACAAGATCGCGCCGCGGTCCGTGTATACAACTGGTCGTGGTTCTTCCGGCGTAGGTTTGACGGCGGCGGTGATGCGTGATCCTGTCACAGACGAGATGGTTCTTGAAGGTGGTGCGTTGGTGCTTGCAGACAATGGCATCTGTTGCATCGATGAGTTCGACAAGATGGAAGACGGCGACCGGACAGCCATCCACGAGGTGATGGAGCAGCAGACAATCTCCATCTCCAAAGCAGGCATCAACACGACTTTGAACGCACGCACATCCATCCTCGCCGCAGCAAACCCGTTGTACGGCCGCTACAACCCGCGGCTCTCGCCCCACGAGAACATCAACTTGCCTGCGGCGCTTTTGCTGAGATTCGACATCATGTACTTGATGCTTGACCAGCCATCCGAGGCGGGCGACGAGCAGTTGGCCCGCCACGTGGCCTACGTGCACATGCACAGCCACCAGCCGGCCATGGGCTTTGAGCCGCTCGACCCTCAGACCATCCGCCACTACATTTCGGTGGCACGCACGTTCCGGCCCGTGGTCCCCAAGGAAGTCGGTGACTACGTGGTGCAGCTGTACATCAGCATGCGGAAGGAGTCTCGGCGCAACGAAGGCTCGGTGCGCCACTTTGCGCCCATCACGCCGAGAACTCTATTGGGAGTCTTGCGTTTGTCGCAGGCGTTGGCGCGGATCCGTTTTGACAACGTGGTGACACGCAACGATGTCGACGAGGCGTTGCGTCTCATTGCGCAATCCAAGCTGTCGATGGAGGCGCGTGACACCGAACGTGAGGACCCTACGTCGCTGATCATGAACCACATTCGTCAATTTGTGGTGGAGGCTGCAACGCCGGGCGTGAATGTGGCGGAGTTGCGTGCGCGGATGTTGGCCAAGGGCTTTACTGCCGAGCAGTTGCAGCTGTGCATAGATGAGTACCTGGCGCTCGGATTGTTCCAGCTCACGGACGACGGCGAAACGTTGATGGTGATTGGTTACGACGACATGGAGATGTGAGGCGACTACAGGAGGTGGTAGCGGCAAGCCCACTCTTAATAGACTAGTGGGTGTTGGGGCTTGTACGAGGATGCAAGGTCTTTGTGGTTCTGATCCCTTTGTATTATTTAATTATTTGATGGAACATACATGTTAGTTTCTGTAGGGAGCCAATTGTACTACTGAATTCCTGCCGTAGAAGACTCAAAGATTATTGCTTCTGTATCTGCTTATTTGATTTGCAGAACAGGAAGGCGAAGATATGAAATGTTCTGGATGAGATCAAGCTTGAAAGATTCAGTATTAGATGAGCCAATGACATTACCGAATATCTCAGGAGTACCAAGATAGGAAAAGACAGCTTCATTTTCTTGAGAATTTCTACTTGTCCTACAATTTCACAAGATAGTTCCAAAGCTGTTTTGCTTTAAGTAAAATGATGCGAGTCAATTAATTAGTCTTACTATCACCATGCATATGGCATGCGCATAATCTGCGTCATATATTGACATCTTTTACCATTGCATTTATTTCTTCCAAGAGGCTCAAACAGATCGTTACTTTATTTGGTTCCAACATTTGTTCTTTTGCAGATCGATCTCCATTATCCGTTTCTTCACTCTGCTTTATACTTCTTTCATTCTGCTTCCTTCATTCACTTCCTTCATTCTACTTCCTTAAATCTACTTCCTTAATTCACTTTCTTCAATCTACTTCCTCAATCTACTTCCATTCTATTCCAGATGAATGAGCAATTGTCCCGAAGGAGATCTTCTCGATCCGTGTTGGCTAATTCCAGCCAACAAAACAATGCCCCGGCTCCAAAGCCAGAAAAGCCCAAAACACACGACTATATCAGTGTATCTCGGTTCTTGCCTCGAATTCTAGTGCTAGAGAACACAAATCTGGTGGCTCGTGACCACATGGCCAACGAGAGAACATTTTTGGCGTGGATCAGAACGGCATTTGTGCTCTTGTCAATGGGAATTGTGTTCATACAAATGTACTCCATCCAGTTGCGGGCAGAAGCCATTTTGGCCCACGGAGAACGGCACTTAATGTTGCCAGACAAATTCAGGTCTTTCCATGCTCTTGGAAAACCCATCGCAGTTTTGAGTGGCGTTTTCTCGGTGATCTTGATCATTTTCGGCTATGTGAGGTACGTGGCAGTGCAAAGCGGCCTACAAAAGAGCGTTTTTCCGGCGACTCGAGTCATTGCACTGCTTGTTCTAGTGGCTACGTTGGTTTTGGTGATTTTGGCTCTAGTGGCGGACGTGGATGCTGTCGTTTAGCATGGAGAAGAAGTTGAAACAAAAGTACAGCAATGAGAGAAATAAGAAATTAGAGAAGTGATAATGAAGGCAGAACGCATCGGAAAGAAGAAATGTTCAATCCTGAAGTGCAAACATCAATGTAACCACGCACCGTGTTCATAAATTCATTTGGGCAGTCGAAACGATTTGTTCAAAAACTCATTTGGAAGCCCGACACGATTCATCCAGCAATCAAGAGACCATCAATAACATCCGTGCAAGTTTATTCAGTTTTCGCAATGCTCCACATAAACCTGACTGAAAACTGTTCTTTAGGATACTCTCAAGGATTCATTCCACCACCATTATATTGACCTAGGCACCAATAGTCCAATTAGACAGTGAAACAAGCTAAGAATATCATGCAGACAAAAACTCCAAAAGGAATCTCGAGGGCAACGGACCATACAATTGAATCGAACTTTTAGATACAAGTTATTGATGCACATGAACAATAACGATTTAGAGCAGTAAAGAGCGAAACTGACATTTGTATAATCATAACCCATATATTACCACTAATATTACCACTAATATTACCACTAATATTACAACTATTGCAACTAATATTACAACGAATATATAACCAATATATCATGACCATCTTAACCAATATTAACCAATATTTAACTAATAAACCGAAATATTAATACAAGTTTGACCTGGTCCTGTGGGGTTTCCTGCACACGCGCACGACATTTCAAGTCCAACACCGAGTACTTTTCGTGACAACAAATGTCCGACTACGCTTCTTTCACTGTAGCGCAATTGAAGGAGAAATTGAAGGCCAAAGACTTGCCTACAGACGGCAAGAAAGCCGATTTGGTCCAGCGCCTTACAGAAGCCGATTCTGCTTCTGAAACTGCTGCACCAGAACCAGAGGAAAACACAGAAACTCCAGCGGCTACAGAGGCTGAGGAATCCAAAGAAGAAGCCAAGGAGGAAAAGGAAAACAAGCCAGCCGAAGAGGCCCAAGAGGAGGCTGAACCAGAAGAGCCCGAGAGAAAGCCTTTGGGCCCAGAGGAAAGAAAGCAGTTGGCTGTGGACTTGTTGACGAAAAAGATCAAAAGAGCAGAAAAGTTTGGCGACGAGGCGCTGGCGCAGGCGGCCCGCAAAGATTTGGCCCGTGTGGAGAAGTTTGGCGTCGATGCCGGCACCGCTTTGGCCAAAGAAATCGGCTACATGCACAAAAGCATCAACACCGGGCTTAAGGTGCAGCAACGCCGTGGCATCTTGAGAAAGAGACGGAAAAACTGAATAGAGCTAGAATGGACGTGATAACGATGGCTGGATGTAGAAAGGGCTGTGTAGTTTGGTCGCCTGTGTCGTTGTGGCATGAACTTTATCTTGTGTCCGGTGAAGCACATGAGTTGAAGTGCTCTGATTGTTGAGCTGATATAATTCAGCCCACAAGGTCAAGGGGTAAAAGCGTCCATGTTAAAGATCAGGCAGCTAGGAAAACCAGCTTCTTCATTTACTACAATGGCTTCGTCTTGAATACTGGAGTTGGGTAACACAAGCTGCTAAGTATTCTTGCTGAATCCTAAATACGGATGTTAGCCTGGTAACAAAAAAGGAGTCTGAAACTTACTAGTAGAGAATAGGCTGCTGAGACTGCTCTTCGAAGAAGGATGTCCTAATTCATATATTTTCATGGCTTTTCAGTTTTGGCCACTGTACAATCAAAGATAGCGCCAGCAGACAGAAGAAATTACTCAAGTTGGTAATTCACAGCTCAGTGGACTTTTGAACACATTTACCAACTGACAACGCTAGTCCAAATTCTGGTTTGAGTCTTTAACCTCATCTATATGGGCCATGAAACCAGAACATAAGTAACGATCCAAAAATAAAATTGACGTCTTGCGCTCTTGTTATTTAGTTATAAAAATAGCACGCTTAGATTACTCTACTATCATTTACTTCAACATTTTAAGGTTGAACAGAATCAAGTAACTGTCGCTTGCCCTAAAACCACATCCTGATACGGGAGGTGGATCCCGATAGCAAAGGTAAGGGTATTCCAGTAAAGCCGAACTTCGGGAGACTTTTCCGTCTAAGCTGCTCCACACAGAACATTCGACAGCAGGATCTACAGATAGAGGGATAGAGGATTCTATAAGAAGTTCCAATGCCTGGAATTGCATTTTCAACATTGACGTGACCACGTGACTTTACCCACGTGACATACACCACTTTACAAATCCCACAACCTCATCTTCCACCATCTTCCCATGCCATACTACCAGGCCTTGCCCTCCGATTTGGTGCCCGTCCACTACGACGTGGCGATCCGCGACATCGAGCTTGACACGTACACCGGAAATGTGCGTCTCCAGCTCTCTGTGGCGGCAGAAACAGACGAATTACACTTGCACTACCGTGATTTGACCATTGGCGCCGTCAGCGCCCGTGTGGGAGAGGAAACGGTCAACGCCAAGGTTCTCCGCTCGGAGGAAAAGCTCGAGTACTTTGTGATTGGGTTTGCGCGGCCGCTCCGTGTCGGTGAAGACGTGGAAGTTGAGGTTTCCTTCGAAGGCCGGATCCAGACCAACATGGCGGGATTCTACCGGTCGGAGTACGAGGAGAACGGGCAGACGAAGCATATGCTTTCGACGCAGTTCGAGGCCACCGACGCGCGCAGAACGTTCCCGTGTATGGACGAGCCGGCGCTCAAGGCCACGTTTTCTGTCCATCTTACGGTCGACAAGGACTTGACCGTTTTGGGCAACATGCCCGAGCAGGAAACCGTGCAAAAGGGCGACGTGAAGACGGTCACGTTCGAACGCACGCCCCGCATGTCCACGTACCTTGTGGCGTGGGCCGTGGGCGACTTTGACTATGTGGAAAGCTTCACCAAGGACACCTATGGCGGAAAGCCTTTACCTGTGCGTATCTACACGACACCGGGCTACACAGAAGACGCCCAGTTTGCCGCCGAGCTCACGCCCAAAATCGTCGACTACTTCTCGCAGATCTTTGGCCTCCAGTACCCATTGCCCAAGCTAGACCTTCTTGCCGTGCATGCGTTCTCCCACAACGCCATGGAGAACTGGGGGCTCATCACGTACCGGAGCACGGCGCTCTTGTTCTCGGAAAAGAGCCTGGACCCGGCCTACAAGCAGAACGTCGCCTATGTGATTGCGCACGAGCTTGCCCACCAGTGGTTTGGTAACTTGGTGACCATGCAGTGGTGGGACGAGTTGTGGCTCAACGAAGGCTTTGCCACGTGGGTCGGCTACGCCGCCGTCGACTTTTTGTTCCCGGAGTGGGACATTTTCTCCGGCTTTGTGTCGTCTTCCATGCAACATGCGCTTGCCTTGGACGGTTTGCGCAACTCGCATGCCATCAAGGTGCCTGTCGTGGATGCCTTGGACATTGACCAGCTTTTCGACGCCATCTCGTACTTGAAAGGTGCCGCCACCATCCGCATGCTTTCGTCCTACTTGTCCACCGACATCTTTCTCCAAGGTGTGTCCAAGTACTTGCAGACCCACCAGTACGGCAATGCCACGTCAGAAGACCTCTGGGCGGCCATTGGAGACGTTGCCAACAAGCCTGTGGGCCACATGATGGAGGCCTGGATCAAGAAGATCGGATTTCCTGTCTTGTCTGTGTCCCGCAGCGGGGAAACTTTGCAAGTGGCGCAACGGCGTTTTTTGAACGGCGGCGGTGTGCGTCCCGAGGAGAACGAGACCGTTTGGTGGGTGCCGTTGCATGCGCAAGGCGACTTTGGCGTGGATGCATTGGAAGAGAAGGAGGTTTCTGTTTCAGCGACCCCAGAAGGGTTCTTCAAACTCAACGGCGATGCCGCAGGCTTTTTCCGTGTCAACTACGAGCCCGAGCTCTTGCGTAAGCATGTTCTTCCATTTTTCAGCAAGTTACTGGTGAAAGATAAGGTGAGCGTGGTGGCTGACGTTGCATCTCTTGCGATTTCGGGCGACGTGGCCACAGCAACGTTTTTGGACTTGGTTTCGGCCGTGGCAGTGGAGAAAGACCAGCTTGGCGACGACTATGTGGTTTGGCTCGAGTTGTGTGGCCGTCTTTCCGAGTTGGCCTCGGTGTTTTCCGGCGTGGACCCTGCCTTGACCAAACTGATTACTAATTTCACCAGAGCCGTCTACAAAGACTTGGCCGTTCGGAAAGTCAAGGACGAGCAGTCGGACTTTTTGGCCCGTAAATTGCGCTCGCACATTCTCTCGCATGCGGCCGAGCTTGAAATCGAAGAAGTCGACGCTTATGCCCAAGAACTTTTTGGTCAATGGAAGAAGACGGGCGAAATGGACCCAGCATTGCGTCTGTTTGTGTTCAGAAGCGTTATTTCGGCAGACTCTGTCGCCGAAGACGATTTCGAACGCATCTGGGCCGAAGTGGCCCGCCCACCTGCCTTGGACTCGCGTGAAATTGCGTTGGGAGCTTTGGGCCACGTGAAACAGCCAGAGCTTGCTTCAAGATTGTTGCAAGGTTTGGTAGACGGAAGCATTCCTGTGATGGACGCTCATTTCTTGGGCCAGCCTTTGTCTCGCAACGTTTCGACCCGTGACATGTTCTGGCTGTTCTTCAGAGACAACTACACCCGTTTGCACGAGCTTATGTCGTCCAACATGGTTGTGTTGGACCGTTTCGTGAAGGTGACGTTGAAAAACTTCCAGTCTGACAAAATGCGGTCGGAAATCAAGGCCCACTTTGCTGACAAGGACATCCACGGTTTTGAGCGGGCGTTGGCGCAGGTCTTGGACCAGGTAGAGATCAATGCGGCTTGGTATGAGAGAGACCACCAGGAGGTGAAGGAGTGGTTGTCTTCCCATGGATACTAAAGACAGGTAGAGAAGAAAGAGATTTTAGCCGGTGTACCTGTCTGCTAATGATACAAAATAATAGATGCTACAAGCTGTTTTTTTGGACCTTGAGTAGAGCTGTATTATTGTGTAAAATGGCTACAAGTTTGCCGTCCGCCTTTCATCAAGATAGTTCCAGCAATACATCGAAAACCACCATTTTGATCACATTATAATAATCATAAGCATTTACATGAATAAAATATAGCTATATCGGATAGATTAGTTGTTAATGCATATATGAAATACGATGCTTGTAATATTATTGACCATTGTGATCACATAATAATAATCATAAGCATTACTTATGAATAAAATATAGCTATATGAGATAAATTAGCTGTACCCGTTAATGCATATATGAAATATGATGCTTGTAATATTATTGAAGCTACTCCCATAAGAAATATAATAATGACGAAAGTCGCTGTGGTTTATTTAAGTCCACAACTTCACTACAGCAGATACACTAACGTTCAATTGCCATTCTATACCTGGAATTACTCCAAATCCACCTTGTGGTCGTGAGTGGTGGCGTATCTTCCCGAAGGGTCGGCGTGGCAGCCCCATTCGGCCTTAGGAATCCATCTCATCACGGTCGACGCAGCGGCCTTCGAGCCGTGGAACATCTCGTCGAACTTGCATCTGTACCAGTACGCTTCCTTGGTGGTAGGAATGTCGTCGCCCCATTCTGGCTTTGGGTTGGCGAACTCCTCGTCGGAAACGGCCGCCTCGGCCGCATCCTTCAAGCCGTCGATCCACGAGTAGCCCACACCGTCGGAGAACTGCTCCTTTTGTCTCCACAAGATCTCGTCGGGCAAGTATGGCTTGGTGTCCTCGCCGGTGGTGTCAAAGGCCTTTCTCAAGATGTACTTTTCGATTCTGCCCTCGGCCGGCTTGATCAACTTGTCCTCCGGGTTGATGTTCATGCAAAGCTCGAGGAACTGCTTGTCCAAGAACGGCACACGGGCCTCCAAGCCCCACGCCATCGTCGACTTGTTGGCTCTCAAGCAGTCGGCGTAGTGCAAGTTCTTGACTCTCTGCACACACTCCGAGTGGAACTCGGCTGCCAGCGGAGCGTTGGCAAAGTACAAGTAGCCACCAAACACTTCGTCCGAGCCTTCGCCCGACAAGACCATCTTGACACCTTGCGCCTTGATTTTTCTCAGCAACAAGTACATGGGCGTCGACGCACGGATGGTGGTGACGTCGTAGGTCTCCAAGTTGTAGATGACGTCGTTCAAGGCGTCCAAGCCTTCGTCCAACGTGAAGGTGTGCGAGTGGTGGACCGTGCCGATGAAGTGGGCGACTTTTTCGGCGGCAATCAAGTCCGGGGCGCCGGGCAAGCCGATGGCAAACGAGTGCAAGCGGTTGAAGCCGGCACTGTGCAAAGAACCGCTGGCGTCGACACCAGAAAGCTCTTTGTTGGCATCGATAGGCTCGTTGGCATGGGCAGCGGCGGCCTTTTGCGTTTCTCTGGCGGCAATGGACGCAATAAGCGACGAGTCCAAGCCTCCGGACAACAACACACCGTATGGAACCTCGGCCATCAACCGTTTTCTCACGGCCATCTCCAAAGTCTCTCTCACCTGCTTGAGGTCAGCATGCTTCTCGGGAATCTTGCTGCCGTCCCACCACAGAGGAGTGAAGTAGCGGGTGATCTGGTCGGTGTTGGAGTCGTAGACGTGGCCCGGTGGGAAGGCGAACACCTCGTCACACTCGTCAATGAGACACTTCAACTCGGACGCAAAGTATCTCGTTTCAGGCGACTTGGACAGCTTGCCCATGTACAAGGTGACAACGCCGATCGGGTCACGCGCAGCAATGATTCTGTCCTCCTTCTTGTCGTACAAGGCAAAGGCGAACATGCCGTCCAAGTGTTTTGGCGCATCGAGGCCGTATTTTTCCACCAACGGAATGATGGGCTCGCAGTCGGAAAGCGACTTGTACTTGTAGTCGCTGAGCTCGGATCTCAAGGCAATGTGGTTGTAGATCTCTCCGTTGACGGCCAAGGAGTATCTCTCATCGGGAGAAATGATGGGCTGGGCGCCCGAGTCCAAGCCGACAATGGCCAATCTTTCGTGGCATAAAATGGTGTTGTTGACCACGACGTTTCCGGACCAGTCGGGGCCTCTGTGTCTGATTCTTTTCGAATACTGCAAAGCCTTAGGCTTGAACTGCTCGATCTGAGGCTGCTTATACGCAGCAAATATTCCACACATGGTAAAGAGAGAGTGGTAGAAAAAAGACTTGGCTTATAAGAGGTGAAATTTTCGTCGTGCCCTCGGAATGGGGGGCCAGAAAAGAGTCACCAGGGCTTTCCGGGGATGCAGTGCCGGTTGCCACTGCACGCATGCAGAGATTTAGGCTTCGGTGCCGGACTTCCGGGGGTCGCTATGGTGACTCAAGTCCGGATACGAGAGGGGTGCGCCTTCTATTTCCGATGCCAGATAAGGTCAAGCATCTTGATCTGATCATGTCTTCTTCAAGATGATGGGTCGAATGTGATTGATCGGCTTGTTCCTTGGCCATTTCCCACTCTGTCATGGAGATTTAATTCTGACTAATCCACCAATCCACCAATCACCAATGGGCTTATTTAAAGTACGGCTTGAGCAATTTAGCTCATCCAAAGGCTTATGAATGTTCAAGCGGGGCTTTAGAAATTCTTACGTTATTGAGTCTCAGGCCATCTTAGTAATATGTTTCGATGTCTATCATCTTCTCATTTGTATGCCTACATGTATCACTTCGAGAGTATAGTAAATTTAGTGTCAGATCCGGAAAGTCACAGCGAGCATGTATCCACATTTTCGAACACCCATAAACTAAAACCCACTAATCATGCCAATTCCCAAATTCATTCACCATCGTCCTAGTCTCCGAATCTATTCTTCCAAAAACACCAGACGAACTAGATAGCTAATTGGTGTTCGCACGACCAGTGGCGACGTACAAGGACAGATCTCAATCTTACATTGTACCATAATGGCTCTTCCTAAACTAGCAGCAGAGTTGAACGATTTGTTCGAAAAAAAGAAATACGACGAATGCGAGAAGTTGCTTCCCCCTTTGAAGTTGGAATTGATCCAGCATAACTTGCTTGTCCCATTGCCGTCCAATACACAGACGCAAGACCAATTGAACGATTTGAAGAACGCCGAGCGGATTTTGGAAATCGGCGCCCTCTCGTCTCTTTTGGCACACAGCTACGCCAACTTCGAGAATCTCGTGGCGTCTTTGAAACCGTTCTATGCCTGCGACAAGTTGCATGCCAAAAACGAAGCAAACACCGATGCCACAAAGATTACAGCGCTCTATTTGCTTTACTTGCTATCACAAGGCCATATCTCCAAGTTCCATCTCGAGTTGGAGACCATCTATTACTCTCCTCTTGTCAACGTGGAGCAGGACAAGTACTTGTTGTTTCCCATCGACTTGGAGAGAAATATGATGGAGGGCAACTATCTCAAGATCTGGAAGTTGTTGCAGGACAACTCGGCGTTGCCTTGCACGGAATTCGAGCACTTTACATCGACATTGGTCAACACCTTGCGCCATGAGATTGCCAAGTCCATTGAAAAGACCAACTCGTCCATCCCCATCAACAATTGCAAGACATTGATGCATTATGCCCAGGAGTACCTGGATCTGGCTTTTGAAGAGGAGTTGAAGCTGCAGTTGGATGTGGGTGACTGGGTCTTCAAGGATGGCGTGATTTACTTTGACAATGTTCCTGCCCCAGATGAGACTGTTTCCGACAACACGCTGACGGTTTTCAATGTCTTGAGCTACGCGGAACAGATTGAGTCTATTGTGTAGCTTTGTAATATGAGAGCATAATGAAACACTAGTCGAAGAGCTGAAGGAGTAGTGAGTGATGTGGCTAACAAAATTACGTCTTCAGTGATAAGGTCATATTAAAGCATCAATAGTTTTTGACATCAACGTGGGTAACTGAATAGTGTGAAAGACACTTAGGCATTACTCCATTACCAATGAATCAATGTTGAAGCATCCAGTGAATTTTATTTGAATCAACGCCGACAGAAATTGCTGAATTGTAGAACAATAAGAAAAGACCATCTTACCAAGAAGGCAACAAACTAAATGATATGCGGGGCCTGAGCACCCCTCCAAACACAAATATTCCATAAGAATATGAGAATGTAAAAGAAACACTACTACTAAATTGGTTTTGAAGATATTCATGCTAATGCTACTTCATTACACGCATTATTCCAACGAGTCGTAGAATCCCTTGTAGGCCACATCCAAGTCGGACAAAAACAGATCACATTCTTCAGCCGAAAGCTCCAGGTCCCCTAGATTATTAAGCTTGATGAGCCATCCCACTAGTTTGGATTTTCCAGCGAAATCTATAGGCGTGCTGGAGTCGTTTTCATGTGTCACCAAATCGTTCAACGAAATCACCAAGTTGCTGAGAAGTGGGTGGAGCTGTGCTTTTGTCTTGTAATTCAACTTTAGCGCATCCATGAGAGTAATGAAATTGCCTGTGGCTTCTGCCACCAATCTGGCGCTTGCTGCACTAGCCGTATTTGTCGATTGCAGAGTAGGATGGCTAGAGCTATCCACAACGGTATGGAGGTGCTCGATTGTGGCAGGAATTCCCGAAACAAGGCGATCAGCAGCGAGAGGAACATGAAAATGTAGTCTCTCTTGTAGTTCCGTGATAAGATTCAGACATTCGGCGTCAACACCGGGCAAAATCTCAAGAAGAACATTACGATGCGACGGGCTTTTCCCAAGACTTTGTACAAGGGTGTGATACTGATTAATAAGCCTCATGACCGTGCTAGTATACTTTTCTTTGTCTGTGATGTAATCTTTAAGAAAGGACTTTTCAATCACCTGCAACGTTGTAGCTAAAGAATATATCTCGCAGAGCGATTCGTAAACGGCCTTGTGAATTGGCGACGTCAAAACGGACGCACGGGTAATTTCTTGGTGGAAGTTTGTCCCATTTCCAGCAGGGGTGTATGACGATGCAGACGTTGGTGCATATGCGGGAGGAATAGGCATGGAAGCTTCAGGTTGAGTTGCGCATACAGATTATGTATGTACTATTGAAGCGCGCGTGCATGCAAAACAGACACAGCTATCTAAATCCACCAGACAAAACACCAATGTCATCAGTCGTTCAGTGCTTCAGGTCTTTCAGAAAGCTATATCACTAAATAAATGTATTATTTCGTGCGATTTGATATATTTTTTTTACGTAATTCGTGAATCATTAATCTATGTACGCAACCACAGGCGTCCCAGATTTCCCAAAAGAGTCTATGTGATAGCCCAACTGCTTCCATCCTGTACGGTCAAACGGATAAACAGTTGGCGGCGGACAAAAGAGGTGCAAAATGCTTTGGGCCGCTTCATGATTATGCGTGCTCGCTACTTCTGCCACAGTTTCTCGTCCAAAGCGGTCTCGGGCCATGTTACATTCTTCTCTGATCCACAGAAAAAGATAATTGCAACTGGCTACATTAAATGGTGAAACTGTGAACGGGACAGAAAACTCTAGGTTTCTGCCATGCGAGATTTTGATTTTCACCTGAAACTCATGGCGGAGCGTGAACAACTTACCTGAAATGGAAAAGCTTTGCGTGTTAGTGAGCGGAATGCCTGCAATAGGCTTGGTATAGTTTTTCGTCCCGGATGAAGGTGGCGGAAGCATTGGCCACAGTGCCTTCTTCAAACCTGTAAGAACTGTCATATAAAGCGAGCCAGTCGTTCTCAGACGGGAAAACAAAAGAAAGCGTTTCTGAGACACCTTCTGTAGTGAGAAGCTTATCGTAATCCTTGGAAAAGGTTAGAAGTTCCACTTCCTTGTGGGCTGGGAGTCCCCCATCGAAACATTCTAGCACCTCTTTTAGTTTGACAGATATCAGCTTCAACGTCAAGCCTTTCACACGCTTGTTGAGCATTGGATTGGCCCGCACTTTGAGATCCACTGAAAATTGGTCTTGGGGTCCGGCACATGTAACTGGAAGCGTAAATAGGGCTTCCGTATGTCTATCGCGTGAAGTATGGGTTTCGTGTGCCGGTTCACGGAACTGGCGATATAAGGGTAGCAAGTCAAAGGATTGGATGGGTATGAAGAAGGATATGGAGCACCTCAACTCTGCTGAAGGCAAACCACCTCCAGTAAAATCCACCACAAGCATATGAACTAGAGAGGCATCCCATGTAGGCGTGAAAAAACTTGGAGTTATATCTCGAGGTAGTAGATATAACAATGGGATATCGAGGGCCAAAATATCCTTGTCAGCTTCGTTCGGAGGAGCCAAGTACGCTAGATGCTTTGAAGTAGTTCGGTAATCCTTGTATACTTCGGAACTCGAAAGTTTTGAGGGCATTGCGGCACGCTGCCGCGTCTGTAGCTCGACGCTGACAGATTTGCATCGAAAAGGACACCCGTTTGTGGACAGGATTTCGATGGTCGTTTCGAGCCGGGGCTATGTATTAGTAACATGGGCCATTTGAAGAAAGAAAGCAGAACACATACTATAGAGTACGCCACACCAGGGCTTCCTCGAACAATGGAGTTTTCGCTCGGCCGGAGAGTGATGAATATGGGGCACTCTTGCTTAGGAGGGGGCATCGAGGATGGATAAGAAAGCGATTCGGCACAGTTCCTTATGCTTGAAGTGCGACATGAAGATATGCACAGAGCCCCGCAGTGGTGCGCGCGGCATGCACGATTTGAACCAACCAGCATTACTCACAACAAGAACGGCACCACCGCATACTGTACCGTGTAGTCGTCAAACTTCGTTTGATAGTAGCGGAGCGACTCCAAACCGCTCACACTAAGATTGACAAGAACAAACACCCAAGCAGAGAATAAGGCCACGCTCACTTCCATATTCGGCTCTCGCGTCCACGCTGCAACTGTCACTGCAAAGTAGATTACAATCTCGTCGCAGTAATGGGCGCATGCAACATGCCGAAACATGCCAAAAGTAGGAACAGAGTACTTGACAAGTGCTGCTAAATGGCGATGGTTATTGTACTGGTCCACGGAAAACAATGCAAAGAAAGCTATAGCTAGCCATTGACGTGGTCTCTTAGATTCTTCTTGAGCCACCACAAGCCCACAAAACGAGACGATAGCGACACAAACGTAGAAGTAGAGGCCAACAAAGTAATGGGAGATGTGCATGCGTGATTTCAGGCCCCATTGAGTAAGAAGAAGGCTTTCCATGAGCCTTCGGGTGGCTTGTGCGGTTAATAGGAGCCACGCTAAACCGAAGTTGGTGTGTAAGAGTTTTCCTTTCGCCCACGGCAACTGGAGCCATTGTAAAACGGCAAACAAAATGTAGAAATGAACAAAGTACTGCTTTGGTACCGTCCAACGTGAAGCGATCTGCACAAGGCGAGCAAAACCAGTCTGGGTGCTTTTTGGACCCTGTGCAACTTTTCCGTATGCAAGTAGCTGATTGAGTGGGGTGTAAAGCTTCGTGAACAATATAAGAGCCGAAGCTGCGGCAAAGCCGGCAGTAATAGCCTGGCAAACTAGCATTCCCAGTTGTGAGAAGACAGATGTATGAAGTAAAATGCAGGCGAGCATCGTTACAATGGGCTGGGTTGAGGTTCGATTTCCATCGGTTATAGTCGGGGAAAGCGTTTGATGGTTGAAAAAGAGGTGAATGAGATTATTGCTGGCATGGCATTTCAGTAATATAAAATATTCCACACATTATCCATCGCATGCTATTGTAAGAAAGCAAACTATTGACTGGATGGCCATGTGAATTGTCGATAAGGACGAAAGGTGAATTTATGCTGTACTTGGTAAATTCGCTGACAGACTTACTTACACTTTTATTTAAATACTCTAGTTGAACAGAAAATCAATTTTATGTCAAAATTTGCTACTCTGATGTCCTTTCAAACCAGTTAACCATATAACGATTATGTCGAGTTCCGTTCTCAAGGTAATACCTACTGTGGTCTAAATCATTCAAACAAAGTTACTACACTAGTCACATTTTCCACATTATTATTGTACATTAGAATCTCATTACACCTTAACGGCCGACGTACTTCTTTTCAAAGTATCTCACCACATTGAACGCAACGAAAGAGAAACCAACTGCGAGCTCGAATCCGATATCACCACCAAAGTCACCAATCTTTCTACCAATGACACCAGCATACCACACCTGGTTCATACCCAAAACCACACCAACAACACCGAAACAGAAACCAGCGACACCACCAAAACCAATTGGGTAGCTCTTCTTGTCGTGGAAGTTCTCGTAGTCGTAAGTGGCAAAGTTTCCCTTTCTCCAGATAAAGTGCTCTGAAAGACCCATGGTGATGTAGATGGCCAAGTAGTAGGCAATCAAGTTCATGAAGTTCTCCATGACATCCTCGAACTTGTAGTAAGCTGGAATACAGATGGCCAAGGTGACGAAGTTACCAGCAATGGTCCAGCAAACTCTAGGAATCTTGGCCAACTTGGACCAGGCAGCCTGCGCACTCAATCCGATCGAGTACATGTTAGGAACGTTGTTGGCCACGGTGGAAAGAGCAAGGATAACACACAAGAACTCACCAAAGCCGTGCAAAGACTTTTCCACGAGAATGGCGTACACCAAACCACCAACAGACTTTGTCTTGTACAATTCGTGCCATCTGTCATTGGTTAATGTTCCTGTAGCACAGGCAGCACCCAAAGTCAAGGTGAAAATCAATGGGAACATCAAACCGGCCAAAATACCAAAGAAAATACGGAATGGGTTGGCGTTTCTAGGCTGGTAGACAGTGTAGTCAGACGCATAGGTGGTCCAGCCAGCAGCGAAACCGAAAATGGAACCGCCAAAGGACAAAACGTTACCGGCCGTAGTTTCACCACCAACGGTGGTTCCCCAAGTAAATGTGTGCGACATGGCCATACGGGCAATGATGGCGATGAAAGCACAGAGGTTAGGGATCCACGACCACTTCTCGTAGACGTGGATGATGTTGTAACCAAAGAAAGTGACCAAGATGGTGCACAAAACCAAAATCAAACATCCGGCCCATGGAGGACAAGCTCCACCGTTGATAATGTTCAACAACTGGGCCGAAGCCATAATGTTCACTGCACCCCAGCCAACACAAGCAATCATGTTGATGGCAGCAAACACTCTCATACCGTAGTCACCAAGAAGGAACTTGGACAAAATCATTTGTCTGAGACCCAACTTGCAACCGAAAACGGAGAAAAAGGCAACGGGCATGGCACCCAACAAACTGAAAAAGAAAATGGTCATGATACACTGGAAAAGCGACAAGCCAAACAAAGTGACACCCAAGGCACCAAGCGAAAAGGTAGCAATGACCAAGTTGGCAGACAACCACATGGTGGCAGCATTAAGAATGGAACTGTCGTTCTTCTCTTCGTCGGTGATCAACTCGATACCTTTCGTTTCGGCGTTCAACTTGGCAGCCCATCTATCGAGCATATTCAAGCCGACCACAGTCGTTTCAGCATGGCCCGAGTCCTCGATGGACTTCTCAAAGGACTCAGCAGAGGATCTCTTTTTTGTTTCGCCAGAGGCGATGATTTTTTCCTGATCAGACATGGTGAAGAAAAAGAGAGCAAAAGAAACACGAGGCCCAAAACAATGCAGACTGCTTGCAACTTATACTACGCGAAGCCTCACGGAGAAATTTTCCCTCGCTCATGAAGATAAGCGCCTTCATCTTCCGACTACAGTTTCTGCGTCAGGCGCAGATGCAGATACACCTTGCATGCACGCACATACGTCGCGCATCCTGCAAGTAAGGCGTGCAACCCACTTTCGCGGCTTTCCATTGGCTCCTTCTTTGAAATATCGCCGTTGGATTATATGCTAGACCGCGGTGATGCCGCGGGTCATGCAACTCAACCTTTCGCTGACGTGCCTCTCGATATCGGCGATTTCCTATCTATACGTGGGAGGTACAATCAAGAGTGGGGTACAGCGATCCAATAGAATACGATATCAGCCTCTCCTTTCCATCCAGTGATGTTCGTTGCTTGCTCCAAAACTTGTTTCATGGTCAAATTACTCACACCGACGAAAAAAGCTTTTTTCGTCGTGGTGCAGATACAGGACGCAGCTGACTCGGGAAAAATTACAGAAAGTGGAAATTAAGGTCGGGCCAGAGTCAGCACGTAACTAGTCCTTTTAGAAGCACGGCCTTATCGTAATTGTTCTGCAAGTCAAAACTCGCCAGAAGAAATCGTACATCTCCGCATAATGCAAGGCGGTGGAATTTGGTGCTGGGGTGGAATTTGGATTTGCTTTTTTGAGTGGTGCGGCACTAGTTGTTTCTTTTTTTTTGGAAATTTTTCAGAGATAAGCTCTGATTACAAGGAGGCACCGATATCGCTAGGAAGCCTCGTGTGCTTGTAGATCAACGAAATTGTAATTCAAACCCCTCTTCAAGCTTTTTGAATGCTTCTTCTTTGGATATTCCATTAGACCATCAAGTGACGCAACATATAGATCAGCCAATGCCAATTGCAGACAATCGAAGTTGGCATGAATAGTCCCGAAAAGCTCTCTATTGCAGCGGATAACAAAATATACCAATAACTGTGATGCAGCGGAACATCAATTGTGTTGGAGCTGAAGTAAATGGAACATTTGACAGAATTGAATTGAACCGGATGAGACCTCAGCATATGTCAACTTGATTTGAGCTCCGTGTTGGAATTGCTTGGGCATTGTTTAGTCATTGGGTCCATTGATTACGTCCGTTGATTGATTGCATCCATTACTTCATTGCAATCGGACCTTGGAGAGAAGATCTACTGACATTGGCTATTGTGACATAATGCATTATACATTGCAACCGCTTTCCATGTTGAGGAAGGGAACTGGTGATAAAGATTATGAGCAGCTAATTTAGATATGAGCTTGTCCAAACTGTTCTTTCTCGGCAAGATATCTAGAAGATGCAGACTGCTAATCGATTAAAATTGCCTCCGCCTTCAATCCACTTTAAAAGAAACAGAGGCACTGGAGACATTATAATGGCTTCCGAAGCTTTGAGCCTCACAGCATGAAAAATTGGCTACATTTGGTTCTACTAACTTTTGCTGGCAAATGATGGTATCGCTTATCAATTTGTTTGACCTTTGCTTGTTGACGATGATCAAATGTGAGCAACTAACCATTTGGTACGTTCTGCAATCATATATGATGCATTTGAAGGATAATCAGTATCCGATATCGACAACATGAAACATTTTCATCGTTTCAGTGATCATACTAAATACAACCCACAATAGCATGATGTACGATAAGGAAAGCCATCATTGTGTCAATACAAATGACGTGCCAGCTCTTTCCGAATTATTTGCATCATTTCAGAACTAGCATGACGTGCCAGCTCTTTCCGAATTATTTGCATCATTTCAGAACTAGCATGACTGCTCAATCTTCCGGATTTTTCAGTCTTCCAGATTTTTCACTCTTCCATAGATTCGAAGCACTCCACTTGCCGAATTCAGCAAGCAAACCGGAAGCTTGCAATTTATATCAGTCGTCACATCATTGCACCCGAAGCACAGATGTGAGCATGCCCAAGGAAAGCCGCTATCTACTAGGAAAGCCGCTGTCTACTAGGAAAGCCGCTGTCTACTAGGAAAGCCGCTGTCTACTAGGAAAGCCTATCTACTCATGCAAATAGTTACTTGTAGTAATCAGAATAAAAGACATGCACTGAAACGTCAGCTACTAGACAGCATCCTATGAGAAACGCACATCCGTCTACCAATCTCAAACAATAATACAGCTTCTAAACAATACACTTTTCGGCCGGCGGCCAGCTATGCTTCAAGTCGCAAGGAGTCTTCAGAAACAGGCCAGTAATAGGCCCGACACTGACGCACCTCAATCGACCTACTTGGTGCCGAAGTAAATACCCAACACAAGCGCGAGAATCACCACAATAAGCAAGATGATGAAGAAACACCACAACTTCTTCCGGCGAGCCTTTTTGGCCGACACCACGGCCTTTTGCGTGTGGCCCACACCTTGCTCAATGTCATGCTGGGCGTCGTGCACCTGCTGCTCGATCTGCTGGATGGGCTGGTCCTGCTCGATCACCAACTCCTCCATGTCGTGGAACAACTGGGTCAACTCGGCCATGGTCTTTTCCAACTTCAACAACTCGCGGTGGCGCACCTGGACCTCGTTCAACACCGTGCGGGCCTCGCCGCGGCGGTTCAGCTGCATCAACGCCTGCTGGAAAATCTGCTGGTTGGCGCTGCCGTCCTCGACCACTGCCCGAACTTCTTCGTCGGTGGCATCGGGCTTGACAATGCGGTACTGTCTCTCGGCCTGGACACGCGTCTGCTCGCGGCTGTTGCTCTCGCTCAAGCGGTACTTCTGGATGTGCTCGAGGAACTTGTTTCTGGCGCTCTCGGCCTGGTCGATCTTCTGCTGGCTGCCCAGCTGCGCCGCCTGGGTCTGGACGTTTTTGATGCGCAGCTTCAACTCGGCCTGGAGGCTCAGCGCCTCCAAAACCAACGCGTCAATCTGTTTGGCCGCATAGTCGGCCTCTTCGTCGGTCAAGTCCAAGTCCTGCAAGTGGGCTCTTTGCTTGTTGGCGATGAGTTCAACCAAGCCCGCGTAACTGTCCAACTGGGCGTTGATGTCTTGGATTTCGTTCATGAAGGCGACAAAGTCGTCCTCGCCGTATTTGTACGAGCTCATTTCGTACGAGCCCGAGTTGGCGCCATTGTAGTAGGGGTTGCTCATGGTGGAGAAGGAAAAAGCTCGACACGAACACAAAAAACTCCGTGGGCGACAGGTGCAGGAGGCTGATTAGATAGACGGCAGAGTCGAAGAAAAAGAAGAAAAGCGCAGGGAAAAAAGAGCAGGGAAAAAAGCAAAGCGCAGATAGACAAACGAGAAGAAGAAGAGAGGGCCGTGTTTTTTTCTAATGTCTGGCCTGGTCGATCGTGGTCGGCTCGGCTATGATCTTATCTGCATGCTGGCCATGCGAATGACCGAGAGTGGCTATGTACTACAAACGGCGGAATTGGCAAGGTAAACGTAATGGAAAATCTATGGGCGATGCCATTGGAATTAGCCGTGAATTTGGCGTTCCTTTGTCTGTTGACATGGCCAGCCAGCATCCGATCGAATGCCGGCGCGCCAATCGTATTTATAGCCCAATACGGAGATAAAGCGAGATGCAGAGAATGCCAAATAGAAGAATGAGAGAAAGAGGAAGATGAGAGTAAATGGCAAAATAAAAAGATGAAGTGAATGGCAAATAAATGAGATGAAAGTAAATGGCAAATACTTAAAGCGAAGATGAATGAATGGCAAAATTTACTAACGTTGGACGATGCTTCTACGCTTTGAAAACCTGTACGAGCGGTCGTTTATTCTTTGCAATCATGAAGGCCTTCGATGCCATGTAGTCGTCATCTAAGCGGTATCCCAGCTATTGTATTCTCATTTGTCTTTCCAGACATCATCATCTTTTCGATCTTCGACAATGCCACTCTATGGTTGAACCTTTATCTGTCCTTATTCAGCTTGATTGACAACCGGCGTTGATTGAATAAACTGCTCCATCAATTGCACAAAACGTTTATTAGACACTAAAGTGTTACCCAACTATGACCATGTTTTGGTGTAGGCGAAAACTTTCAATTTTCTACATGATTTATCTTGTCCTATTTTTGAACCAAGAGTAGCAAACGAACAAGGCTATTCAGAAGATACAAGCCTTGTGCTTCCCAAAACCAGCTCTTTCGTGCGATGAATTAAATTGTTCATTTTGATCTATTTGCTGAGATGTTTCTATGGTCATGTCCAACTATTGCAAGGCCATTCCGGTGATCTTACAGTGCCATAGCATCTGTATTCAATCGTACTCTTTATTGAACAACATTGCTTCGACCACACTTACTTAGTCTTCGATAGCCACTTACTATTGCCAGAAGCAGACTGGACTAAAAGCGCGTCCTACTTTCTTGACTATTTCCACTTATAGTTGGCTGAAGTAATTCTCCCTCTCTAACCACGATCCGTGCCGAAAATTAGATTCGGATATTCACGATCTTTCCGTCTTAGTCCTGAAAGAAGAAAATTGTTTGAAAGTAACACAAGCTCCAAAAGTAACAGTCAAGACCATGTGACAATTGGCTCCAAGGCTTTATATGTCTATTTAAGGTTTGACCCAATACCGAAACTTCGATGCCAAGGCTTCGTCAGATCTGTATAAATGATTATCAAGCAGGATTGACTTACAATTTTCCAGTACTCCGTAGGCTTTCAAGTGCTACTCAAGTACTTGTTCATACGTATTTCCCTGGCCTAATGAGTGCGCAAGAACTTTGATCAACCACTTTTTGGATATTCCTAAAGTTTGACAGTCCTAATTCATCGCATGTAAGCATAGATGATACTTAATAGAAAATAATCTCATATCATTGTATGAACAGGCATGGATAGATTGATGATTGACCTGGAGCCTCATATTGTTTAGTAAGTTCGCTATATTTCATACATTACGCATCGGTTATGTTCAGTCTGGCCATCTTTAAAGATATAGAGTCGTCGCATCTAAGCACCTATCGAGGCCATTGAATTTCTGAAGCACCGCCCGGACTGAAAAATAACGATCATCTGAGTTGAAGATCATCTGAGTTGAAAATCATCTGAGTTGAAAATCATCTGAGTTGAAGATCTGAGTTAAATTACTATTTGATCTTGCACCTGTTGACTACTCTCCGTCTTTATTTTCCATTTCCCTACTTAATTTCCACCACTTTTATTTTTCTTTTTCTCTTCCCACCCAATTCTACTTCTCTATGTCCTCTATTTCCCCTACTTTCTTCTCTTCTCGCATCTTCCTGCAACATTTCTCGCCTATATCGGCGCGGCTGACATCGCGGGCCAGATTCCCTGCGCCTCAAAGTGCTTTTCCAATCTGCCACGGTGACCATAAGTCGTCGATTTCTTCCTTAACCTGACATTTCCGTCATTGTAACTGCACACTGCTCACCAATCCATCCAATCCATCCATTCAAACGATATTCCATTCAAACAATATTCCATTCAAACAATAATCCATCCAGTCCATCCAATCCATAATCCACCCTCTAGCCATGTCTGATCCCCAAGCAGATCTTTCGGCCGACCTCCCGCCTGCCGCCCACCAGGCTGCCGGCCACGACGGATGTCTCTCATCCGGCCCGATTTTCGCCAAGCCGTCGACTTCGCAAGAAATCGACTTCTACACCCAATTGGCGCCCCACGCCTTCGACCACGAGCCGGGCTCCCATCTCGCACACTGGATGCCCACGTACATGGGTCTCTTGGCGTCCAAGGACTCGCCCGAGCCGCCGTTCATCGTGTTGCAGAACCTCTACCACGGCATGGCCAAACCGTGCATTCTCGACATCAAGCTTGGCGCCGTTTTGGTTGACGACACGGTCACCGAGGAGAAACGGCGCCGCTTGGCCCAGGTTAGCGCCGAGACAACCAGCGGCTCTTTGCATTTCCGTGTTTGTGGAATGAAGGTGTATTGCCCCGACTCCGCGGCATCTCCGCGGGACGTTCTACCACTGCTCGCGGACTCAATTACCGAGGAAAAGCACCTGGACGGCGCTTATCTCTCCTTTGATAAGACCTTCGGCCGGCGGCTCACGCCGGAGTCGGTGGTTTCCGGTATCGGAGCGTTTTTTGCCCCGTTTCCCCACAGGAAAAGACTCTATACTCGATTCCACCAACGCTTGCAATTGTTGTACAATTGCTTGCTCGACACAGAGGTCCGGATCAATTCGGGCTCCTTGTTGTTTCTATACGACGCGGACGAGAGCAGATGGGCTGGCTTGGACGACGATTCTTACTTGGACGCTGATCCTCTCCTAGCAGAAGACGAAGAAGACGAAGATGAAGAGGATGAAGAAGACGACGATGAAGACGACGATTCAAAAGAAAAGCAGAGCAAATACAAGGGGCCGCTTAGTAGACTAAAGCTCATCGACTTTGCCCACGCAAAACTAGTGCCCGGGGAAGGTCCCGACGAAAATGTCATTGTGGGCATCGAAAACTTGTTGAACGTGTTTGCGCAATTGATCAATCACTAGTATATATTAGTATGCTACAACAATTTGGTGATCTTACCAATGGCAATGGTCACACCTTGGTCTCTCAACGTAAAACGTCCCAACTGTGGGTAGTCACTGTAGGTTTCGGCACAAACAAGCTCTGGCACCTCCAACACGGCAATGATCTTCATACCCTTCTTGGCAAAAGCAGGGGGTTTCTTGGACTTTCTGTTGGTGCCCTTCTCCAACTTGTGCTTCAACTCAATGAACTTAACCTCTTCGATGGCTGTGTGCAAGTGCATCACACACGAGAAACCGTTGGACAAAATCGACTTCAACTCCACAATGGCAATCTGGGCCTCGAAGCGAGTAACCGTCTTGACTGGGTTTTTGAGAGATGTCAACACATAACCTTGTTGCACATCCTCTTCCTCGACACCCTTGATCTTCAATCTGATTTGCTCACCACTGTATGCCCACTCACACTCTTGCTCAGTCTCGTTGTAAATGGCAACAACTTCCACTGGGGTTCTGTTAGGCATCATCACCAAGTTTGCGTTCTTCTTGATGTGACCAGACTCAACCTTACCTTCAACAATGGTACCCATGTCCTTCATCTTTCCGGAAATAGGTAACATGAATGGAGCATTGATGTGACGGCTTCCAATCTTCATGTTGTCCAAGAACTCCAATAAAGATGGACCGGTGTACCATGGACATTGCTCGGGGGAAACTCTGTCCTTCAAACCAGCACCAGTGTAACCAGAAACTGGCATGAAAAGGATATCTTCTTTACCGTAGCCAATGCCTTTCAAGAATTGTCCCAACTTGGCGGTACAGTCCTTGTAACGGTCTTCAGACCAGTTGACGGTTGGGTCATCCATCTTGTTGACAACCACAACGATCTTGTTGACACCTTGCGTCTTGGCCAACAATGCATGCTCTCTGGTTTGACCGCCCTTTTCGAAACCAGTTTCGTATTCACCCTTTCTTGCGGAAATAACCAAAATACCAACATCAGCTTGCGAAGCACCACCAATCATCTCGGACACGTACATCTTGTGGCCTGGGGCATCCAAAATTGTGTATCTTCTCTTTTCGGTTTCAAAGCAAGCCTTACCAACTTCGATTGTCTTACCGTCGTTTCTTTCTTCCTTGTTGGTGTCCATGACCCAAGACAAGTACCAACCTTGTCTACCAGCATCCTTGGCTTCTCTCTCGTACTTGTCGACAGTACGCTTGTCAACAGCTCCGGTCAAGTACAAGATGTTACCACCCATGGTAGACTTTCCCGCATCGACGTGGCCCATGAAAATGATAGAAAGATGGTCCTTACCACCAAACATGTCCTTGACAACTTCTTCGTCAACTTCCTCCTCCTGTTCTTTAGCCAATTGGTCGGCAGTAACACCCGGGGTCGACTCTCTGGATCCGGTACTCTTAGATGAGGCCATGGCCATAGCCTTAGCTTTGGCAACAGGCTTAGAAGCTGGAGCAGCAGCTTCCTTCTTTGGCTCTTCCTTCTTTGGCTCTTCCTTCTTTGGCTCCTCCTTCTTTGGCTCTTCTTTCTGGGCTTCCTCCTTCTTTTCCTCCTTTGGCTCCTCCTTCTTTTCTTCCTTTGGCTCCTCCTTCTTTTCTTCCTTTGGCTCCTCCTTCTTGATCGTCTTGGAGGCGTTGCCCAACTTGATTCCCGATGACGAGGTCAACTTCAAGGTCTTCTTGGGCTTGTTCAAAGACGCCAGCGCGCTCTGTTGCTTTTGGTAGTCTGCCAAAGACATTCCCTGAGGCTGCTGGGGCTGGGCATCGTAGCCTTGGTTGTAGTAGTTGTTTTGGTACTGGCCCTGGTATCCTTGGTATTGGCCCTGGTATTGGCCCTGGTATTGGTCGTATTGGTTATATTGGTTGTAGTTGCCTCTGTTCTGGTACTGGTTGCCGCCGTTGTAGCCGCCTTGGTACTGGTTTTGGTACTGGTTGTAGCCACCTTGTTGGTAGTTTTGATACTGTTGGTAACCGCCTTGAGGAACGAAAGATTGGGCTGCGTTGGGGTTGAAAGCAGCAGCCTGGTCATTGATGTTGGCGTTTCCCATATCCTGGGCCAACTTGTCCGGGTTGTATTGCTGGTTGTCTGACATTTGGCGTGAATGTGAACGAAACGATACGGCTAATAAAATTTTCTTTTTTCTTCTCTTCAGTTGCGTTGCGAAATCCGAGGGTGGGGCGTGATTTGGCACGTGATGCTGCCGTTGATTTGGCTGCGAAACGTTAGGCTAGCCGCCTTTCTATCGATTCGGAAAAGATGGAATTGAGACGTATTTTGAGAGTTAAAAGATATAGGTAAGATTATCAACAGAATGAAGATAATAGCTGGGTGGAAGATAAAGGTAAAATTAACAGAATGAAGATAATAGTAAGGTGATGGACCTAGAGTAGAGAAGGGAAGAAAAAAAGCGAAGAGAAGAAAGAGAAACAAAGAAAAAAACTTGAGACATCTAGCTGAGGAGAAATCTAATGGGCCTAAATATTCTGAAATTTTGTCTCATTGCAATTTTAGCATATATAGCCGCCACCATGTATTGAATACAGAATCAACTGAGCTTGGAAGACTTATGACAGAAATCTTTTGCAAACGATTCCATTCATTGAATATTAATGACTCTCATGACAAAGTTTAGTGAAGACGTGAAGTGGAGAAAAGCCTCTTTACAAACTATGCTAAGAACTTTACTCTTTCGGATTCTTCTATTGTTTGGAGGGTCAGATTTAAGGGAAACAAATGACATGCATGGCGAACTATGGATTTCAGACTTATCAGGAACCCCAACTGGGATTTGCCTTCTGTCTACCCATTGCCTATTGAATTGGAAAGACAGAAATAGATTCATATGGGTGGGATGAAGCCCTCCTGAAAATCCAGCCCTAAACATACAATTGCCCTAAACATACAATTGTGCAAGATTGCAGAGCAAGATTACAGTTTCCATTTCCGAAAATTGGCATTTGGCCTGTACTATTTTTTGCGGTCACTTTTCTTTATCTAACATTCATGTCGCTGTTTTCAATTAACTGCAAAGGGTGTAAATGTGAACCTATTACAAAACACATCGTTCAAGAATGAGTGTTAAAATTAGAACTGCAGCGAGGGTTGAGTTCTGATCTGATACGATAAGCTTCTATGCAGACCATGGATCATGAGATAATTGGAGTTAAGGTGAATCCGTTAAAGTATAAGCTTTCTTGACTATGGTAGCACCTACCAATAAGAATACCATTAGAGAAGACACCAAAAAAAAAAGGAACAATTACAAGAGCGTGCAGGGCCACATTTCCGATGCTATATCAAAGATCATGTCCTGTCAGATAATCTCACATCGGCACTCACCTGTCATCAGCACTTATCTTTCAAGGTTCCCAATTCATCTTCTGGCTACAGCTTAGATCCCCCATGGACAATTTTCTCAGCATTTTGTTTCCATCCCACTCGCAATTTCATCAATTCTTATCCTAATTTATTCTCAGTCCCTTCTTCTGTCTGCAGTGCGCAACACCACTTCTTAAACCACCATTCCCCCAGATTTCACGCCCATCCAAAATGCCCATTTTCGGCGAGAAACCCTTTACTTCCATCACGGTGAAAATCAACCAGCTCAGCACGCCCAACAGAAACGCTGATTTGGAAGATGACTCCATTGAACTCTACATGGACAATCTTCTTGAGCTTATCAAGATCCAGCCTTCTGGCGCAGTGGAGGCAGCAAGGGCCATTCGAAAGAAAATCAAGTACGGCACGCCTGTTTCGCAGCAGCTCCTTGCATTGAACCTCTTGGAATTGCTCGTGCTCAATGGTGGACCCAAAGTTGGGCCTGTGGTGGCATGCGACGATAAGTTGGTGGATCTTTTGAAGAATGTCATCTCTGGCACCGCCCGTTCAGGCACTGGTGGCCCATACGACATTAAGGTTGTACAGCGGACTCGTGAGTTGGCCGTGGGCTGGCGAAGAGAGTTCCAAGACATGACTGAGTACAGTGGCTTTGGGAATCTCTGGAAAGCCATTCCCCGGAAAAATCGGCTGCGTGCAACCAGCTCTGCGACAGGCGGGTTTTCTGAAGATGTTTTTGTGGCCAGCCCACGCATTGGCTCTCCTCGGAGTCGTGAGCCAAACTCCTATTCGCGGGAGCGTTCCCATTCAAGCGGAACGCCTCCTCCTCCGCGGCCAAAAACGGCTTCTCCGTACTCGCAAAGCAACAAGAAGAACAAAAGAGGCGACAAAAAGAAGAAAAAGCGGAAGGGGGTTGCTTACGCCGACGAAGACTACCGTATCCCCCAAATCAATTATAAGGTAGAAGCGCCCAAGATTAGAACTACAATTGCAGACTGCTACACACATACAACAGCTCTCAACAACGCATTGTTAGCTCTTCCGGAAGGAGCCGATCCGTTGGACAACAGCAAAGTAGCGGCGGAATTCGAAAAGTGCCGCAAGATTCGCCGCTCTGTCCTTCGATACTTGCAGTTTGTCGGAGCGGGTGATGTTTGCCTCAAATCACAGGAAGTCCAGGAATTGGACGAGGAGTTTTTGGGCTCCTTAATTGTGGCTAATGAGCAATTAGTTGCGACTTTCAAGGAATTTGACCGCAAATGTGGCTACACAGACGAAAACCCGGCCCCCGATTATGGAAACGACACTGAGGACAGTGATGAAAGCTATTACTCTAGTGATTCGTCTGACGAGGATCTGGTTAGTGAGCGCTTGGACGAGATGCATTTGGCAGGCACGAGTTCCAGATTGCAGGAGGCCGTTAGATCTCCACCTCCTAGACCCGCCAAACCAGAGACATTAAGGGCCAAGGACATGCCTCCAATTAGCAAAACGGAAAGCGAAGTTTCTGTGGAGAGTGCAAACCCTTTTGGAGATAGCCACGAGGTGAGCAAAACACGCTCTGTGTATTACTAGGTGTGTTAGAACGAAAGAAGTACGGATAATTCTGGACGAAGAAAGTGAAAGCTGGGGTTTCTGGAAGCGTGAGTGAGGTGAAAGACCGTTTGTGATGATAAGCAAAAATACAACTAGAATAAGTGTTCTGCAGTGTGTAAGTAATCTATCATTCCTACTTCAAAACAGGCATCCTTGGCTCATTCAGAGGTCCAACCAACCCAAAAAACATTAACCTTCATGTTGAATCATAAACAAGTCTTGATGGCTTTCTGAAAGTAGAAGAATGCAGTAGAAGAATGCAGTAGAAGTTACCTTCGAGATAACATCCAATCCTAACCAGTACCAATCAGATGTTCCAAAATCAACTTGTAAGGTGCTCCATATTTCTGAGGCTATTAATTTTCTTTGCTTTTTCATTAATTTTCTTCCTTCGGTATAGTCGCCTGCATAGACATAGATGGTGGTTCTGCCTGCATGCGGCCGATCTGGGGAAACTAACGTCTTTTGGAAAAACATGGTTTCCGAAAACGGGCGAAAACCACTGGCGGCCAGTGGGATGAAGCCGAACGGAGACCTTAAAAGCGCTCCGCATGCCTCCAAATACCGTCCTCGGTTCAAAAACCCGCCGCTTCCAGCAGTCAATGAGTTTCGGCTAGACCACATACTTGCGAATCCGCTCCGACAAGAATCTGGAGCGGTGGTGCAATCGCTTTTGAATGTGAAGTCCAACTACCAGAAAGATCTTCGGCTGGAGATCCGGCGCGCGTTGACCATCGAGCAGAAAATCCAGTTTTTGAACATTCGTGTGGCCAAACTAGCCCATAAGATCGAAAAACGGTTGGAGCAACGCACGAGAAGAATTGGCCGGGCGACAAGTGCGAAAAAGACGGGCCAGGATTTGCTGGCGGAGGTCGACCGCTTGCTTGATCTGGCGACGGATGTGTCGCAGCAGTTTTTTCGCTTGGTTCAGCGTGCTCAAGAGCAAAAAGTGTTTCCAGACCCGGCGAAGTACCCTCGCCTAGCCAAGTTGATGCAAGGTAAAAACGGGAATGGACTGACAGAGGGGAGCGAGAGCTTTGTGCAGACAGAGCGGAATGGAAAGAAAGAGGACAAGACGAAAGTGGACATGAAAGAGGACAAGATGAAAGTGGACAAATTGGACAAAGTGGACAAAGTGGACAAGACCAAAGTGGACAAGACCAAAGTGGACAAGACCAAGGTGGACAAGACCAAGATGGACAAGACCAAAATGGACAAGACCAAAGTGGATATACAGAATGAGAACGACTCTCCCAGCAACTCGGAACATGCTTCCCCAATTCTGGAACATAGTCCATCCCATTCGCCGCAAAATACGTCGGCTTTTCGACCAATCACATCGACCTCAGACACACACGATGATGGAAGCCTACCGAAACCAGTATCGAACGGCTCCAAAGGAGCAGAACCTGCTTCTGCAGATTTTCACACCGCTCTTGTCAGTAATGGAAATTCCGAAAGCTCAAATGCCAAAAGCCAGGCCACTTTTGACGAAACACCACACACGCCAGAAGAAATGGACCCGGCCGCTTTCGAGCTTCTTCTCGAAGACAATATCGCCAAATACAGAGACAAACAAGCGGCCAAGTACTCGCCTACAAAAGCACCGGACCACGCCGGATCAAGCCCGCTACGACTTCTTTACTCGTATTCTCTGCTAGCGCAAAGCGACATGCTCAAGCCGCTTCTTGGAGTTCCTCCAAGCGGGCCTTTCACTGCCGTGACAAAAGCATGTGCAACGGTGGTCGAAACGCCTCAAACGTCGTTGCACAAAAAGCTTCGTATCACATCGGAGCCGTCACTGCAGCAGTTGCGCGAGGTGATTGCGTTTTCCGAGTCGGAAGAAAGTGCCGTTGACGATACAGATCTCTGGACTTCGTCCGGAATATATACCGAGTCGGACGAATCAGGCGACTCGAGCTCCGAGCAAGACAGCTCCTCCGACTGTGACGAGACCAGCCGCTACTACATGTCGTTCCAGAAGAAGACCCGGGCGAAAAAGCGGCGGCCGTACAAGCGAATGTCGCCAACGCCGAAGCATCATCCGCTGCATAGAACACTCCAGCCAAAGAAGTCAATACTAAAGATGGAGAAGCCTAAGGCAGTTCCCAAAACCGAGATGCCCACGCCTTACCGTCTGAGTCCACAAGCGTCCTTTGCCAGCGAATTTGCATCGGGAATGATCATTCGCAGCGGGGAAAGCGAAAACCGGTCGGACTCGGATCTGGAGGGGCACACCATCGAAAAGCTACGGCAGTTGTTGGACTAGGAGAGAGAGGGAATATAGAACATCTATGCATAATAGACTTAATGCAGATAATTGTGTCTAATTTTGGTATTGCTCTATTCTGTGATTGGCATATACGTTGCCTGCAAGTTTGTGCTATGGTAGATGACGCTTCTTGAATGGGCATACGAATATGTTTCAAATGAAGATAGAGTGATTCTATATAACGAGAGTGACAATCGCAGGAATTGACGGCTGGAGTTGTATTTCTGCATATTTTCGCCTGATATTCTGTAGTTGGACCAAACGAGTCGTCCTTGACATAATTTAAACACGGATACACTCACGAACTGTCTGAAGAACAAACGTGTTTTCAGACAGACGACAGACAGACAGACGACAGAGGTACAGTTTGTATATTTAGATGGTATTCGTGATTATATTAGAGAGATCAGTGATCTCTGGCAGATTCATCGGATGCATTCGTATGTTGGGTCCGGCTACACCAACCACACGTAGAAGCACGCGGCAAAGAAGAAGGTGAAGAACAAGAGCCACATGCGCCACGAGATGCCCGCGCGCTGGCTCATCACCACCATGCGGTTGAAGGTGTTTTTCAACGTGACAGTGCCGCGCTCGAAGTTGTTTGTGATCTCGTCGTTGAGTTTCATGGACTTGTTGATCTCTGAGCCCATGCGCACGCCGAGGTTCTTGAGCGCCGCCACCTTGTGGCTCATCAGGTCCATTTCGTCGTCGTTCTGGCTCTCGAGCGACAGCAAAAACGCCTCGTTGTGCTTGGCCGACGCCGTTGGCCGCGTCTCGTAGGGCGAGCTCATTCGTGCGGGCGGAGTGCGGCCCGCCGCGCCCGGATTCGGCCCGAAAAGCTGTGTTCGAACGTCTCGCTGGTGCGCGCTGCCCGCGGTGGAGTAGCGCGAGTTCATGTTGTGGTGGAGATGGTGGAGGCGGCGGTGGTGATGTGGAGGGGCTCTGTGCAGGAAAACAGTAGGACAGAAAGCAGTGCCAAATGAACTTGTTGAACTTGATGGAATGAACTTGTCGAATGAACTTGTCGAATGATGAAATATCAGTTTTCTAAATTAGCTCAAGACTATTTCATTTTGAACACAATTTTGGTGGGCAAGAACGTTGATGGGACATGTACGACAATTCGCTTAGAACTGAAGAAGTCGAAATGAATTCGCCCTACAGAATCAATGTTGGTCCTCTGAGAGAATTCGCTGAAGAAGCAATATATAAAGAAAAATATTCATAAGAACCATGTTCATAAGAACCATATTTATAAGAACCATATTCATAAGAACCAATAATCATAAGAACCAATTCGCACTAAACCAATTCGCACTAAGAACGATATTCATAAAGAACCATATTCATAACCAATATTCATGAAGAACCATATTTATAAGAACCATATTCATAAGAACCATATTTATAAGAACCATATTCATAAGAACCAATAATCATAAGAACCAATTCGCACTAAAGAACCATTCGCACTAAACCAATTCGCATGGACAAAATGGAATTCGACCTCTAGAATCAATAGTTTGTACATGATAATTTGTAATTATGTTCTCAATCGCCAAAATCTACAATTCGCATTAGGTAAAACTCTGTAGCCTAATCAATGACAAAACGGTCGTTACCTGAAGCAATTTAGATCGCAACTGAATACTCATCACTAAATGGAGTCTGTATCCATTAGATATAAATATTTACATTGCAATAACGCAGAAGTGTAGTAAGCGAATTTCTAATTCTTTATCACGATTTTTCTTGTCCTACGAATTGTGGTCCTCTGTTGAGTTTTGATTTCTTAAACGGCGAATTACTAGAGAGTGCTGTAGTGACGGAAAGTTTATGAAGTTAGTGAATTTTTCAGTTACATTATGACTAGATGGATGAGAATAAAAGGACAGAGATTAATTATTCTTCAAGGCAAAGAAATTATAAAATCCGCCATAAATACTAGAGAAGAATCTACGCATATTGCTACAGATAACGCTTAGTTGTGTTCGTTCTGACTTTATGGTCTATAAGCTAGATTATGCAATGTCATCTAACAGTGAAATGCTCCTGTTACCCTCCTGATGACACTACTTTTATACTAGCTAAACTTTAACACCATATTCCTGAAAGCACATGCTACCTTCATCGCAGTCCAAAACTCGACATGTGATAGGTTGGCTTTCAAGACATCCACCCCAATAGAGCCCAACATTCTCCCATATCTTCTTATTAACTGAATCCAGGAGTATTGCCAAAGCAAATACCCAAGGTATTACCCAATGACACTATATGAGGAAAAGAAGGTCGAACTCTTAAAATTGCCAATATGGAGACGTTTCATCAGTAGTGATTGATACTCTTCGACTAGTTATAGACTGTTAAGGTTTAATAACTAATGATATAAAGAGAGTTGTAGCATGATCAACGATGAGTCAATTGGCTAATAAACTTGATAATCCACTTATTAAAATCATTTTTTATTTATTTATTTTTTATTTTAATTATTAATTATATCTCTACTAAAGATAGATAACTTAAAATTTAATATATTTAACATCGAAATTTTGTCTGGTCGGCTATACATAATAATCCAACAGTAGTTAAAACTAATTCATAACTAATTGAGCAATGGAATAGCGGATATATTGATATTAACAGCATATTCAATACCTTTATTAATTATATCTAATTGAAATAATATACGAGAGTATATTCCACACCGAAGGTGCTTATTACAAACTCGAAGAAAGGTTTAAATGAATAATGCCTGTAGTATAATATCAGATACATCGCATCTATGCCAAGATACGTTGATCGGACTCAAAGAAAGAAGTTGCAGCTGCGACATTAGACTTTCATAGACTCACTTTACTGTCTCCTAGAATTTACTTGGATCAATCTTGGAGTATGTTGGTGTTTGTGCCGGACATTACTAATGGGTCCTAGATATATCAGTGCGATTAGCTAAGATGGAGGCTGTTACACATATTGCGAAAACACTTGGTCTTTGGCTCTTTTTTCGTTTACGACCTTCTTCTTGATTTCAGTCTGATTGAATATTGAATCGGTTCATCTTTTAGACGAGGAGGTTTTACTTTTTCTTGGTATCTCCATCTATTGTCAGTTACCTTAACCAAAGGACATCTAGTCATGGAACAGGAAGTCCCCCAGTCGTTGGCCAACGTCAAACATATCCTTCTTATTCTTTCCGGCAAAGGCGGTGTTGGGAAATCTTCGGTCACCACCCAATTTGCACTCACGCTTGCACTCAAAGGGTTCAATGTCGGCGTGTTGGACATTGATTTGACCGGTCCATCTTTGCCTCGCATGTTTGGCGTTGAGAAAAAACAGGTCCGCCAGTCGGCGCAAGGATGGGTTCCAGTGACTGTTTACAACTCAAGCAGTGCCGAAAAAGGCAATCTTTCCCTCATGTCGCTAGGGTTTCTCCTTGGGAGCAGGGAGAACTCTGTTGTGTGGCGAGGCCCAAAGAAAACAGCCATGATCCGGCAGTTTTTGAAGGATGTCGTTTGGAGCGGCGGCCCGGACGGAGCTCCTTTGGACTACTTGCTCATAGATACGCCTCCGGGAACGTCCGATGAACACATTGCCATTGCCGAAGAGCTCCGATGGGCCCAGCCAGTAGATGGCGCCATAGTGGTGACCACGCCGCAACAAGTGGCCACTGCTGATGTTCGGAAGGAGATCAATTTCTGCAAAAAGGTCAATTTCGCTGTTTTGGGCGTCGTGGAAAACATGAGCGGCTTCATCTGCCCCCATTGTGCCGAGTGCACCAATATTTTCCTGAGCGGCGGCGGAAAACAGCTCAGCGAGAGCTTGGGGCTTGATTTTTTGGGCAACATCCCCATCGATCCTTCTTTCGTGGAGATGATCGAGACCCAGGACAATGCCGAGGGCTCGCATCGGACGTTGATGGATTTGTACGAACACGCCAATCTCCGGCCGGTGTTGGCGGAAATCGTGCAGAAGGTGTTGGACAAGAACTTGCCGTCTAGGATCGAGTAGGAGACGACCGTTTGAGCTTGCGAAGCTAGCGAAGCTTCAATTTGGAAGCTTCAATTTGGATGCTTGACGTATTTGTCTTTGCACCTGGTACCAGTCTCTGTTAATGCTGACAATTTTGTATTTGAGTGTTCTACATTGACAAGTAGACGCATTGAATACACAGTCACTCAAAGACAAATATACTCATATAATATTTATAGAATCATGAACCTAGCCAGTTCATACTAACATGCAATTCAGACGAGGTTCAATCTAGAGACATTTACCTATGCGGGCAAATGGATCGAATTTGAGCAAACTGACAACACTGACTTTTGCCATCAGTAGAACGTCTCAATCTTACAGTCATTGTGATGACAGATAAAGGAATTTTAAGACGGGCTGCCCCATATTTTTATCGTGCGGGTCTGTATTGGTATATATAAAAACTTCCAATTAAGATGACACTCCTGTTGGATGACAAGTGCCATATGCCTCTTTGTTACGTTCCATCACGACACTACAGTCTCTTCTTGCTTCGTTTGTTCTATGGTACATATGCATCACTCCTTCAAAGTGCGTTTCCACTGGGCCATTTTCTTTTTCAACTGGCCGGTGGTCATGAACATGGGATTCAACTTCTTGTCCCACCGCATGCTCTCGTAGTCGTCGCCGTACTTTTCGTGCAACTGCTCGATCCACAGCACTTCTCTTGGCGTGGGTGCTTTGTGCTTGGGTGCTTTGGCCGATCTGTTGTTGAACTCGATCAATTCGTCAATGATGGACGGCTGGCTGGTCTCCTGTGTCTTTGGCGCCGCCTTCATTCTGCCGTAAATCACCTGCACCACCTCGTTCGTCTCCGGGTCTCTGATCAACCTGGCTTCTCCTTCTGGGATTTTCTCCGGGTCAGTTTCGTTGGCAATGTCCTCTGGTTTGGCCTGCTTGGCCTCTTGGCCTTCGCGCTCCTTTCTTTGCTCCGTCAACGTCTTCACCTCGGCCTCTTGTCCTCCGGCCGGTTTTCCTAGACGCACCGTCAATCCAAGCTTCTTGTAATTTTGTTCAAGAGTAAGCTTGTTATCCCAGTGGGCTTGCATCACCGGGTGGGCGGTCATTTTCACGTTTCTTTTTTTGTCTTTGACCCTCTTGGTGTTTTTCTTCACCGAGGATCTTGCCATCTTCCTTTTCCGGACCGACGTCATGGTGTGCTGGGGATGACTGGTGTTAGATGAATCTGCAGAGATGAGGTCGATGGCCTTTTTTTTGCCTGGTGTACGGGTGCACTCCATCTACCCCATACTATACACGATAAAGTATGAAATTGATTTTGTTCTATTGCTAGGGTTTTAACTGTTGTAATGTGGAGCTTTTGGCAATCTGGACTTTGGAGCAATCTGGAGCTTTGTATGATTTGTGTTGAAAAGTAAATATGCTACTTCGAAATTAGACTGCGAATGGCCCAAGTGAGAAATTCTGTGAATGGATGCGAACATTAATACAGACCTGAATGACTACTTACGCTGAGATCTAAGGGTGATTTCTCCAAGCGAGATTTGAAACTAATTATGCTCTAAAATTTAAGGCTGATTATGTTCTATGATAAAAATTTATGCATAACCTTTATTTTTGATAATGAACTGCGCTTTTCATCATTGATGCGCAATTGACTAAACTAAGACTGTGCCGAATTCAAGGTGTTGGAACCAAAAATTGATTGAAATGAATATGCATGAGTTAGCACTGTTCAGCTGGGATATGTAGATTGAGAGAGTCTAGACATGTAAGTCACTTGAAAACGGCTGTTGAAGCAATATAGATAATACTAGTACTTACTGGTATTGACCTTATTACATGTTCCACAAGGTTCAGCATGTCGATTGATGTACATGGTTGTCGAGCACTTACATTAACTATCTATTATTTGCCCTCGACAAAAGCTCTGTAAGTAGTGAATGGCGCATCGGTGGAAGACGATTCCAACTCGATTTCTGTTTCCGGCGCAACAAAGAAAACGTAGCCAGTTTCGACCTTCTTGGCCTCTTGTCCCTTGATTCTGATTGTGCCGCTTCCGTTTGTGGCAATGACAATGGAGGGGCCTTCAAAGCCGTCGAAAACCTGTTTCTGGCCCGCTTTCTTGTCGAAAATTGTCTGCAACACGGAAAACTCGGCAATAGGTGGATCATACAAGACAGACTTAACGGCGTCGCCGCGAGACTTGGCAAAAGGCAACAATGGCATCTTCTGCTTTTCCACAGACTCGTACGAGTACGTCAACATGTCGACCAAGTTCTTGACGTCCTTGAATTTGGGAGTGAATCCAGCTCTCACAACATTATCGGACGCGGCCATACATTCGATGATGTCACCGGAAATGTAGGCATGGGGGTCCTTGGCCTGCAAAAACATGGCCTCGCCCACGTTGAGACGAACGTGGTTCAACAACAAACAGCCGCAGAACAAGCCAATGTCGTTAGGAAACTGCTTGTTCAATCTCAACACCAAAGATGCCAAGCCCGGAGCCAAGGCGTCCAAAGTCTGTGGCTGCTTTTCTGCTCTCTCAACCAAAAGCGCCGACTTCTTTGTGATTTCGTCGTCGCTGGTGTTCATCAAGCGGCCGAAAACCTTTTGCAACAACTTGCGGTTGGCTTTGTCGTCTTCAGAGCCGATTTCTGCGCTGGGCTTGATGCCTTGCACAAACTCGGCAGTGACGTCTTCGCCAATGATGTCAGCAAACTCGCTAATGGAGGAAAGCGTGCGGGCAATCTGGTCCAAAGGCTTGAAACCGCAGAAACCCTCGAAATCCGTCACGGCAATGGCCATTTCCGGCTTGTGGTTGTCGTCCGGGTAGTTTTTGGGGTCGTTGGCATGGAGCTGTCTCGCCAAAGCCTTGTCTGGGTGGGCCTGGATCGACAAGACTTTCTCGATGGACAACACCTTGAACAAAAATGGCAATTCCTTGTCGGAGCCAAACTTCTGCACGACAGAAGGATGCAAGTATGTGGCAGCGTCCGAAGACACGACATCACGCAAGTATTTGCCCTCTAATGCCGCCTCGTCCACCACTTTGGATGGCACAGATGGGTGTGTTCCCATCCATAATTCGGCATATGGTTTTTTCTCGTCAATGACGGTGGCCGGGTTGGATTTGGCCGCGTACTGCGCGACCGCAGAAGACGAGCCGATTTTGCCCCAGTCGTAGTTCTGGTAGCCGCAGTCGATTCTGAATAATTTGGACATTGGTGAGAAAAGTAGTTGGTGGTTGAAAATGGTGAGGCTGGAGTAAACGCGGTCCATGTCGCGACGGGGATGTGTGCAGGACAAGATGCCACGTTGGCTAGCACTAAGAAACTTAAGCTTTGAATTTTGGGGATATTTCTTCTTTGTTTCTTGTTATAGTTGCTTTGTTTGTTGCTTGGATGTTAGTGTATCTTGGTTTCTTTCATCTCTTTCATCTCTTTCATTTCTTTCATTTCTTTTCTTGCTGTTTTTCTTGTTTCTGGTACGGCACGGCATATAGGCCAAGATAACAGATCCATAAGGAGATGCGTGCATGCTTTAGTGCGGCCACATTGTCTACCAATACGGTCTTTGGCATTGTAAGCGGAAAACAAAGGTACAAAAAAAAGAAAATATACGAGACTGAGCGAGCCAATCAAGAATGGAAAAAATCTATGGATTGAGTTGATCAAGTGTTATTTGTAGTTCTTTCGAACAGTTATTTATTCAACGTTTTCGTTCGATTCACTAATGATCTTATCTTTCACGTTTTCGTTCGATTCACTAATGATCAAACCTTTCATGTTTTCGTAAGAAGAATTAGAGTTTAGAATTGGCATCAGAAATGTATGATGAGCTAATCAGAACGACATGTTTGTTCATGCCATCAAATACCTTGGCTCTTTGTCCTTTATGGATCTCTCATAGAGAAGCTTAAGTCCTTCGGCACATTTGCCTTCAACTTCATAAAAAGCCTCAATACTAGAGGTTGGTTGTAAGTGGGCAGAAGAACCGTAAAATTTGATGGCAAACAAATAACGTTCTCAATTTGTATGCTTTGTCCATGCTACAGTTCCGTAATTATTGTAAGGTTCAGAATATCATAAAACAAATAATCTGAAACCCTAGTTTAATGTCTTGGTATTATCAATTCAATCCAATTCTTAAGACCGTGCAATAGACCAAATAATAGGCACTTCAAATGATATAGTCATACAGACAGTAGACAGGCTCTACCTTTCTAAACAGACAACAAAACAATGTGATATACACCTCCAGTATAAAAGTAACTTTGAAAAGTTTTCACTACTCTACTTTTCAAAATGATGGGCCAACCTCCCCTCTTCATCGCCAATAAATCACAATCACCAATTCTCAGGACGTGAGATATTTCACCATGACAATAGTGAATCAACTTTCCGAAGAAATATAACTGTCCACCAAAAAGACCAGTACCTTACGCCTTTATACATATTTAAAACAGGGCGATTGTAAGTAATTAGACGATTTTAGATGTGTGAACAAGACTGTCAAATACTCTTACACTCGCCCACTTATCATTTCAAACTGGCATTTAAGGGAACCCTTTAATATCTACTTCATGCTACCACTTTAGTTCTGCCAAGCTCATATCTAGCACACCATCTTTTCTGGAGACAAACAAAGTACATTCTGAAAGTCTTTTTCCGATTGTGCGAAAACACAAGGGAAGTCTTCCTTTTTATCCACTCCGGCACACAATACAAGACATCTATGGGTAAACATGGACGAGTGGATCGAAACCGGAACAGGAAACCGGATCTCTCGAAATGCCACCATCGCCGGTTCTGACCGCATTTCCATTTCCGGAAACTGCACCATTTCGAAGGGCTGTGTCCTAAACGGGGATGTGAACACCAAATCAAAAGACCCATCCATAGTTTTGGGGAAGTACGGTTTCTTCTCCGAAAACACGAGAGTCGAGCCGCCTGTGGCAAAGAAAAACGGCGACACCCCAATGCATTCCAATGTCGTGATTGGAAACTACACCTTCTTTGGCCTGTCCACAGTAATCCGGCTGGCGCAAGTGGGGAACCGCGTTTATGTGGGCTCCAACTGCCAATTGGGAGAAATGAGTGTCATCAACGACTGTTGTGTAATCTCAGACGGGACCGTGATACCTCCAAAGTCTGTGATTCCTCCTTACAGTGAGGTAAGTGGCGTTCCGGGAAAGGACTATGACATTGCAGAGCTCAACGGAGGGTATAGAAAAGTGCTAGAGACAGATGCTCGAATCCGCCATGTCCTTGGCGAATAAATCATACGTTTGTATGAAGGGTTTGACTGGAGATTTATGATGCAGTGATTCAATTGGGAGGATTACGACTTCTGTTGGAATGGGCTACGACAATTGTTGGAACGGAACACGACTTCTTAAATGGACCACGACTTCTGTTGAAATGTGGACTCTGCGACTGGTATGGGATGGACAATTGTATGCGGACTCATTAGTCTGCTGGCAGCTTGTTTGTTGGCCTGCTTGGTGATCAACGCTGATGCATGGAATGAGGCTGCAGATCATTGTAGCCCTGATCCATGATTGTGTGATTGGTTACGTGTAAAAGTAGTACTTTATGCATTATTAAGATTAATAAATTTTATAGAATGACTTGCCGTACAAATTATTGTGAACTATATAGCTTTAGTATTAACTGACATGTCATCAGATTACAGCCGAAGATTATTCCGATGGTTCAATCCCAAAGATATTTGCAATTCCTCAATTCTTTACTCTTTCAAACTTGCATTTCCACAGTATTTGTTCTCATTTACCAAACAGATGTCCATGCACGCCAACGCACTTTAGCCGCTTGTGCACATTTCCATGCATATCCGCATACCAGTTTTCATAGCATACCGAAAATGTCTCTAAACAGACCAGCAGACGTTAAATCGTACATATTCAACCCAAATAGGTAGCCGCAGACCAAAAATTATGCATTTATGATCCAAATCTTGAATTCCTTTTTTCGATGTTTGGGTATAAAAGAGGGCAGATCTGCTCGAATCACAATTTTTTTTTTGAACTCTTTTTCTTTACTTCAATTTTTTTGCTCTCTCCTTACCATAGAAGATACAGCATATTGAAGTAAAATAATCTTAAATCTCCATCCAACTCTTATTCTCATCCTTAGTAACTTTTGACAAATCCGAATGTTGCATCTCATCATTCCTGTGAACCAAGTTTCCATCAAGGAGAACATCAATCCTTGGGAAAACTTGAACCAATTCGCTTACTTTCCTTCTTTGAAGGAAGTCTCCTCTCCAAGCTTCGGTCCTGAAAAGGAAAATCTCTTCTCTGATTTCTCAATCTGTGCTCTGCTAACTGAAACCGAAACTACTGGAAAAGATAGATTCGTGATTGTAGGCTCCAGAAGATATGGGAAAGCCCAATCTTTGAACAGAGCTAATGACTGTCATCAAAAGGCGGTCTCTTCTGGAAAATTCTCCAGAATTGCCACTACTACCAATGTCTTCTCTGAAATAGGTTTTGGTCACAACCAAGACGACCAAATATCTCTAGTCACCGGACAAGAAGGTACTCCAACAGTGTTTTCTGACAAGAAACCTTCTTTTTTGGTTTGTAAGCCTTTCCAGAAGCATTTCAACGAGACTTGGAACACTGTGATCTCAACTTTGATTTTGTTGCTTCATGGTCTTCCACCTGCTCACTTCTCTAGCCCAAGTGTTGAACCAGTTCTCGAAGGCTTGAGATGGACAAGCTCCTTGGCCCTCAACCTTGGAGCTTATCTTCAAAATAACTCTGAGGCCATTTTTAATGTCCTTGTTTTTCTCTTTTTCCTTCCTTTGATAGTTCTCAGAAGAAATGCCTTTGAAAACGAGAAGGCTCTTTCTAATAGATCGAATATTTACTTGTTGAAGACTAGAGCCAGATCACCAATCATCGTGCGGTCTGCCCAACCCAAAGACAAAAGACTTAGTTTTTGTCAAATGAAGAAGAGAAGCCCTAGAAATATCACTCTTTACCCCTCACACTTTCTAATGGACAGAGACCGAAGAATCAGAAGCATTCTTTTGCAAGAATAAACAGCATTCTTGCAAATTAAGCAAAAAGCTCTTTAAAGAAAAAAAAAAAAAAAAAACCACACTACATAGCAAATAAATACTTTCAAAAAACTTGGCCAGAAACGTTCATACATTCTGGACTCTTCTGATTATCGTGTATTGAACTAGTTACTATCTGGAAATACTCATGCGTCGTTTCAACCAGGTTCTTTTGTAAACATCAAAGTTTGTTCCTTTGAATGGGTAGCAGACACAATTCATTGTTTTCTCCTACATTGAAGTACAGTTTTTCTGTTATATTAGTCTGGCATAAATACTCTTAACACTTAATCGGTCTACTCAACCTAATACCAAGCTCGATTAATTCTTCATATTAACAAATTCTTGAATTTCACACCTCAGTCACTTTTCACCATGCTAATGATCCCACGATGAAGCCTACGTCTTGTCACAACCTTATAGACAGCGAACACAACCAGGAAGAATATAAGATAGCCGAAAAAGCCGTGTTGGTGGACAAAGTCGAAGTACCGGAGAAAACTTGGGTACGGCGAGTTGGATAACTTCGCCGAGAAACCTGTTGGCTTCTCCAGAACAAGTTTGGGGTCGATCAAATATTCCAAAACAGGACGCACTGAAGAGGGAACCATTTTCAACGGAGCTCCTTGCAAGTTCTGATCCCAGTAATACTTGTTTGTTTTGGAAACCACCACTGCATCGCCTGGAACGTAGTTTCTGCCGTCGACATCCCATCCCGCTTCCATTGCAAACTGCGGGTATTCGGCTAAATCGACATAAGCAAATACAACGTCGTCGTCCTCGAACAAGTGGGGCACGCGCTCACGCATAGCTCCCACAATGTCCGCTGTCTTTGCCTTTTCTTGTTTCATCTTGTCCACGTGGACCTTCTTCTCGCTTCTGCGTGTAAGAATTTGCAGATAGTAGTACTGCTTGCGCAAAAGGCTGTACTCGTGAGCAAGCAAAGACACCTTCTGCAAAAGTGCCGACATTTCCTTCTGGTCTGCCAGATTCACAAACGTCACCACGACTCTGTCGTCACGCAAGGCATTCTTGCGTCCCTTGTGGTTGAAGTAAGCACGCACCAACTCCGGAGTCAAGGGGCCACAGAGTGGATGACTATATTTCTCAATGAACTTTGCGATTTTCTTTTCGTCCCGCATGTCTTCGAGGGCGTAGTTTTGGTACACCGCTGGAACCAACAGGTTCTCTTTGAAGATGTAAAGAGAGGGCAAAGCAGACGACATGGTGGCGTAGTGCAACTTGGCGTCAAACTCAGGAACCTTGAAAGACTCGTCCTGTGCCACGTACTCAAGCAATCCCTTTGCCTGGGCCTTCAACGCTTCCGAAAAATCTTCACTGGAGACGTACAAGGTCACGTCAAACGGAGAGCGGGCCACCGACTCCAAAATATATGGAAGCACCGCCTTATCCTCGGTCAGCACTGCTTCAGCCTCATATGCGAAAACAACCACAACACGGTCGCCGTTTTTACTGTTGTCGATGCTCTTACTCAAAAAACCGGCACTGGCCAAATCGGACCGCGACACATGCTCAAAGCGGCCACTGGTGCTCACTTTCGTGGCAAAACGCAGCATTTCAGCCGACGTGGGCTCGCCACGGTAGTCTAAGCGCACAAGCCCGGCCGCCCGAGGCAAAAACATCGCATATCTGGGCGAATGCGTGGCGTCCGGCCGCGTGAGCTCCGGATAGCCCAACTTGGTGCAGATTCCCGCCTGCGAGAAGCAGTTGAAGTGCACAGTCCGTGCGTCGCCAAGCACGAGGTTCGACACCTTGGACCATGTCTGCTTGTGCTCCAAACAGTCGATACACGAGTCCAGGAAGCTGTCCTTGGCCCACTCGGCGGAAGAGGCTGCAAAAAGCGCCACAAAGTACGGCTCGTCGATCTCGCCCGCACTCATGTTCAATCCGAGCGCCGCCGTTCCTTCTACAGAAGCGCTTGGAAGATCAATGGCGCCAGAGTTGTACTCGGCCACAGACCGCACCATGTAGCGCAAGAAGCTTTCGGGCGTTCTGTCCATTGCACGCGGGTACAGCTCCACAAACTTGCCCTTTGCGGCGTCTTTCGAAGGCACGTAGAGCCGCAAGTTGGGGTAGTAGGAAATGCCTTCCCGCTCGCACAAGTCGCCGCTTTCGACGCAGTTGACCTGGCGCATGTGGATCGGTAGGTCGGGCTGCTCCTTCTGAAGCGTCTCGAAGGTTTTCTTCCACTTGGGCGCAAGCTGTTTGCAGTGGGAACAGTAGGGCAGGTAAAACTCGAGAAACGTCACATGCGAGGCGGTGAACTCGTCAAATGTGGCAAGCGTGAGTTCTTCCGGGAGCTTCTTGGAGTTCCCAGGGCCCGAGGCTTGGGCTTGGGCCGTTTCTTCTGCGGCAGCCTTTGTGTTTTCGTTGTTTTGGTCAGACTTGGCGTCTGTGTCTGCTTTTGGCTCTGGAAGCGCCGACGAAGGGGCGATTTCGACTCTTGAAACGGTAAGCAGCGCCACTGGCGGCGGAATTGCCGCTGGGAACGCCCAGACGGCCGAAATAAGCACCGTGGCCGCTAGAGAAAGCTTCATGGGGAAGAAGAAAGTGGCACGTGATGTTTAGGTGGTTATGGAAGATGCCAGGTGTGCAGGAGAATGAAAGTAGCCGGGACACCAGTATGAAGTGGTTTTGGTTTGTCTCGCTTTGATAGTTTTGATAGTTTTGATAGTTTTGATAGTTTTGATAGTTTTGATAGTTTGGATAGCTTTGATAGTTTTGATAGTCTTGATGGTTTGGAAACAATTGAATTATTTTTTTGAAGTAAGTATTTTAATGCGGTAGTTTGAGTTTGGATTTAATGCTTTTGGTTGGCCTTGAGTATGAATACATAAACCCGCAAAAAAATAGTTGGAAGCCTGGAAGAACGGAAATTGTCTATTTTATTGTGGAGTATTGAAGATTGTCGGTCCTACTTGAAATTTTAAAGGTTTCGTAGATATGGCATGGTAGCTTGACTGGTGAGCCAAGATCAATGAGTTTACATCTTTTGGCCCGATTAGACTAACAATTGTGCTATCACCATTTATTAGCCGTTTTCGATCTAAGAATCTACAGTTTCCAGTTACAAGATAAAAGTGAAATATCGATGCCTGAAAGAAGTTAGTAGCATCGAAATACTAGTAGTGGACGAGGAAGAATAGTGGCTCATTTTTATTGCTGTGGTCGGATAAAATAATTTTTGGCTCAACCAATGTATAGCTCAATCGAATTTTGCAGAGTCAACGGACTACATAGTATATAATCAAATGACCACGTAATTAAAAATGTTACTTTACCTTTTTATATCAAGATGCCGGGTTTCCTGACAAATCCATGCTTATCATGCTATTTTCCATCATGCTATTTCCATTCGTCTATAAAGTTAATTAAATCTCAGTGAGATCAGCCGTGTAAATGCGACATCCCGATCATGTCTACATTATGTGACAGTACATTGGTCAGACCGTATCCTCTTTTAGATTGCAGGTTCCTTTACGAATTGTAGAAATTATTGTAGAATTACCATTGTAGGATATCCCTATCCTATGAGTCGTCATACGATTATAAGAATCTCTTATGGTGTACATATAAATAAACTGAGCAATTCACTTGCTCAAACCATCATGTATGGAACTAAAACATTTTTCAACGTCTTACTTCAATTCATACTTTCGCCACCGTTACGTTAGTCTTATGCTTCTTGCCCTTGCATGTAGTCTTCTTACATATAGTCTTAGATCTCCCGTTGCTGTGTCCTGCAGACAACACGACCCTCCAGAACAACCCAATCGTCCCCTTGACTAATATCCAAACCTTCAGATCCAGTCAATTGCATTGCCTCACATCCTCCTTTTTCCTCGTCCCCTTTTCCATTTTACTTCTCTTCTCTTCTTTCTTCTCTTCTTTCTTCTCTTCTTTCTTCTCTTCTTTCTTCTCTTCTTTCTTCTCTTTTTCCATTTCTTCTGTCGCCCATCACGTGACCGCGCCTCCACCTCACCCAAGCGACAATTACTAACCCACCCTTTACTCTCAAATGACAGAAATGCAAATCGACACCCCTTCCATCGACGAGAGCTTGTACTCGCGGCAGCTCTACGTCATGGGAAAGGAAGCCATGCTCAAGATGCAGAACGCCAATGTCTTGATTATCGGCCTCAAGGGCCTCGGCGTGGAAATCGCCAAAAACGTGGCGCTTGCAGGCGTCAAGTCGCTTTCCTTGTACGACCCGCTGCCTGTGGAGCTCCACGACCTTCTGACGCAGTTTTTCTTGCGCGAGGAGGACGTTGGAAAGCCCACTGCCGACGTGACACGCGAAAAGTTGCTGGAGTTGAATCTGTACGTTCCAGTAACGGTTTTGAGCGAGTTGGCCGACGCCGACGTGGCCCGCTTCCAATGTGTGGTGGCCACCAACGCGCTGTTGGAGCAGCAGGTGCGCTTGAACGACGTCACGCACGCCAACAACGTTGGTTTCATCGCCACAGACGTGCGTGGTCTTTTCGGCCAGTTGTTTGTGGACTTTGGCGACTTTACCGTCATTGACCAGACGGGCGAGGAGCCCTTGTCGGGCATTGTGTCGGACATTGAGCCCAACGGAACTGTGACCATGTTGGACGACAATCGCCACGGCTTGCAAGACGGCGACTATGTTCGGTTTTCCGAGGTCGAGGGCATGCCCAAGCTCAACGACGGCACGCCGCGCCGCGTGGAGGTGTTGGGCCCTTACGCGTTCAAAATCTCCATTGACGACAGCTTCGGCACCTACGTTAAGGGCGGCTTGTACCAGCAGGTCAAGATGCCCACCACGCTCCGCTTCGAGCTGCTCCGCAAGCAATTGGCAGCGCCCGAGTTTCTCCACTCGGACTTTGCCAAGTTCGACCGGCCTCCGCAGCTCCACGTGGGTTTCCAGGCGCTCCACGCGTTCAAAACCCGCCACGGCCATTTGCCTAGACCCTACAACGAAGAGGACGCCAACGAGACGTTCAGATACGCGCAAGAGGTGGCGGCACAGCTGCCGGGCGTGGTCGAGGGCGACTTGGACGAGAAAATCATCAAGGAGTTGGCGTACCAGGCGCAAGGTGACATTCCGGCCATGACGGCTTTCTATGGAGGTCTTGTGGCCCAGGAGGTGTTGAAGTGCTGCCTGAGCAAGTTTGGCCCCGTCAAGCAGTGGATGTACTTTGACCTGTTGGAGTCTTTGCCTGATGCAGAGGCGTTTCCCCGCAATGCTGAAACATGCAAGCCTCGTGGCTCCAGATACGACGGCCAGATTGCCGTGTTTGGCGAAGCTTTCCAGCGCAAAATCGCTGCGTTGCGTGTGTTTTTGGTCGGCTCCGGTGCCATTGGTTGCGAAATGTTGAAGAACTGGGCCATGATGGGCTTGGGCTCGCAGGGCAAGATTGTCATCACCGACATGGACTCGATCGAAAAGTCCAACTTGAACAGGCAGTTCTTGTTCCGTCCTAAAGACGTGGGCGGCCAAAAGGCCCAGATTGCCGCCCAGGCGGTGGTGCACATGAACCCAGACTTGGAGGGCAAAATCGACGCCCGCTTGGAAAAAGTCGGCCCAGACACCGAACACATTTTCGACGACGACTTTTGGAACGGCTTGGACTTTGTCACCAACGCCTTGGACAATGTTGACGCACGTACCTACGTCGACAGACGCTGTGTTTTCTTCAAGAAACCGCTTCTTGAGTCTGGAACTTTGGGCACAAAGGGTAACACGCAGGTTGTGATCCCCAACTTGACCGAGTCGTACCTGTCGTCGCAGGACCCTCCCGAAAAACTGATTCCTTTGTGTACATTGCGTTCGTTCCCCAACAAGATTGACCACACAATCGCCTGGGCCAAATCCTTGTTCCAAGGCTACTTTGCCGACTCTCCAGAAACTGTCAACTTGTACTTGAGCCAGCCAAACTACGTCGAACTGAACTTGAAGCAGAACCCTGACATCAAGGGCACATTGCGCAACATCGCTGATCTTTTGAACAATAGACCTTACTCGTTTGACGACTGTATTCGCTGGGCCCGCATACAGTTTGAAACCAAGTACAACCACGAGATCCGCCAGTTGTTGTACAACTTCCCTGAGGATGCTGTGACTTCGACTGGCGCGCCATTCTGGTCTGGACCAAAGCGGGCTCCTACACCTTTGGAATTCGACATCAACAACCCAGACCACCTCAACTTCATCATTGGTGGTGCTAACTTGTTGGCTTACGTCTACGGCTTAAAGGAGACCAAGGCAACTTTCGATGACTACAAGAAGGTTTTGGATACTGTCGAAGTGCCTCCTTTCGAGCCAAAGACAGGCCTCAAGATCGCCACAAACGATGCCGAGGCCGAGGAACAAGCAAAGTCGCTCTCCGGCTCTCTTGATGAAGAGGAGATTCGCCAGATTGCTGCATCCTTGCCTGAACCATCGACTTTGGCCGGCTACCGCTTGACCCCAATCGAGTTTGAGAAGGATGACGACACCAACCACCACATTGAGTTTATCACTGCTGCGTCTAATTGCAGAGCTTTGAACTACTCGATTGAAACCGCAGACGCCAGCAAAACCAAGTTTATTGCCGGAAAGATCATTCCTGCCATTGCCACTACAACTGCTTTGGTTACTGGCTTGGTTTGTCTTGAGTTATACAAGGTTGTGGCTCAGCACAAGGACATTGAAGTGTACAAGAACGGTTTTGTCAACTTGGCACTTCCATTCTTTGGATTTTCCGAACCAGTGCGTTCGGCCCGCGGAAAGTACAACGACAAGGAGTTTGATCAAATCTGGGATCGTTTTGAGATCCACGGTGACATCACCTTGCAAGAGTTGCTCGACCACTTCCAGGAGAAGGAAGGTTTGGAGATATCTATGTTGTCCTATGGCGTCACTTTGTTGTACGCATCTTTCTTCCCACCTAAGAAGTTGAATGAGAGAAGACCAATGAAGATCACGCAATTGATTCAGACCGTTAGCAAGAAGGAGGTGCCTGCTGGCACCAAGAACTTGATTCTTGAGATCTGTTGCGACGACAAGGAGGGTGAGGATGTTGAAGTGCCATACATCAACATTAAGTTGTGATTTTATAGATGTGGCACTGTTTATCGAGCAGATGCTGAATAAATTGGTTTGAGCTAGTATGTAGTGAAGTTTCACTGTCTAAATCGAGGATATAGGGAAGCTACTCAAAAGAAATAAATCTTGCTCGTTCACTGAAGTACTAGGATGAGTAATCCTTATGGTGATGTCTAAGATACTCCAGTTATGAAGAGAATTTTGAAACTAAAATAATGAGTGTTACTCGCAAATAATTTTCTAATTCTAATACTTCCAATGGTTGGATGCAAGAAAGATTTCCGTCTGCTTCCGTCCAGGTTAGACTTAAGCTTATACATAGTCAAATTGTATCTAGGAAATAATATTAGGAGCAAAAAAAGCTTCAGTCATATTTGATTATTAGTAGTTAGCTCTGAATCACCTTTAGCAAGTTCTATTTTATTGACTTGTGTGAGAACAATGCAAATAAACCAGCTGTTAATATATTCACAAATATAGAAAAATCTTCAAATATCTATGCATTGGTATTCTATCTAAATTACTTGATATTCCTACAGGATTAGGTAATAAACTTGATTTTTTATTCAATTCATTTTATGTACTGATTATTTTCCTTATTATTTGCATAGAGAGCTAATCGATATTCTTTATTAGTTTCTTTACTTCTTCTATTTCTAAAAATTATACTTCCTGAACCTAAACGGCTTTTAATCTTAAATAATATTTGAATATCTTCAATATTATCAATGTGGATAAACGAAGGTACTTTTCTTTTCAGATTTGCTTCCGGCGGCCCACCCATTATGATGAAAATTAACGTTGCATGACGTTTGATTTCTTCTGTTACTCTATTTTAATCCCTGTAAGATATAGTTCTAAAACATCATCAAAGTACCGAGAATGCAACCAATAAAAGTAAGAGCACTGGCCCCCTTCAGAGCCCCAACTCCTTTCGAGGAAGAACTAGCTTTTGTGCTGTTTCCAGCCGTCGACGATGCAGTTGGCTTAACCAATGTGACGGAATTGGAAGGAGTGGACGAACTCGTATGTGAAAGATAAAATTCCTCGGTGGCACTCCAGCCCAACCGTTCGCCTGTGTACATTGAGTAGTTAGATGGATTGATTGATGTTGTCAAGTAAAACTCCGAGTCACTGAGAATTACCACAGTCTCGTCCAACGATGTGTAGCTATAGTATTTTGCTGGGGTGGCCAGGGGAATGCCTGTGGACAATTCCTCGATAGTTGGAGAATTAGATTTGGTTGCTGCTTGGGCAATGCCGATTTCTTCATGGTCATAATCCACCACAAGGTAATGGTGGCTGAAGATTTTCCTGCTGATTTCGTAATTGAACAGAATACTATCGATCGTTCCCCCCGGGAAGTAGCAGAACGTGGTTCCGTTTTCGACATATGAGGAAAAAAATCCCGAGTCCAACATACGGTACTCGACGCCACTGAAGTAAAAGGAGATGTACTCAGTCAGGTCCATGATCAGACAGGAAACGTTGGTCAAATTGAACCCGTATCTGTCTTGAAAATACGTATCCAAAGCTGCAATATACTCCGGGGGAAGATACCAATGTTCATCGGTTATAAGAGTTACAATCTGCTCAGAAACCAGAAAGTTGTAGCCCGCCATGCCATCCATGGCGAGGGTCGGATGAATGGTATACCCTTCCCCGGCGACTGTCTCATTCATATAGAGCTTGTGTTTCACCAAAGGTCCTTCGTATTTTCCGTGGTCTATTGCGCCAAACAACACTTCATTGGCTTCAAGTTCCAGTGCACTGGTATTGTAGAACACAGAAAAGGACCTGGATTTGATGTACCCCGAATCCTTCAAAGATTCAATTGTAGAAATCTGAAAATCTTCTGGGGAATCTAGGTTCCACGGGGTAAACGCCAGACAAAGTCCAACGTAAATATAGTCTGAATGCCAACCATCAAAAGTGAAATTTTGAAGTTCAAAACCGTTCACCACAACTTTTTGTTCTCCAAATATAGGATGGTCCGTGTAAGAATTCGGGGCATCATCCATGTCACCGAATGTGAAGTTTCGAGTGATGTTTGCCCCATTAGTTCCATTTATGAACGGCGGAATGTAAAGCTCCGCAGAGTCGAACCCAAAGGAAGCTTTCACTGGCTGAGGAGGAGATCCGAAAGAGACACCTTGAGTTTGCTTAGAGACATCGGCTCTTTCGTTCAAAGGCTCAGCGCAGGCCAATTGAGCAGCGACAACGGAAAGAAGAAAAGCTGCCCGCATGGAAAGGACGAAGCAAAGCTAAGAAAAAAAAAAAAAAACTCATTGAAACAGGAAGAAGCTGGTCTTTTTATCATAAGTGGGCCGGCGCAGGCTAATGCATGCGTGAATGATAAATTCAGAGCCGCGTCTTCGTAAATGACGTGCCAAGAAAAGTGTACTTCTCAATCACCGAGATGTCTGATATAGAATAATAAAGTGTTTTCATGGTCCTCCCATCAAAGAATATCAAAACAAGGAGGATTCGAAAGAGTGAAAAAGATGCTGCATGGTCAAACTGAATCCACAAGTTTCGAAGCCTCTGCGAGAGAAGGTTTCGACTGCAGCATACGAGATGCTGAAGCTTTTCTTTTTTCATGCACGCCCATCTGTCATAGGAGTGTCTTAATCCGGTAAAAGTTGATTGGTTCCCGATAGTGGCTTCTTCCAGCACGCGACTTTCTTGATTAGAAATGTGCTGATTCTGTTTTGACCTCAGTATATGTAGATTTTCCCTAATTTGACGATCACATGTCTTGCTCAGTTCGGCTCATCTCCATTCGTTCAACTCGATTTCATGAAGAGAAATCTTAAGGAAATGCAAGCAATAAACAACTCGTTAGAATGAATTAAGAGAGCGTAGATATTCTAATAAGGACGGCAACATGTGACTCAGAAGATGGTGAAGATTTAATTGGGTCCAAACTTCGTATTTGAACGTGCTGTTTAGTTCACAAATTAATCAGATATGGCCGCTGAAACAACGTTATCCACGTTGAAAACTGATTCCACGAGATAGAATATGTAAAGGTGGGACACTGAAAACGAAAGTGTGGATTGGATTGATGTGGAAATGAACAAAAAAAGAGCCTGTAGTTTAGATGCCCAAAATGAATTATGTAGTCTTCACAGAGTTATCCTCTAATCCATCCATGAATTACCAAGCTTCTCATTCACTTTTTCCTCGTCTTGAAATAAACTTGATGCTATAAGTCTAAATTATCAGTATGGATTTCTCAGAAAGAACATCAGTATGTGGACATTGGTACTTTCCACTAAATGGGAGTACAACCGTTACGAGAGAACCCAAGTAGAATTGAAACAAACTTAAAAGTAGAACATTTGGGCGAAGAGATCTGTTAATGATATCTAACCTTATTTTCAGTTATCAAGAAATTTTCCAAGTTGTTAGTATACTTGCAGTTAAAACTCCAACATATTCAACTAGCAACGTTAATTGCCATGGCGCATTTACGTTCTTCCATTCTCTGTTACTGAAGACTCATTTCATATTTGTTTGGCAGAACCGTTCTGTTGAATTCTTAGACAATCTCAATGTGCTCGAAAATCAATGGTGAACAAAATTGGGCGATCCAAAAGCCGAGCACAAACATTGAATAACAATAAGATAAAGAAACACAGTTCAAAAAATTGAAAGAACACAATGAGAAAGAAATTGAGCAATAATAAGTAGTCAACGAGGTGGTCAAAATAATAAGTTATCAAAATGAGTTGATCAAAATAATTATTGAAATTGAGCAATACACTAGACCGAACAAAACCACATCCATGTTCTGACAAACAATAAACTGGCTAAACCGAATATGAACCAAATAAACAAAGGCATTTATTCTATCTCTTACCAGAAGATCAACCTGCCACTCAAGCAGAAACTCCTAAATTCTTGAATTGAAAATATAAATGAAAATATCAAAGTTAAAATCCATCACAAAAATGGCGCCAGCGCCTACGAAAGAAATTAAAGGTGCCAAAGCTTTCCTCAAGAACCACACCATTACTCGAATAGCAAGAATAACCAACTTCCAACTGGTATTGAAATATGGGCTCGAAATTCACAGGCTCAATCATCAAAATGTTTCCATTTGACTCTTTGGCGGCAAGTTGTTTGGCTGCAAGAAGAATTGATTTGGGCAAAATTGTGTTTTGCGCCAAATTGTTCGGCTGCAAATCTTCAACCGCACTTTTCGCGTCAGTACATTCGCATCAAAAATCTTTCCTGCCGCAAACTTTCCTACCGCAAACTTTCGCTCAATTTCTAATCTCGCCCGAGTTGATTCGCACCGCCCGCCCGCACCGCTGCGCAACCGCCGCGTCGTGCGTAATAACAACCACGGCTAAGTGGGGCGCGCGCGCCTGAAGCCCGCCGCACATCACTTTTGCTATCGCGTCCGCCGTCGCCCGATCCAAATGCAGTGTGCACTCGTCAAAAACCAACACCTGGGGCCGCCGTAAAACCGCCCGCGCCACACAGAGACGCTGGAGCTGGCCCAGCGAAAGAGCACAATCGGCCACAGGTGCGTCGAGCCCGCCCGGAAGCAGCCGCACAATTTCCGCCGCCTGGCATACTTCGAGCGCGCGCCATAACTCTTCGTCGGGCGCTGGGCGAGTGCCGTAGCACAAGTTGGCGCGAACACTGCCCTCGAAAACACGCGGCCGTTGCGGCACCACCACCACCTGCTCGCGGTACCAGTGCGGGTCGAGCAGAAGCACGTCGCGGCCGCGAAAAACAACCCGGCCGCGGTCGGCGCGCCAGAGCCGCGCGAAAAGCCGCGCCGCCGTCGACTTGCCGCTACCCGACTGGCCCAAAAGAGCAACACATTCGCCTGCGCGCACTTCAAGATTGGCATTGCACAACACCCGCCGGTACTGGCACGTTTCGGCATCGCCATAGGCAAAATCCACGTGCTCGAGCGATAACACCAACACGCCTGGAGGTGCGGGCCGAGCCAACGCGGCTGGGATTTTTTCGCCGGTGCCGCCTGTCTCCACCTCCAGCGGAGTCAATTGCACAAGCCGCGCCATCTTCGTGCCGGCCCTCTGGCCGCGCGCAATCTGCGGAAGCAGGTGCACAAGCCCAGCGGCGCCCACTAGTGTGAACGTGAGCAACGACAAGGTCTCGACCATTTGCTGTTGTGAATAAGTCTTTTTTGCCACTAGCGCCATACCATAGTACATGACAGTGCCGGTGGCCGCGGAAGTGCAGAGCTCCAGAAAGGCAAGGCCGAAACCTGTGGCCACTGCGCGCACGCGGCCCGAGACTCGAATCCGCGCCAAAAAACCGTCAAAGTCACGAGCCACCGCCTGCGCGAGCCCGCACGCCTTGACGGTGCGAACGCCGGCCACAACCGTGCGATTGAACGCCTCGGCCGAGGCCACGCGCTTCTTGTATTTCGTTTCTGCCCGCAGCATGAGCGCGCCAAAAAGCGCCAGAGCACCAACCACAGCCGGAATAAATGCAAGCCCAACAAGTGCAAGCTGCCAGCCTGAAACGAGTGCCCACAGCAAGCCGGAAACAGTGAGTACAACCACCAGAATGGCGCCGGCAACAAATTCCGCCACAAGCGCCCGGAGATCGCGCGCATCGTTCATGACCAAAGTCGTGAGGCGGGCAGGATGGTGGTCGCGGGTGGCAAAGAACAGCATGTCCTGGTCGTTGACAGCTGCGGCGGCACGTTTACGGAGATTGACAATCCACAGCTCCAGCGCAGTTTCGACGGCCCAGTGGCCTAAAAAGTGTGCGGCGGTGTCGCCCAAAATAACGCCAATGCACACGAGCGACCACCGCACCATGAAACGGGGCGGCGCCGGGCGCGCAGAAACGGACGCCAGAAGAAGCTTGGAGGTGCAGAAGGAAAGCGCGGGAGTGGCGCCCGCCGAAACGGCGCAGAGAAGGGCGCCGAAGAAAAGAAGTGCGCACGACGGCGTTGTTGCCCAGAAGAAACGAAGAATACGGAAAATGCCCGCGACGCTCTCCTGAGTATCTGAAGATGAAGTGTCTAGTGTCTCTGAAGTTATTGTCATATCGGAATTGGAGCCTGATACATCGAGGAGGCACGCTGTACTTGGAGATCCATGCTTGGGTAGGTCGCTGCTGAAATTAATTGCATTGATTTTCGAGTTCATCGAATCTGCTACTACCTTCCCATCCTCAAGCAAAACAACGTGGTCGTCGGGCGCTGCCTCAGATAGATCGTGTGTGATGACTATTGTCACGCGCCCGCGCCGCCACGCCCTAAGTTCGCGCCAGATAGCTGCACGAGTGACGGTGTCGATGGAACAAAGCGCCTCGTCCAAAATCAACACTGCGGGATCGCGCGCGCGAGCCCGTGCAAGGCCGACCTGTTGGATTTGGCCGCCCGAAAGGCAATCGGCCGCAAGGCTCGGGTCAATGCGTGCAAACTGGCAAGCGCGAATAACCTCTTCCGGAGCCGCGCCGACCATGGCCACATTTTCGCCCACTGTCCGCTCGAAAACTTGAGGAGTCAGTTCGACAAGCATCACTTCCGAAGACCAGTCGGCCAAGTTTTGGATGTTGACGCCGTTGAAAAGCACAGATCCTTGCAAGGGACTGTAAAAGTTCATGGCAAGCTGCGCAAGCGTAGACTTTCCGGAGCCCGAGCGGCCCACAACGAAATTGAGCGAAGGGGCACAGAAAACTGCACTGACATTTTGGAGCGTAAGTCGGTGGTCGTAGCCGAAACTGACGCCACTAAATTCTATAAAGGATTCCTGTGGCTTCTCTTTGGTTGCGTACAATTTCAGTCCCACACATTGGAGTTTTTCGTCATGCTGCTGTTTGACCTCTGTGAATCCAAACTCTTGAATCGTGGCTGCGGCGGCCCTGCCCTGATTTCTGTGCGCAAGAGTTGTTGCGAGGCCCAGCGACTTGTGACCCCAACAAAAGACACGACCCGATGGCAGTGACTAATTCTCCAATCTTAAGGTTTCCTTCTGAAACCAAGTGATGGCCATACCAGAAACCCTGGACGAAGAGAAGATTGCCCAACATGCGAAGGATGGCGCCGTTGGCACACATGGCCGCGGCCATGCGAACAAACGCGGCCCGCGAACATTCCACTGCGCGGGAAAACCGGAGCGGCGTCGGCGTCGCGCCCGTTGAGAGTCCGCACTAGATCGCCCTGCGCGAACTCCCAGTCCAAAATATGCGACGCCCGCGCACTGGCTCGGTTCTCGGCTTCAGCATGAACAAAAGTCTGGCGCCCAAACACCCCGCTGCACACAGCCATAACAGGCGCCAGCGCCATCACCACAAGTGTCAAACGCCACAGCGAAACCATGGCCATGGCGAAAAGAAAAGTGACTCCAGCCGCTTCGGAGATGAGCAGCGCCGTGTTTAATGAAGCGGCCGCACGCACCTCCTCGATGCTGCGGCACACTTGGGCCATTTCTCCCATTAGTGTGTTGCGGGCGTCAAACCAAGCCATGGGCCGCGCAACAAGAGTGCGGAAAATGGCGCGGCGCGCTCTGTCTTGCTGCCTCTCGCCTGCAAGAAGCCACAACGCCGCGCCTGCCCATGTACAAAGCATGCGGGCGGCGCCCATACCGATGACTGCGCCGCAGATGACGCGAGAGCGGCTCAAAAATTGTCCCAGCGAAATGCGGCCCGCCACAAAATGTGCTAGGTATTCGAAAAGCTTGCCGTAGAGATACGTTTGGAGGGGCGATGCCATGGCAGCAATCACAATGAAAATGCTTCCGGGGACAAAAAACGCCCAGTCGCTGGCCGAAGCGAATAGAAAAACCGAGGCGCGCGGCGGAGCGTTGCGACGGCTTTTTTCGTCAGCACTGGCAGTTCTTCTGTCGTTGTTCGTGCCACAAGAGCTGTGGCTCGAAGCGAGCGCAATCTCATGGACCTGGAAATTGCTCTTTGTTTCGCCCATGCTGTTCTTTGCCACGATAGTCCATCCTTATATGTCTCGGTGGGGTGGCAGACATGTCGCGAATGCACTATGTTCTTCCTTTTTGGGCGAGCACAATTGAGCGAATGCACTCCATGGAATTGGGATAGAATCCAAAAAATCAGGGAGCCAATTCGACCATCATGTGTCCTGATCTGTAAGAACATTGACTGATTATCTGTAAGAAAATCGGCCGGATGTTCTTTAATTGCTTTAGGCACAGCTAGAGACACGGTGTCGGGATGCGTAGTTGACTTTGCCGCATGTCAAAGCATACATGTAAAAGGCCAGTAAAAGGGGAATTTGGGTCGGATACTGACAATGGGAGACCAAACATGGTAAACTACAGTATTCCATAATACATCGTGGTCACATTGACATAGCCGTGGTGGCTGTTTCTATAAAAGCAGTGTTTTCACCGCTCAGTACACCGGATAACACTCGGTGTACTCGTGCTCTGTATAAGGCGCCGAAGGCTCCCGCTGGAGGGCAAGCTCGATCTTTTTGAGGGCCAGAAGGCTGTTTCCGCTACCCAACAGAAGTAGTCCTCGGAAAAGAAGCTCAAGCTTCTCGAGGTCGTCCTCGTTGTCCGTGATGTCGATGCACATGCGGAACGGGAGCTGAATCATCACCACATGGAGATCGAAAAGTTCCTTGGGCAAATAATAATTCCGCGTGTGGGCGACAGCAGTTTCAGGGCGGAAATCCGCCGGCTTGGGCTGCACGAAAAACATGAGCGCAATAATCTCCCGCACAAGACTCTGGATCATGGGGTGATTACGCGGCACGTGGAGAAGACCGGGCGTGGTCAAAAGTTTCAAGTGGATAAAACACACATGCAGCTGCTGGGCCACGTCGCACCACGAGTAATATTCGCCGTCGAAATACGCCAACGCGCCCGACGGGAGCGCGATACGGCCCGGCCCGGAGTAGTCTGGGTGCGCGAGACTGTCGTGCGGCACGCGGTAGTCGGGCCCAATGTCCGGCACGATTTTCTGGTTGGCTGCGCGCTCCACCGCGGCCATGATGCTGCGGATCTGCGCGGGCGTGGTTCTGGCCTGGATCACTCCAGAAGGGCTTTTTAAGGGACCTATGCTTTTCGAGGGGTCCACGTTATTCTCCTCTCTGGTTTGCACGCCCATGGCCTCAAACAACGCATACACCGCATCCACCACTTCGGGCGTCAGACACAAGAGCATGTTAAAGTCGGAGCCGCCGCGCGGCACCACCACTCCGCAGCGAACAAGTTCGGGCGACGAGTGCGAGTGGAATATATCGCTTCGGTCGACCTCCGCCGGCGCCGGCCGCGCACCGGGGCTCATTTTGCCGATCCAGTCATAGGTGAAGAAAAGAAGCCGGGCAAAAACCACGCCGCGCGGCGGCGTAAACGGGCGCGAAGAGTGCGACGTGCGAGCGGCCGCCTCGTACTTGACCAAAAGCGCGCGCGCCTCGTGCAAGTGCGCCACCCACGACACGGGCACCTGGGCCAGGTCAGGGTAAAGCAAGTCGCAAAAGAGCAGCGTCAAAAGCAACACCGTCCAGATAAGGCCCTCGATGTGCCGGAGCAGCCCTGTCTCCATATTGTCGAAGGCCGCGCCAAGCAACCGCATACACTCGGCGGTGTATTTCTTCTGGTTGCGGTCGTGGCGGGCGTCGCGCAGAACATTGTACGCGAGCGAGGCGCCGAGCGCCACGGCCGCCCGCGCCATGTACTCGAATGCCGCCAGATACTCGAGCACCACGCGCATCACAGGGCACCGGCGCGTATCCAGCACGAACGGGAATATGTACCGCGCAAACTGGCCGTGCGCCAACTCGCCGAGGTAAAACTGCTCGGGCGCGCCCCAGTTGTATTGGCGACAGAGTGCGCTTGCGAGCTCGGCGTTGGACACTTGGTTTTCGCCGGCCATGTCCATTTTGGATGGCTCGGGAGCGCCAATCAGCGCCAAAAGACTCGCCCATTCGGCATCGCCTAGAACGTCGTCGGTCAAAACGCCCTCGCTTGGCTGGTCAAAGTCTGCGATGCCATGCGCCAAGTTGCTGGCGTCGTCAAACACCGTTTCTAGCAATGCCGCATCGATGGGCCACGGCCACGGGTCTGCAAGGCCCATGCTGTCGAAACCGTGGGCTACTCCATTGGAAACGTGGGCGCCTGCCAAGCTAGCATCTGGGAAATTAGGTTGGCCTATTGGTTGGCCTGATATATTGGTTTGGTCTATTGGTGGGTTCGGTAGATTAGCCCCCATTGGTTGGCTCGATTGGGCCTCCTCCGCAGTGCCTAACACGGCTGCTTCTGGCGTTCTGTCGGACTTGAATCGTCGTGGCTTGTTGCGATGGTTCGGCGCAGGGAACACGCACGGCGTGCGTACGCGCGTGCAGTTGCCGCACACGGGATGCACCTCGTCGCATTTGATCTTTCGCCGCTTGCACTCGGCACAGCCAGCTCGAGAGTATTTGCGTTTAACGAGCGGCATGGTAGGGCTCTGTCCAACTCACTAGTGGAGCATCTTTTGTTTGTCCAGAACCGGCTTTATGAAGGACCGCGCGCGGAGCGGAGACTCTTCGTCGTGCGCATCCGCAACGTTGACTGTGCGTGTGCGCGTGCGCAAAGGGTTGGGCGCGCGCATGGCGTCTGCAGCGCGCCTGCACCGCGCCAAGCCAATGTTGACTGCGCCTAAGCCGCCGCCAAAGGCCAAACAAAATACCGCCACCAGCTTCCAACTGAGCGGCCGCACAAACCCATTGACTACATCCGCTAATGTTTCCGCAGTCACGCGGGCTCGGCCCAATTGCTGCGGGTCGCGATTCATGCACTTTTCCCACTGGGTGCAGCTGTGCTCCAAGGCAGGCGCGCGCGCATGCCCGTTGCACCGGTTCCGATAGTACTCGCGCAGGCACCGCAGAATCTCGTGCACGGCGTCCAGTGTATACATGTCCACTCTATGGGCGATGTCCCGCCTTACGGTCCGCACAAACGTGTATCCAAGGTACAATAGCGCTGCTACAATCACAACGTTGAGGAAAAGTTGGAGGTAAAGCAGAAGCACATACGGCACCGCCGGATCGGCCAACATACGCTGCCACAGGCTTTGTTCTTGTTCATGGGTTTCTTCCGCCTCGGTGTCGCTGGCAAAACAAACCACCTCTGTGGTGGGCGAAAAGAGGACGCGACGGCTGCGGGGATTATCGGGCCGCAGATGGGACGGGCTGTTTTTAAGTATGGATGCAGGGTTCTGCGGCGTTACCAAGCTGTCAATCGGCAGAAGCGGTATGCTGTCGGCGCCAGTGGCTCGGCCTATGGGGGTGGATGTGTCAAAGGACATGAGATGCAAGATGAATTGAATCGCGCGTGCGATGGATGTAATGCGCAACAGCGCAGACTGCACGCGCACACCATGAAGCAGCATCTCTTGCAGCAGCTCCAGTCGTATCGATGGGAGGAATCAGAGGATCAAAAGGGAGGAAAGCCAGATAATCATTCAAGAAGTGTGATTTCAGATGAAGTAGTGGAAGGTGGGCTGACTGGCTTAGAGCACACACAAACAGAAAATGGATTAGCTAACCATAGTGATCTGAGCAATCCCACTTGCGACCTGAACAATCTTGCTGGGCAAACTAAACTGGCTGATATTCCTGGCCTTGCTCTCCCAGAAGATATGGTCGATATTCCAACGCGACCCTCCAAAACAACGCTGTCACACAAAACTTTGCGGAAGCAAAGAAGCAGAAAAATCGTGAGTCTGGCCGATACAACAGCAGGCCCCGACCTTGCGCCGATGATCTCAGACTCGCTTCGTCTTCTCTTTATTGGGTTCAATCCCGGTGTCCAGTCTGCGCAGATGCAGCACCACTACGCCCATCCGTCGAATCTTTTCTGGAAACTCTTCAATCAGCTGGCACTTCTTCCACAAGTGGCGCAGGCGCAAGGCATTCTGGACCACCCACTAGTGTTGGAGTTGTTCCAAGACGGAAAGGGGCTAGCATCTTTCCGCGACGATGGTCGTTTGGTTGACGTAGGCATCGGGTTCACAGATTTGGTACTTCGGTGTACTCGGGCAGCGCACCACTTGTCGCCTTCCGAAAAGACAGCGAACGTGCCGCGGGTGATGCGTGAAATCCGTCTGTCGAACGCTTCACACGTTGTTGTGGTCGGGAAAGGCGTGTGGGAAACTTTTGTGCGGGCATTTACTGGAGACAAAATCAGACACTTTGAGTGGGGACTACAGACAGATGCGACCGCAAATGCATTCTATAGACAGTGTGGGCGGCGTTTGCAGGTCTACTTGGTGCCAAGCACGTCGGGCCTTGTGGCGCTGATGACGTTTGGCGAAAAGTTGGCCTTGTGGGTCGAGATTGCGCGGTCGGTCAGCGAAGATCTTAAATAAACGATATGAATGAGCGAGGGACATGCAAAATGAATTGGAAGAGCGATCCGAGCGTGAATAGTGGAAAACACCATTGAATAGCATGAATTGAATGGATTTGCCTAAAGTCGAATTGAGCATACTCACTTTGGATGAATTGACTCACTTCGGATGATTTGAGCGTGAACGGAACATGTACACCGAACTGACTTAAGCTGAATCTAAACCACCATCTCTTCTCAAGTACCATCTCAGTTTCAACTCACATCTCAATTGAAGGCTCATCCCATCTCATCTGACATCATATCCATCTCGTCTCATTTCATCTCACATCACATCCATCGGATCTCATCTCATCTCACCTCATCTCACCTTACCTTTCCTCCTCTTGCTTCACTATCGCCATGCGCGCTCGAACGCAGCATCAACGCCACGGTTGAACGCCTTCTCGGCCTCTTCGTCTACCCTTTCGCCGTATTGGCCAAAATTTTCTGTGAAAAGCCGGTCAACCACCGTGCGCATGTACTGGCACTGCGGCCGGCTGTAACAGTCCGCATACCGCATGCGCTGCAAGGCCCGCTGCTGCACCTCTGTGCATCGCGTTGCCCGTTTGATTTCGTCCATGCAGTGGTTGGTGCTCACCAACAGCCATCCTTGGTAGCAGGCCACCACCGCCTGCTGGATCTCGGCGCAGTTGACCGCCACCGCCTTTTTGAGCAGCTCGTCGCGCTTGTATGCAGCAAACTCGTGCGAATAGCCCTGCGGTTGTTTCGCTAGCACCTCGGCAACTTTTTCATCTTTCAGCGAGTCGGCGCCGGAGCGTGTGGCGGGGTCTGCGGCGCCAAAAAACAGCTGGAGGTCTTGCGGGAGCTCCTTGGCGAGCTCTGCGGTGTCTTTGTCGCCAGATCCGAAGGGCCACATGAAGATGGGTTGAAGTAGTTGGAGTGGTGATGTTGGTGGTGCACGGGTGCATCTACAAGAGCCTAGATGCAGGACAGGAAGTATTGCCAGAGATTTACCCATTCAAAGCACAAGCATTTGTATTGATATGGTTTCAGAACTAGCAGTGGTGGACAATTCCATTCAAGTTGGCACTATGCCCTATTTATTCAGGTGATTTTGGAAATTTCGGAAGACTCGTTGAATGAGTTTCTGTGACTATTTGAAAAGCTGACCTGAATAGATTCAAAGAATTAAGTCTATTGATTTTTCTAACTCTGTGCCAGTCTCACACTTGGCATGTTTACTCTCTTTCGCTTGATTCTTCGTAGGTCGTTTGAAGGACTGTACTTGCATGTAGTCTTTAACATACCTACGTTTAGTTTTTCTAAAAGCATGATACTCACTATTTCAGTAAGTTAGGCTATTTTGAAAGGCTATGAGCATCCATACGATTCTAATAAGATGAAGGGGAGATCCATCGATACTTACGGATATGACATAGAAAAAGTGTCGAATCAATCGATTTCTCAGTGTTAGAATATATATACAACTAAAATACTCTGTTTCGACTTTCTCTAAGTCTGGTTCATTCTGGCGCATTAGATTGACATCTGGTCTCATCAAAAAACAATGTAATGTTTTCGGAATGAAGATTAGTTCAAGGCGCCAACTCATACGGACATATACAATCATTGTTGATGGAACACTAACGGTCATTATAACGTTTGTTTGGTTTCCGGAAAGACTTTAATGCAGTTAACATCAGTCAAATATTTTCATCCGAATCCACTTTCCAGTCTCGCAAAGTTGTCTGTTTTATTGAGACATTTCGTTCAATGGTAGCCATTCAGAGTCGTGAACCTTACTAGAAGAATAGCTATCTGCGCTTCTGCTGAAGATTATCAAGAAGACTCCATTTATAGCCTTCGATTACCTTCACTGAGCTATATCCATCGTCCACAACGCTTTAGTATTTCTTTCAATTCGACTAGAAGCATGTTTTATACCCTATCTAGAACACCCTCAAAAAGACGTCCGATGGCAACGTCCAACTTGTTTAGAAGCTTCAGACCCGACTTTTCCATCTGCGCCCTCGTCGGTTCGAGCATGTTCACAATCTGCAAGCGCAACCGAGATACTATAGGCATAAGCCTCACAAGCTGCGTTGGACTCATTTTCAGAGGAGTTCCTTGCACTTCAAAACCGTCTATAAGGAAAGACAAGCGCACGTCCAAGGACTGGAAAAACGTAAAGAAGCGCAAGAAAACATGTTCCTCTAAAGTCGGGCTGGAGAGACTAAAGTGCACAAGCCAATCTTCCAAATCTCCACAGATCTTGACAAAGTACTCTTCCTGTCCATATAAACGGTTTTTTGCGTTCACCAGCACCCACACAAGATCCAAAACGTGCTGCACATCGTTCAAAATCTGCTCAAGTGTATACTCTTGTTCGCCCGCTTGTTTCTTGACAAAGCGCCGCTGGATTTGAAGAAGCTCTTCATCAACGAAACTGACAAAGCGGCTCTGTTGAGACCGCGAGAGTTTGCTCTGGGAGGATTGCTCGAATTGCTTCTTCTGGAGCTCATACGCCTCGTCAAACAGAAGCGTCCAAGGCTCAACCACTTCGGTATTTACATCATTTCCATTAGCTGCATAGTTTCCATTATTTCCATTGGAATCGTATTCCGGCGCAGTACTGCCATTCTCTGTTTTTGTGTTTATGCTCGAGTCATCCTCGTCTAGATCCGGATTTAGGTCCATGTCAGCAGACACAAATGGTGTGGGCGGCAACTCGGCTTCAACGTCCGGAGCCACATGAGTCGGAGTAGGAGGCGTACTCATTTATCAAAGCAGTACAGAAAGGACAGATTCGAGTCAGCAATTTTTGGCTTTTATTCAACACCAGGTATGCCAGGCAATTGATATTCACTGATATGGATGCTTTTGTTAGCCAATGCAGGTGCCGCTTAGTTTAGATGGTTCGATGCATGATGGGGAAATGATGCAGGACGCAGTCTGTTGCTGCAAACACCATTCAAACGTCTTTGCGATAAGATGCTCGTACAGCAACATGCGTCAAAGTAGACATATGCCAGTCATGGCAAAAACACCTCTCGCATCTCTGACCTTTCATCTTCTGGCAAATCATAGTAGGATGGCAAGATGCCACACAAAGTCTCATACTAACAGGACAACCTAGCTAAGCCAGGCCCGGCCTAAAGAAAAAACAGGCTTATACGAGTGTAAAACAGTTTTGGACAACTGAATAAGCCTACATCAACAAAAACTAAACACACCAACACCAAAACAAGACCGTGCATTCGGACTCCGATCGGCAACGACAGAGTCGATGGGGTGTACACGTGACGCCGATATGTCCGAATAACACTCCGCTGCCGGATTTGATAAGCAACATCTTATCCCGTTTTGCTTCCATACCTGATTTGTCTTTCCAGAGAAATCCTTTTGCCGCTTAGACTTCCTTTGATCTGATAGACTTCGAAGGACTTTACACTTTAAAGACTTACCACTACTCAACCTTACCAACTTTACGTTACCAACTTATACTCAACTTTTACTCAACCTTACTCAACCTTTACACAACCTTTACATAACCAACTTCTTGCAACTAGCTACTTGATCTGCCATGCCCGTGACACAACACCAGCGGGAATTAAAGCCCGCCGCCGCTTCCAAAGCGGCCAAAGCGACCAAGCCCTTCAAACTTGTGTCTAGCGACTTCCGGGTGGTGGTTCCGCCCAACATGGAGCGGCACATGCCGCCCGTGGCGCCCAAGGAGACGCTCCCGGACTTTTTAACCGCCACGCCCCGTTTCCCCGTCCGAATCAGCCGCCAGACCCGCAAATATTCCGCCGGCGACCTGGCTCGGCAGTTTTTCGTCGAACAAGGCGGCTGGCAGGCGCCAACGCCACCGCCCACGCTCCTCAGCACGTATCTCCGGCCCCGGGCCCGTTTTGTGGGCGAGCAGCAGAGCGGCTCGTCCCGCTACGACATCAAGGTCGAGTTCAAGACCGTGGACTTGCAATGCGGCATCGTGACGGGGTTTTTCGAGATATCCGGACTTACAGACGACCACCCGGTGATCACCACGTGTTCCGGGGCGAGATCATCAACAACCCGCTTGCGGGCGCCAAGCAGCACTCGTTTGCCACGGAGGAAAGCGACTGGGGGCTCGTTCTCCAGAACGACTTGGAGCACTGGAAAAAGCTCACGGCGTCGCCGCACGGCACCACGGAGGACGAGCTTTTGCGCCGGCTCCCGGCGAATCCATGCGGGCTCCGCCGACCCGCTGCACATTTACATGCGGTGGAAGGAGGAGTTTCTTCTTCCGGACCTGCGGGTCAAGGTGCTCAAGAACGCCTCGTTCGAAGGTTTTTACTATGTTGTGCTCAACATCGGGCCTGGGAACGGCACGAGAAACGCCTCGGGCTATAGCGCCGACATGGACCCGGGCCGATCAGCGGCTTGTACTTCCACACGCAGAACGAGAAGTTCCAGTCCTTGTCGCTTCGGCATGTGGAGACCCGCGGCGGCGGGCTGGCGTTTGACTTTGCCTGAGCAGCGGGCTGCTTGGATGTACGACGATACGAATATGAACGGCATGGGACGATGATGTAGGAGTAGAGAAGGGAGAGAAGTAGAGAAGGGAGAGAAGTGGAGAAGGGAGAGAAGTAGAGAAGGGAGAGTAGAGTAGAGAAGAAGGGAGAGGAAGAGTAGAGAAGATGAGAAGATGATTACGAAAAGATGAAGAGAAGAAAAGTAGAGAAGAGGAAAAGGGCGAAAGAGGAAAGATGAGAAGAGTGGTGGAATTAGAATTATTGTAGGTCAAGTACGATGGTCATGTTGCTCCATCAACACGTATGTTTGTGGAAATTTGTTTGGGTTTGAATCTTTTCAGCCTTCCATTGGTACTTTGGTAGGCATATTTTTCTCTCAATATCATAGGCTTTATTTAGGTCACTTTCAACCTCGGAGGTCAATATTCCTACCTTATTGTCAGAAATTACACTACGTGTCAATAGGGAGGTTGATCATTAATAAGCTGTATTCATCAAATTACAAAACTCACTGGATATGCAATCAGTTGGCATTTTCATCATGGTTTCTGTTCTTGGTCATACTCTTGGTTAATCACTATTGTTGAAATATCAACTTCGTACATTCATAAACATCGTAACTGGCACAGCGTCATAACCACATGGTCATATTGTTCATTGGTGGTCATGATTTGTTATATGGTCATACGAAATAATGCCAGCAGCACAACATTCATGTCTTGGTCAGAATGGCAATTATTGTCACCTTAGTACATGGTCATAGCCTGTCATACTATGGAGAGATCATAACATGAAGGCATTAAATTGGTTTCCGTTGTTTTCGTCTGTCATGTAGCGGTCATAATGTCATTCTGAAAATCATTCATGTCATTACAAATATCGTTCATCGTCATGAAAGTCATAGTCTATCGTGGTGTCATATTATTATGGTCATAACTTCATGGTCATAAACTGTCATTAGGGTCATAAGTTCGTAATGTCTTCAATCTATTCTCCTCGTTATTATATAGTTAAGTTCCCTGGCAGATGGAAAATGTTCTACACTTATGTATGAATCCAAGCGGACACCATACCAAAAACTTTCATTTCGTTAATCACTTTTAGAGTACACTAATCGTATTGATGTAAATTGAGTTTCCTGTTATTTATTTTCGTTCTCAATTTACTATGTAGTAATTTACTTTGTAGTAATTTACTTTGTAGTTCTGTGATGTGGTCGGACAATAGAAACCACATTTGCATGTTGAAAAGGTCTTCAGTTTTGGTCTAAATGCTTTTCATCACAAGCAAAATTACCTTCTCTGTCTTTTGTTTTTTTCTGTTCACAAACATATTTGGGTAATTATCTCTTTTGAGGTTTAGCACCTTCTGTCAAGAAAATTGTCTTTCTCAAGTCATTCAGTAATAATGAGTCAAAATTGCTACATCTCTTTCGTTAGAAAAAACAGCACCGATCTTCATTTTCCGTAAGCATATTCGTCTAACTTTTCTACTTAACCTATCAAAGTAGAAGTTTGAACAATTATATATACCCCACGATTCGTCTAGTACCTATATCTGCTCTTGCCATTCAAGACTTTACATTCATTATGGATCTATATCTGCAATATTTCAATGCTTTTGAGATGCTATCTTATCACTCTGTCTTATTTCTGTGGGCGTAGATCTTGGCCGTGTAAGGCTCTTCGAAAAACAAAGCAATCTTATACATAACAAACACAAACGCTGTCACAAGCAAGCCTGCTGGTTTCCCGTACCACAAGGCCGTGCCCAAAAAGCACAAGGTCGATCCGTTGTACATTGGATTGTCATTCACATTGAACGGGAAAGACGTCACGCGTTCCTTCATCAAAATGCCAAAATAGTCGCCCAAATACGTTCCCGTCACGCCCAATGCCCACATTGACGACAAGACAAGCACGTTGCCCACGCCAAACGCTGCCACAGCCAAAGCCTTGACCAAGCCCGACTCCACCATTGGCAAATATGTGGGCTGTGCAAGCAATGCACCATGGTAAACGTGGTCACGGTAGATTCCCAACAGGAAGATGGTGGCTGCTAAAAGATAACAGCCATTGTAAGCGCCGCCAGCCAATTTAGTCAAGAAATGGGTTCTATGTTCCAATCTCGCCACAATGTTCCAGAAAATCGGGTTGAACAGAATCGTGGCCACGGCAAACTTGAGCAGCGGCGTCCACTGCACATAATCCAAGAAGTGGCTAGCAAGATGAGTCAATTGTTCGATTTTCATGGCGTTTCTTGACTTCAATAAAAGATGTGGGATTCCCCAGATTCTTATATAACCGTTGGGGCTCGATTAGCATGTGATTTTGTCAGTTTCTGGTCACGTGTGCAACCATTTCATTTTGGGCAAACCACCAACTTAGCTTACTTTTTCTTTTTCTTGGTTTGTTCTTCCTTCTTTATTGTTATTCTTTTCCAACTTTGCTAGTTTTCCTTCGTCTGTTTTCCTTCCTCTCTTTTGTTAACTATCCCCATTGTCAATTTCTGTTTCTCTTTCTAATCTTCCAGTTTCTCACTTTCTTCGTCTTGATGTCTTTATATTCTTCAGCAACTTTGCCTCCTTCAGTTCTTATTTCTTCTATTTCTGATTTCTTCTATTTCTGATTTCTTTACTTCTCTTGTTGCTTATGGCGTTTACAGACGGCTGCTAAACTTTTGGGAGGTACGGGTTTACTCTTCCATACAAACCCCACGTCTACCAACGATTAAGTCAGCACCATGAGACATCGGGTAACGTTTGTGCATTCGCCAAGCGACAATGTCGTGAAGACTCTCAATTCCTCCTATGTTGAACTTGAAAATGTCTTGACTGCTCGAGAGGACAAAATCTCCTTCGACAAGGACAGATACTCACACATTAGCTCTTTGAGGGTGCAAATAGTCAAACCTTTTGAGACCACAGAGTTGACTAAACCTTTCTCCTATGATTATCAACCGGGACTACATGTGTATGTAGTTCCCCAGGCGATGGCAGGGAGTGCCGAGGAAGACATGTTCCCAAAGCAAGTAAGCGAGGTTTTGGACGAATTGTTTGGTATTCTGGTCAACACAGACGACATGATTCTTTCCTTCAACTCTTTTTACTACCACACATCCGAAATTCCCGAAGTCAAGCTGCTCTTTGCCGATAAACTTGGTACTAACTGGGATGCACTTGATTATTTCCATTCAGAGGGCTCTGCCGTCGTCAAATCATTGGAAGTCGCTCTGAAAAGATTGGTGGTCAGTGAAACCTCCGACTACGCCGAAATCGGCATTTTTAGCTTGGATGAGCATTCTACTGCAGATGATATAATTTTGACCGGAATAAGGGCTGTATTCAATGACAACGACCAAGAAGACAAGGACGAAGATGCATTTGTACATAAGACCATGTTTCACGTCAAGCCAAGACACAGAACGCTCAGCTTGGTCGATCCAAAGCTTAAACCCAATGGCTTGCATCCGATCTTTGAGTTAGATTCTCCTTCGGAACCAACGGACGAAGACGTTCGCAACTGCAAGCTTTATTGCTATTTGACTTTGGAGAATGCCGTTTTCCTTGACCGCTATCAAATTCCGGAGCAGATGCAAATTTTGGCCAACTATGGTCCAAATAACTTGGAGCTTCCTTCGTACGCTATAGATGAATGGGGAAACGAGGTTTTGATGGAAGTCAATAACCCCAAGTTCCCCGTGGAGTTAACCTTGCATTCTCGGTATCAACTCCCAAATAGCAGCAGGCTGCACACAAGTGTCCTAATCGACAAGCCGTATCTATTTTATGGCTGTGAAGCAGGCTCGGATGCTTTCTTATTGACCAATTCGCCATTCGATAACAAAAACAAGATTGGTGGCACATACGAGAAGTTTTTCACCGACGACACGGTGTTTTTCCAGGCCGGATACAGGGGTAGCGTGGCTGTAGAAATTCCCAATGCTACGGGCACGTCATTGCAGACGAACATTGTGACGCTTGGTGCGGTGCTTTTGGGTTTGTTTATAATCGGTTCAAAGTTGTGGCGCCGTACTGAGGCCAAGAAAGAAGAGTAGCTCAATGAGCAGGTTCCCATGCATGTACCTAATTCAATCTCTGAAGATATTGTTGATGAAGCTGCATTATTGTTGGACACGTTGATGTTAGAAGTTCAAATACTTCACCCCGCCGGGTGTCTGGTCTCAATAGATAATCAAAGGTATCACCAATTGTGAATGTTAAGTTACTTCTCTGACGTTTTCTGTCTTAGCTCTTATCTTCATTTTATTCCTTCCCTGGCTGATCAGGAGACACTCTATGATCTATTCTTCTACTTACCTTTCTCGCCTACAACTCCACCTTCACATTACTTTTCCCAATGGGCACAACGCGGTACTCCACATACATGTGGCCATAGTCGTCGTCATGAGGCATGCCGTGTTCCTTTATCACGTCCACGTGTCCGTCCATCACCACCTCGCCCTTTCCCCTCTTAAGCACCACTGTTTCCTCGTCGAAAAGACGAATCTCCCGCTGCCAGCCACCTTCCAAGGCCTCCTTCGCCGAAATCACTTCTGTACGGTAAAGATGGTTTCCAACACGGTGGAACCCCCAGTTTCCGGCCGTTTCCTCTGTGATCACCAAGTTCATGTTCCCTGGCACCCAGTCTGGACTCTGATCACCTTCGCCTTCAAGCACCTTCACAGAGTTTCTCGCTGTTCCAGGCGAAAAGTACACGTTGTAGTGTCTCTGCTTCCGCTCTGTTCCCTGGCCACGACAGGTTTTGCATGGTTTGGCTATGGTGGTACCCTTTCCGCCACACTGGTCGCACGGCGTCTGGAACTGCTGGATCATCGGGCCCATCTGGCGCCGCGTCAAAATGACACCGCTGCCTCCACACCGAGAACATCTGTGTCTCTCGCCGTCGGCGCTGCCGCTGCCAGAACAGCTTTGGCACACATTGTTCATTTCCACGTCAAAGCCAAAGTCTCGGCCGACATAGAAGTCCCGCAACGGCATCAGCAAGCGCACCTGTGTGTCTGGGCCGCGTCTCTGGCGCTGGCCGTGGTGGTTGTTGTGGCCATGCTGGAAGAACTGGTTGAAAAGATCGCCAAAATCGAAGTTGGCGCCTCCGCCGCCTTGGTGTGGATCGGCGTCGCCAAAACGGTCATAGTTCAGTTTCTTCTCTGCGTCGCTCAAAATCTCGTACGCTTGTCCTATCTCAATGAACCGGTCATGTGCTTCTGGATCGGAGTTCTTGTCTGGATGGTACTGTTTGGACAATCGGCGGTATGCAGACTTGATTGTTTTTTCGTCGGCATCTTTGGAGATGTCAAGCACCTTGTACGGGTCTAGAGCTATCGCTAGGGCCAAAAGGAAAAACAATGCTCCGAATCTCATGATGACTGGTGGTGGAGGTGAAAGTTACACGTAGAGTTTTGTCACGTGTACGTGATGGAAATGTGTTGTACTGCAGATAGTCGCATTTCCACATCCACAGAAGCGAGAAGAAACATTGGAGAAACAACTTAAAGTCATAGAGCACAGAGAAAACCTCGAGAGAAAACCACGAGAGAAAACCATTTTGGAGAAGCAAAAAAGAACATTGATGGGTTCACGTGATGGAGTCAGTTCTAATAGAGTGTTTTGGAACATTGGAAAATTTTACGAGGACTGGCAGACTGACGGCCAGTTTTTGGGGCAGTTTTTCTGACTGTGCTATTCGGGTCTACATTTCTTCTGTGTGGATGCACTGAAGATGTTTAATCGTGATAAGAGGTTTGTGTGCAGTCTTTTAAGACTACTATTGTATTTTCCTGTCTAGGAAGATTGGTTTGGATTGTGAGATAGACTGGTTCGGAGCACTTTCGACAGATCTTGCATGTGTGGGAGAGTGACAAAAATGGTGCGACAAAATACGGAGGTGAAAGAAATGAAAGAAATGAGAAGACGAAAAAATGAAGGAAGAGATGCATTAGGACAAAGCTTCGCAAGATTACAGTACAAACTTCACTGGGTCTTGTTGTATTCATTGCGAAATATTGATCCCGTGTACTTTTGACTTCAAGGTGGTTTCGTGGTCTAGTTGGTCATGGCATCTGCTTAACACGCAGAACGTCCCCAGTTCGATCCTGGGCGAAATCATTTTTTTTATTTGTTACTTGACCGGGAAAGCTAGTGGGGATTGTATATCATAAACTTGGAACATGGCTCTTATGGAAGTGTCAACTGATTCAGAATAAGTTCTGTGTTGATCTTCATGCACCAGAAAGCCCAGTGTTAACGCTCATGACTTGAATTACACTTACTTGAATTACACTTACTTGAATTACACTTACTTGAACTACACTTACTTGAACTACACTTGTATGGGCACTTCATTGATAAGATAGTTGGCAAAATAGAACTACGATTGTTTGTTTGGTATGGGCACCAACTCCATATCTACACATGAATGGTTTATTATAAATCAAAATACAAAACTGAAGCCACAGACACATGTCAGCCCGTCTAAACATGAGACTGGCATTCTTATCAGCAGTTGCTTCTCTCATCCAGCTCGTTCGACCAAAACGGTTCATCCCGCTCACACTTTCTTCTATTCCTCCACCGTCTGGGAAAGTCTGTATTACGGGGACAATTTCTGCGGTGGTTTCCGTTCATTCGGCGGCAGTCCAGACACCGTTCCCGGTCTCTCAGCCAATCGTTGAAAAAGCGGTTTCGAAAATGCTCGTGGGCACCAGGCCCCATCCAACCGGGAAAATGTTCGTGGGGTTCAGATCCCATCCACGAGTTATGACAATGGTCGTGTCCAGATCCCATCCACGAGTTGTTACAATGGTCGTGGGCTCCAGGCCCCCTCCAAGAATCGTCTTCTTCTGATATCGCCCTCATGCGATGTGTGGATCTGTGGGGAAATATGGTAACGTTGGACAAGTAGCACTTTTCACACAAGTCAAAGTCGGGACATTCCATGCAGTGGTATCTGGTGCCGGCAATGTTCTCCCGTGGATGTCCACGGCAAAACCGTCTATGCACGTTGTCTGGGGTAGAGAAGATGAAAACAAGAAGAGCAAGCAACGAGGAGGCTACAAGCGTGAAGGTGGATGTGCCCGAACTTTCCTCTTTGCTCGAGCTTTCGACAGAGCTTGTTTCAGCCTTTTCCTCGTCCTTTGTCTCGTCGAAATACACATTGAGCTTGGCTTTTCGAGCCGTTTGGGCCCGTGTCCAGAATCGGGCAAAATCCTGCTCCGTTTCCAATGTCACAAACTTTATGTGGCTCGAAGACTCTGATTCGGCAGCACACACCTGAACCAGATCCATATCGATGATCTTCCAGTCGCCCCGCACATGGTTCAAAGCAAAGTTCAACACAAAGTCTTTGGATGTGAATCTGCTTAACATCGAGTGACCGGCCGTCACCAGAACCGATTCTCTTTTGTTCTCTGTGATAAGAGAAATTTCCACACTGATGTCGCCCATGTCGCTGGAGATGAAGAATATCACGTCTATTTAAGGTTTGTGATTTTGCCACCAGCTCGTATTTGAAATTTCATGCGGCTGAGTTTGGCGACGTGGCATTGCCACCGAAAGTGTGAATGCAAGTGGAAACTTCCTTTGGCTCTCGTTGTTCAAGCTGGAGCAATTTGTTGATTTAGTTTCATTGTCAGCTTTCGCTTTTGTATCTGACGTCTTTTTTTTCTTGCTTTTGTCGCTGTTCTTTCATCTTTCGGGATCTGTCACATGCACAGCGGTAATAGCGCGTCTGAGGTGCATACACAGATAATGCAAAATGCGACATTAGAAACTCACCAAGTTTGGTGTCCAGAAAAAGGAATTTTTTGGTGATCCATTGTGCATGATTCGATTTGTAGTTTTCTTTACAAATGTTATGTTTCAGTTTTTGGCTTAACCTTTTGTTGGCTCGATCTTGGCCATTGAAATAAATAATATGCTGGTTAACGAATTGTATGACGAGACCTGTCACCTTGATTCTGACTTGAAATAAACAGTCATATTATAGTAAGCAGTATCACTCTTCTACCCTCATTAGAATAGATGAGTCCACCAAAGTTTCGATCCTTTCTTCTATGGAATCACTTTTTCAGGAAGTACTACACATGATATTGGCATAGAGGTTTTAATTAGGAGTTGAAGGAACACTCCGGTAGAAAATAGCGCTTGAATGATTTTTGGTTGAGAAGTAGTTTTGCTCAATTTCAAAGCTCGATTATTATGCTGAGTTAATGATTGACTCATTGAACCAGCTACTTATCACCCAATAAAAACTTCCCAAATGATTCAAAAAAATGCCAATGAGTCACCAGAAACGTTAAATGGATAATCATCTTTGGAGTCCTAGCGTGACTCCGTCAGCACCAGGCTCAGGCCGTTTAAAAATTGGAAAAGCTCAAAGAGGTTGAACCATCTTCCAGAGCAGGAAAGGAAACATGAAACAAAGCCGACCATTGTTTATCATGTCTAGGCGATCTCATAGCAGAATGATGCTGATAGCATATTGCCAGCTATCAGACATGAAACTCCCAGAATCTGACATTCCACGGTATTTAATAAGAAATAAAATTCAAACCACTGATGTAGTATCGTCAATCCAGAGATCTTTCAAACTCTAGGGTTCAATGTTTCGACAAACTGGAGGAATTCTAAATCAGTTTGGCAAACACCTTATAATATTGTTAGTGTGATCGATATGATCAAAGATGTTCGCGAATAATTGTGCATCAGAGGGAAGAAAAGAAAAGAAAAAGAGATAATCAACGGTGATTACGATGTTAATATCAAAGATAGATCCTGTTGAAGACCGATGAATAAATGATATCAAGGTGGACCGTCAATACGCATGTACGTACGTCGAGATTCACGCTACAAGAACTGAAATTCGCTCTTCGAAAATGTAAAAGTCGCCCTGCAGAATTTCAATGTTCGCCCTCCAGAAATTTAAATTCGCACCGAAGACACCCAGTTCGCATGCAATCGACTTGAATAAACAATTTGTACAATAATAAGAATTCTTCAGATGATTTTCACATTCGCCCAATCTTGTACAATTAACACCACTGAGAATCCTTGGTTAACATTCTCTTTCTATGTAGTTTCAATCAAAGTCCAAAACTGGAATCAGTTTAGGTCGACTGAACGCTCATTCAAATGAAGTTTTCATACCCGTTGTAGATTTTAATGTAGAAATACGCAATCACCACAATTATAGTAAAGCGATTTTCTAATTGTGTCACGAATTATGCTATGTTTCCTACGAATTGTGTTTTCTCGCTTGCGACATTACATTTCCATGTATTCGAGTTTGATTCAAGTGCGAATATTGACTCGAACTTCATTTTTCGGGGCGACTCCCACTTTTTCGGAGCGAATTCTCATTTCTTGAGGAATGGTTCAACTTGCATGAATTCTATGTGATTGACTCTACCAGTGAATGAGTATTTGATGAGATAAGGGATTGTAAGGAAAACTTTACCCCACTCTTTTTCTATTTTTCCTTCTATTTTTCCTTCTATTTTTCGTTCTACTTTTCTATTTTTCGTTTTCGTTCTATTTCTCTATTTTTCCTTCTATTTTCTCATCTTCCTTCTCAACACCTACTACACATCACGTGCAAGCGCCATCTCTCCATCCATGCACGAGGTTGTTTCGCTTTCGTGCTCGCATGCCTCGGGCCACTTGCTTACCCATCTCTACAACGTTCAAGAAACGCACATTCCCTATGCCAAAAACGCCAAACTCTCCCATTCCAACTCTGTCTTTCTATGGCCGGTGAAAGCTGGCGCCAGATGCAACTACTACCCACGAAGCTTGAACATCGAGTTGGCCGGCGGCTACGGGTACTTGGGCAAGTACGAGTTCAAGGATCCCAAAGTGGACCTTGCGGCGTTTGGCAGTGAAGTGGAGGTGAGAAAACAAGACCGGGTCGAGAAAAACGACTTCCAGCGGCTTCTAGACGCCGGGGCCAGGCCGGACGGGGCGCTTCTCAACACGGCAAACACGTCCTACTGGACCGACTACAACAAGCTCGTGTACCGGCCGGCGTCGCTTCTCCAGCTGGAAAACTACGTGCATCCCATGGGAAACCACAAGCACTTCCAGAAGCTCTTGTTCAAGGAGTACAACGTGGGCGAGGAGGAGTTTGCTTTGCTTTTCGACGCAGTCGACGACTCCTTCCGCAAAAACTTGGAGGCGCTGGACATGATCCAGGGCATCAACTTTGTCAGCGAGGTGGATAATGCTTGGGGTGGCTTCACCAATGAGATGATGGTGCAGTTGAAGGACGAGTACTTCAACAACGGCGCCAACTCGAAGCACAACTTGTGGTGCTACGGCTTGCTTGCGCAGAAACCGAACATGTTGACGCGGATCAAGTCCATAGTGGAGTTTTCGAAAAACTCGTCTCTTTTCATGCCCTTGTCCTTGCCACACCAGCAGACGTCGTTGCTTTCGCCAGAGTTCGACATTTCTTCCCTGTGGCACCGTGCTGCCGTCTACGCTCTGTTTGTGAATCTGATCTGGGGCCTCAATTGCCAGTTGGAACTGCCGGTTCGGATGGCAGAGATCGAGGCCAATCTTCTTCGGGGATTCGACAGACGGAACATCGTCAACGAAATCCGCATCGAAGAGACAGAAAAACAAGAAAGCCCCGACCAGTTTGGCCAAAAACAAGAAAGCCCTGACCATTTTGGCTTGGTTGCTGATGCCAATATCATGGATATGTACTTGGGCCAAGCCCAAAACGCCAACGAAAAGCAAAAGTACATCAACTTGGGCATCAGCGGAGAGGCGAAAGCCATAGGCAAAAAGGCCACAGTTGCAAAACTACAGGACCCAGAGTCAGAAAGTAACCACTACGTGAATCCATACATCGACGAGATTGTCGATGTTGACACCACGCCTCCGATATTCAGCAAATCTTTTTCCACAACGTTCGGCCAGAACGTCAGCTTAAAAGATACTTTGAAGGAATACCGGAAAGTCATTCAGCGAGTACGTCTACCGCAACATTTGCAGGTGATTGGCGATAAAGCTGAGTTGGTGGAGGACTTGTCGCAGCTTATCGATGAGTACACTTTGGATTACGAAGACGAATCAGACTACGAATAGTTCCTAAACTGCGGCAGCTGCCTATTTAAGATAAATGGGCCACTGTATAGATCTCCAGTAAAGAGGTTAGGAAAATGGTTACAGGGAACAGTTAGATACTTGATCATGCAAAAGAGTATCATATTAATGTATATATTTGTCAATTCCCATAGGCAAATTTTGTCCTTCTAAAAAAGCTTTATCCTTCAGAGCGAAACATTATTAATAGCAGTAGAAATATTATTATTAACTGTAATAGTTAAAATAATATGAAGTTATGTTAGGTAATACTGATTATCAAGCTACTAGTTTATTAGATTTATCTATAGATTTACAATGTATTTTATTTTTATCCAATTAAGTAACTTAAAGGCGGTATCTTAAAGGAAGTAATAACTTGATGTCTATGGATGAACATACGCTTTTGACCTCTTTCCACAGTTGTCCGTGAGCATTTATGGAACCAATTAAAGATATTCAATTCTCAGTAACCCAATTCTCTTCAAATTGGGATTGTGGCATGAACGATCAGTTCAGTTTCACAAACCAGAATTATGAGAGAACCAGTTGCAATTAAACCAGTAGATACACGTTTCTGCCCTTGGTTTGTTCTTACTATTGACCTTCTCAATGTCCTTTATGTGGTATCAAGACTTCTTCCGATCACGTACTTAATTTAGACAACTGTGTAGCTCATGAAGAACTTGAAGTTAGTCATCTCTACTTGAATTAAATCGATTGGTTGTTTCAAAGTCCCAATTACCTCCACTTTACAATAGTAGAACCAAACCACAACGTTTGATCAATACATTTCTGCTCTAGTAATACGCAGATAGGTGTCGATTAATGGCCCTCATAGCACCATATACGATCCGATTGTTGTCTACTTGTTTGGATAAATAACTTCAGCCTAAGCCAAAGCACAATGTATTGGTTGACGGCCAGGCCAAGCTGGCATCTCCAGCACCATATACAACATAAACACAAGCCAAGACCAATCTAGACAGTTTAAAGACCCATCTGGACAGTTTAAAGACTAATCTAGACAGTTTAAAGACTAATCTTACAGCTTAAAGACCAATCTAGATAGTCTTTTCCACCAAGAAGATTCCGTAGTCGTCCTTCAAGGTCTTCATGATTGGATCGTTGATGTCCGACGACATTGGCGCCAACAAACCCTTCTTGGACAACGTTCCGTCCAAGATTTGCTGGGTGGCCACGGCACAAGGAACACCCACCAACTTGGCCATGGAAGAGTAGCCCTTCGGATCACCGTAGTCGACCAAAGTGGAAGTTCTGGTTTCGGTGGTTCCGTCGGCCCACTCGATGCCAAACTTGTGCTGCAAGCAAACCAAGTCTCTTTCGCCTTCCTCGTACTGCATCAACTCCTCCAAAGTGGCACACAAGGTGTCCAAAGGATTGCCTCTGGCGGTGGTTTTCTTGTCGGAGAACAAGCCCAACCACTTCAAGCCGGCAATGATTCTTGCTCTGTCGTCGTCGCTCTTGAAGGTGGCCAAGGCGTTGATTTTGGCCTCGAGGTCCTTTTCCGAGCTCGACGAGGCGCCAATCAACTGGGCAAAGGCCTCTTTCCAAGGAAGCGACTCCTTGAAGGCCGGGTGCTCGGTCTCCTTCAAGAAGCCCAAGTCCACGAGAACCTTGACGAACTCAGGGAAGCCCTGGAATCTCAAAGTTCCACGGATCACCGTCTCGGCCTCAGGAATGTTGTACAACTTCTTGTAAGTGGTGGAGTCTCTGTTTGGGTACGCCACGAACGCAAAGCCCGGGTAGATGAAGTAAGGCTGAGCCGTGGCCATCAAGTCCTCGGACTTGACGTTTTCCACCTCGCCGTTCTTCCAGTAGGAGGCCGAGTTGGTCAAGGCCAACAACACACCACGAGAAGACCACGAAAACTTGTAGCCCAATGGGTTGTCAGAGTTTTCCGGCGCAGGCAAGCCGCCGCAGTACGACAAGAACAGCTTGATCTTGCCGCCAGCCTTGTGCACCTCCTCAATGGTTTTCACCGCATACAAGTGGTCGATACCAGGGTCCAAGCCGATCTCGTTCATCACGGTGATGCCGGCGTCCTCGATCTGCTGCTCCAACTCCTTCAACTTGGGGTTGATGTACGATGTGGTCACCACGTTCTTCTTGTTCTTGATGGCGCTCTTCACCACAAGAACATGGTAGATGTAGGGAATCAACGAGATGACAACGTCGCATTGCGCCACGGCGGCGTCCAATGCTTTTTCGTCGGTCACGTCGAGCGAAATGGCCTTGGCGACAGACCCAGCCAACTCTTGCGCCTTGGACAAGGTTCTGCAAGCAACTGTGACTTGGACGTCTGGGGTTTGGGCAAGAATGTCCACGGTGGGCTTGGCCACGAAGCCGGAGCCGAGCAAAAGAACCTGCTTAGTCATGGAGAAGAAAAAGAAGGGAGGAAAAAGTGAAAAAGTGAAAAAGTGAAAAGTGAAAAGTGAAAAGTGAAAAACGAAAACTAGTCACAATGAGTGGAAAATCTACTGGCGGGTTCCTGTGTGGGCCAAAACGCCGGCATACTATGAGTCACATAAGGCAAACGATAGCGATAAGCCCCGGTGCAGGCGATAGCTGTGTCATTGGGCCTGTGAACGGAATTGAATGGAGATTCGAATTGAAAAATGTGAGGGGATGTGAATTGACATTGTGAGAATGAAATTGATCGAATATGGAAAGGACATCGATCGATGGTGAATGTGGGGAATGACTCATCAGAGCGGAAAAAGATGGTTTTTTCCGAACGATAAGCATCTTGAACAAGAACCAACAAAGGCAAAGCAAGATACGATTTGGCCATCCTAATTGGGTTCTTATGCTTCCATGGCTTGCTGTATATATTCTGCTTTGAAGCAGAATGGTCCGCATCGAGCATTTGCTCAATCTGCTATTCAACAGTAGATGTTCACACTCGAAAAGCAATTTAAACTTATCGAAGCAAAACGAAGTTCTAACTGTTCCACTCTGCTTTATTGCGTTTGATAAGTCTTTGATTGGCAATGCTTCATCGCAGAAACTGATAATGTCACAGGACCAGACTAACGTTGAACGTACGATCTGGAATTATTACTTTAGTCTTTGGTTTCATTCAAAACAACTCAAGTATTTCACGGTGAAAGTAGTGCTAATAATCATTGAAATCTACATAAAGATACTTATGGCTCAAAATCCGCCAATTTCCAAGAGAAATAAAGAATGATGTTTCTGCTTGAGTATTCTATCTTGTGCATAATTAGTGCTTGCAACACTGTTTCTGCGTGAATCAAAAAATGATATAGTCCATCTTAAACATTCTAGAATGTAAACTAAGTTAATTTTCTAAGCTGGTTGATTTCAAAGCAAACAACAGCCCTACTGTGTCAATACAGAATGTCCAAACTTTGAGATTCTTGTTTCAATTTGAAGACGAAATAATCCACCTTTCAAGTCCTCAGTCAAATGCCATCAACAAGTTTTTGGCACGAAGTAAAAGTTTTCTTTTTCCATCTTTACTCTGTATTCCGTGTTCGATCCGTTTGAAAAGATTCTGAGAGGAAACAAAGAGGTTTCAAAGTAGGACAGAGAGTATGTGGATAAATTGTCAGATTTATATATCATTGCTGGCTCTAACTTTGAATCGACTAACTACTGTCTGCCATCAAATTAGTTCATGTCCTTTTGTCCTCAGGTCACTAACATTTGGACACTAGTGCCCATTAGTTAACTTACCGAACGATCAAACAGCGATACAATGAAACGCCCATTGGATAAAGCGTGCATTAATGCAATACAGTTCTGATGCTAGATGGAAAAGGCCCGCTCTTTGGTTCTTATCTTTCTTTCCCTCTCCTATGTAGTTTTCCAGATGCTGGCTGCATAGTGCTTGACAAAAGCAATTGGGTCCAGCACCTTGTTGTCCTTTGGAATCTCGAGCTCGGACGCAAAAGACTTGATGGGCAACACCAAAACGTCTCCCACCAACTTTGGTGTTTCCAAGTCGTGGAACTCCTTCCACGTGATGGACTGGTACACCAGTGACTGGACGTAGTCGTTTAAGTAGCGTAAAATGTTGTCTGTCCAAGTTCCGGCGCCTGTCCAGCGCGAAATGGCCAACAGCCTCTGGTTAGGCGAACCTTCCAAGGTCAAACGCTGGCCATCCGCCAAGTTTGCCTTCTCACGCAAAGTCTGTTGTGTGATGTGCGCAATGGTGTCACGCAACACGGGGTGGCCCGGCTTACTCTGAATGACAAAGTTTCCAAATTCAAGACGGCGGTGATTTTCCTGGCGCCAAGAAGCCAGACGGGAGTCAGTACCCACAGCAACAATCAAGCCCAATTCGGTCGGGCTGACGTTTTCCGGAATCCAGTTGGGGACCGGCTGCAAGGGGAAGGTGTCGACATCGGCGTAGACACCACCTTTGGCGAAAAGAATCAAGTAACGGAAGAAGTCCATTTTGAGAATGACCTCCGGCAAGCTCTCATACGCCTCAACCACCTCCGGCACGTAGCTGTATAAATGCTTGACTGTGGCGTAGGCGGTATCGTCGTTGAACAACTCGTGGACGAAGCCTGGGTTTCTCACGGCCCACTGGGCCTGGCCCTCTTTGAAAGTGGAGTCGAACCTCTCGTCGTTCAAGCCGTGCTTCCACAGCTGCCAGATGTAACCTGGGAACTTAGCCTTGGTGTCATAAGGCACCATAAACATCAACTTTTCCCGCAAAGACATGGATTGCAGTGGGATTCTCAACTGGCGCACTTGTTCGATCAAGTACTCGTTCTGGCGTTCCAACGCACGCAAGCGCTCGTCCTGAGACGTAACAAACTCCCGCTGCATCTTCTCGATCTTCTTCAAAAACTCATCCTGTTTCTTGTCGTTTTCGCTAAACACCAGCGAGAATATGCCATTGAAGTTGTCGATGGCTAACGCGTCACGCGACTGCGCCGTGCTCAACCGGACGACAATGAGAAGAATCGCCACGAGCACCACCGTGATAATAACCGGTTTTCGCCGTGTGCCCATGGATGTCTGGTTCATATTAGGAGAAGATGTTGATGAAAAATGCGCGCATGTAGGAGTGAGCGAGACACGAAGGAGGATCTGATAAAAGGACAGCCAGAGCGATCGTAACAAGTAACAAGGTAACAAATAAAGATCCACGTATCACGGACAACAAATTGGTACACACTAGTATAACTGGATAGCAGGGAGGTTAGAGCAGAGAACAACAGAAAACATAACAACGGAATGATAACAGATCGGATCATAGATACAGGACGACTGTATTAGAGTTTAGGTTATTACAGTTCAGGGTAATAAAGTTCAAAGGGAGATTTCAGAGCAGTTTGGCGAAACATTTCTGAACATGGCACAAGAGAAGTCAAGTCTCTAGCTTTTGCACTAGCCTGCTTTCTCTTCTTTGTCTACTTCGAAGAACCTGCCATCTTCATCAGATCTGGAATATAACGGCGCGGCTTCAGCCGCTCAAGAGAACTGCATAAGATGGGCTCAAGGGTAAACAGATGCAAATTGGAAAGTCAACATAACGTAGATAGTAGACCATTGAAGAAAATTTGCCGTAGAGTCCTAATGCCAAAAACGTATCCATAGTTTTTCATGACCGAAAATCCACAAAATTTGGAGATGTCCGTATTGACGCGAAACATCAACACTTCTCTTCCTCACTGGTATAATCTATGCCACAATATTAGAGCGACAACAACATTCACGCCACAAAATCATTCAACCACTTGCTTATGAGGCCTTTTCGCGAGCTGAGTCTGACCGTATCGTAGTCTCTTAACACTCTATTCATATAACTGATCTCGATTTTAACAACAAACGAGTCTTCTCGGATGAAAAGAAGATGAATGACCAAACCTCAAAGATATCAAGGTTCTATTGAAAAGCTTTCTACCACGGTCGTTAACAAAAACTTGGATAAGACCTCCTCTCTTTCGTTTCAACCATCAATCGATGAGTTATGTTCCTGCACGTAATTCCATATTTATCCTCAACTAAAGTACTGTAAAGCTTCAGCATGCAACTTTACGGCGGAGCTATCAGTGCGGTACTCCCTGAAGGAGTTATCGATGTCTCGGATTTTAGACAGATTCCGGATACGCAAGAGGTTTTCCTTCTTGAGAAGCCGACCGGTCTAGACCAATCGATTATCATCGATCTTTTGGAGAAAGTTGACGCTTCCGACTTGGCCCAAGTCATCGCTGTCCATTTGGACGATATTTTGGAAGGGCCAGCCTCCTTCCTTGCACCTTTAGAGTCTCTGATGAACCAAGAGGTCCATTCGCAAGTCCACACCTTTTTGATCAGACCGCCCGAGTCCAAGATGGAGACGTCTGAGGTGAAATTGTTCATGTTCGTCGCCTTGATCCGCTTGGAATCTGTGGGCACTGATGTTGTCATCACGATGAATGTCCCATTGAAGAGCGGAGAAGTGACGCAAGAAACTTTCCAAAAGGAAGTTAATAACGTGCTTAGTGGTGGAGACTCAGAGCTTGGTGTTTGTTACCAGCAAATCAAAAACACCGCCCTTTCGTTTCATGTGAACGACTGGGCCTTATTTGGATAGGGATAACGAGAATAATTAATGAGCTTTGGTATTGTAATAGGCATGATGCCACGATTGGTGAAAACAAACACCATGATGGTGTCTTCCTTGATTGTGTAATCAATTCCTCGGTTCTCTGTAATTGTTGCTAGTCGATCAACCTACGCCCTGTTTGTATTCGCTTGTCCTTTCTGTTGAAGAGTTGTCTTCGAGTTAGTTGCCAGCAGATTGTTTCATTATATTTTCTGAGTTCTTACTCTATTTACTTTTTCCTTTAGATATCATTGCCTGCCTCGCCTGATGGTTCCTTTAGCATTCATGTCTATTGAGGAATATCTGGCATCAGAGTCAAGTAGTTACGAGCTCCAAGTGTAAAGAAACAAAAGCAGTGGTACAATTTCTTCTTGTAATTGAAAAGCACAAATCACCTGAGAAAGAAAGTAGTCGATTTAGTTTTCTGTTTTTGCAACCACAAATGAAGACATAGTGGAACACAAACGCAAACAAACACCTGTACATCCTCAAATTGAAGACCCGTACACCATCAAAAACCTCCGTACACCAATATCCCAAAAACCCATACACCAAGGAAATTTACATCCGTACATCTCATAAACCTGTACACCAAGTATCAATAAACCCATACACCAGCATTTTTAACATCCGTACACCGTAATAAACCTGTACATTCTCACATGATTACACCCGTACACCGTGAAATGGATAGTGGCTCTTTCGTTCACCAGTCCAATAGTAGTTGCATTAGCATTGACATGAGTTTATGTCGTCAAGGAATGCCAAGGAATACCTTATTTTGCGCAGTTAGTTTTGCTCTGAATTTATTTTCGCACTTTATGATTTATGGTACAAAGGCACGGTTTTCAGCATTAAATGCGACCTAATAAAAATGCAACGGACTTAATCAGATTCGAGAATATAATGATTTTGAACGGACTGGAAGGGTTTCACGGATTTCACGATTTTGAATATTACAAAAATTTCATCTAGCCAGTAACACCTCATATAGCTAACATTCATGACCAAACATGGTTGTTCGCCTAATCTTTTTTGCATTCTTAGATGTATTACTTATACGGACCGAAGAAAGAATACCAAGCAAAAAAAATTATTCAACCAAACAACGAAAACCAAGTTAACGGGTTAAATATTTAGGTACGTTTGTTTCTAGCCTTGGAATTACGCTTAAACAAGTATATTGAAAAAAGCAAGTCAATACTTTTGTGTCTTTGATAACTAGCTTATTGATGGTATTTCGCCTATAGTTCCACACTTTGGGCTGTTTGGGCATTATACTTGTACACTCTTTATCAATGCTTCACTAGATAAAGTCTGAAATCTAGCTATTGTAAAAACTTGACTGTGTGAATGACCTAGACTTGGCATATGGAGTTCTTGTATTTAATTACTCCCAAACGGCTGAGCTTCATTGTATTCCATAAGGGAACATGGTGCAAAAGTAGGACTACTACTTAAATGCTTTTAATAAGGTTTATGCTTCATGTTCTACTAATACAAAACTACTTGGCTGGTTCGAGGTGGACAGTGCCCATAAATTTTCGCCCAAACATTTTCCATCGAAGTTCCATCGAAATTTCGCCAGACGTTTTCTATCGAAATTTTACCCGAGTTATTTTAATCGTTGTTGGTATTCCCTTTCATATCATTGCCAGACTGGTCGCACCTCAATTCACCACAGTAGATACACGTGACAACATCCAACACTAGCCTTTTCATTTACAATCCGTCACCGCCTTTCAATTGCTTTTACTTTGCCTCCTCTGTTCTTTGCCTCCTCTTCCTTAATTCTTCTTCATTTTTTATTTCTTCTTCCTCTCTTCTTCTCCTTTTTCCTCCTCCTTCTTTCGTCTATCGCGCGCTATCAAAAACAAAGTCAACCACATGTCTTTGGAACGCAAAATCATCAACTTCCTCAAGGGCCCGAAAAAAGGCGAGACGTACGAGCTCAAGAGCGGGCTTGTGTCGCAGTACAAGCTTGAGCGCAAAGACGCCATCCAGCGTGTGATCCAGGCCATGACCGTGGGCAAAGACGTTTCGGCGCTTTTCCCCGACGTGTTGAAAAACATCGCCACGTACGACATTGAGCAGAAGAAGTTGGTCTACTTGTACTTGATGAACTACGCCAAGCTGCACCCGGAGTTGTGTATCTTGGCCGTCAACACGTTTGTCCAGGACACCGAGGACCCCAATCCGTTGATCAAGGCGCTTGCCATCCGGACCATGGGCTGTATCCGCGTGGACAAGATGGTGGACTACATGGAGATCCCGTTGCGGCGCACGTTGCACGACGACAACCCGTACGTGCGCAAAACCGCGGCCATTTGCGTGGCCAAGTTGTTTGACTTGAGTCCCGAAATGTGCGTCGAGTACGGCTTCTTGGACGACTTGAAGAAGCTTCTTGCGGACCTGAACCCGATGGTGGTGGCCAACGCGTTGAACGCCTTGTTCGAGATCCGCGACATGAACACAGACCCGAACTTGGCCGTGTTGTCCATCGACAAAGATCTCACCACCGTGTTGTTGGCGTGTTTGAACGAGTGCACCGAGTGGGGCCGCATCACCATCTTGTCCACGTTGTGCGAGTACACGCCGGAGTCTGCCGACGAGGCCTTGCACATTGTCGAGCGGAGCGTGCCGCAGCTCCAACATGCCAATCCGTCGGTGGTTCTTGCCGCGATCAAAGTGGTGCTTCGGCACACGGAGTACTTGAACCAGGCGCAGAAGACGGCGTTTTTGCGCAAGTTGTCGGCGCCGCTTGTGTCGTTGGCGTCGCTGCCCATTCCCGAGGCCCAGTACGTCGGGCTCCGCAACATCCGCATCATTTTGGAAAAACACCCGAGTGTCTTGTCGCGCGAGCTCCGCGTGTTCTTCATCAAGTACTCGGACCCGTTGTACTTGAAGCTCGAGAAGCTCGAGATTGTCATCCGCTTGGCGTGCGACGCCAACTCGGCGCTTTTGTTGGGCGAGTTGAAAGAGTACGCCATGGAAATCGAGCCCATGCTCGTTTCGCGCGCCATCCGGGCCATTGGCGCCGTAGCCATCAAGTTGGCGGCCTCGGTGATCCCTGCGGTCAACATTTTGATCTCGCTCATTGAACAAAGAGGCGGCGACTTGGTTGTGGGCGAGTCTGTCACCGTCTTGTCGCAGATCTTGCGCCGGTACCCGGGCAAGAACGATTTGGTGACGTTGGTGGTGCCGGTGATCTCCAACCACATCAACGAGCTTGAAGACGCCGCCGCGTTGTCCGCCTATGTGTTTTTGTTGGGCGAGTACCCAAAGTACTTCACTTCCTTGAAGGACAAGTTGCGCGTGCTCGTGGACGCTTTCCTCGAGCACGAGCCCCAGGTCCAGTTGAACGTGCTTACTGCGGTGGTCAAGGTGAGCTTGGCGTTGCCCGATTCGGGCGTCTCGCCGCTTTTGCAGTCTGTTTTGGACAAGGCCACCACCGAATGCGATAACGCCGATGTCCGTGACAAGGCGTACATCTACTGGCGCTTGTTGTCGTCTTCGTCGACGGATGCCCAGCAAAAGGTGATCTTGGCCCGTTTGCCGCCGATCCAGTCGGTCATTTCGTCTTTCAACCCGGCGGTGTTGAATGCCTTGATGAACGAGTTGTCCACGTTGTCGTCTGTGTATCTCAAGCCAGCCTCCACTTTCATTGACGCCAGTGTATCCCATGCGGGTAGAAAGCCATCGACAGACATGAAGCAGTTGACCAACTTGGCCAAACAGGAAATCATCAACAATGCCCGCAACGAAAACTTGCTCAACCTCGATGATGACGACGAACCCGAACAGCCAGCAAGCACGTCCATTTTGGACGACTTGAACGACTTGTTTGCTGTTCCTGCGGCCTCTTCTGGCTCCAATAAGGCCCAGTCTTCTACAAACGACATTTTGAGTTTGTTTGGCTCGTCCACCAACGAAAACTCCGTGTCTCTGGGGCTTGAAGGCTTGAATCTTGGTCTGGAGCAGCCGCAGCAACTGCAGCTGAGCTCCCTGAAACCCAGTGCTGATCTTTTGGACCTCCTTTAAGACTTTAGCGAATTCAAAGGGAAAATCATGGACGTTGAACGGTTCGAAAGGCTTAAGATGGAGCCATAGGATTACATCTGGTTAATAAGGAACTTGAGTTGGAAATGGTCAACTTAGCATCTGTTGATCGTTGTAATCTAGAATCAAAAGAGTATACAATCTTGTATCTTTGGGTAAGAAGAAATCGGATTGTCAAGTAAGATAAATTTAGCAATATATGCATAGTGATAGATATTGATTTTGGTTCCGCAAGTTTCTTCTCAGTAATGTCATAACGAAGCATTCTAAGTGTTTAAGATGTAGCTACATTCTAACGTTTCATTCCTATGTCTCTAAATCTGCAAACTTTCATCTGCTCACATGTACGACCAGAGAATACTAAAGGTAGGTTAATACAGAACTTAACGTGCAATTGTTGATTAAATTACATTTTCCCGCATGTTTCGTGCCGTGAAAGTAGGACCATTAGACCCGTTGGACTGAAAAGGCACGTCCTTTGAAGATTTATCATTGGTGAGTATCCTTCACTAAGTTTTCATCGTCTCGGGACCAAAAGAGCTGTACCGCATAGATGTGTCATTGGCTAAGTCAATACCATGTTTTGAATCAAAACATGAAAGAGTATACTTCCAAGCTACCCTCTGATAAATCATTGTGCTATGTTTTGTTCATGAGTGTTTTGAGCGCCTCTAGTTTCGCTTCCCTGTCAGCATTACTCAGTTCTTGCTCACTGTCATTGACTGGTTCATCTTGTAGAAGGTCGGTAAAGCTTTCATTCTGCACTAAGCTTAGAATTCTGGCCTTCACCTCCTCTGCTGTATTGTCAATTGCTTGTATCTCTGCTCGTTTCGCCTCGATTTGAGTTTTCAACAACATAATCAAGCTCTCTCTCGTTTGATGGGGTCTATATGTGTTCAATAAATGATTCATGTTGATGAGTATCAACTTCAAGTCCTCGATTTTGACGTAAAACTTGGCTGGCTCGACCGAAACAGACCCAACAAGCTCTAGAAAATTCAACAAGAGAGAGTCTAGTAGCTTATGAAGCTCGTCTATTTTCTGTGTAGAAGTGATGGTTTCATCGTCGTCGTTGTAAAGCTGGCGCCATCCCAGCGCCTTGAGGGACGGAAGTTTGTTTTCTAACGCCCATAGACTGCCGTAGCCTCTGTATTGTTCACCCAGAGGCACTTTTGGAGGCACTTGGAAACGGAGTTCGCCTGGCGGTAGTTCTTCTTCCACATTGTGGGTTTCACACCATTTTTTGAACTTGTCAACATTCTCCTCCGTGAAGAATTTGTAGTAAGGTGGAGGAGGCGGGTAAAGAGAGGATATGAGCTCGTCTGCCATAACAGGGAAATGTCGTTTGGGATTCCGAAGCAGCGGTCGATATATAGAACCCGTACACCACTGAGTAGTTGAATCCACGAAGAAAAGACAAGAGAAATAATCAAGAATTAAAAATAACTAGAACAAGCAAAAAGCCATTGTATAGAGTATTGAACTATGGGGATGCAAAATGGAAGAGTAAGTTATGATCTAGTCGAAGAAATGAAGCAGAACTAATAGTGGCAAATCATTATTCACATTCTAATCGAGGAATAAGAGCAGAAAAAATGATCTGTGAGTCCAAAACTTCAAGATAACTATCCAACTTATATATTGCTGCCTTTGGCTGTAAAAGCAGTGGCTGCAATTTTGACTCTCGGGTATAAATACACCCTTCTTCCCGTTTGGAATGTTATTTGTGCGGTTCAGACCTGCATATACTCTAACCACAAGATTACTAAGTCTGTGAGCCTAGTACCACTAAGCAATCCTCACATGAACGAAGAGGACCAAATAGATATCGACAGCCAGCCTGGCGATGCTGTGGTGGAGGAGACAGAAACAAAAAAGAAGCAGAGGTTTGAGGTGAAAAAATGGACGGCTGTGGCGTTCTGGTCGTGGGACATTGTGGTTGAAACATGTGCCATTTGCAGAAACCATTTGATGGAGCCATGCATTGAGTGCCAGCCAAACAGCATCAACAATTCTTCCGAGCAGTGCATTGCCGCCTGGGGCGTGTGCAACCACGCGTTCCACATGCACTGTATCCAGAGGTGGCTCAAGTCGAGGCCAGTGTGTCCGTTGGACAACAAGGACTGGACGTACCAAAAGTTTGGTACGTGATGTTGCGGATGATTTACAAGTGAACGAAAGGTTAAATTTCTCTTTATACAAAGCATATGCTATTTTCCCAAGGTAATGCAAGTTTTCCAATGATTCTTGTGTAGGCCCTCTACACCTTACTAACTCTTCCAGTACCTCCAGGATCGCAAGAAAGAGCCCAATACGACAACCGTCTCGCAGCTTTGCTTCAACGACTCCACACTGTGCTGCATTGGCGTGCTTTCAATGTCACCTTCAGCTTCGATGAAGAACACATACTGCCACCGTGTTTGGCCCGACGGCCGCGATGCGATCGATGTGAGATTGACCTTGTTGTGTTTGAATGAGTCCAAGGCCAGACAGAGTGCTCCCGGATCGTCGTGATTCAATACGAACATGACAGAAGTTAAAGAAACCTGTTCGTTTCCTGGTGTCTTTGGTTTATCATTCTCGTTGTCTTCATCACTGGAGGCAATCTTTTCGTGGCCAAGAACTAGGAAACGGGTCGTGTTTCCCTTTACGTCCTCGATTTCAGCTGCGCAGATGGGCAAACCGTACAAGTCTGCGCTGGCTTTCAGACTGATGCACGCCGACGTGTTCTCTGTGTCCGCAGCAACCATCTCGGCCGCCTGTGCCGTTGAACTTGTGTCGATTCGGGTGACGTCGGGCGGCAAAAGCGCCAGCTTGAAGAATTTGTTCACCTGGCCCCACACTTGGGGATGTGAATACACTCTGGTCACTTTGGAAAGATCTGAAGCGTTGGAGAGAAGATAATGGTGAATGGAGACAAACTGTTCAGCAACGATGCGGAAAGACGGTTCGGCATCGGCCGAAAGAAACCAGTCTCTGAGCAAGTCAAAGGTGAACACAACCTGCCCGTTGGTGGAGTTTTCAAAAGGCACCACCGCATAGTCAACTTCCTTTTTGTTGAGCATGTCGAAACATGCTCCTATGGACGCCTGTGGAAGAGTCTGGGCCTTTGTGCCAAATTGCTGAAGAGCAGCCTGGAGTTAGTAAGAGGACACTTTTTTGGCTTTCTTTTGCAAACGTACTTGGTGTGTATACGTGCCCTCGGGCCCGAGAAAGGCCACTTTGGTCGACATGAAGAGTTGGCTCAAGAGTCTATGACTCCACCAGATATGAGAAGATGCAGGTCGAGCCTCACCTGTTGGGTGCAGTACGTCGACTCTCGTCAAAATGAATGGAACAAATGAAAGGGAAAAGGAATGAAAGGGAAAAGGAATGACACGGAGAAGGAAACAAGGTAATCCTAAGAAGTTCAAAGCCGGATGAAGTTACGGAAAACTGTTCAATTTCTTTTTTTTTTTGTCTTTTTTTCGTTCTTTTTCCGCCTTTCTCTATGCTTCATTCACGCGTGAGACATTTGCACCCAAGGCCAACCGAGCACATGCCATTGTTGAACAGGACAAAGAATACAAACGCCCTTTTTATTTTTCCCTCTTCCAAGGGCGTTTTTCCCTCTACTACCATTTGCTCTGATGATGCTCAACAAAGTTCCGCCTATGCCTGCCGCCCTCGACCCCATGACAAATTGGACGCCCATAGGCTCCATCGAGGAGTACGAAATGAGCCTTCCCTCACCCACTGAGAAAGAGCCACGGCCCTTGAAGCTGTTGGCCACTTTCCCCTTCAGTGCACAGCTTGTGGCTGACGCCATCTACGAGCGTGTGATGAATCCTCGGAACTTTGTCAAGATTGCGCCGCCGTTTCCGCTCGAACACCCGGCGTTTTTCGACGAGTGGTACTACTACTTCAAGCGCAACATGGGATGGAACTCGGAAGTGTTCCGCGTCTATCTACTGGCGCCTCTAGGCACAACAGCGCCTCGGCTCATTGGTTCGCGAGACCAGATCAAACGGGCCCGCAGCGAGATCCTGAGGACCTTCAGCACCGCCATCAAACGGCACCTTGGCCCCCAGTACATGTCATTTTTCTTTGGCGATACGGTCGACCGGCAAATGGCCGAGACTACGATCATGGAAAGCATGGAGTCGCATGTTCCGGAAGCTGAGCTCTGGCGGATTCTGCGGTACAACGAGTTGCGGGCCAAGGCCGAGAAAGGAAACATCAGTCCATATTTGAACCATTTGATTGCCACGGGCCGTTCGGAGCAGGAGATCTGGCGGCTTGTGATGGAGATCATCATGCGCAAAAAGTACAGCGAGAAGAAGCTTTGGGCGTTGAACAAGGCAATGCAGCGGCACCAGAAGGAAGTGGCGCCGCTCTTCTTCCGGGTGAGAGACTTGATTAGGAGCCTTGAACAGGAGAATTTGCTTTTTGTAAAGATCAAGCCCCTCGAGTACTACTAGGCCCGCCTCATCTGACACCTTTAGACCTCTTTTGTGTTTTAACTAATAATCTCTGCACCACAATCTACACTGATATGCCTGCATCCCACGCCTCTAGTGTAGCATCAGAAGTGTTTGCCAAATTTCAAGAAGCACCAGCCTCTATCAACCAGGCAAACTATTCCAATGAAAAAGAAAAAAAAAACGCACTAGTAAAAAACTTGGGCTGAGCAAAAAGCTGAAGTCTAGCGGGAACCAAAACCGCAAACGCCAGAGATTCGAACAACGCCAAGTCTCGTTCCTACAGCAGATCGTCGGTGGCTCTTTATTCTGTTGAGCACAATGACGCATCCGCGCGAGACAAGGGTAACCAATAATCAAAAACCGTATTCAACTATAAACACCCTGTCGTGAGAAAAAAGAATGGAAAATGGGAAATGTATTAAGTGTTCCAAAACATTTAAGCATCTTCGTTAATCAAGCCACGCTCGGAAACATAGATACCATCCAAGAACTTACGGATATCCTTGTTTCTGACTCTGCAGATTTGTTGGATGTCAGCAGCGTTCTGGGAAACAGCCTCCAAGGAGTTACCGGACAAAATCAACTCATCCTTTTGGGTGGGTGGAGTTCTCGACAGTGACACCGTCGAAGATCTTCACCTGTCTGACTCTCTTCTCACCCAAGAAGTTTCTGATCTCCACAAACTTTTGGCCGTCGGTCTCAACAACGTTGACGTTGATTGGGAAATGCGCATAGACGTATCTCATCTTGTACTTGTAACCCTTGGTGACACCGGTGATCAAGTTGGCAATCAAGGACTTGACAGTTCTCAAAGCAGCAACATGCTTTCTGTCACCGTTGTGGACGGTGATCTTGATAGCTCTGTCGGAAATCTTGGTGAAGGCAACGTCAATGTGCTTCAACTCCTTGGTCAATTCACCTCTTGGGCCGGTGACCTTGACGGATCTGGCCTTGATGTTGACGGTGACGCCAGCTGGAATGTCCAAGATTTGGTCGGTTTGGATGTACTTCATTGCGGATGATGGAGAAGAAAAAAATTTCAAATGTGGAAAACGGCCACCTATATAGGTGAAAAGTTTGTTTGCAGGAGTGCGAAAAAAAACTTCACCGGGGCCATCTGTGACTGCTTATTGTGTGTAGGAACAGCCCTGAAAACAGAGGGAACGGAAGAGGAAGGAAAGAAGAGAAAGAGAAAAGAAAAAAGAAAAAAGAGAAAGGAAGAAAGAGAAGAGAACGGAGATATCAGTCGGTGTCAGAGATTATTTTAATTAATGAGCCCAAATGCAATGTCTTAACTATGATGGGGATGAAGTCTGCTTTTGTTCTACGCAGGACATTAGGGCACTGAAGAACCGGATATGGATATATTGGACTCATTAAGAGTGATAATATTGAGATAAGAATGTAACGAGTTTAGAAAGGTTGTTTGAAAACAAATAACACTGTAAAGTCAATAGCAAACCCAGCAGGCATTAGTCTCGATTGTAGCACTTTCAATCTAAAGCATTCTAAACTTTTTTGTTCCTTCCGTTCTGTGATCTCATACTCCTAGGTATCTTCACAATTAACTTTGAGGTACGAAATGGATCTTGATTTAAATTTGGTCCTTTCTACTTGTGGCCAACATTGTTGTGTCTCGATGTTCCATTATCTTTTGCTTCGGCCTTTTACCCGTCTTAGTACTTCTACTGGGTCTGAAAGCAGCTTACATTCATGAATGTAGCAGGTTTTCGTTTCCATTCTTCCACTTCGTGCAATCCTATCTGAAAAGAGGAGCAAGACAACTAAATTGACATTCATACTCTTGACTATTTCGGAGACATTTTCAACATGGTCGTCTTTATCGAAGTATACTGGTTTCTCTGAAAAACCAGGACTAATTAATAAATCTGAACATCCAGTACTGCCGATCGACAGACGATAACCACACTTGAATATTTATGAAAGCATAAGAGCTTAATTCCTTTGTAAATTAATCTACAGAAACTCGGAACTGAGAAAAGACGGAGAAATGTATTGCTAGAAAAGACAAAAAAAATCAGTAGACACTTGAATGAATCCTATTTAGCCAAAAAAAAAAAAATAGAAGAGAAAAAAAAAACTACCTCTTGCTAGATGTTACGAGGTATAAGTAAAGGGTTAGAGCTGTAAGTCTCATAAATGAGATGTGAATTGGGTCAATGGTCCATACACCTTTATTTACAGTAACATTGCCAAACACAAGAGCCTTCCACTACTCTTTGAATAGCCCTGGTAAAATCTCATTAATTGAGCGTCGGCACCAAAGTGTTAAGAATGGCCGCCCATACTATTAACCTACTTGCTTATAAAGATTCGTAATCCACTTTGTCGTCTGCCCAGTTTAATAAGCAAGAAGCTACGACACCTAAGATCTGTAATAATGAGACGGACTGTTGAATCGGTTTGGTAATAGCTCGAATTCACCTTTTCACCGCTTGATAAAACCTTTCATTGCGCTTGGCCAAGTTGATCCGAACTTATCTACTTATACTACGGAAGTGCAAAGGTGCTATGCTTTGCCAGTTGAAATACAATTTTTTATTTAATTTATATAGGGATTGAATTTTTACTCAATTTTAGAGATCAACTAACAATGTGGATCAGAGTAGTGACGAGCCGTAACGAGTACCGGCGAAATTAGCATTCTGTCATTCTAAATCTCAAACAAGACAGGTCTCAGAAAAAACGGTCAGATAAAGTTCGTAATACTATCATTTGTTTGTGTCAACCAATGCAGCAAGAAGCATTTGTGCTCTTCTTGCAGTGGTAACTTCGTTCTTGTTACAATCCTTTCTCTTCTCCTTAAGCAGGTCGACCTACTAGCCTCGAAATTCTTTTGAATACATTTTAGGAGCTGCATCTATGAATTGTTATTGTGCCGTTTTGAATGCTCATGCCAGCTAGACCATTGAGAGGGTCTGACCGTCCTGTATGATGCAAGCATCTAGTCCTCAAGCATCTAGTCCTCCTCCTGCTCGTCCAAGGTCTTGAACTCCCATGTAGGGGTGTTCTTGGGGAACTCGATTCCCTTCTCCAACAACTTGGCAAAGGCCTTGGAAAAGTCTGCGAAGAAGAGATCCTGGTCCTCGGCGTACTGCTTGACGTACTTGAGGAAGGCCAGGTCCTCCTTCAAGGCCATGTCCGTGGGCAACATCATGAACGAGTTGGTCTCGTCGTCCTCGTACTGCTTGACGCCGTCCCACTTGCGCACGTGCCAGCCCTGCAACAACCGCACAAAGAAGTCGTTGGTGAACATGTTGGGCAGCGGGCCCCATGGGCCGTCAAAGCCCGAGCGCCACGTGTGGCAGCGGCCCAAGCAGTGGGCGCCAATCAACGCCACGGTCTCGCGGTCGTCGAAGCCCAATCTCGAGAACACGTCGCGCACGTGGCCAGCGCCCTGCGTGGCGTCGGGCAAACGGCCCTGTGGCGGCTGCTTCGAAGGGTCGCAGTCCACACGCCCCGCACGCCATGGGATCTTGGGGCCGCCGGCCTCCTGCACCGCACACACGCCGCCCAACGTCCACAAATCCCCGCGGCTCACCCATGGGAACAGGTAGGTGAACTCGGACAAAAAGTCCCGCGCCACCTCCAAACCGGCATTGCCGCCGTCCGTGGCCTCGGTCGTGTACACCATGGTGCCGCCAAAAGTGCCGCCCGAGTTGTCCTTCTTCAGGTACAGCCCGGCCGAGTGCCACGCAAGCCGCACCAACACGCCGTACCGCCCTGCGCCCTGGTCGGCGTCATCCTCCTCGCGGATCTTGTTGGCGATCGCGTTGTACAACTTCTGGTACTCCTCTTTTGGTTTCAGGGGCGCGGCCGCCTGGTTCAACGCGGCGCCGGCTGCCAATGGTTTTTTGCTCCAGCCGCCCGTGCTGGGCTTATTGTCAAGATAGTACGCAAGGGCGCCGGCGGCTGCGGCACCGGCAAGCAAGCCATTGAGGCGGAACGCCCGGGTCAGTCTGAGCGCAAGCGACATGAATGTAGAATGAAAGAGAAAGATAAAAAACGAAAAGAAAAGTTGCAAGTTTGCAATTACTTTCGAGACAGGGTGACAAATGTCTGGCCTCATATAGGCTGGCGCCCTGGCCCTCTGTGCAGTCCACTGTCAAGACCCTGCATGGCGCCGCGGGGCTGGCCCAGCCTGACTAAGCGGCCGACTGGCCCGACTAGGTAGCCTGACTAAGCGGCTGACCTGATATAGCTGAGTGGATGGAGGTGGAGGTATGGGTGGAGGTATGGAGGTATGGGTGTTGGATGTACGGGTGGATGTATGGAGGTATGGGTGTTGGGTGTTGGGTGTTGGAAGATGGTTGGATTATGGATATGTTGGATGTATGGATGTATGGAGCCAGCTGATAAGCAAATTCAAGCAGCATTAGAACAACCATAATCTGAACAGTTATTCTTCACTCTATTTGTTCTCTTTCTTTCCTTTTTCCTTTTTTCCCCTTCTGCTCCCATTTTGCTCTCCGTTTATTCTCCATTTCTTTATCTATTCTCCATTCTCCATTTATTCTTTATCTATTCTCATTATTCTCCATTTATTCTCATTATTCTCCATTTATTCTCATTATTCTCCATTTATTCTCATTATTCTCCATTTATTCTCATTATTCTCCATTTATTCTCATTATTCTCTAAATTTGCACGAAAACCTTCCTCATCTCCTTTTTATTTCTAATTGATTGCCAATCCTCTCACATTTACTTGTGCTTGTTCCCTAACGAAATATGGACCCAGTCACACGAACAATCCTATAGATAATGTATCAACTAGAATATATAAATAGTGAAAATTAAACGTTTTAGATCGTAAGATGCTGGTTTTGGCTTCACTCACCGTTAAGTTTGGAAATATCTGTCAGGTCTCTGGTTTGCTTGCTATAAATCCACTCGATAGACATTTTGGGCTTCGTAGGCTGGTAGAATTTTCGACCCACTCGACGCTGAATTCGGTTGTCAATGTCGGACTTTGTTTGAAGACGACTTAGATGACTTTCGATTTCATGCTATTTACATTGATGATTCATTTTGGCCAGTCTAATAATTCAAGTATATGCCTAATACATTCGGTAGTTATTCTTCTCCTTCAAACTTGCTCGCTCATTTTTATATCTTTCATCTTTCATCTTCATCTTTCATCTTTAATCTTTCATCTTTCATCTTTCATCTTTCATCTTTCATCTTCATCTTTCATCTTTAATCTTTCATCTTCATCTTTATTCATCCTTCCTTCGTACATCTTTCATTTCCACTTTCCTTCAGACTCCTTTACTCTATATAATCACGAAAATTCGCTTACATCACTTCGTTGCACTTTTCATTTCTATAACTACTCTTCGTTTGCCACAACATCGATATACGCCTCAATCGTCTGGGCATCATTGTACACCCACGAGCCTTCCTCGTTGTATGTCTTAGCATTGGAGCACATTAGCCGCAACTCGTCAATAAACAGAGCGAACGTGTCAAACCGCTCCTGAGACAAGTGCTTGCGGATTTGGTTAATCGACGTTGGCCGTTTTATAAGACGGTAGTAATCGGGATAGAGCCTCTTGGAAGGCAATTTCAAGAATATTTCCGCCACTCCATGGCCATCTTCTGCCCGGAGTTCAACAATGTCGTCAAGAACCTTGTTGCACCGTGCCACCAACGGATCTTCGCCTTCTCCTGTAAACTCGTCTGGCTCGGCACTGCGAGCCTTTTTCCGTATCTCAGAATCAGACTCGTCCTCGTCGTCCTCGTCATCCTCAGGCTCCGCACTTTCTCCTTCGAGTCTCTTTCTCTTTCTTCTGGCACGTTTTTCTTCTTTACGGCGAATGGCATCCTCAACGGTATCATTGTCGTCATCCATGGCCATCAACCATTGCTCTTCAGTCAAACCATCGTCATATTTGACTCTCTTCTTCTCACGCATTCTGCTCAACTCCTTGGTGTCCTTCTCGAAGTGGTGGGAGATGTCCTCTGTGAAAACTTCAGGCAATTCTTCCTTGGTCATCAACCGGGTCAGATATCCGCCTTGACGACTCTGCTGTTTCTCTTGAATGATTCTCTGTGTATCCATTTCGGTGAACATCTTTTTCTCGTCTTCGGAACGTGCCAAAATGTCGTTCAACTCATCGTCGTCCAACGAATCATTTTCTTCATTGAAATTCTCTCCTTGTTCCGCATCCAACAACTTCTTCAAGAACTCCTCTTGTTCCTCAGCAGTAGACTTATTGTCGAATTTACCGGCCTGAATGACCTTGCCGTCAATATCCAACTTTTGATGTGCTCTTTCCAAAATCACTTCTTCGACGGAATCGTTGGTAATCAATCTCAAGATTCTGACTTCGTTCTTCTGTCCAATTCTGTGAGCTCTGTCCTGTGCTTGCAAATCCTGGTGAGGATTCCAATCTGTGTCGAAAATGATGACCGTGTCTGCACTTTGCAAGTTCAAGCCCAAACCACCGGCTCTTGTGGACAACAAGAAACAGAAAATATCCGACTCAGGCTTGTTGAAAGACTTCAACATATCTTGACGGTCTTCTGCCTTCGTGCTACCATCTAATCTCAAGTAGTTCATGTCCCGGAGTCTCAAGAAGTCTTCAAAAATATTCATCACAGATGTCATTTGAAAGAAAATTAAGACCTTGTGTCCGGAAGCCTTGAATTTCGGCAAAATTCTATCCAACAACTCAAACTTACCCGAAGTTCTCCAAATCAACTCGTTGGTAATACGAGAAGAGTTTAATATGTCCTCCACTTCTTCAAAAACGAACGGATGGTTACAAATCTTTCTCAATTGCATGATCTTGTTGTTCAAGCCTTTGATACCGGATTTGTTGTTTGTACCTGTTGTTTGGGAGCCCACAAACAAGGCATTATGCTTCAACATTTGCTGGTACAAAATATGTTGCAAGCCTGATAAGTTACATTTCAACACCTTTTCGACCTTATCTGGCAAATCCTTCTCCACGTCTTTCTTCAATCTTCTTAACAAGAATGGTCTCAAAACCTTGTGCAATCTTCTGATAACCAACAAACTTTCTTCTTCTGTCAACTCGATCTTTTCTTGTGTTCCTGTATTGGCAAATGGAGTGTTGAACCATTCGTCAAAAGATTTCACAGAGTTGAAGATCTTTGGAAGGACAAAGTTTAACAAAGCCCACAACTCCGGTAAATTGTTCTGCAATGGTGTACCCGTTAAAATCAATCTGTTCTTCGTGCGGTAGTACTGTTTCAAAGTGATGGATAATTTAGACTGAGCATTCTTCATTCTGTGACCTTCGTCGATAATCATATGCGAATAGGAGAATCTTGCCAAAATAGGCCTTTCTCTGATAATATACTCATACGTGGTCAACATGACTTGGAAATTACCAGTTCTAATCTCAAATTGCAATTCCTTCCGCTGCTGTGGAGATCCCTTGTAAACAATGACCTTGACTGAAGGAGCCCATTTTTCGAATTCAACTGTCCAGTTTGTAATGGTGGATAACGGAACGATGACCAAGAACTTGTCCTCATGCTTCTTCTCAATCAAGTATGTGATCAAAGAAATGGACTGGATTGTTTTACCCAATCCCATCTCATCGGCCAAAATACCATTCAACTTGTTATTGTATAAAGAGACCATCCATTGCAAACCCTTGATCTGGTACTCTTTCAATTGACCACCCACCAAAATTGACGGTTGTTCTTTCACTTCTTCCTTGATTCTGTGTGCAACTTGGTAGTAGTCAATTTTCTCTCTGAGTTCGTCCACGTTATCTGTTGGTTCTTCAACGCCAATATCGTCTGCCTCTGCTTGCTGAAGCTTGACTGCTTTAGCCAAAGAGTCCAAGAAGCTGTTTGTTTGTTTCAACAAGTGCGTGATTCTATGGTCTTTTGTCTGATCCAATAATTTGATGTACGCCTCCTCATCATTGGCTTTCAAAGCTTGCAAACGTTGCTTGGCGGTTTTCTCTAATTTCTTGGATTCCTCCTTTTCTGTGTTGGCGTGGAAATTGTTGACAAACCGTGCCAAGGTCGATCTTTTGCTGATGCGAGAGGCAATTGCATCCAGATAAAGTCTCGAGCTGTCCAAGATTTGTTCGATTTTTTGAACGTGCAACTCGTGCTCTTTGGCCTGGGCCTCCAACCGGAACTTGTCTTCCAACTGCAGAGCTAGAAGATGCGGGTTTGGCTGGTCCACTTTTTCCCGAATGTACAAACCTCTTCTGCCCTGCAAGGATAAGGTGTTGTTGCACAAATCAGGCAGGTCGTAGTGGGAAGTCAAGGCGACTTTGCGGAGGAAATTGTTTTTCAAAAACTTTTGCACCGCCAAAACCTGGAGAGACTTCAACTCTATCAAAACGTCAATTTTCAACTCGTCCACGTTTCCCTTTTCGTCGGGCCCGAGCCCCGCGGTGAAAGTGCCCAAGTTTGCTGGCAAGTTCTCCAACTCGGAAAGACGAGAGGCGATTTTGCTGGAGATAATTTGCTCAGTGTAATAGTTGCCCACAGGAGTAGACAAGGGGTTCACAGGGCCAGCGGTTGCAGGCAAATTGAGGCCTGCAGCTTTAGCTCTCTGCAAGAAATCGCCTCTGTCCTTGAGCACAGAGAAGTGGTCTGCAAGAATGCTGTCGACGATTTCAGCCGAGGACAACTTCTCGACCGTTTTCTTGTCGTCGCCCTTCTCGTACTTGACCTGTAAGGAAGGCGGCAAGTCCATGTCGCGAGACAACATTTGCAAGCCGGCAATCTGCTGTTCGAACAAAGCCATATCGACGGCTTCGCCCAGCAGTTTCTGCAAAGCGCCAAGGATCTCTGCCGTCACCTCCTCCTCTTCGCGGATGTACTGGTCGTAGGAGGCGCTGACACGGGCCAAACACAGTTCCAAAAGACGTTTCTCGTCGGCGTAGGGATCCACAAAAGCCAGGGCTTCGGCCATTCCGCCGCCCAGCCCGTAAGCGTCCGCCATGCGGGCGTAGGGATCGTGTTTTTTGCGGGCATCGGCCGAAAGACGAAGCAATTGTTGGTAGCGTAATAGAAGGTCGTCCAACTCCTTTTTCGTTTGCGGGAATGCCACCGGTTTGGCGGTTTCGTCCTCCTTGTTGTTTCCGTTGAGAAGCCCGTTGTTTGCAAGCGGCACGCCGCTTTCGTAAGAGGTGCCGTTCATGGGTGGAGGAAGGGTTTGTCTTTTCGCCGGTGTTTATATTATTTTAAAACAATTGGTGCGAGCCCACTGCGGTGTTGGAAAAAACACTGGCAAATATTAGACGGAGCAGACGCCAAAGAGGGAAAAACAGACGCTGTCGCGGAGAAAATGTGAATTTTTGGAATTCGCAACTGCTAAACTGCGCAGATGGATTGAGATCTGTTTAGACCGAAGATGTGTTTAAGAAGTTTTTTGGAGGAAAAGGACGGCGGCGCGCGTTTGAGGAACAAGCCGCGACATTTTTTTTCTCCTACCCTTTTCTTTGCGACATTTTTCTTTGGGTCCCACAAGAACGCGACATTTTTTTCTTGTTCTCCATCCTCCACCCATATGGCCGATAGGTGTTGTTTGAATTGATCTTGGTGAATTGATCTTGGTGCATGGCATGACTGCTGCGGTTTCGCCTGCTTCTTTTGTTTCTGTCTGGTTGACCAAATTGGGTGTTATATGCATTACTGTGCTACAACTAATCAATACAAGACGATAGGACCATGTGGCTATTAGTGTTTGTGTGTGATATTTATGTTTCCCTCTTCATCTAGCATATTCTGACGAAGTTCATTCGAACGAAGAAGATCTGTCTTGGCTAGTGGTTTAGTCTAATACATGCTTGTGCAGGAAACTTCCATTCAGTAAAGCATGGAATCTAATTGATTGCAACAATGGAACTGAAAGAAGACAGAAGGAGCAGTTTTATCAATTCGTTTCTGCTTCCTTCAGTAAATCACGACTTTCCTTTCGGGCCATCATGGTGTGCTTGTGAAGATGATTTATGATCATTTTCTTTCTTTTTGTTTCTCTGTTTAATGAAATTGCTTTTTGTTTTGTTCTTTTATCTTTGTTTGGTTTTTGTATCCAATGGCCGTTTGTTTCTATTTCTCTGGTATGGCCATAACCTGTTGTTTTCGAAGCTGTTCGCATCGTTCAAAGTGGTCGAGATCAGACTAAAATGGAAATGCAAGATTATCGCAAATCGATCAAGAATAGAGCCTCTGATCTCGTTACATTTAGATGTACGTAATACTCATTCGGAATTACGAATACATCCCCGATCAGGCTGTATTGAAATCATAAAGATCTGGTTGCATACTAATTATCTATTCAATCCAAGCGGAATGAGAAAAAACATAATGAATACAAACGATGACAGGCTATTATATTATTCAAGTCTGGGCAGGGGTTCTTGACATTTAATATCTACGACGGACTCTTGAGACATATAAACCATCCGCAACTTGAAGTTTTCCAGTCAAAATTACTAGGGAACAAAGCCAACAGAAATTATAGTTTCTAAATTATTTTCTATATTCTATTTTCCTCCATATTCTAAATTTCATTTTCTAAATTCATTTTCTAAATTCCATTTTCTCCCATTTCTAAATTCATTTCTAATTCCGTGCTGTCACTTAATTGCATACGAGGTGGAAGGTTGCGTTCACGTGACCCCCGCACCCATAGGCCTTCTGAAAAGTCCTCTAAGCGATTTTGTCCACGTCGAATCATGTTTGCATTAAAAAGTATCGGGATTCACGCCAGAACCTCGGTCCGTGTCGGAACCTTGGCGAACAACTTGAGGTCATCTGTTCGTCTCAACTCGTCTGCGCCCACTATGAACTGGGGTGACTTTTTCAGATTGAGAAAACAGAACAAGAGGATCAACACTGCCAGTTCGGTTGTGACGGCCTTTTTGGGCGCTTTCGCCACCTTGACGTACTTGGGAAATGTGGAGATTGATGTGGAAAAGCCAATCATGGGACTTGATCCATTTATGGTCATGGGAGGTGCGGTCAGTTTAGGTGGATTCGTTGGCTATGTAGCGGGCCCATCTGTGGGGAATGTGATCTTCAAGATGGTTAACCGTTCTGCCATGGCGCAATTCAAGGCCAAGGACAATCTTTTTTTGCAGAGAATCAAGTACAACCGTGTTGATCCCTCGTCGCAGTCTTTCTCCAATCCTGTTCCTGATTATTACGGAGAGAGGATCTACTCGTTGGAGAACTACAAACAGTGGTTGAGAGACTGCAACGCTTTCAGAAGAAAGGCCAAGGAGTTCATTTAGTTGCGTGTACATACTAGGAATCTATTCAAGAAGATCCGTTCGGAAAGAGCAGTAGAAGAAAGACCCAAGATGACAGAGTCGACTTGGGCCGTGTAGGCAATTGCAGAGCCACTTGAATCAATTGCCCTATGGTTCCCCTACGTTAAGCAGTTTCGTAAGTGTCCTGGTTCTCAAAGGATGTTCATTTTATTGGTCCAATGATATGGATATTAACTATAACGATATGGATCTTTAGAAGGCACCAAAAGACAAAGACTTAAGGAAAAGAATTGTCTCGAATAAATTGAACATAATACAGCATCAACCATTGGATTTATAGATGTATTTCCCCATGTTCTGAGCTCTTCCGAGCAACTTTTAAGAACTATACAAAGAACTTATTTTGTCTTCCTGGAACTGCCTTAAGAAGCTTGGCCCCATTCTCGTAAAGATCGATCTCATCTTCGATCAAACTTCATCTCATTAACTGGAGATACGATGGCTTGTCTTTGAAATGAAGTCCATAAAGCCTCTGCTAATTCTTCAATCTTAAGATTTTCAAATGAGATGGTAAGTATCGAGATTCTTCGATGTTATTGAAGACATGAACTGCTTAGGTACCTAGTTAAACTAGTTATACATATACTGATGGCTTTGAAATGCCTACTCATAAATAAGCTCTTAAATCGGCGTCAACTGCCCAATCGATCACATATCTAGAAGAATCCGCTACTAGATGAATCCGCTACTAGACAATGCATTTTTGACTGCGTTTGAGCGATTCTTGACGGAAACTGTTGCGTTCACAATTAAAATACTCTTCTTTGGTTTTCGACCGTCTATGGGTGGGAGGATACCCATCAGTCGGACTAGACCATATCTCAAATACCGAGAATTGAAATGGTCTAGCAAGATGAAGAAGCCGGACCTTCTACTTCGAAAGATGTTAGAAATCAAAACGAACGAAAACGAATGGTTGGCTCGAACGAAAACGAATGGTTGGCTCGAACTAAAACGAATGGTTGGCTCGAACTAGAACGAATGGTTGGTTCGAAATTAAACATTCTGTATTAGCGCGATTCATTAACAGATTAGTTGACTTTGCGCATTATTTGAGTTCCTGGAACCTAACTCAATTCTGCCATAAAAAGCTGTTTGCCACAGCTCAAATTCTTTTGTGCTCCAGGCTAACTATTTCACAGCTGATTCAAGACTTGCATCTAGTCACTTCCGGACTATATGAAGTCAGGATGACTAGAATACGTGGAGAAGACTGGTGTCCTGTATATGTGCCACGGCAATTGACTGGGCGACATTAGTGCGAGCCAACATCAGAGACGGAGCCAAAAAACGGCAAAAAAAACGGCAAGAAAAAGAAAAGACAAAAAGCAGGTCGAAGGAGGAGTAGCTGCTTGCGCCTGAGCTTTCGACTTTTTTTGTTCTTTCTATCTTCTGCTCTCACATTGTCCGCTCGTTTTTTGGCGCTCGCTGTGCCGCATTTCGGAGTCCGGAGGCTTGTCTGCAGGACAATTGCCTTCAAGCAGCAGCAAGAAAAAAGAAAAGAAAGAAAACCAAGAAACGCAGCAGGCTCCAGGCGCAAAGCAGTACGCCTCCCAGGTCATGACAGGTGTGAAAACCTGCCCAAACAGGAAAACACGGCGTTGCGCCCCTCTTCCCCGGAAAAGAACCCCGGGGCCACCGGAAGTATTCCGGACAAATAGCGTGCGCGCAAAAAAAAGTCGCACCCAATCACTTATAAAGGTCCTCTGGGCCGGGGCAAAAAAACCATTGGGAATTTCACCTTTCTTCTGACCCCCAAAACCCTACAGCCATCATGCTTAGAGCTTTCAGAGCCCACGTGCCCCGCGCAAGGGCCCACAGAGCCTTGGCCAGAAGCTCGTATATGAGTATTTCCCGCGCCTATGCCACAGACTCGTTTTTGCAAACCAACAACTCCAACTATGTCGAGGAAATGTACCAGGCGTGGCGCCAGGACCCCAATTCCGTGCACGTGTCGTGGAACGCGTACTTCAAGAACCTTGATTCGGGCGCCGCCCCCTCGGCTGCGTTTGTCGCTCCGCCAACGCTTATTCCGACCCCGGCCGGGGGTGCTGGCGTTGGTTTCATTCCCGGTTCGCTGCCCCACTCGGAAGACGTGGTGACCCACTTGAAAGTCCAGCTTCTTGTGCGTGCCTACCAGGTGCGCGGCCACCAGAAGGCCAAGATCGACCCATTGGGCATCCTGTTTGGTAGCCACAGCCAGGTGCCCAAGGAATTGACTTTGGAGCACTATGGCTTCACCGACGCCGACTTGAACAAGCAAATCACCCTTGGCCCAGGTATCTTGCCGCGCTTTGTGCAAAAGGACCGCGAGACCATGTCGTTGAAGGAGATTATCGACGTGTGCGAGTCCTTGTACTGCCTGTCTTACGGTATCGAGTACATCCACATTCCTTCCAAGTCGCAGTGTGACTGGTTGAGAGAGCGCATCGAGATCCCCGAGCCTTTCAAGTACCTGGTGGACGAAAAACGCCAGATCTTGGACCGTTTGATCTGGGCGTGTCTGTTCGAATCCTTCTTGGCCACAAAGTTCCCTAACGACAAGCGTTTCGGTCTTGAAGGTGCCGAGGCCGTTGTCCCCGGTATGAAGGCCTTGATCGACGCCTCTGTCGAGCACGGCATCGAGGACGTTGTCATTGGTATGCCCCACAGAGGCCGTTTGAACATGTTGTCCAACGTGGTGCGTAAGCCGAACGAGTCGATTTTCTCTGAGTTCACCGGCTCCAAGGAGTTTGACGAAGGCAGTGGTGATGTCAAGTACCACTTGGGTATGAACTACAAGCGTCCAACCACCCTGGGCAAGCACGTGAACTTGTCTCTTGTGGCCAACCCATCGCACTTGGAAGCCGAGGACGGTGTGGTGTTGGGTAAGACCCGTGCCATCCAGCAGTACAAGAACGACATTGGCGAGTTCAAGAAGGCCATGCCTATTTTGTTGCACGGTGACGCTGCCTTTTCCGCCCAAGGTGTCGTATACGAAACCATGGGTTTCGAGAGCTTGCCTGCCTACTCCACAGGAGGTACTGTTCACATCATCATCAACAACCAGATTGGTTTCACCACAGACCCACGTTTCGCCAGATCCACGTTGTACCCTTCGGATATCGCTAAGGCCATCAACGCTCCAATCTTCCACGTGAACGCTGACGACATCGAGGCCGTCACGTTTGTGTTCAACTTGGCTGCCGAATGGAGAGCCACCTTCCACTCCGACGTGATCATTGACGTTGTCGGTTACAGAAAGCACGGTCACAACGAAACTGACCAGCCTGCATTCACACAACCGGTCATGTACCAGAAGATTGCCGAAAAGAAGTCGGTGCTCCAGTACTACGCCGACAAGTTGGTGCAAGAGGAAACTTTCACCAAGGAGGACATTGAAGAACACAAGAAGTGGGTGTGGAACATTTTGGAAGAGTCCTTTGCCAAGTCCAAGGAGTACCAGCCTACGTCACGTGAGTGGTTGACCACTCCATGGGAAGACTTCAAGTCGCCCAAGGAGTTGGCCACAGAAGTTTTGCCACACCTCCCGACCGCCGTTGATGCCGACATCTTGAAGAAGATTGGTGCCGAGATCTCCGAGGCGCCAAAGGGCTTTGAGGTGCACAGAAACTTGAAGCGTATTTTGAACTCGAGAAAGAAGACTGTCGAGTCTGGTGAGGGCATCGACTGGGCCACAGGTGAGGCTTTGGCCTTTGGCTCCTTGGTGTTGGAAGGCTACCACGTGAGAGTCTCTGGCCAGGACGTTGAGAGAGGTACTTTCTCGCAACGTCACGCCGTTTTGCATGACCAAAAGTCCGAAAAGGTCTACACACCTTTGCAGCACTTGTCTGAGGACCAAGGCGCTTTCACCATTTCCAACTCTTCCTTGTCGGAATACGGTGTTATGGGCTTTGAGTACGGTTACTCCTTGTTCTCTCCTGATGCGCTTGTGCAATGGGAGGCCCAGTTTGGTGACTTTGCCAACACTGCGCAAGTCATCATTGACCAGTTCATTGCTGGTGCTGAGTCCAAGTGGAAGCAGAGATCTGGCCTCGTCTTGTCTTTGCCTCACGGTTACGACGGTCAAGGTCCAGAGCACTCTTCTGGTAGAATCGAGAGATACTTGCAAATGTGCAACGAAGACCAACGTTACTTCCCATCTCCAGAGAAGCTTGAGAGACAACATCAAGACTGCAACATGCAAGTTGCCTACCCAACCACACCCGCCAACTTGTTCCACTTGTTGCGTCGTCAAATGCACAGACAATTCAGAAAACCTTTGGTTCTCTTCTTCTCCAAGTCCTTGTTGAGACACCCATTGGCCAGATCCGACTTGTCTGAGTTCACCGGAGACTCGCACTTTGAGTGGATTATCGACGACAAGGAATTGGGCAAGACCATCAACGAGAAGGCTGGCATCAAGCGTGTTGTTCTTTGTTCGGGCCAGGTGTACACCGCTTTGCACAAGAAGCGTGCTGCCATCGAAGATAAGGAGACTGCCTTCATCAAGATTGAACAAATGCATCCATTCCCATTCGCCCAATTGCGCGACGCCTTGAACAGCTATCCTGCCATCGAAGACTTGGTTTGGTGTCAAGAGGAGCCTTTGAACATGGGTTCCTTCGCATACGTTTCGCCACGTATTGGCACCACCTTGGCCGAGACCGACAACTACAAGGACTTGACTCTCCGTTACGCTGGTAGAGACCCATCTGCGTCTGTCGCTGCTGGTTCCAAGGCCATGCATACCGCAGAGGAGGAGGCGTTCTTGAAGGAGGTGTTCAACCAGTAGAAAATGTGTATATGCTTGTCTATTCTAAATTAAATTATTTGTGGATCAACTGTAGAGCGTCGATATGATTATTTGTCATGCCTTTGAGTATTTATCATGTCTTTGAGTATTTGTCGTGTCTTTGTGGGCAAGAACGGAATGCAGTTTTACCGTATAATAGCTAGCATAAAACCCTAAAAGATATACGTAAGATTCAAACTCTAATAATTGTTAGACTAGTCGAATTGTTTTGAACGATACCAACTGCAATAAATATGTTGAGAATATTATTATACTGTTTGCTGACTTTATGTAGTTGATTTGGATAATTATAATAATTTCGCAAGAATGCCATTTACGAGAAAAAACAAAAGCATGAAAATAAAATATCTAATCCGCCACCACCATAAAGAAGAACAGTAGAACCAACAGGACTACGTTGTCTATCTGGAAAAGCTTCTTTTTTTTCTTGAAGTCAACTCTCTTGCGGCAGATAAGAGAGACCAACACACAGACATCAAAAAAGACAACGCAAAAAAACAGCAAAGTCATGATACAAAAATTGATGCAGTAATTTCGAATATGATTCACAGTATGACAAGAACAACTGCAATTTATCGTCATACGGATAATTTTTGGTTCAGAAATTATTCAGCCAGGTGCGAAAGCATAGGATCGTCCAGAGACCATTATATATCTTAAATAAAACCCACAAATCACAAAAACCACCGATAAAACCTTGATAAAGAAGGCGAGAAGCGATGATTCTGAGTTTGATAGTACCCGGAAATCCTTACACTTAAGTTTCATCCGGAACAAGCCGTAAATTGTGTGGTTGCGAAAATGGAAAATACATGGCTATGAATATGTTGGAAGCCTTCAAAGTGCATTCGTATGTTTTTCAAGTAAATTGATTCGTTCAGGAGCATCTTTTATGTGGGGTTTTGAGTGGAGGATGAGAAAAAATTAACTATTTTCAGCACGACACTTGGGGCCAAAATGGGCATGGGTGTTGTGAATGTCTGTTTATTCACCTTTATTTGCAGAAATTCAACGGCAGTCAGCAGGATGTGGCCATATTACGATACCAATGAGGTAATCGCTCATTCACTATAAATTTAGATGAGAACATTGCTTCTGCGGGTCCAGAGATTCCACAGTTTACATTTATTATTATCCAAAGTCGTTAATTACTCAAATGAAGAAGACCAAACGAAGATGAGATCAATCAAATGAGATTCAAGCCAAACGAGCTGAAATCAAAAAAACGATTGGTAAACTAGTCACTCCAACGACTCTTCTTGCACTCAATTCTAGCCAGAATTGGCAACATCTTTCGAATCCCAATCTCAATTCCTATTCTTTGATTATGCTTGCACGAACAAAAATGTTGGCTCACTTGTGCATTTAATCTGATGGCAAGAAGTCTGCCAATAGTTGACAGAAAGAACAGCCACAAAGCATAGAATTTTCGAACTAGCTCTTCTAAAATCAATAAAAGTAAAATCCACTCTGTTTTCTGTTTGGAAGGGACCAAGTCATTCTAGAACTGCAATCCAGCTACTTCTGTCCAAGCAGCATGTATCAAAATCGGGAACCGACTGCTACGAATGAGAATTACAATCACTAAAATACACTTTTTCCACCACGATTATTCAAAAAGTCATCAAGCGCCAAAAAAGAAGCGGGAATAGAAAATGACATTTTTAACTTGAATATACCGCGTAATGGAAGCAGGGATCCTATTATCTTCATTTCAGCTTTTGTTATCATAGTGTAGGTGAGAAATACGACAGAACAATTTGATGAACAGACCGTTTTTGTAATTGATCATGTATGTCGAACTATCGGCTAATCCTACATCGTTGGCACTTGTAAGTACTCGCTCTTCAAGCCGACTTATTTGGAATGCTCCAAAGATTAACTTTCAAATGATCAGTAAGCCAAAGATAAAGCTTGCTTTTCAATACTAGACCGATCAAAGGCTTCACTTGGTCATGTCTGTTCGTTGATATTTGGAAATAGAGTTATAGAATTATAGAATTGTAGAATTATTGAAGTATTGAAGTATTGAATTATTGAAGTATTGAAGTATTGAAGTATTGAATTATTGAATTATTGAAGTATTGAAGTATTGAAGTATTGAAGTATTGAAGTATTGAAGTATTGAAGTATAGAATCATAGAATTATGAATTATGTTGAATCGTTTGTGTCACCGACCATGCAATTGCTCAAGTAGTCTAGTTTCGCCGTTTGGTTCGATTCTCTTTAAAGCTACGGGTTTCTTTTTAATCATTGAATTCCCGACTTCTTAAATTCACTTCGCGACTTCTGACTTGTGGCATGGCGAAAAAGAGTAAAAGTACAAAAACTCAGGCAAAAGGAAGGAAAATACAGAATCGTCAGGGAAGGAAAAATACAAGTTAGGCGGTCTATCCAGGCGATTACAGGCGATTGGCGACAGGCGACAGGCGACAGGCGCCAGGCTTCGCCTGGCGAGACAATCAGAGGCCTCGTACTGTACAAGCAAGAATGCTCGCACGACTAGACATGGACCATGACGACACCAGACTTCCTATGGTACCAGTCCCGGCAGACACTCAAGCTCGGCGACGTGTGCCGCTACACCATCAAGTACACCACCACGGACCCGCCGCATGAGATGTACGTCCGCATCAAGAACTTGGAAAACACCAGCCTCCGCGCCGTCAACTTGTTCAACGGCCCCATCGTGCTCTACTGCCATGTGGTGCCGTGCCAGTTCAACCACCTGCGGCGGTACGTGGCGCAGGACCCGACCCACAACAGAGAGGTGTGTTTCCGCAACACCGTCAAGCCGGGCCAGACCTTCAACGTGCGGCTCGTGTTGAACGACAACAGCTTGCTAGCCCACAACGCCAACGGCTCGCGCACCTACCAGTGGGAGTGCCAGGTGATGTCGCAGATCGTCATCAACACGCACCTGACGCTCACGTTTCTCATGATGGTGGGCAGCGAGCTCGAGAACATGCAGCGCATCTCGCGGTCGGTGCTCACGTCTTTGACCAAGGGCGACTTTGCGCCGCCGGACCACGAGCACGACCGCCACGAGTGGGGGAAACTGTACCGCCGCGGGCTCGACGTGGTGCTCGAGCAGACAGACGACCTCTGGCCACCGGCTCCCAAACAGTCCGACAAGCCTGTGCACTTGGTCATTGTCACCCACGGCATCTTCTCCAACCTCACGGCCGACATGCTCTATTTGCGGGACCGGCTCATGGCCACCACAGCAGAGAACTTGGTGGTGGACGGCTTCCGCGGCAACGCAGGCCACACGGAAAAGGGCATCCACCGCTTGGGCGTGGGCGTGTCGAACTTCGTGGCGCAGCGGATCGCCCAGCTTGAAAAGGGCGGCGGCGTCGAGAGCATCTCGTTTGTGGGCCACTCGTTGGGCGGGCCCGTGCAGTTGTATGCGCTCAAACACCTTCTTCTGGTGCACGGCACCGACTACTTCTCGCGGCGCCACATCCGCCTCCGCCACTTTGTGTGCTTGGCCAGCCCGATGCTCGGCGTGCTTTCCGAAATGAGCCTCTGGATCCTGTGGTTTCTCGACTTGGGCACCTTGGGCAAGACCGGCCGCGACTTGACCTTGCTGAAAAAGCTCCCCCACTACGTGCGCCACTTGGGCCAGCCCAAAAGAGACTCGTTCCGGCCCTTGCTCGAAACCTTGCCCGACGAGCCTGTCCAGACGCTCTTGCGCAGCTTCGAACTGCGCACCGTCTACGCCAACGCCGTTAACGACGGAATCGTGCCCTTGCGAACGAGTGCTTTGCTCTACTTGGACTGGGAAGCCCTTGGCGACGTCACGGCCATCCAGAAGCAGGAGGCAAACACCGACGCCGGCCTGACAGGCGTGGTGCCCACAGAAAATGACGGTGCCTCGCAGCATGCGCCAGGAAAACTTCCAGAGGCCACCAATGCTTCTGGCCATGAGTTGGGCGAGGTGCCTGCGGAGGAGCCGGCCAACATGAAAAAGTACAACAACTTCCTTGCGTCTGCGTTCGGCAACGACAACAGCGAGCAGGGCAATGGCGAGAGCGACTCGCCCAAGTTGAGCAAAAACAAGTTGCGGCGCTTTCGAAAGTATGCCTTGATCTCGGCCAAGGGCAGCGACACCCTCGAGCTGGACTCGGAGGCGTCTGAGGATGGTCGGAACGGCACGCTGTTGTCTCTCGAAAGCGGCCGCCCGCTCCATATCCCGCCCAAAGCTTCGACAGTGGAAAGTGCGCTCAATTCGTTGCTCTGTCCGATTCCGTCGGAAAACTACATCACCAACCCGGAAAGCCGAACGCCAGTCATATTCCACGACAAGTACTACCACTTCAACAACATTCCCGCCCACGAGAACACCCGCACAAAGGGGATCAAGAAGCTTTTCCGCTACACGGACTGGAAGATCGAGAAGCAGGCCATCATAGCGCAAAAATACCATGCGCGAGACTTGAGCTGGCGCAAGGTGCTAGTTTACCTTCCGCCGGATGCCCATAACAATATCGTGGTCAGGCGCAGATTCGCCAACGGCTATGGATGGGGTGTTATAGACCATTTGACGGGCGAAATCTTCGGCACGCAAATCAAGGCGAAGATGTAGAAAGATGGTGAATTTGAGGGCAAGGCAATGACCTAAGGCCATCATTATGGAGACAAAAAGACGTTTATTATTTATCATGCATTACAATTGGAGAGAATTGTTACTGACTTTTCTTTTGACTCTTTTTGTGATGACATTTTCAGCATAGAATGCCGCTTCGCTAGGTTCTATTGCATGTGTATTATCCCCTGGCGTGCTTGGAAAGTATGTCCAGATTGTACTAAATTATTGAATACTCATTTAAAAAGCCCATAGTAGATCTTGTCAACCATCCTATACATTCTACAGGATAATATCTTCAATCTTGGTATGTCTTCAATCTTAGTATGCCTTCAATCTTAGTATGCCTTCAACCAAACAGTCTTAAAAACATCCAGATGTTTTCCTTGTTCTTAAGTTGGATTCGTAACCAGAACTCAAAAATTACAGATAGGATATTACGCATTGACCATCCGTTTGACCACAAAAGAACTGATAAAACTCATTTATCGGCTACATGTGACCTGAGATCAAATTCAGGTTTAATTTATCGTTTCAAAAGCAGCCAACAGTTTCAGTATCCTAAGGAGTGAATGCAATGCTTTTCTGCTTTGCAAACCCATCGTAGTTCAACTCCATTGGTTATATGCCAAACTATCAATTACACCGGAAGCGGAAGCAAGAAAAAAAAGTAAAGTAATTATTCCCACAATCACTTCTACATTAGCAAGTACATGCCTTTTTGTCTCCGTTCACTCTCGTTCTTTCCGAATTCTTTTCCGTTTTCTCCGTTTCCATCGTTTATTTCCGACCCCACTTAACTCGTGTGCATGTCATACCCGGGAAAACTGATAACAGTACATGCAGGACAACGCACTGATAAGACGGCACGTGGAGCCTCTTGGTGTTTTCGCTCCTTTCTGGTGCAACCTTTTACGCCTTCTCGTCTTTTTCTCTTTCTCTTTCTCTTTCTCTTCTTTTTTTTTCTCCCTTTCACTTTCTACTTCTCGATTTGCCCTTTTGCATCGTATCCGCGCTTCTGGTCACTCCAATTGCCGCTTTATCTGTAAACAGCCCATTGGCGTTTCTCATACACCTTCATTTTTGTTTCCATACTTGATTCTGTTTTTGTGTTTCTCGTGTCCATAACCGCATGACTCAAGATGCTCTTCGGTTTATTGTCGTGGGCGCTGGCCTTATCGGGCCCCGGCATGCACAGCACATTTTGAAAAGAGACGATTGTGTTCTTTTTGCCATAGTCGACCGCCTGGAGAAAGGACCAGGAGTGGCAGCCAAACTCAACACTTTGCACTTTCGCAACTTGGATGAAATGTTTGACTTTTGCAGCACCTACAAAGTGCCTGGCCCAGATGCAGCCATTGTCGCCACCCCGAACCACACCCATACCGAGCTTGGCGTGCGGTTGGCTGCGCGCGGCGTGCATCTCTTGATTGAAAAGCCCATGGCGTCTTCTGTGGAGGATTGCAGAAGCTTGCTCCGTTTTTGCAACCACCACCGCGTCCAACTTTTGATTGGCCACCACCGCCGCTTCAATCCCTATATTGCAGCCACAAAAGCTCACATGCAGCGCATTGGGCAGCCCGTCGCCGTGCAGGGAGTGTGGGCGTTGAAGAAGCACGACGCGTACTTTGCCGAAAAGGCCTGGCGCCGCTCTGTGCGCAACGGCGGAGGCACCATCTTAATCAATCTCATCCACGACTTGGACTTGTTGCAGTATCTTCTTGGCCCAGTCCGCCGCGTGTATGCGGAACTTTTGCCCCGTCAAAGGCCCGCCGAAGGTCCCGACGACCACGTGGACGAGGGCGCTGTGCTCACTCTTCGCTTTGCCAATGGGTGCTGTGGGACTTTCGTCTGCTCCGACAATGTCACATCACCGTTCAGTTTTGAGAGCGGTACGGGCGAAAACCCGTTGATTCCGCACAACAGTGATGCGGCCGGGTTCTATCGCATTTTTGGCTCCGACGGCACGCTTCTGGTTCCTGACTTGACGTTGTTCCACCAAAATGGGCTCCGCGATAAATCGTGGTGGGAACCCGTTCATGCAGAAAAACTCCCATTAGTGCTTGAGAAGCACGTGGAATCTAATGGTATCATCACGCCGCCCTCCTCCTACGAGAGCGAAAATGTGCCCATGGTAGATTGCCAGGAGCCCATTCCTGAACCTTTTGATCTCCAGTTGGAGCATTTTGTCAACTTGATTACGGGTGTGGAAACCACGGTCAAATGCTCAGGCGAGGATGCCATCCAGGCGATGCTTTGCATCGAAGCTGTGCTTAAAAGTATTGAGACTGGATTGCCTCAAACGGTTGAGGTTCCTGTCTGAAAATTTAAGATAATGAGTTGGCTTAGCTTGATTGAAATTTGGCTGGATGGAAGAAAACATATTAACTCACGAGAAGGACGCAAAGAGTTGGGTAAAAAGGAAAATGTTTGCAGGTGTGTGAGTAATGAATTAACGAGAATCGGTATGTATTGGAGAATATTATAATAAGTATCACATTAAATTGATTCTTAAACCATTCTCTATGCTATGGAATTGCCTAACTTTAAACTATTCTGGCCCAAAAAATCATTAAAGAAGTTGCACCCTTGTAATGTGGGTTCAATAACTAGAGAAACAGTAAATTCTTCATGCATAATCATCAGTTTTTCCTAAAAACCCACTTTTCTATTCCAGCGTTTTTATCCATAACTGGAGATCGCTGACAATATTGAACTTAGTACTGTCTTAGATGCAAAATCAAGTAACACGCACTAATAAAACAATTAATCTTGAAACATACTACTACCTAATTGTCCGAATATAATAATGGTGACTTTGACATGATTTACATATAACCAAAAAGCTGAACAGAAAAACAACACCTTCAAACCCCACAATCAAATTCAGATCAAGTGCGATCTTTCATTACCACGTCATCAATTGAACAATCACGATCCAAACACTTCTTTCTTCTCCGGTCCTTTCAATACTCACTCAATCTTCTGCTTGGAGTACTTTTCCGAAACCTTGGCGAAGACATTGGTCAATCTAAACTTCCGCACAAGAATCCGCTCGACTATGAACCTCGGACACCAAGACATCAAGTGGCCCAAAAGAGAAGCCATGTGGCCACGGTAGAAGTTGAGAGAGCCCTCAATACGCAGATTTTCAAAGTCGCTGACAACTTTCGAGGCGTATTTTTCTGCCGGCATTGGGTTGTTCCGAGCAGCCATCTGCTTTCTTTCAATCATAGCCTCGTCAATGCCAGGAACAGCAAACAATGATCCTTCAGGCAAGTCCCGAGTGTCGGCAATGTTGGTTTTCACGCCTCCCGTGACGATGTTGATCACCTTGACGCCGAACGGTTTCATTTCCACCCTCAATGTCGCCGCATACTGATGAATGGCCGCCTTGGTAGAGGAGTAAATACACGAAAACGGGAAAGGCACCAAGCCGCTAACAGACCCAGTGAAGCCAACAGTACCTTTGGCGTTGATCAAAAGCGGCGCAAACTCTCTGGTCATCCGGATAGGCCCAAACACATTGACCTGGAAACAAGTTTCGAAAGCCTCGTCAGTCACATCCAAAGCAGGGAAGGTGCACGATTGGCCAGCGTTGTTGAACAAGAAGTCGAGGTATCCATCCGTCTGCTCGGCAATAAACTGCTGGGCAGCACGCACGCTTTCCAACAGAGAAACGTCACACTGGAAAATGGTGATCCCGTGTTCTTTCAAAGGTTCCATGGGTCCCAAGCGGCGGGCGCAGGCAAACGTTTTGTAGCCTCTTTTGGCAAACTCGAGGGCTGTGGCATAGCCAATTCCCGATGAAGCACCGGTGACAAGAGCAGTTTTTTGGCGGGTCATGGAAAGAAGTAAGGGAAGGTGGTTATAATGTGGAGAAACCCGTGCCGCACCTTAGTGTTAGCGGACAGCCGCATCGGAGACGAGACTACATTTGACAAAAGATAGTACGGAAAAAGTAAACAAAAGAGAAATAGACGTGAAGACAAGATCAGTCCCAAACCGACCATCTGTGATGAATTGGAATAATTTGGGAATCTTGGGTAATTGGGAATCTAAGTGCGATTTCTGCATGCGATAATAGGAAATGGACCAAAAGTACTCAAATGGTCGGGTCCGTTGGCTTACTTATGAGTTTAAGTAAGCTGAGTGTGGATTGTCAATGGCTTTCTACTTACGTAAACTCAATGCCTAAAAAAACAAGAGCCAAAACGATAAATCATGAGAGACTAATGGAATAATGTTAACAAATATCGCATCCTGAAAATCTTGTGTCTAATTATGCAAAGTCAAGCACAACAGCAATTAGAGAAACTTACATGACGCCTTAAATTCACAACATACACACTAAGAGTGAAGACAAGCGGAGCGGTATGGCCATTGGTATTACAAAGTTTCGGATTAAGAGCTTACAAACTGAAAAATTTCATATTGCTGGAGTATTTCTTTTTCTCGAATTCGATGGCGTAACTTGTGTAGAACATTTTGTGAGCTTTGAACCGACCATTATGAACTTTCTTGATGATTTCGTTTCCATCGACTGGATCGTTCCATTACTGCAATAAGCAGGTAAAAAAAAAAAAAAAGAAACAGCAGGTAAAAAACTGTTAATACTCCATCCCTACAGACTCAATTAAGCTTTACATGTGACATTAAGAACTTTTGAAAACAGAGTCTAGCGCGATAACTAAAATAAACCTCATCAGGTTTAGCTAGAGAGTTGAGAGCCAATAAGAGCAAATCAAAGGAATCCCAACTTTCAGGACCTCCCGTTTCTATTTCTGATCTAAAATGTCGTTCAAACCAGCCGAGCAACTTCAACTCCGAGAGACATTTTCTATTTAAAAGCTGTAGAAAAATAAGAAAGCCAAACTTTATACTTAGGGAGGGCAGCCCACCGCATAGCAAACATAATAAGCCGATCAGCTTCCCCGAAAAGCCCTAGAATTTCCAAAAGAGCTCGAAGCCTTAATAAATTGTAGACTAGTGGGTTTGCATGATGCATGGTGATGCTTATTTTCAAAGAGAAACTACCATTTTTCCTCCATTAGTCAAAGGATGTGGGGAAATGACGTCAGGCCGCAACGGTTAGTATCCATAATGGCCGCCCGCCTCTCCATCCAAAGCTTTCTTTACGTTGCTTGCATTTTCTTATGTTAACGATTATGAGCCCCGTCGCAGTACCGGGCTTCTCTGCATAATATCTCGCTTCACAGAAGCGAAAGCAATGTTTAGCAGTCATTTTCCTATTGTCTGGAAACGTCATTAGCCGGACAGACGCGCTTTGTTTCGTAATATTTTTTATTCTCCCTTCCTTCTTCGTCTATTATTGCTCTTGTTTCCATGCACACGGTGTTATCGCCACATGTTGTGGCGCTTTGTCAGAAAAGCCTTGACTGTGCGTCGGAACTAGCTAGGAGATATGGTAAAGTTGTTTTTGATTTGGAAAATCTTTCAGGCGGGTTCAGTTCAAAAAACCAGGAGCAAAAGTTGGTGCAAACAACGTGTTTGCTTAGCGAAGTGGAGCTGACAAAAAAAGAACAGGATGCTTCTATTCAAGTGTTGACCGAAACGTGTGGTCTAGATAATTATGCTGGCGCTACTTGTGCTGAATCCCCAAATTTCTCTGATGCAAAAACCACCCACCTCTTGGCTCGCGTAGAAAATGCCATGGCCCATCTTGACTTTGTCATGACCCGAGCAGAAATGGTGCAAAGCAGGATGGCTGAGACCGGAGAGATGGAAGTTTTGGAGGAACTTGCTGGGGGTAAGGCTTCACCATCTCTTTTGGGAACCATTCCCTCTACTACAATTACATCGTCTGGGCCCTCCAGATCTCTAGAAGTTTCTGGTAAAAGTCTCCATATTTCTGCCGACAATACTCTTGAGAATTTATTCACTGACAGGAACACCTCTACTACATCTAGGAATTCCTCTACATCTTGGAATACCTCTACATCTAGGAATACCTCTACATCTAGGGACTGCTCTATATCTGATCATTCCTCCCGGCCCAAGCTTATAAACAAAAACGGCCGCTGGATCAGAAATTGTAACGGCGTCGATATGGAAAACCCAGAAACACACAGATCCACCGCCTTCGGTAGACTCAAAAGGGATTTCGATCGCCAGTGTTTGAATATTTTGATCCTTGAAAAAGAACGCAATATTTTGCTACTCAAGGCCAATACGCTAGAGTCTGCAAACAAAGCTTTGGATGCAAAGTATGCCCGTCTATTGACCGAGGTTACCGATCTCCGTCAAACAGTGGCCGCTCTTCGTCGAAAGCTCAGTATCGAAGAATCAAAGTGGAGCAGGCGTCTAGAAGTCGCCAATTCTCGCTTGTCCAAAGCGCAACAGGACGCAAGCCTTGATGTCTAACGGCCAAATTCTTCAGCCAATTTGGCCTCGTCAAAATAATGCATGAATTTCACTGGCTTGGCCTGACCCTCTCTGTCAACATGCAAAACGGGCACGTCATAGCAGTATTTGTCAAAAGCATCTGAGTTTTCTGGTTTCATTATATCCACCACTTTGACGTTGATGTTCTGGAATTTCTCGTTCTCCAATGTTTTATACAAAATGGCCCGGGCGTTCGTGCACAACTGGCATGTTTCCTTTGTGAAGAAGGTTAACGACACCTGGCGGATGCTGGCACTGGCTCTAAATTGGCGAATTGGTGTTGCCCACATAGTCTTGAATAATGAAGAAAGTCAAGGTGCACTGGTGTTTTTGAGCCGTGGAGTTGAAGAATGCTTATAATCACTTGAGCGATATGGAAACGAATTTACGTCGCTGCTGCTACCTGCCAGTTTTACTACCTGATCTTAATTGCTTTTTTATTCTTTCTTGTTTCCCTTATATCGATTAGTTGACTGCACGCCGAGAAACTAAAACTGCTTGAGTCTGCGTACTTACCACCCCAAAATTACATTCTCTCCGCTTATTCAGAATCTCCTTGATATTTCAGTGATTGACTAAATTAAGCCACCTTGAAAGGACTCGGTTGATGGCAAACGTTGGCAATCGAAAAATGCTCACGTGACCTTGCCTACAACTTGTATGCGCTTTATCTCGCTTACTAAAGATACCGAAGTTCCTCCACTACCATGAACATTCTCTTCCTCCTTTTTGCTCTTGGTGTTTTCGCATCCGAGTTGGTGCGGATAAACGATAAAAACTTCAAAGAAGTGGCCGTGGAATCCGGAAAATGGACTTTGGTGGATTTTTACGCAGACTGGTGCAGACATTGTTCTAACCTTATGCCAACTATTGAGCAGCTTGCTGAAGTGTACAAAGACGAGCCTGATATTCAGATTGTCAAATTGAATGGTGATGAGGATGGTAAGAAAACTACCCGGAAGTATAACGTGCCCGGTTTCCCAACTTTGTTAATGTTCCACGGATCTGATGATCCTATCGAGTATGAGGGAATGAGAGATTTGGATGCTATCAGCAACTTCGTCCAGAGTGTGTCTGGAATCAGACTTGGCGCGAAGCCGGCTCCGGAGGTTGTTGAGCCCACCAATATTCTCTCTTTGAATGATGATAATTTTCAAGATACTGTACTTCGGGCCAACCACAAGACAGTCGTTGCGGTCACGGCCCCATGGTGCCGGTTCTGCAAAGAGCTTGAGCCTATTTTTAACAAGCTTGCGAATGAAATTTACATCCATGACGGAGAAGTTGTTCAATTTGGGAAAGTGGACTTAAGTGATGAGAATAAACAAAAGTGTGAAATGATCACCAAGCAATTTGGCGTTGAAAAATTGCCCACTATCTTTTTGTTTGATCCACTGAGGGTCGACAAGGATGGATTGAGGAGACCTGTTATCTTTAACGACGACCGTGACTTGGAATCGTTGATTGCGTTCGTAAATGACGAGACTGGATTGTGCAGAAACGAAGAAGGTAGATTGCACTCAAACGCCGGAAGAATCATGGCGATTGACCAAGCACTTAAAACAAAAAGTCCGGAAGCTATCTTAGAGGAGCTTGAGACTTTGGAAGAAGAAGTGAAGATATATGGTAGGGACGCTTTGGTGAATGATGACGTTCTCTTTTTCAAAGACGACGTTTCCATGATCCCTTATTACAAAAAGCTCTTGAAGAAGATCCAAGAAGGCGACAGAGAGTTTTTCTCTCGAGAATTCGCCAGACTTGAACGGTTGCTCGCTACAGAAGAGAAAAACATAGAAAAAGGTGCTTACGATCACATGCAAAAGCGGGCCAGCGTGTTGCAGAGCTTCCTTTCAGCAAAAGCATAGGATGCAATTAATAGAGGAATATAAATTAGCGATATCAGATGGTCAATGTAAACCGATTAGCAAGATCTAAAACATAATTAGTCCTGTTACCATTCCACAGGCTTGAATTTCTGCACCTGTCTTACCTTGTCGGGCCAGACTTTTCCATCGTGAACAATGCACTCGTCTATAATTGGCACCACGTTATTAGGTTTGCATCTGGCCAACCAAATGTTCTTGCCCGACTTCTTCAAGTATATGATAACATTAGCGGCGAACTTATGTCCTCCAATGTGGTTGATGAAGGCCACTGTCACTCCTCCCGGGCGCAGATCAGAGAAATCTCTATGAAGACCCAAATCTCTCAAGTGCAACTCCATTTCCTTCTTCATGATTGGCGCAGTGACTCCACACCGCTTGTCTCTAGTTCTATGCGAGCACATGAAAATGTATGCTTTATTCCCATCGGCGACGATTTCCACGTCGGGAAATTCCGCATACGACAGAAGCGGGAGAGTGTCCTTTTGGGCGTCTCTGAACAGAACCAAGTCGGGCACAACCTTATCTAGCACCTGCGCACAGTTGGCCACAGTGATGTTCTTGACCCATACGAAAAAGGGTAAGAGAAGCACATCGCCCCTTTTTTCGTCGACGTACTCCTGGTCCGTTTCAAACTTGGGCAGGCTGAGCGAGCTCGTGTTGACTTTGATTTTCGCCGATTCGCCGAGACCTTCGAACTTGGCCGAAGATGCCCAAGAATCGAGCGCATGTGCCAATGTTCCCAGCTGTCCAAGGGCATCGTGAGGCCAGTCTGTTTTGTTCGTGGACACGACAACCTGCAACCCATACGGCTTTGTTGATCCGTACAAAGGAGCGTCGTCTTCGAACTTGAGGCTCGATGGGAAAGAAGTTGAGCAGGACTCACAATCGTGCGAACATTCGGAAATGTCAAAGCCGGCGTCCTGGATCTGCTGGCTGGGATCCTTTTCGTTTTTGAAAAACAGCAAAAGGCCCATGTTACAAGGAAGAAGAAGGAGTGCTTTCTCAATGGCAAAACTATGGCTCAAGTCTGATAACTCATCTACTATGGTACTGCATACCACGCCCGGCCCGAGCACCGAGATAGGCTCCGACAAGAGACGGAAATAAATCAGACGGAGAAAACGATGTCAGAAGAAAGTGAGTGTAAGAGTAAGACGGCCAGACAATACAGGAGACCAAGACTGGGGAAGTCAAATTTAGTTGATTAGTTAGCTTAGTCCGGTTTTTCCTTATGCGTGAGATTCTGAAAGAGTAGAGAAAACAGGAAAACAGCTCTGTTTGTTTCTTTTAGCTTAGTTGGCTGTATCGAAGAGCTTGGTAGCGTAGAATAGATGATTCAGAATCCACATATTAGAGTAAGTTTGAATTCTGTTGTTGCCCGAGAATATTGGTACTACTAATCACTATTGAACTAGCGGGGACTTTAGACCTGCCAACTTTATTTATTTCTTTTCGGGAATATATATATATATATATATATATATATATTCAAAGAAATTTGTACAAAGCCGAAGTGCCATACAAATAGTACGGAGACGTACCAGGTGTAATTCCACACATTTTCTGCTTCGGTGATTCAAATACATGAAACTAGGGAGATTTGATTACGCTTAAGCTAACAACCCACAAGGGCAGATTATTCAAAAAGGATTTCAAAGACGTCTTAGAATTTTGAGACTCCCTGGTACAGCGTTCAGAGACTCCGCAGATACGAATTAAAGACGCTCCCCGAAACACCTTTAAGGATGTTTCAGAAACAGCTCAAGACCTTCAAACTTTATACACCTTCTTCAGGCACAGAGTCTCTGGCATTGCGCACATCGTCCACGACGGAGTCACACATCAAGTTCATCACCGAACTTGAGCCGCAGACCCAATCGCCCACACCATTAGCCACGACCTCCTTCTGGCGGGGCTGGCGGGTAAACTTTTGCGGCACCGCAAACCGGTTTTCCCTCTTGTTGTAGGCGAGAACACGGAACTTTGGCGTGAAGTATAGGAAATGGGTATTTCGCAAGAAAACCTGGACAATCTCGCCGTGTTTCGCCGAGCACGTCAACGTGGTGGAGATGGCCAGAGCCTCGGAAATCAGCACACTGGAGCTCAAGGCAAGCGAGTTTCCGTAGGCCTTGGGGGTGATTCCAAACGAAGCTCCACGGCCTCGGTCCGTAGCGACAATGCTCCGGAAGTAAATGGCGCCGCCTTCGCCTTCAAGCTCGCTGTGGCAGAGGGAAACGGGAATGTTGTGGAGAAATTCCGAAACCTCGTAGTCCTCGTACCCCCATTCGACCCACTCCGAAGACACTTTGGCGTCGTGCTGGACGGGAACAGACTCATCAAGCAATCTCTCCACGTCCCAAAACTCAAGCTGCTTCTGGGCAAGAAACGTGTCTGATTGGCGGAGACGGAACATGACCGGAGTTCCCGGTTTCAATTTCAGAGCGTGGTGGTGTGTGATGTCGTACAAGTCTTCGACTTCCACCAACTCGATTGGCGGAGCTTCGTCGTCGTCGTCGCACCGGACAAAAACGCAGAAAAACACAAGAAAGCAGAGAAATGCCTTCATGAAACTGCCAAGAATCTTTTTCAAGCAATTATTTGTGGGAACCGCCAGTGCTAGTATATATAATGCGGAAGCATTTCTGTCGGCCAAAGAAATATGGGTGCAAAAAACATGCGGCCGACACAGAAAATGCGCAATACATATCAGCCGTTGAGAAAACACATGACGCTAGAATAAGCAACAAAACACAAACAAACACAAATCAAACAAAAAGACAAAAACACACAAAACAGAAACACACAAAAAACACAAAAAACACAAAAAACACAAACAAAACGAAAATACAAACAAAACGAAAACTAAAACAAAATCGCAATTCCATCTTTCAGGCCTTGCTGGCCCACGTGATGATAACCGTTTGCCTCGTCTAGTGGGACGATAGGCGTCACGTGCCCCGCCTTCTTTTCCATCTACTGCTCCATTACTGAAACGGCCAGCGAAGAAGACAAAGCTGGACCTTGTCAGCTCCCGTTTTGGGCACATCCAGCGCACCGCCACGCTTGCACAAGCGAGCGGCCCGAAACAGGCCGACAAGTTTAAAGACAATAGAACAAACATTCGTTCTGCAGACAGAGCCGCTATTTCAGGAGTATGCAGTGAGCACAGAAGAGTGCTTTTTTTGTGGAATCAGCGCCTCATCCATTTTCCAGCATCCTTTCCTCCTTCTTCCCTTTACACCCCAGCACTGTTTGCATTTTTATCCCGCATAGCATTTTCCCCTTCATTTGCTATTCCCTTTTCTTTCGTCCCCGTACCCTTCTTGTTTTCCGTTACCCGCCTTCCTTCTACCAGCTTCTACTCTTTTCCTTGCCCTTTCTTCGAGTCTGCCCACTCCACTTTGCAAAACCCTGCCGATGCTTCAGCTCAACCCTCACGCATCTGACGGGCAAGTAGTGGTTCCGACTCCCAAACCGCACGTCTCCACTTCCCTCGAAAGCCCGTTGACGCCAACTTCTCGGTCACTCAAAGAAGCAATTCTGGACGGGTCCGAAATCGCCAGCAGCGTGACCGTGCCGAGCTCCATCGGCGACGTCTCGTCCAACGACCATTCAGGAAACACACAAAAGCCAAAGGAGACCGAGCTGGACAAAGAGACCATGAAACCAGAAACAGAAGCGCAACCAACTTCGGACGGCGAGCTGACTCCGCAAGTGCAGCCCGAGCAACATCAAGTGCTGCTGCCTTCTCCACGGAATGCGGCTGCTGCTGCCGTAGCGGCCCACGACTCGCCTGTTGAGAACGACTTCTTTTCCAACAAAGGCTTATCTGCCGACAAACCTTGGCACGAGTCATCTGGGCACGGCGACAAGGACGTATCCATGCCGATTCGCGCCGTGTCTTCTCTTGAAGGGCTCAGAAGGCACACGTCGCCCAACCCGATCACAATGGGCAGAAAGTCTGCCGATTTGACCTATCGTAAGAAATCCATCGATACAGGCGATCATCCTCTTGCTCATTCTCGCTCACACAGATCGAGGAGCCACGATCGAGCACTTTCCAGCATCGAGCTTCACAATCTACGCCAGCACTCTCACAGCTCGGCCAGTGCAGAAATCAATCGCATGCGTAACTCTATCTTAGTGAAGAGAAACATCCAAAAAAGACGCCGAGACTACATGAAGGAGGACCAAGTTTATGTGGGCAACAAAATCACCGAGGGCCACCAGAACTTTGTCATGGCATATAACATGTTGACTGGCATCAGGGTGGCTGTATCCAGATGTTCTGGTGTCATGAAAAAATTGAACGACAGCGACTTTAGCGCTACAAAAAAACTCACATTCAGCATGGATGGCAGCGAATTAACTCCATCATCCAAATACGACTTCAAGTTCAAAGATTACTCGCCTGAAGTGTTTAGAGAGTTACGGTCTTTGTTTGGCATTGATCCCGCAGACTACTTGATTTCAATCACAGGGAAATACATTCTCTCCGAACTAGGATCTCCTGGAAAAAGTGGATCTTTTTTCTATTACTCGAGAGATTTCAGATTCATCATCAAAACTATTCATCACTCAGAACATAAGCAGTTGAGAAGAATGTTGAAAGACTACTATCAGCATGTGAAAGATAACCCAAACACATTGATCAGCCAGTTTTACGGCTTGCATAGGTTGAAAGTTCATGGAGGCATGAAGAAAGTGCATTTTATTGTCATGAATAATTTATTTCCTCCGCATAGAGATATCCACCTCAAGTACGACTTGAAAGGATCTACCTGGGGAAGATCTACAACCATTCCCAAAGGAACAACCGATTTCTCTCAAATGACACTCAAGGATTTGAATTGGCTTGACAGACACGATACTATCAAGTTCGGTCCTGAGAAACGGAAAATGTTCTTGGAACAGCTTGAGGCAGACGTGGGTCTCTTGAAAAAAACCAACGTCATGGATTATTCTTTATTGCTCGGGATTCATGATGTGAAAAAGGGGAATACTGAGACGAAACAAAAGTTGTCTGTATTCGATCCCAAATCCAATATGAAGGCCGAGGTGATCAAAACAAACCCGAGACATATCGATCGGGGAGTAGATCTCCCCACTGATGTGTTCCCCGGCCGCTCGAAATATATATTTTATGGTCATAACGGAGGCATTCGGGCTACGAACGAAAATAACGATCCTTTGCCGGAAATCTACTATTTGGGCATCATTGATTGCTTGACAAATTATTCGACAAAGAAGCGGCTCGAGACCTTCTGGAGGTCGTTGAGCCATCCTCGCAGCACCATCTCAGCTGTGCCAGCGCGAGAATACGGTGATCGGTTTATTCAGTTCATGAAGAATGGCATATCCATCGAAAAGGCCAAAACAGCTTAGTGAAACGCACATGATACTCAAGCTTGGCCTAGAAGATGATCTTTTGTAGCCGCAAAAGTTCTTTATAATTCAATATTTATTGTCTCTAGACGTACCAACTAGTAGTTCATTCACTGTATACGTATAGTAAATGCGTTCTCGTGCAATTGCAGAAAAGTACAAAAAAAAAAAAAAAAGAAATATACCTTCCCATAATGGTAGAATTGGCTTTTTCCTATCGACCGCAATCAAGTTTTCCAATGCGCAGTAAAAAAGACAAATGCTCCAGGAGGGGTTTGAACCCACGACCGTCGCGTTCCTCACACGACCGTGACTTTGGCATAACCATCGTCGAAAACGGCTATAAGCACGAAGCGCTAACCTCTGCGCCACTGGAGCACCTGCTGAACCAAATAGTCCTCGGCATGGTATGGGCGTGGCCTATGAACTGTGAAAAATGCAAAATTCCGCAATGAAAATTAGCTGACGCTATGGCCAATGGTTATTCATAAGAAAGCAAGGGAAAAGGGCGAGACCAAAGTTTGATGTCTTTTTCGTTCATGGGCTAATTCTTTTCTGTTGGGAGATGTCATTAGTCACAATGTAATGCGCCACATAAATGTGGCTGACCACGATTGGCCCAATCGGGCCAATGAAGTATCGTCATGAGACATGCGTTTTTCTCCGTTTTATTTTGTTCCCGCCCAAGTTTTATTGCGTGCTATTTCACCACGCAGTCATATTACCCGTTCTGCAGTATGGCTTGTCTCAGATGTGATCACGTTGTCAGTGTGGAGAAATGGGTGGCCTCGGCTATTTTTACTTGACCAGAAATGCATTCTATTTTCTCGTTTTTCACCTTTCCGTTTGAGCTGTTGGATGTTTGTAATAGTGCTAAGGATTTTTCCTCACTCCTGAATAGGCGTAGAAGTTGATTAGGCGCAATTTGAAGATGTGAGAGGTTCCAAGGATATTCTATTTTCAGCCTGGAGCAGCTCTCAAAAAGAAATTAGAATTGTGACGCCCGGATGTCGCCCAGCGTATTATTTTTAGGCGAGTTTCATTTCACACCTCGAATAAGGAAAGGGGATTTGAAACATGTCTTGCAAGACTCGTAATTGGTGGCCTATACAATTCAAAAAGTGACACACCAAACTCGTATTGACCCGTGGGAAAGAAACAAAAAGCAATTCATGGAATGTGGCTAGGCACGTTCTTAATGTCGGGGTCCTACATTATCTTAGATTGAGATACTCCGGAGATAGGAAGGAGAATAACCCCTGCAAATTAGCTTTTTCAATGTTTCCATTGTTTGTCAATGAAGAGACATTTTAGTGTGTACTAGTTTAGGTTTTAGTTTTGGTCACGCCTTCTGTTCTACTATTCGTCTTTCAGCGAGAGGGATTTTAATTCATGCTGGTGTCTCAATCATCTTCTAGCATTGTCTCAAAAATGTCTCACATCCAAACCGGCTGAGCTGGATAGTTTACAGACCCAGTTTGGGCCTCTATGAAATGGTCAACGACATTGGTTCTTCGAATGAAGTAAAAAAAGAAATGGCAAACTGTCTTTTCGATTAGCATATTCCAAGAACATTCAAGGTTGAATGTGGAGAAAAGGCAATTGGACTAGGCAAATGTGGTTCAATTTTCATGCCAGGTAAAGTAAATTGTAATTATCGACCCGAAACACAAGTAAGTGACGCTAAACAAAGTACATGTCTAGCACCAGCAGATACTCTATCGGAATGCATTGATGAAGAAGCATTCACTGACCCTTCAAGCTCCAGTCATGCTAATGCTTATTAAAGCAAGACTTAGTCTAAGTTACTCCTGATTCCATTGAATCTAATTTAGCTAGAGATGTTAGAGATTCTGATTTAGAATAAATATTAACTGGTTTTACTTCTCCTCATATATAGTAGCTAATCATGAGAATAGTTTTATTCCTGTAAAGCAACGAGGTCAATTATAGCTTTTCCGGTTATACCTTATAACTAGAATGGCGTGGCTCCTGTGGATACTATTTACTGTGATAAACCTTAGAAGGTACTTTGGGTGGATATAGTCTACAGCTGGAATCGTTTGTTATTCTAGCCATTATCAGTCATTGAGGGATCCTTTGAAATCCCAATTGCACATCTCAGAAGAGCCTGATTCTTGTGAAGTACTATAGCCACACGGTCCTGCCAATTCACTTCTCTTACCTTACGAAGCACAAGGACGAACCAAACAGACGAGATGCAAAGAAACAAGCTGAAAGCCATCAGAATAATCCAAGCAGTTATTTTCAGGAGAATGTATCTGAGGTTGGCACCGTGTGAATGCAATGTCTAATATCATAAGACGATGCTCCGATGAACAATCAGTTCTACGCCAGAAAGTTGAGCAGTACAAGGCAAGCCAGAGAACATTCAATCGATACAGCTGAAAAAAGAAAGTGTCTTGTGCCTATAATTTCGTACATTTCTACCAGTTCTTGATGTGTATGCCATTTCTACCTGTTCTTGATGGTGTTGTTCCACCTGCTCTTGATTGTGTTGTTCCTTTCTTGATTGTGTTGTTCTTGCTTTCTTGATTGTGTTGTTCTTCCTTTCTTGATTGTCTCTTCTTCCTTTCTTGATTGTGTTGTCTACCTGTTCTTGATTGTCTCTCCTTCTTGATTGTCTCTTCTTTCTTGATTGTCTCTTCCTTCTTGATTGTCTCTTCTTTCTTGATTGTTGTTCCTTTCTTGTCTCTTCTCGATTGGTCTTTCCTGTACTACCACCTGCACTTCTCAAGTCACCTCCGCGCTCTCCAACCACATCATGAAACACTTGACTCGCGCCGTTCGGCCGTTGCACGTGCAAGCCGCGCCTGTTGCTGCGTCGGCGCACCCAGGTGCCCTCTCGCGTGTTCCTTCTGCTGCCGCCGTGGACTTGCCGGCGCCCACTCCGGGCGACCAGGTGCGGCTCCAGGCGTTGGGGTCTCCTCCGTCGGTGGCCAGTGTGGCCGTGCCGCCGTCCTTGCCGGTGTTTGTCCGCCGCGGCAGTGTTTTGGCGGTGCTGGGCCGCATAGACCGCATCGTCTCGGCGTTTGTGGCGCCAATGTGGCTCCGCCGTTTGACGCTTGGAAACATTGTTCTGCGCTACCAGCGCCTTGTGGCCACCGAGCCGTTTGCCGTCTTGGCCAGCGCCAGCGCGCCGTCGCTCTGGCCGCAGCTTGTGCGTCGGGCCACGCCCCGCTCATTTGCGTCGCTTACACTTGACGGCACCGCCGACTGGGCCGTGTTGAAACGCGACGCTTTGCAAGTGTACGCCGGGCCTGCGCTCACGCTTTCGGTGCACGCGGCGCCGCAGCGTATTTCCCGCCGCTTGGCCCAGTCCCTCAACACCCTGCGCATCCCCACCGGTTTGCGGCGCACGGGATACACCTTTGTCAGTGGGCGCGGCGTGGTGGCCTTGGCGGGCCACGGCCTGGTGTATGCTGCCCGCGTGGCGGCGGACGAGCAACTCACGGTTGCACGCAGCAGCATCGTGGCCATTTCGGTCAACGGGCCGCACGACTTGCACAACTGTGTGGCGCAGATGCCGCAGACCCAAGCGTCTGCCGCAGGCTCTGCCGGCTCTGCCACCTCCGCCGCTGGATCCAATTCGCGCAAATGGACCGATTTGAAGTGGAAGGACGTGGTGCCGTGGGTGCGGGGCGTGTGGCTGAAGCTCGTGCTGGCGCCGCGCTGGGGGCTGGGCTTTGTGCGGGTGCTGGGCCCACGGACGGTGTTGCTCCAGTCGGGCGGAGCGCAGCAGATGTGGGAACACACGGTGCGGGGGCCGCGGCTGGCGCTGGCTCCGAAAGTCAGCGCCGACTACTTGAACGTGGTGACGTTTGACCAGGCGCACCGGCCCGAAATCCGGAGCACGCTGGACTTTGGCGAAGCTGTGCGGGCAATCGAAAAGACAAAGTGACGCAAGCCAGACATTTCATTACATGCTCGCGAGAGCAGTGCATTCGCTGGCACGCCAGCAAAAATATTCAATAAAAGGATACACCAGAAGGTTGTTAGATGATGTTAGAAGCTATCGATAGACGTTAGAAGCTATCAGACGTTAGAAGCGAATAGACGAAAGGGTCAGACGTAGAATCAGCAACATCCTAGGTTATCTCAGATTGTGCTAGTTGTTACATATTTGATCGTCACTATATCTATTGAGAGCAGCGTCCATATATATTGCTAGTTTGTTTCATGGAGATTGTAGATTCCTTGAGTCGTTGAAGTATCGTTTTCGTACAGACTGGTGATATCTGACTACTCCTCAGAGTAGCAAAAGAAGGTGTTCACAAGTCATTCTTTATTGACCGAAATGGACAAGCCAGGCAAAGCAAATGGAACAGTCTGTTCTCGGTCTATCCTTAACAATCAATCCATCGACAATGATCTATCGGAGCCTTTCTGATTACGTACCATTCATTATCTTACAGTCCCGCTCGAAACTCGAGCATTGTTTGTTTTCCTAACTATGGCATTACTCGAATATATTCTAGTGTACATATACTTGCCGCACTCCAAATGCAAAACCAGCCTCATCCAACATTCCCGTTCCACATCAGTCACATGAGCCGTCTATAATACATTTTCACCAGCCACAAGTCGCGCAAAGCAAGATATTAGTCGTTTACATTAAAAGCTAGCAATCGCTCGGTGAGCTCTTCCCCAGATCTATGATCGAAGACATGCTCGAGCTTTCGTCCGGCAGCTCGCGCGGCGCCAAGTGGACAGAGTCCTCTTCGTGTGAGTAGCGCTCAATCTGCTGCGGGCTCGGGAGTGGGAACGTCCGCTCCATCAGCGACTCCACTCCGGGAAGCTTCACCTTCTTCACTCCGTTTCTCCGCTTCCGCCGCCGCCTTCGCTTCGGATTGTCCTTCAACAGAATGCGCGCTAGTCGAGATGCTGGGTCCTCTGACATCTCCTGCTCAAGGTCGTGCTTCTTCATGTTGGGCCGTACTGAGCCGCAGAACCGCTTCGCCCGAAGGAATGTCTTCCAATGCGGGCCGCCGCTCAACCACACTAGTGCGGCTCCCACTGCTTGTGTCGCCGTCCGACAGCGACCGGTCCTCCTTGTCTTTGCCGACACATAGCAGCGACAGGCTCTTGTCGTCCATCGGCATGAAGATCGAGGTGGAGGTAGACTGCGACTTGGCTCGGAGCGACAAGTCTGTCGACAGCGACGAAGCTTCCGACCCGTTATAAACAGGCAACCCGTCGTTGGCGAAAACTCGCAGCTCCTCCATAGGCTCGAAAGGACGGCGGCACTCCTGTGAAGACATAGTCAGCGGACTGGGGACAACTCGCACGGAGGCTGGGCACAGCTTCGAAGAGCTGTTGGATATTGGGATAATGGGGGCTTGGCCCACGTAGGGGATACCGAGTGACCAGGGACAGCCACTCAAGATTGGGGTTTTTGTCGTCGGGCGATTCCGAGCTGGAAACGCCGTTCGCTTTGATGCCGACTCCTTCCTGCGACGGAAGCTTGCCGTTTTCCACGGCAAACCCGTTGGTGCCGTTGGTGCCGTTGGTGTTGTAAGTGCCGTTCACTGGGACAGAAGTTTCCACTCCCAGACCTTCACGGTTCGGGTTGGGCGAGTATTGCGAAAGCACCTTCGACACAGCAACAAACAAGTCGGCCCACTTGAAAACCTTCAAGTCCTTTTCGATGTTGCGCGGTCTTGGGTTTTCCATGGCCATGATAGCGTTGAATAGTCTTTTGCTGTCTTCGTTGGTCTTGGTGATGGTGAAGGGTTTCAAAAACTGCAAGTTTCGGCGTATTCGACTCTTTTCCTCGATGGAAAACGCTTGGCCCACAAAGTACTCAAGCACAACGATGATGTCGACCGAAGTCACCACATCCACGTTTTTCTCTGCCCACCTGATGCATGACACAACCAAATCTCTGGGATTATAATCGGCGGGGCTGACAGCATCCGCACTTACACAAAACTTGGACATAGATTCGTTAGTGACCGTTAGTTTCACAAGCCTCCGGCCTTGCATCTCTTCTTCTCTGGTCCAGTTGTCGGACATTTGGTTTATTTTATCGCTCACATTCAAATCAACAGTGGTATTGATGACATCTAGGTTGTTTCGGATGAACTCCGATGACAAGGTACTAGTCCTTATCAACTTGGAGCCCGAACAATCTTGTTGACGCATCCAGGTTTTTTAAAATGCTGAAAAAGTTTAGATTCTTAGAATAGTCGGTGTTTTCTCTCAAATCACAAGCGCCATATATTTTCCAAGCTCAAGTATAGAAAAAAAAAAGTCTTTGGGCTAAGTAGTTATAGCTGTAGATGATTTCAGCGTTTTTGCAAGTCTGCTTCGAATGTCAGAAAAAACTTTTGTGGCAAGTGCGACGCATTTGCCCCCTTTTATTAGTTTTCGCCGCAAGCGCCCGCTTACTTGCCACAAACTAGCCCTTTCTCATTGAAAACGTCATTCTAGTCGTGCATATAATCATTTAGCCGCCGGACATTGGCGGGAAGCATATGGAAATAGCAAGATTCTACGAAAATGTCGCTAGCCCCTACGAGAGCAAAAAACACGCCACAAGCGATAATTTTGCACTAGCCTCTTTTGTCCATTATGTCTCACTTTCTGTACACGATTTACTTTTTGCCGTTCCACAACTCGCTTACATTTTTTTAATACGTAAGAATGTCTATGACAATGTTGACCACACTGACCAATACCTCGATGCAAACAAGAACAACCACAATGAACTCCAAGCTTTCTTCGTGTGAGTGGCCCAACTGTTCTTTAAGCATCTGTAGCAAGTCAGAAATCACCTCCAATCTCTGGTTGAGAAGCTCCACCCGCTGATTGATTTCCAAGTATCCTCTAGCAGCCTGGTATATCGGCTCTAAATGCGGTTCTGCCCACATCAATTCAGGCGAATCAAGCACTGATCCGTGAAGATTGATATTTATGCGTAGAATGAATAACTCACCGATGGACTTCATGGTTTCATCTCTTGTCATCTCCACTTTACCCGTATGAGCAATCTGCTGTGGGATATCCTGTGTATCTTCGATGGTGTTGTCCACCAACTCTTCGAAGAGGGAGATTTTCACCGACTGTGCTAATGCATGTGAGATTGATAGTTTAAGCATGTAATTCGAGTCATCCCGGAGGGTGATGAAGTCGTTGTAAATTCGTGGCTGGTAAGACGTGGTGATGTAGTAATTAAATTCTTCGACTTGAATATCTTCCGAAGATAGCTTTTCACTTTCGAATCGAGCCAAGTCCTCGAGAAATGCCTGTTCCTCCTTAACTGTGAAGCCCCACATGATTACCACGCCATATTCGAAAACAAAAACATCACTATTTTTGCCGAACTCGATCTCTCCTCCATCATCTGCTAATCTTATAAGTTTTTTCCCGTCATCCTCAGAGTCACTCCGCCAGTCTTTGTATGTGAAGGGAGTGTATAGGCATTCATCGAAATGCTTGGGCAGCGTGTTATGTATTCTTTTGCGGTCTTTGAGCCAGCGAAGCAAAT